TGCGTAGTATTTTACTTGCGATAGCTTTTGTGAAAGTGCAGTCATCTCAGTGCATACCTTTTTCTTGCTTTTAGTGTAGGTTTTACGCAAAGACGTAAATTACGGTCTTTGCTGAATGAAATTATCTATATGATTTGGTTCTATTCGAACCAAATTTTAATGGCGGCTTTTTTCATATTATATTTGCAATATTTTGCACAGTATATTAAAAGCGATGGAAAAGTCTAGAAAATTGTAACTTTCAGGGTAGTAGTAAATTCCACTGAGAGCAGGGTGCTGGGTTATGTTCATATGCACGGGTAAGAATGAATTCAAGAGGGAATTTCGTTAGAATTAAAACCTTTTTTTAATCGGCAAAATTAACAAAGATATTTTATCTTATCGTAAGATGTAATCTACTGAGGTGAGCAGCAAGTGTCATAACCTCTATAAAGATGGTGAAATCTCTTATGTGTTGTGCAAAGGCGTATCAGGTTACCTCCATGGAAAGGCTTGTTAAAGTCAAACTTGTTTGTTATTTTAAGAAATACGCTCCTTGAAAACTAAAACCATGGAAAGGACTTAAATGATGTTCTTGGTCAGAATACAAAGCTTAAGTCGCTTTGCTTTAACATCTCCACACGATAATACGGGGAATGGCGACATCAAAACAAACACAGTTTATGAGATTTTGATCAATTTTTTCGCTACTGATTACATATTTGAGTAGCCTCTTAATTTTCCTTTGAAGCCAAGTTATATATGCTTTAAAACCATTAGTGCGGTTTGATGTAAAATTTTAAAACGTCTTACGTTTTAACATTTTAACTCCTATGGGATAATACAATCCAGTTAAAGTTGAAATGTACTTTTGGAAAAATTGATATACGATTTGTCTTCTCTTTGACATTTTGCTAATTTGATAAAATAATAGCTTCAAAATTTCTTTTGGAGAAAGTAATTTCTTTAGACAACATTAAGCGACTATCGCGCTCGATTTTAGGAAATCCATGAGCCCGAGTGAGCGCTTTCCATAATCTTTAAAACACCAAGTGTAATGTGCTATATCCAAAACCAAGGGGTTATAAATGTTTGTGGAAATGATAACGATAATGATGATGGTAAAGCATGGAATCAAAATACTGATCCTCCTAGAAAACGAGTTGTTAGTTTCTTTTTTATCCAAAGTTTTGTTTCAAAAATATTATTTGGGCCGGTTTTCATCTTTAAAGAAACCATTCCAATCATAAAACCTCGCCTAGACGCAAAATTCGCCTATAGTAAAGTTTTTTTTTTCGATGTCAATTTAAGTTGAGAAAATTATCGTTGTAATAAGGACACGAAACACTTCTTGCAATTCTTATAAAGAAACCCTAAACGTTTCTGTTGTGCAGTTTTTCATCTTTGACCGACAGACTTGCTTGCGTTTTTTGGTGTAATCAGTAACTTCTTCCAATTTTTCATCGATGTTTACGTGGTTTAGGCAACCATACGATTTCTTAGTATCGTAGTATTGTACTAGGAGTATTTAATATTTGAATCGGCCTTGCAGGATATTTTTTTAGGAAAACGCAAAGGAAGCTTATCGTATTTTTTGTGTTTTGTTTTGTTTTTTTTTATTTTGGGCTCATTAACCAAAGACACGTACGAGGGCAACTGATGAAATAAAAATGCTTTATATTTAATGCCGAAAGCACAGTGCCAGACAGAGATTTTGCCACGTCTACTTCAGTAAACTTACTAGAAACATCACCGAAAAATTTTTTCTTTTTCACAAGGAATACTGCGTATTTTCAATTTCACACTTAATGCCAGAAAAATCTTATTATTTATTAAACTGCCTTCCTAAATTTAAAGCCTATGTTTTGGTCTGTACGAATTAAACTGATTTTAGAACTCAATAGACATCGCGTGTGTGTTTACTTAAAGACATAGAGCTGACCCCATCACTGATCAAATTGAATAAAATTTTAGGCTTAAATTTAGTGAAGTTTTGTCGTACTTCTAAACCGCACGTTTCAAACAATTACTTATGACTGAACTTGAGTGAAATTTGTGGTTTAGTCTGTCAAAATTCAAAGCCATTTTCGACTTAAGACTGCCTATTTTGCTCATAGAAATGGGACATATGAAAGACAATAATAACAGAAGGTAATAAACAGTACAATTAATCTGCTAATTGCTACTTAGCACCGGGTTTATTAAAAGCAATATGAATAAAGGAATTACGAACGTGCCTGAAAATTAGTATTGCCTTATTATTGATCGGTCAAATTTAAAGAAAAGCCGTTTTATATTTCCATTCTTTCAGAAGTACAAAATTGCCGGCCCAGATCAAAGTTCATTTCGGCGGATATTCCTAATTCGCAATGTGTAATGAAGTTGAGGCGGAAAAGTTCTAATGAACTTCACTTAATTTGCCTGATATTCAGTGATGAGATTGAAATTTAAGCCGGTAGAAATGATTATCGAAGAAATAACCACCAGGAAAAAAGTAATTTTTGTTTTCGATTCATTTGTGTCAAGTTTGTGTATGTTACTTCATGAACTTTGGGTGTGCGGCATCGAAGGTGGCTAAATCAGACTGAATTAGAAAGCCGAATGAGCTGGCGACATAATATTCAACCTTAAAACCAGTAAGCGAAATTGTTTTCTACAAATATGTTTTTATTCTTTCCCGCCTACTTATCTATTATCGCTTGTAAAATGCATGACCTGAGCGCACTTTTACCCACTACGGCCTCAGCGGGACACTAGCAAAATAGCTGTACCAAAATGCGTCGTGGTGCGAAAACACAATGGCCACGTTGGGTTAAATGCCCTATTTTTGCTGCGTCCATCAGAAAAGTGGTATGAACATTCAACCTTTTTGTGTAACTTTTCAAAGGTGCTTATTCTGACACAGAGAAGAGGCGTGTTTCATGTGTTCTCCTTTCTTTAAATCGATGATCAAACGTCCACGAAATTACAAAGGATGAACTAAAAAGGTGTCTCAACGAGTGGGATGTTTGTCACAACTCTTTACAAAAAAGTGCGAACTCTTTCAACTGATGATTTATTAAAAACCTGGGGAATATCAAGAAATTTGCAAGTGTTTCCTTAAGCCACACAACTGTACTTGTACAGAATGTCAAAAATTTCAATTTAGATCAAGATTTATGATTTAAAGTTTATTGTTTCTCTTCCCTTCGCTGGGAATGTACAATTTTGTCAGAACTCAGGTGGCTGCGTCGGAGATCCTATGAAGCTTTTTCGACTTAGAATTCTACACTACGCGCTACCTTGCCATCGCTGTGATATATATAAATATATCTATATATATATATATATCTTTCTTTTAAGCTACGGAAAACAAATAAACATGGTTATTTATTTTTGCGGTTTGATTCAGTCGATGGGCTTCATCTCTAACAATGGCGTCTTCCTTACTCTTAATAATTCACGCTCTCATGAGTACTAGAATTTATGATACAGCCAGTTTTGCGACCGAACTTTAAAGCTTTCAGTTGTCAATGATGTATGTCTACGGTTCTTTGCCCAAATGAGCGAGTTAAGAGAATTTCCAAAGAGAATTCGATAAAGCAAGAGTTCTCTCTAGGATCAACGCCAGTTTCGCAAGAGAGACTGAAAGTAAAGCTGTTTCCTATTTTCGCCTTCCGTTTATGTTAAAAGAAAAAAAAATTCTGGATGTGGTATTGATTTACATTTCCTCACCCAAACCCTAGAAATTCGTCAAGTGAAGTTGCAACCCGATTTTGGGATGTGTTGAAAAGCACGTTACGTAAACAATCATCAGAAACTTTACAAGATTTCTTAAACTGAACTTGTCATGTATCATTTACAGGGTGGCTTTTTCGTGATTCCCATTTCTCCTTTGTAAAATATAGTCTTCAATTGACCCGTTTGGTTGCCTTCTTTACGCTATAATTCCCCTTACGCAACAACTTCTCCGCAAATCTACAGACGCTTGTTGTTTTAATGCTGCTTTTAACAACAATAGCTTAGTGCACAGTTTGAATTTGTTTTTCTATTTTTTCCCTAATTTAGTTTTCCTGCTGCGTGTTTTCTTAACACCGCTGCTCTGTGGTTTTCAATGTCTTTAACCCTTTAAAAGTGTTTAGTATGCCATTTGCTTTCTTGATTTTTAATTATATTATTTTCTTCTGTACTGATCAACTTGCCAATTTTCACGCTCGACAAGCGCATGGAACAAAAACTTATAGAGGTTAGATTCGTATTTTTTAGTTCATTTCATGACGTAATTTTTATTGTTCAGGTTTGGACGAAAACTAGTGAAAGGAATCAATTTGGCGCACAAGTACTGGCAGCAAAACTGAGCCAACGCCCTGTGCATCCAAAATATTTATTCGTTTTCAGTCACTGAAGCTGATTGTATTGAAGCTGTAAGGATAACAGTAGCTCTAATTGAGTTTTTGCTGTTAGTTACCCGCTTATTCGCCCTCAACAAAGGCAATTATCGGTTTTCCTGAACAGGTGATGCAACTGTGAGGAAAGTTTGTGACACTTCCGAACTTTGAGTCTTACAACAAAGCTTACAGCCAATTTGTTGTTGGAAAGAACAATGCTGAAGGCTTCAGATTAACCCCCTCCTAGCAATGAAAACTTTTAAATGTAGTTTTTTTTAGTTAATTGCTGTTTAATGACAAATGACAAATGACAAATACTTTTTAAAACTTGCTGTTTATATTTTTTGTCGACATACACGATATTGCTGACACACTGCAAGCTTTTTTCCCGTTTTTTTTCTGTTATGCTTTGATTTTTTGAGGAACCTTTTGTCATCGAAGATTATCAGTGTTAACATAATTATTGAGGGAATAAAAGGAACAATAACATCAATTGACATCAAATGCTTTATGAAGAAGCATAAAAAGAATTCAGACTTTGGACAGCCAAATAGACAGTCATTTTGTTCAAGACTTCAGATTTGATTTCCCTTAATGAATTAATCTCGTATACCTGTCACCAACCTAGATGAAATTTACTCTTTTAGATTTTCCGCGCATTTAGCAAGTACACGTCTCACCCATTCCATTTTTTTCTTTCTTCTCAGGTGGTGTCGTTAATTGACTGTTAAATAATCTCTATCTATCGCAAATTGGCGTATCCCGCTGATCGGAAATCTTTGAGCTCTAAGTATTGTTATCATTAGAAAAATTACTTCGGCTTAAGAGAAAATTTAGTGCATCGACATATGGAGTAACAAAACTTATTCCAAAGAGTTCCTGGGAAAAGAGAACGGAATTATTAAACCCTGCTAAAGCTGTCAAAGATGTACCGAGCAATACTCCTCGATAGAGAATCTGGAGACAGAAAATACTTTTAAATCAATAATAATATTAATAATAACGATAGTGATAATGATAACGATAAGGTTAAAAATGATGATAATAGAAATGATAATGAAAGTAAAAGTGGTGTACAGAAAATGGTGATGATGATGGTGATGATTATATAATTTATATATTACATAAGGGATTACACTATTTTCAAAATAATAATTTTAATAATAATAATGAGATGTTATTATCATTATTAAGCGTAAACAGAGGAGACGAACATCCTTTAGCATTTTCCGATTATGTTGTAAAACGCTACCGAACACTTACGTCACAGCAGAACGAAGACGACTTTCAATTTTATTGAATTTTAATCGTAACTTTTTGCACGTTAAGAACAAGTTTAAAAGATTTCCACTGCTTCAATAGACCTAACAGAAGGCAATAGTAAATGAAATGCATTTACACCTCAAGCCCAACTTCCAATACACATTCATGGTTGAACTAGTAGTTTTCGGCAAGTGTTCTATGGCCAAAGAAAGACAACCTGACTAAAAAATTAACGAATAAAAACATTTAAATGGGTCATGAAAGTTTTCCATACAGATGATCAAACAAAGTATATATATCAAACGCTACTAAAAGTGAATAATAAAAGTGTTCGTCAACATAGCTCTCTTCAAGATAGCTGAGGAAACTGAAATGCCCACTCAATGTTAAACTATGCAGAAAATTTATAGCAGCTTCTAAATACGAAGCATTTGATTGAAAGACTGACTTACATCTTAGTTTCTGTATCATGTGGTAGTTCAATATTGATTTGAGACTGGAGCAGCTAAATCGCACCATCTCCTGACATACAAAATTTGCAAACGAGGACAATTACAGAAGGTAGTTTGTCCGCTAAAGCTAGATCCAATGATTTGAGATTTTCAATACGAGCTATTTATTTCAGGTGCTTTCTTACTGTTTTGATTATTTTTCATTATGAAGAATCTTTCATTTTCGTCGTCACATTGAAAAAGCGATAATTGTAATAATAGCTACCACGCTATTTTTAATAAAATCATATTTTTAAAAACTGATACAACTCTATATATTCATTCTCTACCTCAATGAGAATATTCCAGTGCAACTATTCATGGTGTTCATGATAAGCTCGCGGCTGAAATGGCTTCGCTGGTCGCTTAGAAGCGGCATCATTGGTAGGAGTGTCTGCACTGGAAGGATTGGCTATGATGTATTCACAGCCACCTAGACCAGGTTTGACGACACAATCAGCGTACTTCGATAGGTGTCTTTCCAAGTAGCTTAGTGGCGAGGATCCTTGGGAAAGAACCTGGTAATGGAAATCCTTCTCGCTGAACTTCTTGTTACCTTTCTCGATGGTATCCTTAGTGTCATTTCGTACCTGCCAAATCCTTAACTGGCCAATCATGTAAGCAGTTGCCTGGCCGGGGTCGCTCTGATAACGCGTCACGTCTTTGACAGCCTTGTCAGTTTTGTCCCAAGCATAATCAGCGAAGAGTTTCAGTGCTTCCCATCTCTTCATTCCTGAAATTTATTTGATTAAAAAAATGTGAGACAGAAACTATCGTGCAACATTAGTGAACTGTATTTGTCTCATAGGTCAGAAGCAAAGTGCTCAATTTCCTTCTGCGTTTGATCACGTTTGCATGTTTCTGTAGTTCGTTAGCTCTATAAGCATTTGTTAGTCAAGTTCCAACTTCTCTAACCATTTATTCGCCATATAATGGTTACTTTTGGTTGATTGCGATACACATACACTCAAAAGACGAAATCCTCAATGAAGACCTTGTTACAAAGGGTATCTTTCTGAACGTATTTTAGATCACTTCCAATTTCTAAAAACTCAAGGGCCCGAAATTTAGTGTTGCAAATTTCGATTCCTCGGAAGCCCCATCCTTGTAACTTTATTCCCGTTTTGCCAGCTACCTTGTGTCTAGGAATAATTTACGCGAGCCTAAGGCTAAGGATGAGGAAGAACTTTCCCGGCTAAATTGTTATTCGCCCAAGGCTGTCAATAATCAGTTACCAGCATACCTTTGTAATGAAGGCCAGTGTCCATCATCAGGCGCAAAGCCCGCCAAATCTGCCACTTGAGCATACCATACAACTGCAGCGGGTTGTTTTTGTACGTGTCTGTTTCTTCGGCGATGAGCGGATTCTCAGCGTATAATGCCCAGCCCTCCGTAAACGCGGTGTAGTAAGATGCACCATTCAACCAGCTTATCACGCCCTCACAGCTGTCTCCGAACAATTCTGTGAAACCCTGGACCTAAACAGAGAAGAGACAACGCTTCAATAAAATCAACAAAGAAAAGACCAAAACAAAATCACTTTAGAATCAATTTGTGTAGCGTTTTATAAAATTGGCAGTTCGTCACAAATTTATCCCCACAGGTAGACCTCATTGAAGAGAAGAGCAGAATAAATTACCTGGGTATGGTGTCCAGGCCTCGCCTCGTGAGCGCCCACGGATATGGCGTTGTATCTTGGTCCCATGTCTTTCAAATAGAACGGTAATCGGTACTGGGCATTTTTGGTGCAGTCTCTATTGCTGGATCTATAACTCTGTGAACCGGTGCCTGGGTTGAAATTCGCTACCAGCTTGACCGGACAGTTGGGTGTGCTCTGGTATTTACCAGTGAAATGAAACATATGATTGGTTTTCGGGGCAAGGTCACTCAAAACAGCTAAACAACACACAAAAGGTGAACAAATGTGTCAGTGAGATCTGATAAATTAATGTTATGAGCTATGATAATTTCACGAGATTTTAAACCTCTTGATAATTGTTATTCCAGAAGAATTTTGAGTTTGATTGAAATCCTTCAGTTTAACTAAAATTACTTTTGTTTGTTCTCCTCTGTTACTCATTTTATCTTCGACAATGAATCGACCTTCATAAAAAGAGAAATAAAGTGAATAATTGAAAATGATCATATTCCTTTGCGTGTGCATGAGGACAATTAGAAACGTTGTCAAACCAGATCAACGTTGATAATTTTACTGCATTGCGGTATGGTAGGTGGTACATTTATACAATTCACCTCTCGTAGAATGAATCAGAGATTAAAGCACCTGAAGCTAAATAATCGCTTTCGATCGATTCTTTTTTTCCCTAATTGTAGCGCATATTCTACACTAATGACATTTTGGTTCTCTTTACTTACTGTTAACATAGTCAAACCAGGTCAGCATGGCTTTGTATCTCTTAGGACAGTATATTTTAGCTTGTTCCATACTGGTGCACTTCTCGAATGCGTCCTTGTTACTCTCATTTTCGGGAATTTTCTCTTCATTGAAAAACATGCTTTGTTGTTCTAAACGTTTTTTAAACGCCACCACAGCCTGATTTTCGTCCTGCTGCCCTGTTAATTCCTTTGCTATTTGCACGGCTCGCGGATAAAGCTTATTCAACATTGTCTTTCCCAGATTGTAAACTTTATTAGGTGTCATCTCCATACTTGTAGTGAAGTAAGGTAAGATCATTTCATAGGCTTTCTTTCCATCCAGCGGGTCACCGTTAGGAAGTTTTCCAGTGGCTGGTATCCCAGTGTTAGTACCGTTTTTGTAGATATATGACAGAGGGAGCGTGGCGAGACCGCTGGAGATGTTACTGGGGACGCAGTATTGAGAATGTTCGAACTCCAAGTATTTCAGCAAGCTGTCCAGTGGTTTCCCCACATACTCCACAAGAGCTTCATGTATGTATGTCTTAACAGATTCTTTGTGTTCCTTTTCCCAAGCATTAGATACATCTTCTGGTAGATCAGCCAGCCATTTTGGATCGAGCATCTCTTGAGTATATGATTCGTTTAGAACTCCTGTCAGAAGAAATATGTATATAAAAATTCCTGCTTAATACATACAGCGTTAATCAAAACAAGCGAACTAAAAGAAAGCTTAAACGTTTGAATTACAAAAAATTGACCCGTGAATTTCAAACAAACATTAATGTAAACCCAGGAATTCAGGAAGAGATGAAACCTTTTCAACGGCTCGATTTTAATAGGGACTGGTAAGACTCTCGGGAAAGGCCTGTCAGTTTGTCTAAGTTATTTACTGAACTTTTCTCATGATTTTATGTGATTTTTGCATAGCTTTCAGTGTAAGTGTTGGGATGCTTTCGTGAGAGGAATTTCAACAGATACTAAAACGAGTAGTTTTTATTTATCACTTCCCCCACACTTCGATTTTATAGAATTGACAAATAATTCATCTGATCCATTTCCTGTGTTTGTGCATTTTGTTTTGATTGACTTTTTTAAGTCGCACATCTTCAGTAATACTTTTGTTGTCTAACGATTTAAAGTGAGATTTGTTTTATTTTATGTTGCCTATTTTTTGTAGGATTTATCTTCAACATCCACTCCGACTAAAGCTACTTTTTTTGTTTGTTTTTTTTTTTTTAGAAATGGAGCGTGACTTGTCCTATTAAGAAATATATTAAAACCTCAACTTTGATTAGTCGGCATAGTTCCCAGGGTACGATGTCATGAAGACTTGTGAGGAGATGTCACAAGGTTACTCCTGAAATTGAATCCTCCAAAATATTCCATTAATTCGTAAAGAAGTTCATTTCCTCACAATCACTGCCCCGTGCCATCAGTCATACACTTCAGTTTTGAATTTGAGACCCTTGACAACATATCTCCTTAGTATGGTATGTTGCGTAAGAAATCGTAGATCCAAGAATTGAAATACGTAAGTCAAACTGAACCCCATAGAGATAGATTCAGCATCCAGCAGTATCTTTCTAAGTTAGAAATAACCAAAAAATACAAAACCTTACCCCGAGGGCCCTGTTGTGACACTTTTAGATAGGCGCGCTTAATGGAATACAGGCCGTCTTGACAATCCTCCACTGAACGAACAAACCCTGCTTTCACTCCATACTTAACATTTTCGATGTATTGCATCAAGGAATCGTTAAGCTTTTTTAGATGTTCGACGACAAATGTCAAGTCCTTCTTCGTCTTGGGTCTTACACCCCATTCCTTGTATGTGAAATGAGCCCTGAGGTCGCCTCCTACGCCGCAGATTGGCTGCCAACAGAATTTATTTGGACCAAGCATCCAATCTCCGGCGTAGTAGTTCTCGTCGTAGGGCGCGCCGAAGTTGCTTTGGAGATAATGCTTTACTTGCGCGATTGCTTTGATTTCACGCGGCTTCATCTTAGCGCTGTCTGCCTTTTCGTCGAGCGCCTGAGCTTCTTCATAAAGTGCTCTGGCCGCATCTGTCCGTTTTCGAATGGCCTCCGGGTGCGCGTCGTACGGGCTGAAATCCTCGCGAATGGTTGTCGGCGTCGAATCAGGATCGTAAACCGCGTTGTTGGGATTCATCTTGTAATAAGTAGTTTTCACTTTAAGAAGGAATTTGTCCAACCCCACGCGCTTAGCTTCGTCGGAGTATTCGCAAGTCGACGGTTTTACCATAGGCGCTTTAGAAGAAGGCGACACTTCAGTTGGACATTCCTTCCTAGCTTTGGAGGTTAAAACTCCACCAACCACGATAAGAATTAATCCCACAAAGCATAACACGACAGCAACGGCTATAGCGATATAAAGAGGCTTCTTAGAAAGCGGCTCTGTCTCCTTAAGAACATAGTAATTCTTTGGTTTCTCCATGTCTGCAAGGTAAACAGCTCGTAACCACTTGTGCGTAACGTGATCTTGGGATCTAAATAAATATTTCACCATAGGAAGCGCAGATCAATGTTAGAGATAGGTTTCAAGGAGACTGGACGCTTTTGGGGCCAATGGAAAATGAAAACTCTGTCAATACCGAAAGATTAAAGATGAGGGTTTTGATTTGCTTTTGCATGCTTCCTTCTAAATTCATTGAAGTTATTCTCGAGATAACTTCGTCTCAGGTTATTGAAATATCAGTTATAAATTCAAGTGCAGCAATTCAAGTCAGAAACCACATACATTTGCTACTATGACTAAATTTACAAACTAATTGCATTACCAATATGTACTTCCGGCGTCTTATCATACGACGCAAAACTTGTGGAACAACAACCACGTGTTCTTTCCGTCGCTCGCTACGTGAGCAAGGCACGGGAAGACTTTCTGAGACCGCAGTCGATTGAGGTGTAATAACACCATTGCGCGATTTAGCGAACACATGTTTACACAACCTAGGTATTCACTGCATGTTTGGTTAGATAATTGGATCGATTTAAGTCATCTAGATTTCGCCAATAAGAATGGCGGTGCGAACGACGATATCAAATAGAGTTAAAACGCCACTGTCATCTTCCTGTCATCTTCGAACCGTAATAAACATGCATTTGTCGTGAAAACACTATTGAACGCTTTTGACAGGTATCAATCTACGGTTTAATCTTGATACGTCGCAGGCAAGATGATTCTCCGCGATGATCGATATGCAGTGTTTTAAATCCGAGGCAGGCGCGTAAGATGGCCGATCTAAACTTCTGTCCAACTGCACTTCTGCAACTTCTGCACCAGAACACAGTTTGATTCATTATTCAGTTTGGCTCATTAGCTGAACAACTCAGGTATTTCCTTAATATTTTCCTCAAATGAGCTTGAACCAATAACAATGGAGATTTTAAATTAGTTATCAGTGGAGTTAAATAATGTCAACAGAAAAATAAATATATTAACACCAACGAAGTTCAAGTAGCATATGTATCATATATCAATCACCATTTGAGACCTTGGACGTTGCTGGCAGGATGGTATTCAACAAGAACAGAAATACGCTGGTAATTGTTACCGGTGTTATAAGCTTGATAGGGTTGATTCTACTCATAGTTGGAATCGTCCTCATTGCGAAAGCTAAGGAAAAATCTAGCGAAGACTGCAATGCCGGTGTCTCTGGTGCAAGCGGCGGGGAAGACGCAAATCGTTGTAGTTATTCCGAGGAGGCCAAGAGAGCAGGTGTCGACAAATTCCTCCAGAAAGTTCAAGATACTTACTATGATCTTCATCCTCAAGATTTAATTTTCAAACCTGGGGGCGTTAAGAATGAAGAGTTTATGACGAAGTTTAAACCGTACAATCCAGAACCCAAAAACTTGAAGAAAATCACCGACAAAGCCCGACAACTTCTAAATGAACTGGATGATTTAGGTGTCAATACGCTTCGCTTGAAACCGCGTGAGAAAAAAGCTGTGGCACAACTCAAGCACTACCTTCAAAACAACTTCGGAAAGCCCTACGACTCAGATTATTATGCCGGAGATTTTCTTATGGGACCAAATTTGTTCTGCTGGCAAGAGATATGCAGCGTCGGCTCCTCGGACATTAGATATGGCCTGGGAAATTTCCACCCCAAGAATCTAGACGATGTGCGATTGTTTCTCAGTAAAATGGAGTTGGTGGCAGCGACTTTTTCGACATACGTCAACAACTTGCGGTTGGGGATCAAAGCTGGTATGGTTCGCTCAGTTGAAGAATGTAAAGCCGGAATAGACGCATTCAAACGAAATTATTTGCAGGTATCGCTTCAAGGAGAGCAAGGTATGTGAAATGAATTTACAAAGTGGGAGGGGGCATTAACTGACATTTTCGGGCAGGCCCCGCCTCGCAGATTTTTAAGGTTCAAAATTCTATCTCGTTTATAGCCGTCATTTGGTAAACTGTTTCAGGTCATATCCAAAATTGCTTTTTTCCTGTAAAAGATGTTGCTCCAATACATCCTTACATGCTCCATACTTGTTTCCACTTTAATTTTTTTTTTGTCACGCAATGCTCGTTGGATGTTGCGCGAGGACACGGTCACGAGCATCAGCAGAAACAACTGGTTTGACTGATTAGCCATAGCTTGAATTTTTGGGTGAATTTTGGTACTGATCACTCAAATCAAAGAACAGTGAAACAACAGCAACATCAAAACAGTAAAAGGGAAGAAAGAAAGAAACAGTTCTTAAAAAGAACAAAGACGATGAGGTTGCCTTCCACATCTCGTAAAAATTAGATCAAATCTTGTCTGTAAAACCTTGTTTCCGTTATTGTCAGGAATTTTTGATGAAGATTACATGAAGCCAATCTTTTCTGCCAAGTTTCTGGCCGGTTTGAAACCCAGCCATTTAGAAGAGTGGGAAAAAGAGAATCAGAAGACTGTCAACGTCTCCATCCGGGGACACGCCTTGAAATATATTAGTAAATCTATCCTAGATGTGATCAAGTAAGGCTCTCCTAATTCGTAAAAATGAAATAGTCATGTCCTCGAGTAAAGCTTTAATAATCACATACGATAAAGCTATTGTGCTGTGAATTCTCCTTTAGTTAACCTCAAACTATAGTGTCAGCGGTGAGAAACAACAGCTGGTTCATACTGAAAGATGAAAAGCATTCGATTGAGTAAAGCTTCGTTACCATATGAAGTAAAAAAAATCAGTACTTATGTAATTATATTGTTAATGGACTTGCGAGTAGAATTTTAAGGACCATTTGAGTCAGCAATCTGCGTTAGACCTTATTTTGTATTACAATTATACGCACCAGATTTCTAGAAACAGAGAACCTTCAGCACTGTGTTCCAAGTTCTATTTCAAGTGGCCTTGCGAAGCTTCCGCTCTCACATGTGTACGAAAATGGAAGTAAAACAGCGGAGAACACAACGAAACAGCTGCCAACCGGAGAAAAACTGGACGGGAAAAAAGCTTACGAATCAATATTACCATATTTCACTACGATCTCCAAAACACCCGACCAGGTTCACGAGCTTGGAAACGAGATGGTTAAGAAACTTTACCCTGAGGTAGGGTCACGTTTTGGTATTCCTTAAATCTTGTGATGCAGCATAAGCTTCATCACTATGAAGATAAGGTTTTTAGTATTTAGTTAGTATGTTTACTTCTTTTTCTCCCTACTATCGACTCGGTAACTCGCTGTTAGCTTTACCAAAATTGAAAAATTTCTAATAATTAATTTTTTGGCAACAAACGTAGAAATTCTGGCGCGCTGATTGGTCGAAAACCATCGTCAATAAAGTTTAAACTGAATCGACCATAAAAACGACGTGACATGTAACGCACCGCTCATCAACAACTACCGCTATGTAGGAGGAAAAGATTTTTCTTTTCTCTCCTAAGAGCAACTGCAGATTTCTGAAATATGGACAGTGGTTAATTCCCGAAATTTGGTATCGGTATACTTAAGAAAATGTGTTAAGAAGAACTTGTCGAGGTGGATGAAAAATCTTAAGAAAAAGGAAGCAGGTTCTTGGTTCACAGAGTAGATATAGAGTTACCTCGTAAAAACACTTGCCGTTAAGCCGTCGGCTGCGCCTCGTGGTTTTACTTTAATTTGAAACATTGTTGACGTCATTTCTATGATCAATAAGGTTATAGAGAATAGAAAACTGTGGTCGATTTGTTAAATAAAAGACACTAAAGGCCCCTGACAAAGTAAGGAATTTTTGTGTATACTACATTTTTTATAGGTTCTTGAAATCGCTCGCGATGTGACAAAAGAAGCCGACAACGACACGGCGAAGGAACTCTTTATAAAGCGACTGAATAATTCGGACATGTATTTTGCTGAAAAGCCGATCCCTGCCAATGAGTCTGATGAAAACGCGCACAAGCTCTGCAGCTCTGTAGAAGGAGCAAGGAAGTATTGTCCAGTACGCTGGGAGGCTATGCAAAACTGGTTTGCAGAGGCTAGGAGGGTAATTTTTAGTGTATATCATTCTAAAATGTGCATGAGCTAGATGATATTCAGTTGAATTGTTTAGGACTTCTTGCTAACGAAACTCAAACGAGCTAAGAAGTAATAGCTGACCAAGAAATTTTTGTAAGACGCCTACCGTTGAAAGAAACTTTTCATCAACTGAAAAGGGTGTTGGCTTAGGAGGTATGTACTTTACTTGACTAAAGCGCTACCGGTCGACCTTATGTGCCTTTAAAGCAGAAAATTTTGTGGTTTTTATAAGTAGTGATTGAGATTCAGCCATTACTATTGTTGTAACACATGTTCATTTATTTTTCGGTCTTTTCCCTTCATCCGTCAATGCCAATTTTCCCTCAATTTTACTGAGATTCTCTCTGCAGCTACTAAACTATTACAGGCGGCATCCAAGGGAAAAAGGGTTTATTTTGAGTATGAAATGCTAATATCATCATGACTTCATTTATTCCAGGTGATGAGTATGCTGGACCCCCAGACAACCGACATGTTTCATTTTTCCGGCCTAAAGCATACCACACCAAACTGTCCTGTAGATATGGCGCCAACCTTCAACCCGTCGAAAGGAGCTCAGAGTTACATGCGAAGTACCAAAGACTGCAGCAGAAACTCGCTATACAACATTCCGTTTTTCATGGAAAGGCCTGGGCCTAAGTATTCTGAGTGGAGCGTAAATGCACATGAAGCGAGACCTGGGCACCACACACAGGTGACGTACAAATAAAGAAGTTATTTTCGTGTTAACGCGGTTGAGATAGACGGAAGATTTGCGATGAAAGGTATTCAGACTAACAAGTGTCCCCCCACTCTCTCTCTCTCTCCGATATTTTATGCAAGCATTATACTGATAGCGTTGGGTCTCATCAAGGATAAATAATAATTTAACACGCCTACAGTTTCTCACAGTGAGCCAGAGGCAGTTGCTGAGTTATCTAAACCTCCTTCATCGTCTTCCTCTCCATGTTAGGTTCAAGGACTTGTCGAGCATTTTCGTGACAGCTGTGGAGGTGTGATTCTTTGGCTGGACAGCTCCACCTACTACACGGCCTTCACTGAGGGCTGGGCACTTTACGCTGAGAATCCACTGATTGCTAAAGAAACAAATGTATATGCCAACGAACCCTTTCAGAAGTATGGTATGCTAAAGTGGCAAGTAAGTGATACGTAATCCTTCTTGAAACTTCTATAATCCAGTGTCCATCCAGTGTGTGGCGGAGTGTCACATAACAGTTAAAAGCTAATACACTACTGGCTATTGAGTCAGTCACTGAGTAAATCCACCAGTTAGTGAGTCTTAAGTTAATCGTTTAAACAATCAATCATTGGTGCAATTGGCCGGGTTCTTTAAGCCGATCCGTCATTACTCAGCCGTTTCGACTCTGAGCCACACGGTCTAGTGTCAGTCAGTCGATTGGATAGTTCCAAATTAGTTTGATTAGACATGAAAATTATCCAGCTACATGGATACTTGCATTTTTGGAGTCTTTTTTTTTTTGGTCTCTCTCTATTAAAGAAATCACATGAATTTTAAATATTTATTATCATGAGAATCTGAGAATCAAACACAACCTAGCAAGTTATCAAAAAGGTGTTAAAGTATGCCTTATCAATCCATTATTGTCGTCTCCTTCTGCTTCAGGTTTGGCGCGCTCTCCGCCTTGTTGTGGACACGGGTTTGCATTACAAAGGTTTCTCACGAGCTGAAGCCCTAGGCTACTTTGCCAAGTACGCCTGGGACACTAGTGATACAGCAGAAAAAGAGATTACTAGGTACCAGAGTGATCCAGGACAAGCAACTGCCTACATGATTGGTCAGCTTAAAATCATGGAGCTGCGAGATTACGCCACCAAAGAACTTGGAGACGATTTCAACTTGAAAGACTTCCACTTCTATCTCTTAGCACAAGGATCTGCTCCACTGAGCTATCTGGAGGAAGGCATTCACGAATATGTTCGATGTGCTAAAGATAAGGACCAAGAAGGATGTAAGGATGTACTGAACCCCGTGGCCCCCGAAGGAGAGCAAGTCAATGAGTTCGTGGGAGTGGTCGGGGAAGAAAGCTTCGAGCCAATAGAGAGACCCTTCCTAGAAGACTACATATAACCCAGCAACAAGCAGTTACAGAAGTACAGCAGTGACGATGACCATTTGGATGATAAGGAGAGTGATGATCAAAACGAAATTTACAGCAACGAAAAAGAAAAGACTGAAGGCAATGTTAATGATAAGAATAGGATAACACTAGGTTAAAAGAAGCAGCAACAATATTAACTGAACACAAGAATTGAAGCAGATACGGCTGGCGTTTTGTGACTAAGCCTACAACTATAGATTAAACTGCGATGTATGGTTTTCAGATTCGTTCGACTACTGCTTGGGCTACAGCACTAGTTTGTATGATTTTACCGAAAATAAAGAGAGTTCACTGCCATTATCATGTTGAGCTATGCATGGGTTACTTCCCCAAGCCCCGTCATCTCGTTTTTTTTCCTCAGGATGCTACAATTTGGCTGAGAGAGGAACTCCTGGTGGAGCTCTTTTTTCACGTTATTTCCATATTTTGTTTGCATCGCGCACTTGACAAAATTCACACGTGGAAGCTCTTTGCTTATGGAAAAATAAGGAAAAACCAAAGGCGGAAGAAAGTCCTTGTTAAAAAAAAAAAAAAAAAAGAAGAAGAAAAAAATGCCCAAAGAAGAAAGAAAAAGTACCATTCTGTCAAGAAAAAAAAAATTCCTTTGTGAAAGCGACTAGTACTAGCGGCGCTCAACGCTGGCCATTTTGCCGGGTTTTTCCTTTTCCTTCGGCAACTTTCCTTGTTATTGTGTCGTCCTCAACGCTCCACTTAAATCTTGATCCATCGTCATAGACGCCATGAGGTCAAGTTGTCCCATTGGTTTGCGGTTTCAGGAAGCGAAGTAATCCCCAGGCATGTCACGAGTTGTTTGCGAACCTATATTAGCTAAAATCTTGCATTTGATTTTAGGAGGAATACAACCACATTGAGCGAATTTATAGGGTCTACAGATTTGACTGATTTCGTCAAATTTCGCCAAAACATTAATAATGACAAACGAATGTGTGTCGGGAAATTTTGATATTTGAAATATCCCGTGGCGTCCATTCAAGCAACACGAATCGCATATTTGTGGCTACTCCAGCCTTAGATGCCGATATCTAGACAACCAATCAGAAAATCGAAAGAGCTAGAGTCAATTTTGTTGACTGATGCCTTGTGAATAAGACTGCGCAGCCATTTTGCTCGTGCTGCAGCATCTGATACCCGATAAATTCAATAGAAGAACCCGCGGTCGTTTCACGCCTTCCCGGCTCCTGACACTTCCTTTAAAGAAAAGTCCCTTAAATTATATTTTTATAGTAAACTGCAGTTATTAAGCTTTCTTCTGATGTATAGTTTGCTAGGATTTTAGTGAAATAGCGCGCGTACGAATTTTTTCCCGAAGGACACCTGCGAAGGTGGAAAGTAACTTAAATTGCCTCCATTCATTTGCCTAAGTACCATAATTTACGTAAGATAAAGCTGGGAATTCCCTCGATATCTGAATTAATTGGGTAAACAAAACATACAAATGAATATGAAAGCATTCTTAATCCACAAAATAAAAAAAACATACCAACTAAAGAGGTCTATTGACTGTTCCTTGCCTTTACATTTTCTCGATCAAAGCGAGCGGCTTAAAAACTTCATCAGTCAACGTCACTTTGAGAAGATAGATTACTCAGCTGTGTTTTTGCACACGTCAGAAGTCGGTTGATGAACCGTATCAAGTGTCTGTCACGCAAGAGGTATCTTTCACTCGATGTAAACACAAACACAAGAATCCATCGTTGTTAACTGGCTGGAATATAATGGCAAAGCTGAAAAGTCGTAATAATTTAAAGCTTATCGCTGGAGTTGTCGCTTTAGCTGGAGTCGTTCTTCTTATCGTTGGAATTGTTTTGATCGCAAAAGCCAATAATGAGGAATGTACACGTACACGTAGCGAAGAACCTGAGACGGGTCGATGTGGTTATTCTTCAGAAGCGAAGCGAGCGGGCTTAGATAAATTTCTCCAAAAAGTTCAAGACACGTACTTCGAACTTCACCCTCAAGACTTGATTTTCAAACCCGGTGGTGTAAAAGCAGACGAGTATTTAGCTGAGTTCAAACCGTACAATCCAGAACCCGGAAACTTAAAGCGAATCACGGACACTGCACGACAACTGGTAAAGCAATTGAAAGATTTGGGTGTTAACACGCTTTTCTTGAAGCCGCGTGAGAAAAAAGCCCTGGCGCAAGTCAAGCACTACCTCCAAAACAATTTTGGACAACCCTACGATTCAAATTACTACGCTGGCGATTTCCTTATGGGGCCCAATCTTTTTTGTTGGCAACCAATTTGCAACATTGGGCACTACGATATCCGAATGGGTCTTGGAAATTTACACCCGCGAGACCTAACTCAATTACGTGTGTTTCTTGATAAGACGAAGTTAGTGGCACACACTTTCTCGACATACATCGAAAACTTGCGGATCGGTGTCAAGGCTGGTATGGTGCGCTCAAAAGAGGAATGCAGTGCTGGACTTAAATCATTCAAACGAAGGTACTTGCAAGTATCGCTGCTAGGCGTAAAAGGTATGTCATGTTTTTTAACTAAAGAGCAAAGGGCAAACTTAAAAAAAACTGTAATGTCTTTTTATGAACCTACGTTCAGATATCTTGCACTCACGCTATGTCGCTTGCACGCAATATGTTCTTCGTAACACATTTGTGCTCCTTCGCGTGGAGAGACTTGAGACGAGTCGCGGAGAGGTTTGCTGGGAGTCTGGCACTTGCACTAAAAATGAGGCTTGGTTTTATTCGATGCATGACGCTGTCTTTGAACAAAACTTCTCCCCGTTTGATATGGTGTCATGATTCTTAACACTTTTCTGATATTATATTGGCTCATATATTGACACATTTAACTATCAAGATGTGAAAATATTGGCATAGCTCCCTCGAATGCCCTCACTCCTTTCAGACCTCTCGCCGGCTAGTCACAAGGCCTCAAACTTTCTCGCGAGCGAACAAACACGCGTGTCGAAGCGCTAGTAATTGGGGCCTGAGGTGGGAAAGTGAGAGGGTGTGCAGCGAGCGTATCGAAAAAACAAAAAGTAGAAGCGTTTTCTGGCTGTAAGGGTGAACATAAATTTGAGAGCCATTGAGATGTAGATTTTTTTCCGAGATTAATTGCAATACGTCTGTTTTCTCCAGGGATTCACCACGAATACTTCATGAAGCCAATATTTTCTGAACAATTCGTATCTGACTTAAAACCATCCCACTTGGACGAGTGGAAAAAGGACAATGGGAAGACTGTAAACGAGTCCATTCGGGAATACGCCGAAGAATATATTGGTAGACCCATCCATGATGTAATCAGGTTGGTTTATTTTGTTTTTGCCTTTTTGATTTTCTGCATCTGTTTTGCCTCTTTGGTATACTGGTATTGCGGCCGACAATCCTTACTCCACCCCACCGACCCCACTAGGGGGAGATGTGATATAAGGTGTTGATTATGAAAGGGGAAGGACCTTACAAGGCGTTACACCATCAAATATGAGGGGAACTAGCTACGTATTGCACCACGCTAAGAGAAGGGCACTAAGACTCTCGAACTGTCTTTTTCTTCTTTATTAAATTACTCGGTTCTCAATCTCTTAGACTCTCACACTTTGATTCTCTCTGCCGAGAGAATCAGACTTGTGCTGCTAAACACTCTCTTCAACTACGGAGTTCCCCCTCTACACTTCTCCACGCACTTCATAACAAAAGGAACAGTTCCACCAACGAAGTTTGTTCCAGACAAATAACAGCTTCAAGGATTAAAAACAAGAACTAATTATTTGTCTAAACAATTATGTTTCGCGCTCCACTCAAACCACCATAACTTTTGAAAACGCTTTGGGAAGAGTGTGGCTCTTTTTTGAAGGCCATGTAATAATCAGACAATGAAGGCCTTTTCAGAGATAAAGTAGTCATAGAGATTTAATACACTCTATCCGTTCAAACCAAGATTCCTAGAAACAGAGAACCTCATGCACTGTGTGCCGAGCTCCATCTCCAGCGGTCTGGCAGAGCTTCCACTCTCATCTGTGTACGTAAATGGGAGTCGAACAGCGGTGAGCACAACCAAACAGCTGCCAACCGGGGAAACGTTGGACGGCAAGAAAGCTTACGAATCGATCCTACCTTATTTCACGACAACAAGCTTGTCACCGGACGAAATTCACCGACTTGGGAACGAAATGTTAGCGAAACTGTATCCAGAGGTAGCCCATTCTCAATCATCTTTTCCTTTTCGAAATTAAGATAACCTTTGACCATCTGTCATCCATATTTACACAATTATACCGATATTGAAGAGGAATTGGTAGGAAATGCACAGTATTTATCGACTTATTCCAGCACTTACTTGAACATTAACATTCTTGTTGATGGATTGTTCCTTGAGGAAATTGCCGCAGAAATTTGGAGTTGAAGCTGAATGAAATCATCAGTTAATAAAGCTTGTTGTATTGGGCATTGTGTATGTCATTGAAGGTGAGGCACGCTTTCTTCGAACTATGGTTTGCTTTTTCCCAACAATGTGACACGTATAAAGAAAAATCCTTTGAAAGTTGGACTAGATAGGCTGGTTAGCTAGGTTGTAAGATGTTGTCGCTTGTAGGTAATAAATACGCGAAAATAAAATACTTCTCATAGGTTCTTGAAATCGCACGCAGTGTGACGAACCAGGCCAATAATGACACTGCAAAGGACCTCTTCATCAAGCGCCTGAATGAATCAGACATGTACTTCACAGACAAACCAATCCCTGCCAACGAATCAGACGAAAATGCGTTTAACCTCTGCAGCTCTGAGGAAGGAGCGAAGAAGTATTGTCCAAAACGCTGGGAAGCCATGCAGAAGTGGATTGCGGAAGCTAGGAAGGTATGTGGCGATAGTAATGCATCTGTGATGTGATATAAACTGGTTGGCTAAACCATTTTAAGCCACCTTATGGTCCTTCTTTTCACTTGAGTTCCATTTACATTGTCATGATCTTGGGGAAAGAATTATTCAACCTACTTTGATTTTATGTACTCCTTTTCCCATTTTTTCCTGCTCCAAATTTTCTCGTGTACCACCTCGTTTAAATTGTGTTCAGCGTCCCCTTTCTCCTCCTTTCCACCTCACATCTCCCCCTCTTCCATTTCCTCAAACTCTTCCTCCCACTCGTCACCCTTTTCACTCTCCCATAACTCCTCGTCTCTCCTTTTCCTCCTTTTTCTCCTCTTCGTTTTCTTCTTTTCTCACCCCCTCCTCCCTCCCTTCAATCTCCCTTTCCTTTTCCACACCTCTCATCTTCTTTCACCTTCTTCATTTTCCAAAATGTTGCCCATTCCACGTGAAACTGATCAAACTGATCAATCGCTTTGTTTTCTTCTTTTCTTCCAGGTGATGGGTATGTTGGATCCTCAGACAATAGACATGTTTTATTTTTCCGGCTCTAAATACACCACACCAAACTGTCCAGTGGACATGGCGCCAAACTTCAACCCGTCAAGCGGGGCACAGAGTTACTCGCGAAGTACAAAAGACTGTATCAGGAATTCTCGTTACAGAATTCCGTTTTTTCTCGATAGGCCTGGACCCTTGTATGAGGAATGGACCGTCAACGCGCATGAAGCGAGACCTGGACATCACACTCAGGTAGCAGACGTAGAGTATTCCAATTTAGGTTCCATAAAGATACACATGACTCAGATGGGTTTGACTTGGGCTATGTGAAAGTTAAAATGTTGTGTTCCGTGTCTTGTTTAAAGGTACATGCTTAAGGCTTAAGGTTAAAAGTTTCAATACCACTCAGGTTTAGACATTTCCTCAGCCAATTCTAAGAGGGTCACAGGTATAAACTACACAGGTAAAAAACTGAAGCCAACTAGCCCCATAGCAGCTAACAGTAATATATGTTTCCTTCTTTACTCAGGTCCAAGGCTTAATCGAGCATTTCCAAGACAGCTGTAGAGGTGTGATTAGTTGGCTAGACACTAATACCAGGTACACTGCCTTTTCAGAGGGTTGGGCATTATATGCTGAGAACCCACTGATTGCTCGCGACACAAACGTCTATGAAAAGGAACCTCTTCAGAAATACGGAATGCTCAAATGGCAGGTATGTGCGGGAAAAAAATTTGAACTGTCGATATTTGTTATTGCTGTTGTTTTTGGTTTTGTTTTCGTTTCTGTTTTCTGGTTGTTTTCTTCACTTACCCTTTGATTTTTCTGTTCTTTCGTTCACTCGCCAGTTAATTTTGCTAGGAGTCTGTTTGTTTGTTTTTATTGTGATTATTAATTGGGAATGACGGGAGAGACGAATTTGTTAGTTCAATTACGAAAAGAGACATAATTTTTATTGTTGCTACATCGTCCTCATTGCCAGTACCGTATTAAGTGGTCACCCCGTATCAAGCGGTCCGCAAGAGAATATCATATTTTCTTAATGGTCCATTTATCACGATCCCAAATTTGCTTCCCCTTGATTTTTTACCTCTATTGAGCGGTCACCTCTCTTAAGCGGTCGTGGTCACCTTTGACTGAGTCCTAACGGCCTGTTTGTATTGTCCTCCACCTGTATTGAACGGTCTGTTACGGCGGAACCACTCCAATAACTGACTAAGAATATTCTTTCAAGTGAAATTTAATCGAAACGTTTCCCTCACGGAATCGATGTTAATAGTATTCTTGAGCGAGTGTTTGTTCATTTAGTGGTCAAATATGGCATAAAATGGCATTTTTTTTATTGTTTTTAATATTGCCCCTCCTCTGTAGAACCTGTGTTGAGCGGTCAACCTGTATCAAGCGGTCACCCACCATTTCCCGTTGGTAATTTAACCCCTAAGGGTGATTAGCATGTAATTTCTTCATACAAAATTACCCCTGAATCACACATTAAGGTCATGAGGATAGAGAAATGACCACCAGCCAAAGAGGCTCTTGATTGTGAAACAAATTCTCCTTGTCAGAACCTTGTGAAATGTTTAGAGAACAGTATGGAGAATAGGCAAACTGATAATAGGGTGGAAAGGGTTATTGCAGGTTTGACTGTATTACATTGTTTCAGGTTTGGCGCGCTCTTCGCCTCATTGTAGACACAGGATTGCATTACAAAGGTTTCTCAAGAGCTCAGGCGCTTCGTTACTTCGCCGACTACGCGTGGGATACGAGTGACATAGCTCAGAAAGAAGTCACAAGATATCAGAGCGATCCTGGACAAGCAACTGCGTACATGATTGGTCAGCTTAAAATTCTGGAGCTGCGAAAATACGCCACTAAGGAACTCGGTGACGATTTCAACCTTAAAGACTTTCACTTCTATCTCTTAGCGCAAGGATCTGCTCCAATCAGCTTTCTGGAGGACAGTATTCATGAGTATGTTCGATGTGCAAAGGAAAAGGAACAAGAAGGTTGCGATGCTGTTCTAAACCCTGTTGTTCCGGAGGAAGAGCAAGTCACTGAATTTCTCGGGGTGATTGGGCAAGAAAGCTTCGAGCCCATAGAAAAACCCCCACGAGAGGATTACATATAAACTTCCTTTCTATCCATAGTCGATAATAACGATAATAATTCTGCTGTGAAAAAGATGACAATGACTATGGCGTGCGTGGGCGGTGACATTGTAACAGAGACTGTTAGCTTCTGGATGCATTGTATAGGCCTCGATCGGAAGGAACGACAACTTAGTAATAGTTGTCCATTTGCGTGGACTAGATTATTACCCGGAGCTCAAATTTTGAACCTGATCTTTTCATGTTAGTTTACCATGGTTACGACTTCGCCCCAATATAACGTGAATATTTGCATGTGTCATTCCCTCATATATTTTTTTCCTTTTTCACCTTATGTTTGATGCAATATTTATGCTATATTCGCTTTGCCCAGGATAAATATATTGTAACTCCCTCATTAGGTGAATTTTTTGCCACCATAATATCCTTGATAGCGATTTGAATCTCTGAAAAAAAAAATTATTGGCCATGCATAAAAGATGCTGTAATTTTTTGGTCATCGTTAACAGCTTGAAATTTATGAAATGATAAATGCAAACAATTGTTTTTCTCACAATATCTTACGGGTCCGTTTATCGTTGATGGCAACTTTTTGACTCCTATTCTGTAAATTTTAATCACAGCCTAACGAAAGCAAACAGTTTCGCAGAGGAGAAACTCAAACTGGCTGCATGTCGCCAGAAGAACTGAAGAGAATCTCTCATTCAATTTTTCTTCATTCTCTTTTCCTCTCTTGTTCGGATAGTAAACAACACGCTAACACGCATGCGACTTTTCGATCGGTCTAATATTTTTGTCCACACCGAACAAACGTAGTTTATTTGTTTCGAGGAACGAGAAATGAAATTGGATTATTTCAACAAGATACATTTCGTGTTTCCCAAAACAAAAGTCGAGCGAAATGAGCCAAACATGTATCTTCCGACGTTGTTACCGAAGATTGACAGTGCGGCTTCCCTAGTGATCTTCTTGATTTAAGCATGACCATTTATATTAAAGAAAGTTTCTAAAGGCAGTGTTTCGTTCGTTAGCCCTTCAGATTTGCTCTGACGAAGGGCTAACGGTTGAAACGTCAGCTCTAGAGTCTCTTTCCGGTGGCCATCGATAAAACCATCATACCCCTGCTAATCGCCGACGCAGTAACACAGTTTCTCAATAAACGTTCCCTCTTTACTTAAACTAAATATTCTAGATTACCTCAACGAGTTCCTTTGATAGGAATATCCGGGCTGAGCCTCAAATCGCTAATTCAACTTGTTAAAAGTTTTATGATGACGGTTGATTGACACTCAGCACGGCTCTGTTTCTTTGACAAGCGATCTCCTGCTTGTTTCGGCCCCACAAACTGCAGCTGTAGCTAATATCATAATTAATTTCTAGTCCTCTGAGTATTTGCGGCCTCACGGCAAGATCAGAGGAATCGCCAAAAATATTAGTAGGAAATAGAGCTTCTTCTCTTGGCGTCGGTTAAAAAACAGATGAAGGTTGACGATAACAGTCTCTCATCGACGAGCTGATGTAGGAAATCGAAGATTGGCACCTTGCAGGTAGCGTTATAGCTATGATCAGCTTAGAAAAGCTTGGTTTCGAAGACGCCAGAGATGAAACGAAGCCAAAACGATTTAATTGTCATGGCTGAATGCATAGCATGCATAGTTTTCACTTGTAAATACACTATTGTAATAGCTTTCACGCACACCTTAAGCTGAATTTGTCGCCTTCGCCGAGTTAGACCTTGAGTGTAGGCACAAATGGATAGCTTATTTGAAATATTCCCTTCAATTAGTGGAGAAGAAGCGCCTTGTTCGCCTTATTTCTTTTGACAGGAGAAATATCTTTAAAGCGGGTATTCTTGAAATTCTCACTTGGCAAAGAATCCCTTTTTCCTAGTGAATCACCCCATTCGGAATACACCCCACCACAACCTAGCATCAGAGGTCGTTGAGAGAAGTACATGTAACTAGCCGTTTATGGTCGCCATTTTGTAGCAAAATTCAAGAATGAATATTTATGTCAAAATCAACAAATTGATACCAAATTCAACGATTGAGGGCCGCAGCTTTTCGGCTGATGCATTAACTTGACGGATCAAAAGTCCGATTACATATATTTTAAATATTCTGTTAACGTTAACTGGTTTTTATGATGACTTTCCTTTTTGCTACGGCAAAGACATTTTCTTAAATCCGTCAAGAAAATATTGATGTATCCAAAAAAAAACCTAAGAATGGAAAAAAAATGTTATTATAAACTATTATTATTATTATTATTATTATAATTATTATTGTTATAAACATCCAAGGAACATTGATATTGAATTTCACCTGAACCTTCTTTCAGGGACTCTTGATATGCTTCCAGATACGTCAGATTTTTTTCTTCTATTTTTTATGTTTGAGATTAAAGGACAATAATATATACAAATCCCGCTTGATTGGCAGAGGGCAATCCTCTTGGGGGAGCACACGTCAACTGCACGCGTCTAAAATAAATCTACACAGAGCTGCAAACAGAGTCGCTTTTTGGACTTTAAAAGCTTAAGGCTAACGGTTTCTGAGGTAAATTCACTTTTGTTCATTCTCCATTTGCTTTAATTTTATTTTTCAGTTTACCTTGCATCGAATGTGCTGACCCGTGTTGCCCCAAGCCACCTCGGCCGCGCCTGTCATTCATTACCAACTGTTGACCTTTCGATTGTTTTTATTGCTTGAACAATTATCTTTAGGCGCACAAGCGTAAACTATGGCTGAGAAGGCAGAGGATAGCAACGGCATGCTCATGGACGAGGTGGACCTGAAAGTAAGGTACCAGCATGAAAGATCTTGGCTTTCTGGAGGAAAGCTGGTGATTTTTGGGCTCATTGCATTGGGAGTTTGTCTCATCATAATCGGAGTCATTCTACTCGCGCTGGCTCATTTTGTGAACCGGGAATGCAGTGGAAAGGGACCTGAGGTGCCTACAACAGGGCAACCCACTCAGCAAATACCTAAGCGATGCGAATTTTCAGTGGAAGCCCAGAGAGTTGGCCTCGATGAATTTTTGAAGAAAGTGAGATCAACATACTTTCAGTTGCATCCGTTTAGTATTCCGTTCCATCCAGACATGACTACAGATTTGTTAGCAGGTTCCGAGAGGATCAAAAGAGACTATGAGGCGTACGATCCGACTCCATCTGTGATCAAAAATCGCACCGATGTGTCTTGGGCTTTGCTTGAAGAAATTACGCGCAAAACCGAGCATGTCAAAATGAACGCCTTGTTGCCAAGAGAAAGGAAATCCTTGGCGCAAGTGAAGCACTACCTTCAACACACGTTCGGTCAACCATATGATGTAAACTATTACGCCGGGGATTGGATGATGGGACCGAATTTATTCTGCTGGCAACCTATTTGCTATCACGGGTACGACTTTTACAACGCCATAATTCACCATAGACCCACCAACGAGGCAGACGTGAAACTTATCAGATCTAAGCTAGCGACGCACCAGAGAGGAATTTTGCAGTACATCGACAACATGAAAATGGGAGTTCGGAAAGGCATGATTCGAAGCAGGGAGGAATGCGTCGCCGGCACAGATTCACTGAAAAGGAAATATTTGAATGTTTCCCTCTACAACGAGACAGGTAAGGAATTTATTGACATGTAAGATTGCAATTTTACAAACACTTAATTTGCGCATCAGTATCAAATTTCATGTTGGCGTGTGAAAATGTTGTTTCATTAACTTCACGAAACGACTCACGTATTTCACGATATTGCCAAAATCGTCAATATAAGTAATAAGTATTGCATTGTTTCGCGTTAAGTTGAAATCGTAATACTCTCTCAGCCACTAATACAAACTTTCCATTCATAGCTGTGTTCGCTTTATTGATCATCAAAAGAACAAATTTGCATTTGCACACAAAGAAATTATGCAGAGTATTGTAAACAAATGGTATAACTCAGCTATAATTAAATGGTCGATTACACAATTCGTTTGAGCTGAGAGGTTGCGACAAAGCTTGAATTATCGATGTTCCAAAGGTGGCTTGCTCAACACTTTGTCCATCTTGTTGCATGACTCGCAATTTTAAGAAATGTATACTCTTGTTGCTGGGTCACGATGGCACGTCTACCTTAAGAGGCAAAAGGCAACACTTGATTTTCACTCAAATGACTTGTCCTGAAAATTAGAAGTTACCAAATGAACGTTTATTCAAGTTTTTCCTTGTTAGATGAATATAGATTGATCGCAATGATCAGGAAATTAAAAGTTATAGACCACACGTCGATTTGTCACGCGAGTATGGAATGGATCGCAAATCAAAGGTCAAAATTTTGCCATTTGATTTTGATAGTCGCTTTCGTGTAATTAACTATCTTGACAAGCTTGATTGCTTGATCCATAACATCTGTTCTCCCAAGATTGTTTGAGTTTGGCTTCAGGTCAGATATGGCATGTAGAGTTAAGCTGTTCGGTATGCGTGGAGGTTGATTAAGCATCGCTTGCTATGATAATCCTTGCCTTAGAACAACCTCGGATCATCCGTACGCTTGAATGCCCCCTGAAAGCTCACAAACCATTAACGACATTTAGATTGTTATGTGGAAATTAAATGGAGGTGATGAATGATAAGACCAAGTCTTAGTACTTCAGGCTAAACGAACTATTGCCTTACAACATTTCCTCTTTGTAACCTAATAATTGTTTTTATTGAAAGAATTCGTCTATGAAACACCCACAGCGTAAAAGAAAATTACAAAGGTGCAGTATGTAGGTCAGAAAATGAAAGCAATCCTAAAACAAAGCCTTAGTCCCCAAGGTAGTCAGTTATTTTACCAGCGTTTGCTTTTAAGAAAGGACTGTATGCATAATGAAAGACATGTTTGGGGTTATACAGAAATCTTGCCCAGAATTCTTCAACCATTGACAAGTCTAAAATTTGTCAATATATGCCCCCTGTCATTGCATCTGGCAGTAATTATATGAGTAGCTCTCATTACAACTGGCAAATTTCCTTATCATTTGTAATTTAGCTATTAACTAGCCGATTTTTACTTTTGATTAAGGATGAGCAAATCTTGATGTTGAAAAAAAAAGTCAGACAAATATTCCATATTTGTGTCTATATTTCCCACACCTATTAAAGACCTGTGAGGGATCATCAGAGTATAACATTTGGATTTTGTCCTTCATTAGCATTTTGTAAATGAGAGGATTGAAGTAGAAATGAGGCCTTAGCCCTCTAACTCCCAGAAGTGATTAACATGTAACTTCTCCTTTTAAAATTTATACATTATCCAACAAACAGGTAATGAGAATACTCAAACTTATCAGGTAGATGTTATTTTGATCTAACACCAAATTCTCCTAACTTATTTACAAAGAAATGTGAAGCCCCTAGAGAGGAGAATTAACAGTGAGATCTTGGGAGTTGAAGGGTAAAACAATAATTCCAACTAAAATTTGTAAATTCAATATCTCTTTTGTTTGTTCAGTATGGTATTTAGAGTGCTGAGGATGAGGAAAAGTTTATTGTGAACTTAAATCTCTGCAAGGCCCACCTATACTCACAGAAATGCTTGCCTTCTTAGGTATTTGGAAAGAGTGGTTTGTTGAACCTGCCATTCATCCTGAGTTCTACAGCTTAATACCTGTGAAAGTGGACCAGGCGTGGAAGAAAGAGCATGGCAAGAATATTAATGAAACAATTAAAGACTATCTATTGACTTATCTTGGAAAACCCCTGCATCAGCTTATCTGGTACTTTTATTGTATGATCTTTATGGAGTAGGCTTTGTGGGTTTGGTAAGGGGACCTCTGATTGATATAAGGGAACTCAGGTACATAAAATTGTAAATGGATATCCAAAAGGCCTATCTACAGGGGCAGCTTTTTGTACACTGCTTCTGTTCCAAGTATGAATTTTGGAGTGATGATTTTTGTAGAGAGAGTTTTTATTGGCAAATCTTAGAGTAAGGGTGAGAAACAGTAACATGAAAACTTGGCCCACATTTCACACCAGGTTTTGGATTTAAGCAAGGGCCACATAAGTAGGTAGGAAAGCACACAGATTCCAATAGTGTGGGCTTCTTGACTCTAAACAATTTATCAAATTGGCATGATTGAATCTGCTGTGACAGGCAAATATTCAAGATCATCTTTTGGTTTTCAAAATATCTCTTATCTTATCTCTCAGGTATTTAGAAAATGAATACATTCACTATTGTGTACCAAGTAATGTTTCGAGTGGATTAGGAAGACTGCCGCTGAGTCATGTTTGGTATGATGGTGTAGAAGACAAGAACAGGCCAACAGATCCAACTTTGCCAACCGGTGAAAGTCTGAATGGTCCCAAGGCATATAGCCTAATCATGCCATACTTCACCACTAATAATATGAATGCTTCTGATGTTCATGACCTGGGAAAAAAGCAATTAGATAAACTGTATCCATTGGTGAGTACAACCCTTTTGATTTTCAAATTGAATCTTCATGTGTTATTTTTGTGCTTTTATGACAGTCATGGAAATGTAAGAATTGTTAGAAAAATTGAGAGAGGAAAGAGGACATGCAGAGCAATCTGCAACCATCAATTTTGGGTCACTTGTGATGTTTTGTCAAATTTAATTCATTTAGCGTGGCTTTTTTTGTCTGTACTATTTCATACAAACTTTTAAGCTTGAATGTGATCTTTGTCATTGTAGTGTGCTTTTACTAAGTGCATCTGTCTCAGAAAAAGCACAAACCTTCAAAACAAAAGGAGTCAAGATCTGTCTGAGACAGGTATTTGATGATATCCTGAAACTATTCATTTTCCATGCCTTGAATGCAAATGTTTTTTGTTATTTTCCAGGTGGTAGAAATAGCCAAAGAAATGACAGGTACAAATGATAGTGATTTGGCTGTGAAACTCTTCAGAGAGAGGCTTAACTCCACTGAAAGCTTTTTTAATGATGCACCAATTCCAGCAAATGAGTCAAACAAAGAGGCGCATAAAAGATGCAGCAATCTTACTGGTGCAGAAAAGTATTGCCCTAAACGGTGGGCTGCGATGCAGTTATGGTTCAAGGAAGCCAGACGGGTTGGTAAATTTTGAAAATGTTTATGTGAAGAGGGGACTTGAATGACTCAACCTTTGAGTGCATCATTGTACCTGTGATCTGTAGACACCAATCACTCATAAGATGTCATTTTTGGGGAGGGTTGAAGAGTTGAACATGAGTTGGAAACAAAGATGATGGCCATCTTGGACTATGCCTAAAAGGTTTGATGGTTCAATGTGTAGCACCCAATGGGATGGGAGGTTCCCATTCATCCACCCACTTACCAACCTCCTTCCCTGTGCTGCAGTGGAGCTACAAGTATTAATGTCTTACATGACTGTCTAAGGGTCAACATTGTGAACAAAGGTTCCTCTGTGGAAAAGACAAAAAATCAATTATTTAACTTCCTGTGTTAGGTAATGAGCATGCTGGATCCAAAAACTGTGGATATGTTCTACTTTACTGGTCCTAAACATACCACACCCAACTGCCCTGTGGACCTCCTACCCGACCTCAACCCATCTAGTGGAGCCCAAAGTTATGAAAATAGTGACCCGCAGTGTTCAAGGAATGCCATCTACAATATTCCATTTTTCTTGGAAAATCTGGGCCCAAGGTTCTCTGAATGGAGTGTGAATGCTCATGAGGCAAGGCCTGGACATCATACACAGGTCAGGAATGCAGATAATTTTTTCCAGTAACAAGGCAGGATATCAATTAAGTGAAAGAATTTTGAATTAGAAGTTCTGTTTGGTTCTGAAAAATAAGATCAGGCCATTGAGTTTTTTCAGGATTTTGTGGGAGCTTATTTCAAGAAGATTGTGTGGTCAGAAGGATAGCTTTTGCCTAAAATTATGGATTAAAACCCCTTCCAGCCCCTTTTCCTTCCAAGCACTGATTACTCCACCTTTTTATTAAAAAAAAGCAAACTCGTTCCAATTTTACTGTTCTTAAAGTGACTTGTAATTATACAGGATGTCATGATTCACCGACAGCCACTTTACTTGTACATTTGCATGTAAAAAAGTTTTATTACTTAATTTTGGTACTCTTCCTACCCCTGTGAGATGTCAATCCGTGAATCTGAGGCACCTACTTTAGGAAGATGGTAATGTGAAACTTTTTTCTCCATTTTTGTTGATTTTTTTTTCATTATCTTTTAGGTTCAGGGAACTATTGAGCATTTTCAAGATGGCTGTAGTGATGCCCTCACTTGGCTAGACACAGAGACATATTACACAGCCTTTACAGAGGGCTGGGCACTGTATGCTGAGAATCCGCTTATAGCTGAGGACACAGACACATATGATAATGAGCCTATGCAGAAGTTTGGCATGTTAAAGTGGCAGGTATGCTTGTGCTGCTGATGGACGTGTTAAGTCTTGTTTCACTTGTCTTTACCTCATACGAAAGAAAGCAATAGGGACGTGAAATGGATGAGAAAAAAAATTGAGGTGTCTCTCCCTTCACCGACCTGGACTGCTCAGCATCACTGTTTTTATTATGACATTCTTTTTCAGGCTCTTAAACCTTGCAAGAGAATCTCAGACTCACTTCATATCACTCAATCAACATAGACTACAGCCTGTATGTATGGTATGGAGCAGTTTTCTTTTAAGTGCTCCGTCCTGGGATATGATTGGTATTAAAAACTCACGTCACCCTCCTAGCCAATCAAATACAAACCAAATCATCGTTTTCTGTCTACCTTTTTTTCTTGCACTTTGTTTTTCACATGTTGTCTTCAACCAGATTTGGCGGGCCTTGCGATTAATCGTGGACACCGGACTCCACTATTACCCTAACTTTACCAGAGAAGACGCACTTTGGTATTTCGACAAATTTGCTTGGGATAACACGGACTTGGCGCAAAAGGAGGTGAGTTTTTTTCATCACGCTAAGCAAGAAGTAAGCTCGATTTTTCTCGAATCTGGTCTTCAATCCTCCTGAGGTACTGTTGATAATTTTCACCAATATTTGTCTATTTATTCGAGTCCTCCGAAGGACGTTTTGTTGCTAAGCAAGTGTCTCTATAGGTTCTATAACCATTACGATTCATTGGTTTGGCAAATAGCCTACGGACCCGGACCCTCTCCCTCCCTTCAAGGTGAAACGGAAGTTGCCCCGCTTCGGTTTCACCTTTTAGGGGGTGGTTACGGCTACACGTAAGCTATTTAGCAAAGGGAGGGAGGCTACTGAAGAACGCTACAGTCTTAACTCTTCATTGCTTGCGCACATGTTTAAAAAATCACGTGCGTGGTCTTTAGAAGAAGGGTTCGGAGCGGGTATGAAAACATGGAATTAAAGTACTGAGTCGTGGTTATCGCATTTCACGAATAGCCACTTCCAGGAAATGTTATCGCTTCTTCAAAGCCACTTAAAAGCAAAATAGTCATTTGATTATGGTAACTTTATAAAAACAGCTGCATAGGGTAAAAAAGGAAACACTTTTTAACAGAGGCTGGGGAATATTCATTTTCTTTAAGAATAATTGCTTTTCTTTCTTTGTTTTTTCCCGCAGGTGACTCGGTACCAGAGCGACCCCGGACAAGCCACGGCTTACATGATCGGTCAGATTGATATTAAAAGTTCCAGAGACTTTGCTAAAGAAAAGTTGCAGGGAAATTTCTCTTTACGCGATTTTCATTACCAGGTGAAGATTGATTTGAGAGTCTTACATGTATGTAGTTACTTTTTTCTCAATGCGTGAGCGGGCAGTATTCCACAAATCCTACCGCTTCGGGCGGTATCCAAGACCTTGCGCACAGTTTTTCCCTATACGGACTTTCCGGCTCGTGAATGACATATACATATATCTTTTACTGAAAGATGTCATTCATTCGTAAACTTCGCTTTTTAACTATGTTAATATGTTAAAATGTACAGGAAATGTTGTTTTCTCTCTTTGAAAATTGGTCCTCAGAGGTATAGTTACTCCTTTTCTCAGTGATAGTACATGATTCCAAAAACAGGTGATCGGAATCGAACAATTCATCATCTGGAAGTTCTTATCTTAATGTTATACCAGTTTCTTTTGACTCACTTACCCCGAGATGTATAACTACCAGTTAAATCCTCATACGGAGAAGAAATGGAAAATGTGTCATTAATTATTTTCTCACCCACAAACGTTAAACATATAACTCCTGTGAGCAACCAAGACTGAATTTCTCCTTAAAACATCGATAGAATATCAAGCTGATAAGTGATGAGAATAAACAAAAATATCAATTAGGGTATTATTAGTTGATCCAATATCAAAATTTTCCAAATCACACCCTGAGAATTGTATGGCATCCTCACTTTTCCTATTTTTTAGGTTCTAGCACAAGGGTCCTCACCACTCGCTTACCTTAAGGACCACATCGAGAGGTACGTTGATTGTGTGCAAGACAATGCAAAGGAAGGGTGTGCCGTCATCCTTAATGCGCCAAAGAAGGCTACTGTTGCAAAGCGACGAGTAAAGGGTAGCCGCTGGCCAGTCATACCACGACCGCATCAACACTACTTATAAACAATTTAATATTCACAACAAAGATGCTTTAATATCAGCGAATTATGAAATTTTTCATTTACATAAGTTTACATCACCTCCGGATTTTATGTTTTGTGTATTTATAGAAGTAGATTGAAATCATGACGTCCTGATATTTAAAGCATACGTTTTCTGACAAAATCACGGTCTTTTACTCTGATTTTATAGAGATGTTGCAATTTCATAACATATTGGTTCCTTGTGTAAGATTCGACGTTTATCCTTAGTTGTCTCTGCAGCCGCTTACAGAATGTTTATAGGGATACTTGACATTTCTGAGGTGTCTGAGCCTTTTAAGAAAGTGTTTGAGATCCTACAACCGAAATATTGACTTTCCAAATGTGCCCGCATTTGGAGAACACTAGATCCGCGGTAAGGCACATTAGTATTAATTAATTTGTTGTAAAAATACATTTTGCCCTTGACCATACAACAGCGAGTCGTATGCAATAATGCATTTTATAAATCGTTTTATGGAAAAAAATTAATCTTACAATATAATAAGATTCCTTTAATCAGATTTGAAAACCGAATCCCTCACATTATTACATGCTTCTCCGTGGGTAAATATATGGGCTCATATAAGTCTGACGCGAAAATGTGCTCATAATTTTGCAAGTCGTTCCAGAGAGTACTTAAAAGGCAAAAACAAAGAGTTAGGTTCCCATCCCCACTTTGCATCATTTTTTGTACAAAGACTGACATTGTGTTGGAAATAAAGTCGGAAAAGTTGAGGAACATCGCTAGTTGCCCCCAAGGACTGGTTGGGTTATATTTTATAGGTGACGTGACGCGTGTTCAAGCACACACGAACACAATTATTTTGTGGATTTTTAATCCCTAAAAGGTGCATCTCATTTTTCCACTCCATGTTCATCATTGTAGATTGAAGTTGGTGTACAATTTGTTTTTACATCCTTTGTAGCTTTGAAATGTTTTTTTCTTTTTTTTGACGAAGGTCAAACTTGTCATACTTGGTATCTTTTCATTTGAAGAGAGCCGCCTAACATTTCTCTGACTTAAAACGCAAACCTCCTTTGCGATAAGCGTATTCGGTGATCAGCGTCTGCGAAATTAAGCCACAGCATAATATTGCGCAGTCTCTGCTCGAGAAAAGTTGTTCATTAGAACCGGCTTTGAATCTTTGACGATCCCTGTTTGGAGTTTATCCATCAACAGTTCTCTTCATTATTAAGATAACACGTAACGCAAAGTGACGGTATTGACAGGAGCCAATCACATCAATCGTTATCGCCTCACACACAAATATTACTGCGTCAAAATGACAACTTGCGAGCTCATTCTTTGTTCACATTGTAAACAAAAAATAATGACAAAGACTAGTTCTACGGATTTGTGAATAACTAACAGACTACATTAGGAGAGAGCGCGTATGGTTGTAATTATTTCATATTTTTCCGTCCCCTTTTTTCTGCTTTCCTTGCCACACCTTGCGTCCAAACCTCTTTAGTCCTTGATTGAAAAAGAAAAAAAATGTTCGCCTTGCTGTTCCTGAGTCATATGTAAAGTTTTAGGAAAGCCTATCACCTCGACTTAAAAGTACTTTGTTTTTACAATCAGACGTAATTTGACCTGAGGGTGTGAGTCATGCCCAGATTAAGCTACTCCATTTGTTATTGTAGTATATGTTTCTCTAGCCCTATCAAGTCGCTATCGCTCTTAGGGGGTGTGTATCAGACTTGTGGGGAAGACCTGTGACAGGTCGTACAAGGCGCAGAAAGGTTTCGAAGCATCTTGTGGTTAGAGCTTCTAGTAGCGTCCTAGCTGATTAATCATGGAGTTTTCCAAAAGCTCCGAAAAGATGGTCATTCCAGATTCGGAAATAAAGGTTTCAGGAGGACGATCTAAAGAGAGAATGATCACAATGGCAATTTTTGGTATAGGTGTCATCCTGTTCATCGTGGGAATCGTGCTGATTGCAGTTGCAACAGCCGACAAGAATGAGACCGAGAAATCTGCAGGCAATTCATCCACTGATAAACAAGGACAGACCGAGGAAACCACTGCACCCCCAACAGAGGCAACCATTGCAACAACAACAACAACAACAAAGACACCCCTTACAACAACGACCCAAGCTCCTTCAGGTCAATGTGATTTCTCTGAAGAGGCACAGCGAGTGGAGCTTGGCGAGTTCCTAAGTCGAGTGAAAGCTACATACTACAAACTTCATCCCTACGACGTTTATTGGAACCCTGATGCAACCCCGAGCGAGATCCGACAAGAATTTGTTGCCTACGATCCTACTCCGTCTGTGATTAAAAATCGAACCGACACTGCCCTGGAATTGCTAAAGGAAATCAACGATAAGAAAATCATTGCTGATGCGTTACAACCCCGAGAAAGGAAAGCACTGGCTCAGGTGAAGCACTATCTGCAGCATATATTCGGCCAACCTTATGACGTAAATTACTATGCAGGAGACTGGATGTTGGGACCGAATTTGTTTTGCTGGCAGGAAATCTGCTACCATGGATATGCTGTTCATAATGGCATAGGGCTGCACCACAAACCTTACAATGCATCCGACGTGGAGCTCATAGAAAAGAAGCTCAAAACTCACAAAGCAGGCATTTTGCAATACATCGAGAACATGAAGATGGGAGTACGCAGAGGAATGGTCAGAAGTGTAGAGGAGTGTGAAGCTGGTATTAACACAATCAAAAGACAGTATTTGAATGTTTCACGATACAACGCAACAGGTAAGGAAATATGAAGTGATAGCTTTTCAACGAGTTTCGTTGCGCAATCCATAACTATGTGACACAACCTCAAGAAACTAGAAGAGACCACTAGTAATTTAATCTTGAATTCAGACATGTGGCAGGCGTTGATAAAGGGTTCGCATTTAACAGACGGCCGTTTGTGTTCTTCACCAAAACACCCTTCTTCGAGGGGAGCGTCGCGATTCTCGCTTTAGCGGTTTTGGCTATTTTTTAGATCGGTTTTTCGTTTTTTAGGATTTGGCTTTCGTTTTCAGTAGAAAAAAAAAAAACACACACACACACACATAATGGGATTCTGAGATTTGGTATCCGATATGGTTTACAGTTTTTCCCATTTCGGTTCCGGTTTTTCCTCAATGTGAGTGCCAATTATGCGCTTCCACTGATCTCGATAGTCGCGAAACCTCTGTAAGTTGCACTTGTCACTGACTGTATCGGATCGTAAGGGGTTTTGATAACTGGGATGTCAAAATTTATCGGTATGGACGGTTTTGCATGCGGTTTTGGTTTTGATCGAATTTTGTGCGGTTTTGGATGATTTTTTTTTTCCCACTTTTTGCGGTTTCTAATAGACCCCAATGCCCCCTCCTTTTCATTTTTGAGGCTAAAGTCAGGAAATGATGACTGAAAGATGTCATTAATTAACAACTGAATGTTTTACTACGAGTGATCCGTTTTTACTGATGTTCTTAACAGCTGTAAGCGACTGAGCGGCGCAAATTGCCTTTGGGGATGAAATCTCTATCGTTTTCCATGGTCACGCAAATAAAGTTAAGATCAGCCAGCGATTTTTAAAAATTAGGATACTCTTCTCCACTGCAGGTATGGTTGAGGCGATCATGGCATGAATAAATATCTCGTTTTGTGGACAAGTTATCTGATAGCGGCCAGTACTTGACTTGCCATGAGATAATAAAAAGCCTATTACTTAAGCGCGTTCAAATTCGTGTGATCAAATTCTGTTGTGCAAGCTTGCCCCACTTTTCATTGCGCAATCTATTGATACGTGTGCAGGGATTAAAACATAGCAGTTTCGCTTGGTAAAACATTCAAATTACGGCGTTGAAAATGTTTCCAAACGATTGGTTGATATGTCAGCCTTGCCATCATCGAGATATGAAACACTTGGAGAGCTTAGAGAGCACTCGAGATGCTTGAATTTCTCTAGCTTCGTCTCGAGCAACTTTCATCCATTTTTCGTGCTCTCAAAACCTTAGAAGCGCTTCATTTATCGATAAAAGTAAGCGGAAGCTTGAGCCAGTTGCTCATTATTGCCCGTTTGGAACAGTGATTTTTCAAAGTTAATTTAGAAGTGCGGCGTTCTGTTACAAGCAAACCTTAAACCTGATCGAAAAAATAAATATTTCGAGACACTCTCGATAGATGGACGACTCAAATAAAACAGATGTTTGTAATTGAATGACCTTTGATGTCAAAACAGCAATTAAAAAAAAAAAAAAAAAAAGAAGAAGAAATGTCGCCACCGTTTTTTAAAACATTTTAATATCAATGAAATTTCACTTCAAATCGATTGAAAACATTTACAATGAGGCGAGCGCTTGGGGAATAAATTGAATTGCATGTATTCAACTTCAAGTCTTGCGTAACTGTCATCAGAAACGGTTTACATATGAATCAAAGTGACCATGAAAATGAAAAGGTCTAAAATTCAATCAGCTGGTCAGCGGAAAGATAATTACGTTTCTACGGTCGTGATTTGGTTCTGTTTAACTTTGTTTATCTATCACTAATTGTTACTGTAAAATTAACAATTTTGATTTAGATTTATCACATATCAACTATGCGGGTTATTTCGATTGATAAGCAATTGGAAGTGGATTTATCTCAAATGGTTTTGATCCGGTGACCATTTGATATGTTGACTTAATAATGATAGTATTAATATTAATTTTTACTTTATTAATAGTGATAACTTAAATATCACGAAACAAAAAAGTCGAGAGAACTCCAGATGGGTAGAGCTTCTGTACTAATCTCAAATGTGAGAATCGTTCGGCATTTTGGTTTTCTTGGCGTTAAACAGGAAGTCGAAAGCCTGCTTAGAGATTGAGGCTGGAGAGGACATGCTTTATCAGAACTTGTGCACAGAAGTCTCATCCGTTGCTATTTCACCGGAAATCACCCCCAGTATCCTCCCTGGGTACCCTAGTTTTCTCACGATTCCATACAAACTTGTTTAACCATTGCAGGCGTGCTTAAAGCATGGTTTGTGAAACCAATACTGGATCCTGATTTCTACAGTAACATCACAGAAGAGACTGAAACAGCCTGGAAGGCGGCACACGGCCAAAAGAATGTCAGCGATAGTATAAAGGAATATCTGGTGACATATGTGGGAGAGCCACTTGAACAGATGTTAAGGTATGAGAGTAAAACTTTCTGTGTTTTGTGAAACTATGTTTCGATTTTTTTAAAGTCATTTTTGCGACTTGTAAGATTATCTGAGTGACAGGCGTTCGACTGGAACTCGCGTTACTCACTTGTCGGTTTGCACAACTCGTGCCCGTTTAAGCTACGTAGGTTACTTTCAAGACTACCGAATATCAATGTGGTTAGAAAGAAAAACACTAAGATGTGATTATTAAACCGAGAAGATACAAAGCTGGCTTAGGAGGGATATGATTACTAAGACTAAAAATAAGGAACTAAAAAAATGAATATGTTTATACAACGCGAGCGTTTGTTAATTCTATAATTAACGCCCATTAGGGGTTATCATTTAGCGACAAGAATCAATCCTTTCTCCGGTTGTTTTGTCCCTTCAAATTAATCATATTGTAAAGAGCCTTCGGTATATGGTCTCTTTAGAAGGAATGAAGAGTTACTATTTGTTGGGGAATCTCTTGCTTGAAAAATTGAAAAAAAATAGAGGTGTTTACAATTTTACTACACCTGAGAAAACCAAAGGGAGAACCACAACAAATAAGGGTGGCGGTTTGAAGTATCAGTTAAATTTTCTGTTTGCTGCTGATTTTTTTTCCTAATAATTTTGCTGCACTTTGCTTCTGTCCTTTAAATTAGATGAGATGATGTTTAATTATGTCAACTTTCAGGTACGTTGAATATGAACACTTTCGTCATTGCGTTCCAAGCAACGTATCTAGCGGTTTAGCTGGTCTTCCGCTGAAGTATGTTTGGCTTGATGGCAAAGAGAACACGTCCCAGCCCACAGACCCACTCTTGCCCACAGGTGAAAAGTTGAATGGATCGTTCGCCTATTCCAAAATCATGTCGTACTTCACAACAAATGACATGACTCCGATGGAAGTTCATGAGCTTGGCAAACGGCAGCTCGCTATTCTCTATCCTATGGTAAGGAACATTTCGGTTTCAGAAGTCTTAGAACCCTTATGTTTAGTTCACTAAGCATAAGGGTTTGGCTTTGCGCATTTCCCTCAGATCACTTTAAATTAATTGCCTTTAAGTTGACCGGAGTAGCCGATGATCCTGGCTTGCCTTATCGCATGTCACTTTTGGTGGTCGCCTTGGAATAGAAACCAAACTCAAAAGAAACACTTTACAATCCAGGGAAATTTAGCATTATCAACTGCGTTGGCAACGTAAATTGGCCTCCGTAAAGATTTTAAAAGCTGACGTTTCTAGCGTTAGCCCTTCATCCATCCCTATGACGAAGGGCTGACGCTCGAAATGTCAGCTTTTAAACTCTCTGCGATGGCCAATTTACGTTGTCAACGCAGTTGGTAATACTACTACCCTGTTATACTCTCCCACCGATGCACCACACTTTCCTTAGAAACTTACCCCCTTTACTCGCTTTTCAATCCCTTTATCTTCAATATTTTCGTAACTTTAAGACTTGTTTCAACTGATCTGTTAGTAAAAAGCTATTAAAAACGTTAGGTGGTTAACTCTACGCTTTCCTGCCCCTCTGCCCCACCCTACACTTTCAGTGACTGTACACATAATGTGCCGCTTTCGAACTGAACATCCCCAGTCCAGGTTCTTTTGAGCTGCATTTCATCGAGTCGGAAAAGCAACAGTCTATAAATGTCTTTCAGTCTTTTATATCCAACCGTTTTCTACTGCAAAGAGAAACTACCTGCATCAAAATCAACTTGATAATCTTACCTATAAAAAAAATTGCAAGTTGTGTTACCTTTTGCTGAATCATTTACAGGTTGTCGATGTTGCAAAACTTGTTACCGGAATGAACGATAATGACACAGCAGTAGCGATGTTCAGAGAGAAACTAAACTCATCAGAGAGTTATTTCAATCCGGAACCAATCCCTAAAAATGAGTCTGATAAAGAGGCACACAAGAAATGTAGCGATATTGATGGAGCCAAAAAGTATTGTCCCAAGCGATGGGCTGCTCTAGAGCTGTGGATGGCGGAATCTAGGAAGGTGGGTTCATCCAATTTGTTACGTAAAATTACTAAGTCCATCTGCTAGGTCTTGGAAGCCAGGTGACTTCCACATGAAAAGCGTGCGATAATTATTTTACGCAATTTTATCCTTCCCTAATGCGAGGTTTGAACAAAAAAAATGCTTATTTCAGTGATAAGTTTACGAGTATTTTTACTGTTGTTATTGTTGTTGTTGTTTGTTTGTTTCATTTAATTTTTGGTGGTTTTTCTGAGGAAATTTCAGATAGAGGTAAAAACGATTAGTTTTTGTTTTACCCGGTGTAGGTGATGAGTTTGCTGTCACCAAAGACGATTCCCTTATTCCACTTTACTGGGGACTATGCGACTACACCCATCTGCCCAGTTGATATGCAGCCCAATCTGAATCCGTCCAGTGGAGCTCAAAGCTATCAAAGTGCGGGTTCAGCCTGCACAAGGAGCGCCAAGTACAACCTTCCATTTTTCTTGGAAAATTTGGGTCCCAGGTTTTCTGAATGGAGCGTGAACGCACACGAGGCGAGGCCAGGACATCATACACAGGTTAGCCCTTCATCAGAGCGATTGAAGGCTGACACTTGAAAATTCGGCATAGAAACTCTTTACATTAGCCAATTTGCACTATCGACTCAGGTGATAATACCGAATTAATCTTTTTATGCTCCTCCACCGACGCAGCAACACCGTCGCATACATTAGTATCGGCTTTGTACCTTTCACTGAGTCGATTAATTAATTCTTGGCTATACATAACGGCTTCTACGAATTGTTTCTCAGGTTCAGGGTAACGTGGAACACTTCCGTGACATTTGCGGCGGTGTTATTGGTTGGCTTGATAGTGTCACGTACTACACAGCGTTTACAGAAGGGTGGGCTTTGTACGCTGAAAACCCACTAATAGCTGAGGATACAGACACTTATAAGACAGAACCGATGCAGAAGTTTGGAATGCTGAAGTGGCAGGTAAGATTGGACGCAATGTGGTCTACTGTTTCACGAAGAAACTGGTAAATAGTATGCTCGCTGTCCAGCGTTCTTCATAGCTTGGTGGTGTCACCACTGTTTTACATATAGCTCATGCCAGAGGATACATAAGGCGAATGCAGAGGTTTAATTTTAACTTTTGCACTTTTAATTCTGCCTCAAGGTATGGCGAGCACTTCGTTTGATTGTTGACACTGGTTTGCATTACGTTGGATTCTCGCGGGATAAGGCCCTGGAATACTTCAGTAAATATGCTTGGGACGATACAGACCTTGCAAAGAAAGAGGTAAAAAATTGAAGGGGGTCATTGGTTTATTAGCGCTAAGGAAATCTAAAATCTTTCTTCCTCCAGACTCCTACGTATGTAGTACAAGTCAATAACATCAAGGAAGTTGAGAGATGGTAAACCGCTAAGGAAGTAAAAAAATATTTGACTGGTCGCCAATACCAAAAGCTTATGATTCTTACTACTTTATTTGTGTTTGGAACCGTGTGACCCTCGGCTTTAACTTTAGTATATGATTGGCTGCAAAACTTCGTTGATTTAAGTCTTAACAATCAAACACACATCATTCTGACTCGTTCTGCCATGACAACTTGTGTTCATTGCCCATGTTGTCTCCTTTCTGTCAACTACTCTCAGGTGACTCGGTATCAGAGCGACCCAGGACAAGCAACCGCTTACATGATTGGTCAGTTGCAGATCAAGAACGCTAGAAATTATGCCAAAACTGAATTGGGAGACAATTTCAGTTTGCGAGACTTCCACTATCAGGTAAATCTAATTGTGTAAGTTGGTCTAACAATACGTTTGCTTTAAAGACGTTCATAATGAACTTAGTATCGCCCCTAAAAGAACTTTCCTTGGCAATTAGAGCGGAAAGAAGAAAGTACGAGTGCGAAATTTCGAGGGAACAGCACATGAATGAGTCTTTCACTCAGCGAATTTAGATTTCTGGCAATAACAGCTTCGATGTGATGGTTTCAATGGCCAAAAATTACCAAAAGTTTCCACCGCCGGTTTGTGGTGCTGCACTGATTTGACGGTTTTTCTCTAGGTTCTTGCTCAGGGATCCTCTCCTCTAGCGTACCTATCTGATCACGTGAACAAATATGTGGCGTGCGTCAAGGACAAAAAGAAAACAGGCTGTGATGTCATCCTGAAACCACCAAAGAAAGAGGAGGAAAAGGAGAAAGCAAAAGTAGGCCGCTGGGAAAAGATACCGAAACCCATTGTGCACCATATATAATGTATAAGTGAACAACAAAGAATGACAGAAGGATGCTTTTGTAATTTAAATAAGCCACGCACCTTAATGTAAGCTCTACATCGCTAAAACGTTTACATAATAGATTCTGTTGATTTAGTTTGAATGACCATGAACAACTGTGCGTTTATTGTAGTGGACGGTGATGGTGAAGAATGAACTCCAGCCTGAACACATTTAACATGGCTTAAGTCCTCAGTTGTAATTATCTTTAGCGTGAGACGTTTCTTGTCCGTAGCATTTATTATACTACCCATTATATCGAAACGATTCCTGGTTTTTGTTAATTTAACAAGCGAGTTTTAGGTGATGTAGCATCTTCACGATTGTTTAGATACATTTTGCGAACTTGCAAAACAAAAGTTTGTCTGTATAGGCTTGATTAGAATTTAATTTTATCGTATTCTCCAACCATTAGGGCGAAATGAATTAATCATCTGCATTTCAAAATAGTAAAAGGAAAAGGAATATTATGTTTTAGATTTGTTGATTTGTCTTTGTTTTAATGAAGTACCAACCCCTGCACCAACCCTCGCAGCTTAATCCCCCTTGTTGTGTCATTAAAAATAGGTTATGCGATTAAAGCACAAACACACAGTAAATCCACTTGTGAGAAACTGTTCTCCCTCTCAAAAACTCAAGTTCCTCTAGGTGACACTTGCCCCTTACCCCTTACAAATGAATGAAAACAAGTTTTCTTATCAACTTGCATTCACTTAAGACGCAGAATTGACTTTCAATTGAAGATTTTACCGTGGTATGTGACTTTTCAAAGAAACAAACTTTCCCTTGTGGTTATGGCTGAACGTTGAAACAATCTTGCTAATGTTAGAAATCGTATATCATAAAGAAATTTATGTATATTTGCACTTTGTTTGCACGGCACGAGGCTTTAGAGTGAGTATACTACAGGTTGGGTTGTCTCACGTGATATAGTGGTTTCATTTTCTTTAATTTAGCCGCGTCAAGTCTGATCAGAGAAGAAAGAGGGCAAGGGGCTGTTGAGTACATGCACTTACTTAGTCTGGAGGATATTTACTCCTGAGGTTATCTTAAAGTTCCGAAAAAAGTATAGTAGATTCGAAAAACTACAAAGTGACCACATTGTGAGACAAACGATAATATTTTTTTCTTTTGAAGAGTCATTTACCACGATGACTAACCACAGCCTATTTTATAATTTAGGTATATAGTTAACCTGTTATACTTCTTGCATCAGATAACACCAAAGCCATGATTCGAAGTAATGGAGAAACCAAACATTTTCACCATTTATTTTCCCAGAAGTGTTTCAAGTTAAGTCATTTGCATTAAATCAGGCATTACCCAATTTTTACAAAATTAAGTGGCGATCTCTGTATAAGAGCGGTCCAAGGCGTTTCGCATCGTACAAAAAGTTTCGCCTCAAACCTCGTCCATTAAACTATCCTTGGTAGTAAGTAAAAAAAACTACCTTAGTTTCTGGAAATACGTTGAAAAAAATTGAGAGCTCTCAATAATAAAAGTTGTAAAAGGCCCTTTTTTAACCTCTTGCGCCATCGAAATTTTCAAAAGTTGACAACACGCTGCATGCAGCAAGAAATCGTCGGACAGCTTTCTGATATTGGCCAAAAATACTCTTTCTTTCTTTATTGGGTGATATTTCTCAAGTCCAGACCAAACCATCGAAAACTCCGGTTGATTTCTTCTAATAACATGTTCGAAAGCATGGAAATGTAAAAACATCTTACACTTAATAGTTTCTTTCGCCATAGTGACTTCAGAATTTTGGTGGTTTTGATTATGGCGAACCTCTGAATAAACACGTCAAAATTGAACTGCTTTCCAAACCCCGTATATATGACACAATTTAGGAATACAAACCATTTCTTGCTGCATGCAATGTGTTACGAGGAGCGAGCTTGTCAACTTTTGAAATTTACGATGTCGCAACAGATCAAAAAGGAGCTCAAGCTTCTTTGATTATTGATAGCTCTCAAAATCTTTTTTAAACGTATTTCCAGAAACCAATGTAGTTTTATTTACTTACTACTAAAGATAGTTTAATGGACAAAGTTTGAGGCAAAACTTTTTTTTTCCATTCGAAACGCCTTGGACCGCAATTACAGAGATCGCCACTTAATCAGAGACCAACAATGTTATAAAGGTTTCAAAAGTCCTGTTAAAACGATACCCCATCACCTTCGTCATGGCATAGTGGCAAAAAATGGTATCTCAGACTCCGGCTGGATCCTACATTTCACGGTTACATCCCAGACGACGTTACTTTGTTAAGGGGACCTCGACAACGATACCTGCACTAACATCTTCTTGCACAGCGGGCATTCAAGAGCGTAAGCTGTCAATAGAGGTTCAGCCCCCACAAGCTGCTGAAACAGAAAAAAAAATCACAAAAAAAAATCACACACAGTAGTCTCTATTTCGCTCGGAAATATAGCGCCGCGACACGGTGTCGGTTCCCTTCGCACGCTCGTGGATAGAGAAATATCTCAGCACGTTTACGTGCCAGATGTAGGCAGTTGATTATGGCATGTTGTAATATGGCGGTGTTTCATCAGTTAGGTTCTCAAATCAATATTTAAAATTTAACAGTTGTTGAAATTCATGCGTTGTCACAGGAGTAAACTTCGAATAAAGTCGATCTGAGTTCGAAGTGTTTTTGTGATTTTTTTTTTGTTTTTCCTTTGAGGGCGATTAGTTACTTTTGAGTCAGAATTCTCTGCTCTTGTTCTTGTTCTTATCATCATATTAGATCATCATCATATTATAAAGTGTGTCACTCTCATCATAAACTTTTTTCCCAGAATCAACATCAAAGACAGAAAGTTTACACTTCCATTGCATCCAGCATTTGATGAACTGTAAATGTGATCGTATGTCTAATAAATGAAGAACGATATTTACTCGATATCTCAGGACTTTAACTCTTAGCCACATGATCTTAAGAGATTTGAAGTGTGTAACGTTTTGAAAGACAATTGAGGCTCATATTAATTCAAAAGTGAAATATTGATCTAATTACTGCATTTATGGTGTGATACTATTTACGAACCCTGCATTCATCCCCGGTCTCTAAGGTAGTGGCTAATTCAATCGAGGGGCAACAGCCAATTGCAACCGTTTTTATAAATGGTTAATGGTCATTAATAAATCTCATGTATTGTTCAGCGCAAACGCTTTTTATCAAATACTTCGAGTTAGGTTCAGTTGAGGGATTCTATACAAAGATAAGCATCATGGAGATGAATAAAAGCTCAGAAACGGTGTTTTCCGACGAAAAAGATGTCAAATCTGCCGCAAGTGGTTTTTCGGCCGGTAGAATTGTGTCAATCGTCATCTTGGCTGTTGGTTTAATCTTCCTTCTTGCAGGAATTGTGCTCATTGTACTCGCAGTGAACAACTATAAGAAAACCACAGGGCAGCGAGATCAAAACAACTGCGACTTTTCGAGAGAAGCCAATCGAGTTGGTCTTGGTGAGTTTCTTAGTCGTGTGAAGGCGACGTATTATAAACTTCATCCTTATGACGTGCACCGAGACCCAGAAGTAAAAACAGAAACGATCAAAGCGGAGTACTCTGCTTATGATCCAACACCATATATGATTAAAAAGCGGACGGATACTGCTCTGGCTTTGCTGAAAGAAATCAATGATAAAAAGATCAACGAAGACACGTTGAAACCCCGCGAGAGGAAGGCACTTGCTCAGGTAAAGCATTTTCTGCAGCACATATTCGGTCAGCCGTATGATGTTAATTACTACAATGGAGACTGGATGATGGGACCGAATTCGTTTTGCTGGCAGGAAATTTGCTTTCACGGGTACGCCGTTAATATGTCACTAGGTAAACATCATAAACCTCACAATTCTTTTGATGTGGAGCTAATCGAAAGAAAACTGAAAACTCACAAAGCTGGCATTTTGCAATTCATCGAGAACATGAAGATGGGAGTACGCAAAGGAATGGTCAGAAGTGTAGAGGAGTGTGAAGCTGGTATTAACACAATCAAAAGATACTATTTGAATGTTTCTCTATACAACGCAACAGGTAAGGAAAAAAGGTGAATGTTGCGTAACAGTTGATTAACCAAAAGTATATTACACCGTCCCAAGGACATGGATAGGACCATCAGTAATTTAATCCTGAATTCAAAATTGCTGAAGGTTTGTTGAAGGGTTAGAATTTAACGGACTACACTGCCACGGCCTTTTAAAAATAATTTGGCTGAGCAATTGACAAAAGAAATTTTTAAGTTCCACGGATTGCTCATCGAAGTGAAGGTACATGTATATATTTGAAACTTTGCGTGCGCTCTTGATAAAACCACTATAAATCTATTCACGACGTTGTCAAGGATGCATTGCTTTTGAGATACAGTATTGCAGTTACTTATAGGCTTCAAGGTTTTAAGTCGAGTGGCAATCCGATAAACAAAGATACCGCCATGAGTAAATAGCTAAATAGACAAATAAACAGGAAAACTTAATTTGGCCCCTGTTACAGACCTTGATCGACCAATAAAGTTTTATGGTCCATGCGAAAAATTTTAAGGCTTCGGTGAATATTCTAATATTAAGTTAGAAGTGGCTGAAATATTAGTTTAGATGTTTGGCTTCCATACATCGAGTGTACAAGTTTCGAACTCTTTCAGATGAATTGATTATCCAAAAAAAGTAACCTTGAAATTAGTAAACTTAGTTGCTGAGCTCTGAGGCCAGTCCATACTTCCAACCAAAAGAGACATGGACACTTTCATCAATACTGTTTTGTTGTCCTTCTGTGTTGTGGGCTTTAAAATGAAACTTATCATCCGCAGTACTTTCATTGCAGGTGTGCTAAAAGCGTGGTTCGTTCAACCCCTGATGAATCCTGATTATTACAGTAACATCACAGAAAATACGGATAACAAATGGAAGGCGGCGCACGGTGGAAAGAATGTCAAAGAAACTATCAAAGAATATCTGGTGACTTATTTAGGAGAACCACTTGAACAAATGTTAAGGTACAGTATAGTTATACTTAAAGAGCACAATATGAGGTGCATCTTAATAAGCTCAAACTTGGTTCGAACGATTTCCTTTTACGAATTTTTTTTCTTTTTCTTAATGCTTTTTGAACATGACTGTGACTTTTTGCTGAGATCAGAGTTCCACAGCTTGTGGAACTGGGTGTTCATCACGTTCATTAGGCACCTATATTCGGAAAATTATCCGGCTAACTTTCGATGGCCTTAGCAACTGATTTGTTTATTTAGCACGCGAGGAACAGAAATTATCCGTTACTTTACTGTATTACACCCCATGAAGGTTATTAATGTTCTTCGAACGCGCTAACTGACGAGTTCGGAAGTGATTAGCAAGTACTTTTACTATTTGGCCCCGAGCACCCAAGAAGGCAAAATCTCACGTGAGATTTAGAGTTTGATTTCCGACCATTTTCCAATATATTTCCAAGAATAAATTTTTTTTCTTTATGGTACATGCTAAAACAATACCTCGGTGTCGGTGAAAGTCATGATATTTATCTCGCCGCTCGGTAAATATCGACTACTATAACCTCTTCTCCTGCTTTCGCATTTTTCAAAGAACCTTCTAACATCGACCTTGTCTCGATGTACCAAGTATTATCCAGAGATTATCTGGGGAAGTCATCTTAGGGCTGATATACAAACCCACATAGAATATTGTTTACTACTTGCGATCGCCACAGCTGGAGGGCTTTCATCTAAATATAGTTTTCGTGTGAGCGCTTTCCAAACGGGTCCTTAACAGTCACCAAAGACAACTTAAAATATCGTTCAGCACTAGAATAGCTGGATTAGGATGTGATTTAAGCCGGGAGAAACGATATGTTGTGCAGTTAGTGCGGTTGTGACTGTGGTTGGATCTTGGTTTTATTATTTAACACCCTCCATTATGGCAGAGCAAGGTAGGACACACGAAACAATATAGCGCTACAGCGATCTTACGATCTTTTCTTCAATTCATGAACCTTTTCGGTCTCAGAAGCTGATTCTGTCATATTATATTTATATTCTGACATTTTTTACGCTTATTCCTTCAAAAGTCAAGGGAATCTATTACTAAAGTTATCGACTGATATAACTCCCTTAAGTAGCAAAACCTATGATAATAACAGCTATCTACAGCTATCCGCCTACTGATCAGGATCACATTAGGGACAAAAATGTAAAGCATCATAATGATTGTAATTTAGATACGTCGAGGAGGAACACATTCGTCATTGTGTTCCAAGCAACGTGTCTAGCGGTTTAGCTGGTCTTCCACTCAAGTATGTTTGGTTCGACGGCAAAGAGAACACCTCCCAGCCCACAGACCCATTCCTGCCCACTGGTGAACCGCTGAATGGATCGTTGGCGTATTCTAAGATCATGTCGTATTTCACAACAAATAACATGACAGTAATGGAAGTTCATGAGCTTGGTAAAAAGCAGCTTGATCTTCTCTATCCCATGGTGAGGTTATTTCCAGTTTTTGTCTAAACAAAGAATCGTTCTGTTAGTGATGTCATTTCTTTAAGACAATACCTCGTACCACCTCCGAATTTCTTCCTAGTTATTTCCTCTTTTGACTCATTCATAGGTTGTCGATGTTGCAAAACTTGTCACTGGGATCAACGATACCAGCACGGCTATATCGGAGTTCAGAGAAATACTAACTTCATCTGATAGTTATTTCAATTCAGATCCATTTCCCAAAAACGAGTCTGATAAAGAGGCACACAAGAAATGTAGCGATATTGAAGGAGCTAAGAAACATTGTCCCACGAGGTGGGCTACTTTAGAGCTCTGGATGGCTGAATCAAGGAAGGTATTGCATTTTCTTGATACTGATAATATAAGTATGCTAAATTACTTTATCTTCTGTTGGCCCCGATAAGGAAAACCCCTTAACATCCGGTACGGGATTGTTCTTGGAAGTGTTAATTTAGACCCTAAATGAGCCGATACTCCTTGGGGCAAGGCTCCATTTAGTGTGGTTTAAGAGGATGTCCAGCAAGTATTATTGATCTGTCGTGATATTCCTGTCAATCTGACTTCCCACCAAATACAAATTGGCATCGTTTTTTTTCGAAGTTCTCACCTCCCCCCCCAACCCTAACCCCCACCCTTATTAAAAGATTTTTGGTAGCCAAAAAAATTTGACTGTTTGAACTTGAACACCGTTATCGGAGTAGTTTGAATTTAAACTTTTCCTCGGTCAAACGTAGCGGTCATCTGGCAATCTAGAAGTCTGCGTGATCTGTTCTCTACGCGAGAAATGCATTTTCCAAGTCTCATCTATTTAAAACAAAGACATCTCAGCAAATTGTTTTGATACGTTTCCTCAAGTCAATTCAGGTAGAAGTAAGAGCAAACTGTTCCCGATTTTGCCGGAATAGGTGATGAGTTTGCTTGCTCCGAAGACGATTCCTCTCTTCCACTTCACTGGGGATTATGCGACCACACCCAGCTGCCCAGTTGATATGCAGCCCGATCTGAATCCGTCCAGTGGAGCTCAAAGCTATCGACGTGCGGGTCCAAATTGCGCAAGAAGCGCCAAATACAACCTTCCATTTTTCTTGGAAAATATGGGTCCCAGGTTTTCTGAATGGAGCGTGAACGCACACGAGGCGACGCCAGGACATCATACACAGGTTTACGTGTTAACCAGCTTTATTATAATAAAGATTCGTAAGCAAATTTGCAAATTGTTTCGAGAGTCGATATCAGTCCACTCAGCTCGACATACCGGCTTATACTCCATCCACAGGTTCAGGGTAATGCAGAACACTTCCGCGACATTTGCGGTGGTGCTATTGGTTGGCTTGATAGTGTCACGTACTACACAGCGTTTACAGAGGGATGGGCGTTGTACGCTGAAAACCCGCTTATAGCCCAGGATACAGACGCTTATAAGACCGAACCGATGCAGAGGTTTGGAATGCTGAAGTGGCAGGTAGAGATTGATTAAGTTTAATTCATGGCAGCATCACCGTTTCGCAGACGGGTACATAAAAGTATGCAATCATCAACGGAGTTCAGACCCTTTTTCTGAATGATTACACTTCCCTCTACCTGTAGGTTTGGCGAGCAATACGGCTGATCGTAGACACTGGTTTACATTACGTTGGATTCTCAAGGAAAGAGGCATTGGAATACTTCAGAAAATATGCGTGGGACGATACAGACCTTGCACAAAAAGAGGTGAAATAATTAAAAAAAAAAAAGAATTATTGTTACAAGTATAGCGTTATGAAAAGTTTTAAAGCAACTTTCCAAGCTATGGAAAACATTCAGAGAAATCTGACGAAATCCTGGGGGAGGAGCAAGGGACCATCATTGCGACGGAACAACAGCTTAACCAGACTAAGGTAGCACGTATAATTACATTCACACCACGGACACTGAGATAACCTCAGTCGGTGCGGGCCACTCTGCTCGAGAAAAGACCAGCCTTACTGTTTCATCAATGTTCAGTATCGGTTGGATAGTCAGCTTAATATCCACATATCTGGTCACTAAACACATTTCAATAAGCCATTTCCAAAGCGGGTCCTGGAGCTCACTCTTCCATATGATTATAAGGTTTCATTCATATGCAAATTAAACTCATTTTCATACGAATAGTTGAACACCAGGCCTCGCTTTGAAAAGGAGGCAAACATAACTCGGAAATGTGCCACTGGACAAGTCGTCATAATCCAACACATTTATCAATTTAACTATAACTGTTGATAATCTCTTACTTTCTGTTATTAAATTACTTGCACTGCTGGTGACCTCAACAGGTTACTCGGTATCAGAGCAACCCAGGACAAGCGACTGCGTACATGATTGGTCAATTGGAGATTGAAAAAGCCAGAAAGTATACTAAAGATAATTTGGGGGAAAAGTTTAATCTGCGAGATTTCCATTACCAGGTTAGTAAATACGTCTCATGCATTCGTTTTAAGGGATTTCATCCCTAAATGCCACTGCGGACGTCAATAGGCTATGAACGCATTGCTTGTTTTGAGGTTATGTGGACATTATTTTCATTATCTAACCAAATGCAATGTTACTAAGGGTGCTAAGGGTGTTGACGAGCCAAATTATGGCTATAGCAATAGCAATGGTAAGGATATTTTGCCAGAAGATTACAATAACTGGCTTCGAACTAAATAAATATGTTGTCGTTTGACGATAAAGTCCTGATTTAGCGAATTACTCATCCGATTATCACAGTTTGGTCTGCTTTATTGAAACAAGGTCGTAATTGTCCGAATAGCTGAGAAATCATAATTTAGGTAAACAGCTGCCGTAATCGCTAGATGAATGGAGATTTCCTGCGGAACTAACTACTTAGAGATATCCTTGTCACTTTCCGACAATGTAATAGACAGTCGCAGTTGACAGCCTAAATGCCACCCAGAGAGGTGCCAGACAATGGCTGAGCTCCAAACTTGGGCTAGAAAAAACGAGGAAAGCGAGAAAAGTTATGTGTAAAAGGAATAGCGATACTAGGTTTAAAAAATGGGAGCTGGACATATGTAAACTTTTTCAGGTTCTTGCTCAGGGGTCCTCTCCGCTGGCCTACTTATCAGATCACATTGAAAAATATGTAGCGTGTGTCATGGGCAAGACGAAAGAAGGCTGTGACGTTATTCTGAGACCACCGAAGAAACGCAATGGAAAGAAAACAGCAGACGCGCCCCGTTGGCAAAACATACCGAAACCTATTTTACACTATATATGATGTGCACTTTTTGTTAGTGATTGCACATTTTAGGGGCTGGCTCTTTTTTTCCGACTCTAACGAAAGGCCAAGCCTAATTAGGATCTTGTTAATTGTTAAAAATAGGCAGTTTAAGAAATTTTTTTAAGCACTTAAGAGAACCAGTGATTGAATTTTAATGCTAGAAGACAGTGTTGCAGAAGATTTGTCTCACATGCGAAATACAAAACCTGCCGCATCCCGCATATTTGTGAGTATTCAATAAGAAAAAGACGATTCAAGAATATAGTGACCTATTTACCCTCAACCTATAATTAAAAAGTAAAAATAATCATATCAATAATAATAATATTAATAATAATAATAGTGATAACAATAGTAATAAAATTCATAGGGACTAGCTAAAGAACTTCACTGTTCCTCAATCGGTCTATCCTCTGGCAAGGCTCCAATGACGATTAAACCATGCTTCTTTTATTTTTGCCTGTTTATCAGAAATCATTATCTTACTTCAATGCAATTTCATTTTTGTGAGACTTTTGTGACATAAAACGAGGCATTCCGCGTCGTAGGATCTTCCGCCATTCCGCTATTCCGCCCGGTCATTTTGCGCTGGAATTTTTCGCTTCTCAGATCAAGCGTTCGGAAATGGAGTGTTCAGCCTTGGGCTTTTCCCATGTACGTTGAAAACCTCGAAATTGACAACTCGCTAAAATGCGTTCGTTTCACCAAAGGAAGCGGTCAGATACCAAGTGATACGCTGTGGAAGTAAGGTGAGATATTTTTATTAAGAATTTGACGTATTGTTTTATTCCTTAGAGCGGTCGTAAATATTCCCATACAAACTCTTATAATTCCGCCATGACTATTGCTGCGCAAGATGATCATCTTACAGCTGGAGCTTGGGCCGCCTGTGACACGATGGGCAGTTCAAACCTATTCAGATATTTCCGCAAAAAATTTCTTGATTTTAATAACGTACCGAAGACGCCACTCTAAAATTATATTGAAACTTTATCATCTTTTGTATAGTGTCTCGCCAAGAGCTGAAAATATTATACTTTGGATCTACTGAGCTTAATTCGCTGATTCAAACGGTGAATGCTCTCTCTTCAAAGCAAAATTTTTTTCATCTAAGTTTTCATCATGTGCCGATCACACCTTTTAAGATATTTCCGCAAGGAAAAGCTTTGTTTGTTTTGACGCGATTGTGAGATGTTTATCGTGTTCGGTAGTACTCAGCCGGAAACAAACAGTTAGTTACCATCACTCAGTCACAAATTAAAGCAATGTGACGACATATATATCCATGTAAATCATATATTCAAAAAAGATTTGGATCGCAAATTGTCATTTTCAAGATATAAAAAGGGTAAAAAAAAAATTACTATGAATAAGGAAGAAAATGCTGGGTCTTCCACATCTCATTTTAAATAAGGTTCAGTGGTCAACAACGTTCTGTCAAACTGTACCATCCCACCGTAGTGGAAAGCTGGTGGACTGATTACCGAGAGTAGATCTTTAAGCAATGTTCCTAATGCGATAGCTAGGATTTAAAGGCATTTGTAGATAACGATACATAATACTAAGATTATAATACTTCAGATGTTTTAGACTGTAAATAGCTTTTTAATCTAATCAATAAAAAGTTCTGATTTCATTTACAAATAGAGAAATATTAGAGTGGAGACTCAAGGAGAGCACAGCAATAACAATACGGTGATCAAGTCCAACTTTGCTTGGGTGAATTCTTTGCATTAAGTCTTCGCTCGTGGTTTGACCCCATTCTCGCGCGTCTCAGCCTTGTTGTAGGGCATGTTATCTCAAGCACATTTTCAACCAATCTTTTCACTTTTAAACTACTTTTGACAGCGGAAACCTAAAACAATTCTCTAGTGTTTACTGTAGGTCGAAGGCAAGGCCAGCTATCTTATAATAAGAAATCCCGCTGTTTCTTCAACGCTTCACTCAATAACATGAATTTGTCTGGCATGATTTATAGCAGATGAAAAAATACCCGGAAAGGGAAATTATGCTTATCAGTTCGTAGAGGACGATGGACAGGCGGAAATTTTTCTGCTCTTTAAAAGGGTATTGAAGGGCGTCAGCCACGTTATTGAATTTTCGACCTTGAAGGTGAAGGTGCGCAAAAAAAGCAACGACAACGCTCGATTGTACCTGAAAATCCAGCGATCCTTAACATTTGGGAATCAAATTGATAAATCATGCAACAAACCAAAAGTATGGAAATGATGATTTCCGAAGAAAAGACCATTACTTTCGGGCGTCAAAGACCCTCGCGAGAGAGAATCATCACAATTATGATATTGGCTGTCGCGATGATAATCTTCATTGTTGGAGTCGCTTTGATTGCTGTTGCAGCGAATGGAGAAGGAAAAGGCGAGGGGGGGTTTTCTACGAAGGCAGCCACCGCAATCCCAACAGAGAAAGCAGTGTCAACAGTAAAAACAGTGTCAACAGTAAAAACAATGTCAACAGACAAAGCAGTGTCAACAGTAAAAACAGTGTCAACAGTAAAAACAATGTCAACAGACAAAGCAGTGTCAACAGTAAAAACAGTGTCAACAGTAAAAACAGTGTCAACAGTAAAAACAGTGTCAACAGTAAAAACAGTGTCAACAGTAAAAACAGTGTCAACAGACAAAGCAGTCCCATCAGACAACCCAGCGAAATATTCGAAATGTGAATACTCAGAGGAAGCGAAACGAGTAAGGCTCGGTAAGTTCCTCGATAAAGTCAAGTCAACATATTATAAACTCCATCCTTATGAAGTTTATGATGATCCAGATGTCACCCCTGAGAGAATCAAAAGGGAATACGTCGCCTACGATCCAACGCCTTCTATGATCGAAAATCGAACGAACACTTCCTTAGCTTTGCTTGGGGAAATAAATAATAAAAGTATCATCACAACTGCTTTGAAACCAAGGGAAAGAAAAGTTGTGGCCCAGGTGAAGCACTTTCTTAAGCATGCTTTCGGTAAGCCTTTTGATGCCAATTACTATGCTGGAGATTGGATGATGGGACCGAACAAACGCTGCTGGCAGGAAATCTGTAACATCGGAAGGGCAGTGCAAAACGGACTGGGTCGTTATTTTAAACCTAATGATGCATCGGATGTTGAGCTAATAGAGACGAAACTTAAGACTTTTAACGCTAGCATTTTTCAGTACATCGAAAACATGAAGATGGGAATACGTAAAAGAATGGTAAGAAGTAAGGAAGCGTGCGAGGTTGGATTTAAAGCTTTAAAGGCCAAGTACATGAAGGTTTACCTAAACAACGAAACAGGTAAGCAAAGTTGTTTTTGATATCCTGCTGTAGGACCCAGGCTGGAGGAGTTGTGCTAATTAAAAGTAAAATTGACCTTCAATTAAAATTCTGATCAAATTATAGACGAATTGGATGGGTAATTGCACGATGAATGGGTAAAAATTATGCTTATAGATTGATTTCTCCTGATACTTTGTATTCTTTAGCTCCTCAATTCAACCCGGCGCTGCTGAATCACAGTTCTTTGGTGTGGCTAAAATAATATTTTGCGCTATTTAACACATGAGCTCTTCTTTTTTAAGGGAATATGACGGCTTAGTAAATTTTCGCTATTAGGTTTTTTTTCACGAACTCGCCTTTCTTAGCAAGAGACCGTGCACTCTGGGCTGACAATATTTGTTGAACATCAAATGTCAATCACATGGATATATAAGTTGTAAACTTGGAAGCGATAATAGTTGTGCTTTGAGTATCCAGAGTGCTGAGTACTGATCGTTATGCAGCATTCCGAGATGCAAATTTTCCATCCCCACCATTTGATTACCGCGTAAAATTAAACATAAATTTTTGCGGCCTTCTGCGTGAACGACGCGCATTTCAAAAGCGAGATCGAATTATCTTGATTGACGTATTCCTTCAAATTGTGGCTAGCAATCTGTCAGATTTGAAGTCTGACAAAAATTTGTCCTGCTCCGAGGCAGGAAGTCGGCGCCCTTGAAGATTGGTGAGGCTTGACAAAATTTGGAAGGACAAAAAAAATCGCCGAGTGCACTTGTTTCACTGAACTGACGACAGATTTTTTTTTGAGGTACTTACTTTGGTAAAGTTTCGATTAAAAAGTAAATTATCATAACGATGGTACGGTTTATCGCCGATAGCATGAGTGCATCACGTATTGTAAGTGTTTTTCGTCTTCATCCCTCTCAGAGCCAAATATTACAATTCGAGGCTTCCTCTACAGATAAAATGCAGTGATCATGGTAGTAATTGATGTAAAAATGAGAAAAATTCACGGATAGACAACGTCTTCTCATTAAAGAAGGTAAAAACTGACTCTTTTCCCCAACATTCCTCTTATTTGAGAAGACAACATGGCAACCACTCATTTTATGAAGAAGCGCTGGACGTCGCCTCTCCGGGAATACCCTTACGCTCCGGTCCTTAAGGGAAAATATGGCACTCAACTGGTAAACGTTTAATTTCTACACTAAAGCAAGTGAGCTGAAAAAAAGAGCCCTGATTTAATTTTAAACTGTCGACAGCTGTTTCGAGAAAGATTGTCGGAAAAAAGCACAATCTTGAAAAGTAATTAAAGGAACAAATTTATGAAACCCGTCCTTACAGTGACGTGCTCTCAGATTTGCCTGAAATTCTGAGGTTAGGAACCGTGACCTTAACTAATAACTTTTGAGGTTATCGCTTGCACTTTTACGCCCTGTTCCGACAACGAACAGAAGTAATCTATGTGAGCTTCCAAACAACTTGCTATCTAGCTTAATTATCAATACTAATAAATGTCATTTCTTTATTTAATTAATCAGCTGTATGTTTTATCAACTTTAGTCACTCTTTTAACTATTTCCTTTACGTTCATTAATTCATCAAATCTAGTCATCTGTATTTCCGACCAATTCCAAAACGAACTCATCGAGAAAACGAAAGTAAAATAAGTTATTTCAATACCTTTGCCACGGAAACAATGCCTTCTTGATTTTTTGTTTTCAAAAATGAGTGAATGTATGATTAAAGCCACCTCGTAATGATTAATTGATGACATAATTTGTAAACCACACGTTCTCGCTAATCCGTACCGATGTTTTTCCTTGCAGGTATACTACAAGAGTCGTTCGTTCGACCCCTGTTAGATCCTAATTATTATAGCGGTATCACAAAAGAGATTGACGACCAGTGGAGGGCAAACCACAACAACATGAACGTCAGCGGGTCTGTGAAAGGATTTTTAGTGAATTACCTGGGGAAACCGTTAGTTCAATTATTAAGGTACGGTAGTATATGTTACACTTTCTTCGTCTCACGATCAGCTCTTTCCTCTCATCAGCGTCAGAAATTTAAAAAACAGATTCCATTTCTGTTCAATAATAGATTTCAGATGACGTCAAAATGTGGTAAGAACAAAAAAGGTGGCACACAAGACGCAGGCGAGTGTGTCAATTGTGTTTTATATGACAATATATGATAAACTAGCAAAGAGCTGATAATAGTGACGTCATCCATGTGTCTGTCCTTTATTAGATGAAAGGTAAGAAGTATTCAAAATTCCATAGTCCAGATTACTATATTACCTGCTATCCACTGACCACGAAGCTCTGGTTTAAGACTTTGCGTCCTGTCTGTTCCTAACTCACACACTATCCTGTTCAACCACTTAGTTTATGTCAAAAGAGCGAGAAAACAAACATTGAATAAATAATGCTGACGTTCGTTGTCACACATATTTAGACACGTCGAGGATGAACACATTCGTCACTGCGTTCCAGGTAATGTGTCCAGCGGTTGGGCTACTCTACCACTCGAACATGTTTGGCTTGATGGCAAAGAAAACAAGTCCTGGTCAACAAACCCGTACCTATCCGATGGTAAACCACTGAATGGATCGCTGGCTTACAGCACAATATTGTCGTATTTTACAACAAACAACATGACCCTGATGGAAATTACAGAGCTCGGGAAAAAACTTCTGGACCTTTACTATCCTATGGTAAGCCGTGATGTCTATTTTTAAACAGTGACCACGATGGATGTTCGAGACCTCGGTATAGAGCTGCTTAATCTTTTCTATCCCATGGTGAGCAAGCAGAGAGCGCTGAATGAATGAAGTATGTTGAAAAACGTTCCACACTTTCTTTTACCTCTTACCTTTTCTTACCTCCCTTTTCCCCGTTTTTCTTCTGATCGTAGGTTCTGGAAATTGCAATAAAAGTAACTGGAGACAGCGTGAACCACACCGCGAAAGTGCGATTTAAAGAAAAATTAAAGTCTTCTGAATATAAATTCAACAAGGAACCAATTCCTAAGAACGAGTCTAAGAAAGAGGCTGGCAAGAGATGCATTGATATCAAAAGTGCAAAACAATACTGTCCTAAACGCTGGACTGCCGTTCAGAAATGGATGGGTGAATCAAGAAAGGTATGCTTTTAGTGGTTATTCGAGGTGTTCACAATCCTACCCTTCCTAAGCTATATGTTATGTTACATCAGAGGGGTGATGTAAGGGCACATAAGGCTGCTATCGATCCTTTTTTTCAAAAAAAGTATAGTCGTATAATTAACAAATCGACCACAATTTTCCATCGTCTATAACCCAATTAGTCAAACTAAAGTAAAACTGCAAAGTTTTGAACGCTGCGAACTCAGAACCGGGTTTCTTTTCCTGAATAATTTTCTTCTGCTTTTCTTTCCCTTAAGTAAGTTATTCTTCAAAATTTCTGCTAACATGCCGATCGTAAAATTCGGAAATTCGTTCCTGTCCAGATTAACGAAATTTGCAGTTTTTTCTTTTCGCGAAAAAAAATTCCTATTTTTCAATGTAATGACGTCTCCTTAGGCGGATTAAGTACCTGTGGATCTCATTTTTTAGGTCATGAGCTTACTTGCACCAAAGACTATTCCCATGTTCCATTTTACGGGAGATAAGGCACTACGCACTACCCTTGCCTGTCCAGTTGACGTCCAGCCCAACTTTAATCCAGCCAGTACAGTTCAGAGCTACCAAATTCGTCTGCTTCCATTGTAAAGGGGTTGTTTTCCTTATCAGTAAAGCATTACAAAATTGCGTATACCAATTGCAATAAGTAGAATATAGATTTAGTTTTATCCACAAGCGAAGTGCTCGAACGATTCTAACTGAAGCCTAACTGTTCATTTTATTCTTTGTACAGATACAGGGTAACTTAGAGAATTTCCGTGACAGCTGTGGTGGTTAGATCGCCTGGCTTGATGGTCTGACCTCTTATACGGGGTTCAAGGAGGGATGGGCTTTGAACTCTGAGCATCCACTGATTGGGATCGGAGAGATACAGACATATACAACGACAAACCCATACAGAAATATGGGATGTTTAAGTGGCTGGTAAGCCTTATGTTTAATGTGCTGATTCACTAAATCACCACTTTTATCTCCTATTCTAAGAGATCTTGCTTTAAACCTAAAAGTCATGATTTCGGAAAATATCTTGCGTCATGTACTTCGCGTGTAGAAGGACGTCTTTAATGAGTTTTTATTGTAAACCCGCATGGGTTTACAATAAAAGAAAAAAAATTTGTCAATGTAATAACGTCTCCTTAGGCAGATTAAGTACCTGTGGATCTCATTTTTTAAGTACCTGTGGATCTCACTTTTATCTCCTATTATAAGAGATCTTGCTTTAAACCTAAAAGTCATGATTTCGGAACACATCTTGCGTCATGTACTTCGCGTGTAGAAGGGCGTCTTTAATGAGTTTTTATTGTAAACCCGCATGGGTTTACAATAAAAGAAAAAAAAAGGCTGCAATTAAAGACAAAAATAGATGGATAAGGAGGCGCAGCACATCTATTAAAGTGCAACCCAGCCTTACAGCCACTCCGGTAATGCGGGTCACATTATTATTACGGCCAGATTTTTTGGCTCGGGAAACGGCCATACATTTGAAAAAAAAAACTGAAACCCTCGATAATGTGGTCACCCGTTTATGACGGTTTTTCAAAGTTTTTCTAAGTATAATAATGATAATAAAAATGATAATAATAGTAAGATAACACCTAAAATCCACTGACGCTTTACAAATATTAACTAGTTTAAAGTATAAATTTATAAAGTGAATTTTCAAGCATTTTCATTATCAATATACGTATATCTACATTGCAACTATCTATTGAAGAGAACAGTTGTCCAGGATGGGCGTATTTTTAAATACGGCCTCCAAGTCATGGAGTTTCACCCTACCCCGGTAATATGGCCGCCCTGTTGATTTGGCCAGTTTGATTTGTCTCATCTGTGACCGTATTAATGGGACTCCGCTGTACATATCGAGAGACAATTTTACTACATGACAAGAGACAATTTGTTTCCAACTGAAGATGTCATGGTGACACAACCAGTATATCTGGCCCTCTTTTTACAATCCTTGTTACTGAATGGTTACTCTTCCTCACCATATCAAAGGATACTATTTGTAACGTTTTTTTTTTTTATGTCTAAAGTTTTTAATTCACACCTCGACTCCTCGTCTCTAGATTCTTTCACAAGGATCCTCACCTCTTGGTTACTTGATGGATCACGTTAAAGACTACGTTGCCTGTGTGAATAATCAGTCGGAAGTCGGCTGTGACTTCATTCTGAACCCGCCAAAGAAAACTGAATCAAAGAAAGTGATCAAGGCACAGGCTCGCTGGCCGAAGATGGAAAAATCCATTACATATCATAGATGAGCCTTATAGCCAGTTTCACTTCATTTTTCTGTTTAAGACTCAAATGCTACTCAATTTGATTTCAGAGTGATACGTTTCAGAGCAAATTATTTACACCTTCATTTTTTTTTCAAACTTGAATGTATTGATTTATCCTAGACTGAATCAGAGCAAAAAATTAGATTTAGTTCCTGTAGTTTCGTATGCCGTTTCACGTATCTTTTGAAAGCAGCTAGTATGTTAAACTGAATTTTTGCCTAAAATTTTGATGAGTGTTAAAGGAAAAAATCCAGCAACCGATTGCCTAAAATTTTAGTTATGAAAATTTTACTGTAGAACTGTGATTTCCTATGTTTCTTCAATGATGTTGGTCACTTTAGAATTTGGCGTCATACTCAGGGCATAAATGGTCCAGTATTTCCTATTAAAAAGATTGGTAGAATTTAATGAACAATGTTAGGGCTAGGGTCACCAATGAAGAAACGTTTTTAATTTGCTGTTTAAATGTAGACTCCTAAAACCACTCTTTTGAATCATCTAAATATCACGTTGCGGCTGGTTGAAAGCAACTCTGAAGACACTTCACGACACGACGACATTTTTACGAGGAAACTATTACTTACATTTTGGGCAGAAAATCGAATAGAAGATGTCGTTTTGCTGTCGGAAACAATCCACAAACTACATTGCAGTCCGGAGGCACGTTCAATCTAAAACTCCACGTGGGCATATGATTTAATTTTTTTGGGTCTATTTAAAACCACACAAAGTGTCCTAATTAAAAAAAGTGTCAGGAGGAGTTAGTTTTGACTGAGACCAAACACTAAATCCACCGATTGTGCACGCTGATCAAATTTGTACTGAGCTGCTGAACCAAAGTATAAAATGATGACAGCCTTCGTTTCATAATAAATTATGACTCCATCTGTAAACTAACACGATTATTACTTCCAGTTGGGTAAAAGCTATTGTTTCGTCCGCCAAGATGAATTCCCCTTTCATAGCAGGATGTGCTTTAGAGTTAAAATTCGTCACGTTTTGGTGCACATCTAGATCAAGACAAGAAAATAGAAATAAATCATAAACATATCCCTAACGTCACACTCGGGCGATCGTCTAGACTGTAAAAAAACTCGTCTGGGCAAGACAGGGGCTTATATGCTCAGCGACTTGTTTAGGCGCGTTAATTATCTCGTTGTGGAACACCTTACATCCCTAAAGCAATGTTAGTAGATGGAACATGGTCATAGATTGACTAAATTCAAACTTAAAAATTCCAATGATTTTCTTGCCATACTCTGTAACGATAATCTATGTGGAGGAGCTGATGGAACTAAATCATGCGATTTACCTGCCTGAGCCGAGCCTACGTGTTAAGCCTATAACCCACACGTGATTATATGAATAACACATGCATTATTCCTCCTCTCAAAAGGTCAATGGACATTTCGGTTGAGATTGTTCAGTCCTAACCGCCAGCCCAGACAAAGCTCTTTGATCTGATGTGCTGGTGACTTTGCGATCCGTTGACATTTTGATTTAAAAATACACCATAATCATGCAGCCCACCAAAAGTACAGAAATGATGGTTTCTGACGAAAAGAGCGCTACTTTTGGACGTCAAGGACCTTCAAGAGAGAGAATCATCACAATAATAGTATTGGCTGTCGCGACGATCATTTTCATCGTTGGAATCGCGTTGATTGCTGTTGCAGCAAAAGAAAAAGGAAAAGATGACGAAACACCAGGTAGGAAGGCGGCCGCCGCAACCCCATCAGACAAAGCAACAAAATGTGATTATTCAGATGAAGCGAAACGAGTGGGGCTTGGTGAATTCCTCGACAAAGTCAAGTCAACATATTATAAACTCCATCCTTATGAAGTTTATGATGATCCAGATGTCACCCTTGACAGAATCAAAGAGGAATACGTCGCCTACGATCCGACGCCCTCTACGATCAAAGTTCGAACGGACACCTCCTTAGATTTGCTCAAGGAAATCAGTGATAAAACTATAAACCCAGCTGCATTGAAACAGCGAGAGAGAAAAGTTTTGGCACAAGTGAAGCACTATCTTCAGCATGTTTTCGGTCAGCCTTTTGATGCCAATTACTATGCGGGAGACTGGATGATGGGACCGAACAGAAACTGCTGGCAAGAAATCTGCAACATCGGAAACACAGTTTACAACGGACTGGGTCTTCATTTCAAACCTAACAGTACATCTGATGTTCAGCTGATAGAAAGGAAACTAAAGACTTACAAAGCTGGCATCTTGCAGTACATCGAAAACATGAGGATGGGGGTACGTAAAGGAATGGTTCGAAGTAAAGAAGCGTGCGAAGTTGGAATGAAAGTTTTAGCGGCCAAGTACATGAAGGTTTCCATAGACAACGAAACAGGTAAGCTGAGTTGTTTTTTATATCGTGCTGTACGATTTGGTCTTGCTTAAGAAGGCGTTATGTAACATCTTAAGCATTCACTTTGCTTAATAAATATCTTTGAAGTTTTTCTAAAATTCTGATAAAATTTTGCATGTAAAAACGCTTTTCTGGCTTATGTCATGAATGCCTATACCTGTATACGAATAAATGCATATGTTGATCACTAGTGCAAAACCAGACCTAACCAAACCAAATAGGCTTGATCCTTATCTTTTAGACATTGCCCGTAAATTACCAGCCATGACTACTCACATTGTATGGCTGTATTTTATCGAATCAAAGTAATCTTTCCAAAAAGTAAATGATTTAGATGGGTAATCGGAAGATAAAGGCGGCAAAAATGATGCCTAGTGGTTAGGGTATCCGATTCCAGTTCTTCCGTTGCGAGGGAATACTTCGCATTCTTTAGCACATCAGATTTATTTCAAGCAGCGCTGATTACAGTTATTTTAATGAAACTAGACAAGTTTGCGCTCTTTAGCGCGTTAGCTTTTCTGTTTGAAAGTTTCTATGACGACTCAGTAGTTTATCGCTAATTTTTTTTCCTTCACGAACTTGCTTTCACTAATAAGAGGGCTTCAATACAGGGTTTACATCTTGTAGCTCGGTAACTTTTACACTCAAGACTACACCTTTCGTGCTCAGATAAATAATACTACTTCTAACGAATCACATTTCAAGTTCTGAGCTGGTGAAATATTTCCGAGACGTCTTGACTAAAGATGACATCAAATATCTTAAATATCCTTCTGATTGTGCTGGGCATCATCATGAATAGGTCACGTGGTGTGAGATTGATTTACACTTTAACGCTACAATTTGTGACAGACAGACAGACAGAGAGACAGACAGATACCTATATTCAATTATAACGCTCGGGGTGGTCCTTTCAGGTGCTTGAAAACAACCTGCTATCAAAACGAGTCCTGAGAACAGTTACATAAAATAAATGTTATTGCCCTGTGGGATTCTGGCCCAGAGGCCGGAACCCGAGGAGGCACTATAGAGTCCCCCGCATATATATGTATAGGGAGGAATAGGAAATGACGAAAGCTTGGAAAAAGTCACGGAATCACTCACTTGAATAACGTAGTACTGTTACTCGTTACTGCGTTACTCTACTGATTTAGTAACACACCATTATTTCATAGTGGGAAACCCAGGTGAAGGCCACTGTGGTCTCTTCTTTGTTTTCTCTCCGCCTTCTTTCGCCGGATTTTCAGCCTCGACTTAAGCAAAAGTGCTTGTTACCTTATTACGCATCAATAAGGAATTTCGCGGCTTCTTTCACATGGTAGCCCTTGTGAAGACTTTCACGTAGCAGTTCACTGCTGCGAAATATAGAGGTTACTGCTGATTTGAAAGGGAAGAAAGATTATTAACATATTTACGTTCTTTGAAAAGCACACGATCATTCTTGTCTGCTAAATTTTTAAAATGTTTCAATAAGAGATGGACCCAGCCGCTTGTGTTGACATAGGATAATTGAATCAAATCAATTAGCCCATGACTCTAACTGTTCCCACAGTTCGAGCTTCACATCATATCGTTAACAATCGACTTGATTCACTATGGTGATTGGTTTGATCCTGAACTCGAATTTCTTCTTTTTTTTTTTTGTCCAACGATGCTCAGTGTAAACTCTGAAAAGAAGTTTTAAGATAAAAATTCGATTCCTAAAAAAGGCCGGGGCAGTTTTAATGACATTATATTAAAGTTGCTTGATAAAAATTAATGATTAGATACACATAGAATGAAATATTTTCGCTTAAAATTAATGTTCAAACAGTATTCTTTCATCTAGAAAAATGATCAAAAATAATACATCAATGGTAAAAAAGATCTTTTTTGTGATTTCCCTTCTGACAGCAGATAGATGAAGAAGAATACTTTGTCGAGCTACGCGCCTGTGAATCTTATTGTTACAAGTAAAATAATCTTTGACATATTGAGGGCAACGTCCTAAAACACATTCCTTTACAAACTGAAAAGTATTCAGCAACCCCATACTGCATGCAGTAATCAATAGAATTGGTCTAATTAATGAGATATAAACAACATTGGCACTCGGAGTCGTCAAATTAGGGCGAAGACGACTGAACGTGCCAATGAACCTACCTGCCTTAGAAATCATGAGCTTTACATGACTGTTCCAAGCAAGGCGATAATTAAATACCACGCCCAGATATCCAAAGTCGTGAACCCTGTTAATTGGTATTTCATCAATACGTATATTAAAGAGTCTTCAACAGAGGCCTGGAAGCAAAAACAATGGCTTCAGTCTTTGTGAAATTAACAGACTATTACTAAAAAAGACGTCTTGTACCGATTTAAATATGCGATTTCGTTAGTAATTGATGCAAAAATAATCACATTTTATGGATAGGCTACTTATTCTCATCGAGGAAAGTAAAAATTGTAATAGGCTCTTCCCCCTACCCTCCTCTGTTTTGAGTATACAACATGGCGTACACAAATTTTACGAACAAGCGCTGAGTGATCCCGTCCCGAAAATACCCTCACACTGTAGGCAAACAATTACTTGACTTCTCTGAGTGAGACTCACAAAGAAAAAATGTCTCTCTTCACTAGTGATATTTACTATCTCCTTATACTTTCTTTCTTTATAGTTTATTATCAGATTAATTCCTTCATCTGTATCTTTGATAAGCAGAAGGAAAAAAAACTCTCAAAATCCCCAATTTTTATATGAACTCATCTGGAGTTCAATACAAAAACGGTTCGGTATTTTTATGATGTCTTATTAGCATTTGCCGGAAAGTAATGAACTGTAATAAAAATGCCCACTGTATCTGCATCGTCGACATACTTTTTATTCAAATTGGTATGGACAAAATTTTTTAGTCTTTACTTAGTTTTGTGTTTTTTTTTTTTAAATAAGTGAATATATGATGAAAACCTTCTGGCTGGTGATTAATTTATAACCCACACGTTCTCACAAACTCTGACCAAAGTTTTTTCCCTTCCAGGTTTACTAAGAGAGTCGTTCGTTCAACCCATGTTGGATCCTGATTATTATATTGGTATAACAAAAGAGACTGATGACCAGTGGAAGACAGAACACAACGGGAAGAACGTCAATGACTCTGTGAAAGAGTATTTGGTGAATTACCTGGGGAAACCTCTACATCAACTGCTAAGGTAAGGTAGAACAAGTTGCAATCTCTTCGCCTTACAATTTAACAGATAGATTCCTTGTCGTGTGCGTTTGTACAGCTAAAGACCACAGATGACGTCAAAATGTGGAATAAACAAAAAAAAGGCAAACGAGGCGCAGCCGAGCATGTTATGATAGTAATAGTAATAGTAATAATAATGATTTTATTTCAGCTTTTCCATTGGATGGCTCTTCCTCTGGAATATCTTAACATAAATGTTAAAAAAAAAAAATGAAAGTCTTAAAAGTATGGTTCATGTTTCTTGAAAAAAATGAGTAGTGACGAAGACATCTTATCTTATCAACTGCTACCCACAACGACAGAGATCTTATCATAAGCTTAACTGAGCTTGACATTTGTGTTCGTGTTAAATTGTTAAGTCTAAGGCCCTGGACAAGGGCGTGGCATCCGCTCTGTTCTTCACTCTCTTCAAACTCTTAGTTTCAATCAAAAGAACGAAAAAATGAACATTCAAGAAAGAAATTCGGTACTGAAGTTCATGTATTACACGCCATTAGATATGTAAAGGATGAGCACATTCGTCACTGCGTTCCAAGTAATAAATCCAGCGGTTGGGCTACTCTACCACTCAAGTATGTTTGGGTTGATAGTAAAGAGAACAAATCATGGCCAACAGATCCAATCCTGCCCAGTGGTGAAACTCTCAATGGATCGCTGGCTTACACCAGGATCTTGTCATATTTCACAACAAACGACATGACCCCGATGGAAGTAACAGACCTCGGGAAAAAACTGTTCGACCTTTACTACCCAATGGTAAGTTGTGAATTTATTGCGGCGGGCATACTGACTGTCCAGTTCACGGCGACCATATTGGTTACCAAAACAATAAAACGGCAGTTATGCTGATGTACCAAGTCAGCCTAAGGGATCTGAATTCGTTTCCTAAGTAAACAGTTTCTTTGGTTCAAACAATTTTACGCGGCTGCTCATCACGTTACTGAAGTTAAATATTTATATATGCAAAGGCTATCCCAATATTATTAACGCAGTTCAAGATCTTTGTGAAACATTCTACGTAAAGGTTGGTTGCGTCCCCTCCCCTCCCCTTCCCCCCCCTTCCCTCCCCCTTCCCCTCCCCTTCCCCTCCTCCTCTCCCTCCCCCTTCCCCTCCCCTCCTCCTTCACTCTTCTGACCCAAGGAAAGCTTCTTTAAGGATGAGGGCCGTGTGATGTCTTGTCCTAAAGAATAGCGTCAAGTGAAATTAGGTGATTTCGTGGAATTGCCTGCTACGAGAGAATTTTAATTACAAATTATTTTCTAACTAAAAAGTTAATTTTAATCAACCCCTTCTAATTTCCATCCATAGGTTCTAGAAATTGCAAGGACGGTAACTGGAAAAACCAATAACGATACCGCGAAACAGGAGTTTAAACAATTATTAAATGATTCTTCTAAGTTTGCATTCAACACGAAACCAATCCCTAAAAACGAGTCAGATGAAGGAGCACACCGGAAATGCAGTGACACTAAGGGAGCTAAAGAACATTGCCCTATACGTTGGGCTGCCGTGCAGACATGGATGGATGAATCAAGAAAGGTGGGTTTCTATGGTTAAATTAAGTTAATTAGTGGACGTTCTTGGGATTATGAGGCAAAGGAGTGGCAGAAACACCCTCATTCATACATTTCCTCGGGAAAGACGAATATACAGATATGTCCATATTACTTCACAACTAAGCTTTTCGTAAGTCTCTTCTTCAGCCTTATTTTCTCCATTTCAGGTCATGAGTTTACTTGCACCAAAGACTGTTCCCATGTTCCATTTTACTGGAGATAAGGCAAGTACCCCTGCCTGTCCAGTTGACGTCCAGCCCAACTTTAATCCAACCAGTAAAGCACCGTTCTACCGAAGCAGCGACGCTGATTGCAAAGAAGGTGCAAAATTCAAAATTCCGTTTTTCGCCTCAATGCCAACTTATGAAGAATGGAGTGTCAATGCCCATGATGCCATGCCTGGGCACCATTTGCAGGTTTAATTTTCTTTAATTTATCCATAAATTATATGATTTTTAGAACTTTCTTAAGTTAGAAAACTTTTCCTCTAGTGAAAAGAGACAATACACAGAATTTGTCACGGAGATCCATTAAGCAATCTAAAAAAAATTTGTAGTTTGCAATTGCCGCATTTTAAAAAATTCGTTGCCTTTAGCCTTTAAGTTGTCTTTTTTCATATTCTTATTCTTACTCCAAAACTGCGAACACCAATTTGTTCCTCGACGAAAAAAGGTTTTATCCTCGAGAAAAGTGTTTTGTCTCAGTGCTCGAACGTTATTCTATCCGAGCTCAGTTAGTAATATGTGTTCCTTTATTCTATTTTCAGATACAGGGACACCTGGAGCATTTCCGTGATAACTGTGGTGGTACTATCGCTTGGCTTGATGGTCTGACTTCTTACACAGGGTTCAAGGAGGGATGGGCCATGTACGCGGAGTATCCGTTGATCGGAAGAGACACAAATGCGTACGACGACGAGCCCATGCAGAAATACGGGATGTTGAAGTGGATGGTAAGGAAACATAGACAAGAGTGGACCCATACACTTCTATTGCTTTATATCAAATTGGGTACTTCGGATACGATTGCGTAAGATAATGAAATTAGTTAATATTTCATTTTGAGCTTCAAATCTATGATTTAGGTGCAAAGAACCGTCAGTCGCTGCTAATATCGCTCGAGGAATAGCAACACAGCGAGCCTAGAATTTAGCGGTACTTTCTAACGACAAACCTCAGTGACTATGCGAACGACATCATTATCCGTGTTTGTATTTTAAATCCTTGAGATCGAGCGTTGCTGAGCTCAGGCTTAGATCTGTCTTCTTATCTGAACTTTTGCTTCTATTGATTGTCACTTTCAGACCTTAATTGCGAAATATTCAATGTTGTTCATTTTTAAGGTGTGGATATCTATCCGACTGATTGTGGATCCCGGTCTGAACTATTTTGGTATGAAAAGAAATGAGGTCCTTGGATACTTTAAAAATTATACCTGGGATGAGTCAAGCATGGCCATGAATGAGGTAAAAAGCTACAAAAGTTAAACAGAGAAGATCTACACTCGATGGCGCTTGTTTGTACATGTCTTTTCAATCCTTCATAGCATCGAAGAAGCCAAAGCTCATAAAATTAGATGTACAATTTGAAGATTCTGTTTCATCCGTTTGCTGTTTCACTTTTCGAATATGACGAAATAACCCCCCCGCCCTACCCCCTCCAAAAAAGTTAGCCAGTTCATGTTATGATAAAGAAATTATGACGACTAAATTGCTGATTACAAAAAAAATTTAGAAGAGCTACAGAAAACCTAAAACTTTTCTTTATAAAATGACAAAAGGAAACATATTTTGCTCGTGTGACAAGCCAGCACAACCCCATGTTCATTTCAGCAATGTGCTTCAGAGACCTGAAAAGAAAAAATGAGAACATGACCAGAAATATAAAATTATATATGTTGTTAAGACTCGTCTTTGCCAATTGATGAAATGGTACAAGAAAAAAAGTTGAACTCTAAATGTCCACCTCAGGCGATCCGCTACGAGAGTATTCCTGGACAAGCCACTTCCTATATGATTGGACAAGGGATGATTCTTGAGGCCAGAGAATATGCAAAGAAAGAACTGGGAGACAAGTTCGATCTGCGAGACTTTCATTACCAGGTAAGGATGGAAAGGTATTTTGTCATGGAGATACTAAGTTGGAGACAGAATAATACTTGAGTTAAAACTCAGCGGACTCCCGCTATAATTGTAACGTACTCAATAAAATAATTTGGTTTATCAACTGATTGATATATAAATTGCCGACCCTAGAGAGTTTCTAAGCTGGCTAAGCGTTAGCCATTTGTCAAAGCAAATGGACGAAGGTCTAGCGCTCTGGCGAAAGGTGTGAGCTTAGAAACTCTTTACGGTGGCCAATGTACATAATCAACTCACTTAATAAAACCAAATTATCTTTTCATACTTCCTCACCGACGCAGAACCACAGTGCTTTGGAAAAGTACCCCCTTTAACATATTCAATACATCGGCTCCTCTATTCACAGTTCCTCAAAGTGATTGGCTCCCTCTATTGATAGATTGTATAATGTTATTACTTTTCTAATCTTCTATAACTCTAGTATTCATTTTTAATCTTTCATCTTCAGATTTTGTCACAAGGATCCTCGCCTCTTGGTTACTTGATGGATCACGTGAAAGATTATGTGGCCTGTGTCAAGGATCAGGCCAAAGAAGGCTGTGACGTCATCATGAATCCGCCAAAGAAAACTGAAGCAAAGAAAGAAGCCAAGGCACAAGTTCGTTGGCCAAAGATGATTAAGCCCGCCATTTATTACAGATGAGCCATCGATGCATATCATTTTTTGTTTAATTCGCGAATGATTTTAACTTAAGCTTTTCAAATAAATTGGTCCGCGTTTGATGGAAAAAAATTTCCCTATTATTCGAGCTAATAGACTATTGGTGTTGGTTGGATCACAAACTGCTTAAAAAAATTGAAAACACAGTATGCTGTGAAATTAAATCGCCCTTTTGTGATCGAAATTCTGGGTTTAAATAAACAAATAAACTGATTCAAGTGCAAATTTTTTCGTCATTTGAACCCGATTATGCTCATCATTCATGAGAACGATATCGAACTCGAGGCCATCATTACAAACTTTGTAACCTGGCAGGGGTAAGTACACCTATGAAGGCGAATCTCTTTAACTTCGAGCTCTTTGATCTACTCTCCTTTTTCGTGATACAAATCACGATCAATCGCCCCAAACTAAACGGCCATAGAAGGTTTTCTTCGCCCGCAAGAAAGTTTGTGGCGGTAGGCAGAGACGTTGAGAGGTCATTATTACTGCCGGACGTCTCGAGGACATCTAACCGGCTCGCTATGCTCAACGCCTTAAATTGTCTCGTGGGTAAAAGGAACATTCGTGCTGTAGCGCTTTCCTTTAGAGATCTACTCCATTAACGTCAAAGACGTCAGGCTATCAAGGAAACGTTTACGCTCATCCATAACAACGGCTAGAGTAACCAATAAACGTTAGATAGGCTAAATGAACATCCGTTTAATAGGTAGCGCAGCCATTAAGAAACTTTAAGAAGCACATTTCAGGATGGCTTGAAATCGTAGCATCCATGAAAGTGCTGAAGAGCTCGAGTTACTGCATACCCCATCACCTGCTAAACAATCAATACACATCCATAATCATTTTGGACCATTTTTTACTCTTAAAATTTGCTTGTTCTAAAGGATGACCTTGACAAATAGCCCGCGAATAATTGGCGACAAGCAGTCCTTAAAAGCCAAACGATACAACCACGCATGACGTAAAGGTCAAAATTATGAGGTCATAGCCAATTTGACTCACGATTAAATTTTGACTAAGTCCTAAGAGATTTTAACCATGGCCACAAGAATCCTATAGTACTACTTCGGGAATATTGAGCAATCCATTCTTGTCATTTACTGCGTCATTAACTGCCCTCAGCTCTCTGTTCACACCTTCCGATAATATTTCTCGGACTTGGAGAGGTCATATGCCACATCAGCTCGCTAACCGTTAACCATCAGCTTGCTTAATAGATAAGCGTTGAGGTAAGTTTTGATGTCAGAATTATAGTTTGGGATTATCACTCGTACTCTTAGCCTGCTCTTCGATTTCCTGATTTTTGCCCGTTTTGGCTTGTTATCTTATTATTGTCTTTTCTGTGTGGGGTACTTTATTATGAGTAATTTTAAAGTTGTTTTCCTTTGACTGATTGTTCTGTAATCCTTGTGTGGGTCTTGTGCCCGAGAGTGTGCAAGATCGAACACATAGCTTAACGTTTGAGTTGTTTGCCGCTCCAATAACAGTTTCCGCGGGTGAAAATATTTGGGTTTGTCTCCTGACCTCGGTTAGGACCAACAACAGGGTTAATTCCTGTTTTGATTTTTGTGTTCAGAGATTGGCCTTATATTTGGGAAAAAATCACGTACTTTGTTCTTCAAGTTTTTCTTTAAGTCTCCTTAAAAGAATCTGGTTTATTGTTTAAGTATAGGGGTTAAACTTCCAAGGTCTAGGGATTTTTTTCCTGGCTAGGTCTCTCAGTTAATAACCCAAATATGCTTACCATCAACTGATAGAATACTTAGGAGCATGCTTTAGAAAAACACTTCAATAGAAGCAGAAGAAGCATTTTTATTTTCTAGCCGCGGAAAGCACAAATATAGAAGAAAACTAGAAAAGTATAAAAAAAGAGCCTTGGTGTCTCTCCATGGCGCGAGTTTCTTTGAAGCTTATTTCCCGGACGATACGTTGTAACACTATGTACAGTCATTACTATAGATAAATACTACACGTTTAACGCCACAAAATAAGTGCATATTTAATCTATTTGCCAGATAGACGAATATTTAGATGTATAGATGTGTATATGTGATTCGACTGAAAATAAATTACAAACATCCATGTACAAATATAACAACAACCGGAATAACGACATAGGTATATGAAATAGAAACGAACCTACAATTTGTGGCGTAACCAGGTCCGACAGTAAAACTACTGATAGAAACACGGCGCTAGCAAAAACTAACGAAACGACTGACTCAGTTGAAATCAATTAGCCACAAGAATTATCTAACAAGAACAACGCCTATACTGGCAAGAAGTAAAATGCTACCGGCTTTCCGTAATTCTTATCCAACCTCACTCAAAAACGCGAAACTTGATTGAATTGAAACAGAGCATGAAAACAGTAGTTTAATCGAAAGAAAACTAATATAAAATCATTTCGCAGTTAGTTGACCATAAATTAGAAATGCAAAATCCAGTTACTTCAATTGCCTTTCATATTATGCAAATTATCGTTTAAATTGTTTAAATTTTTTTAACTTTGTTCTCGTGTGATCTTCGAGACTTGTTAACGCCACAGGCGACAGTGAATTTAATCTCCTCCTTCCCTTAAACTGGTTCAGTTCAGACCTTGTTCAGAACTTGGCATCATGGAGCTGAATAAAAGTTCAGAAATTATCTTTTCGGACCAAAGAAGCATCAAATTCGAAGGAAGAGATTCTAAATTTAGAATCGTCTCATTAGTCTTACTGGCTGTCGGAGTAATCTTTCTCGTGGTGGGAATTGTGCTAACCGTAATTGCATTAAAAGAGAAGGATGAGAAAACGCACGATTCAAACATCGCAAAACGGGAGACTCCTCTGTCAGGTGGATGCGACGGTTCAGAGGAAGCTAAACGAATCGGCCTCGATGAATTCTTTAGTCGAGTTCAGGCAACATATTACGAACTTCATCCTTACGATGTGTTTCAAGACCCAGACGTAAAAACAGAGACAGTCAAGGAAAGGAAAGGAAAGGGAAATTATGCTTATCAGTTCGTAAAGGACGATGGACAGGCGGAAATTTTTCTGCTCTTTAAAAGGGTATTAAAGGGCGCCAGCCACGTTATTGAATTTTCGACCTTTAAGGTGAATGTGCGCAAAAAAAGCAACGCCAACGCTTGATTGTACCTGAAAATCTAGCGATCCTTAACATTTGGGAATCAAATTGACAAATCATGCAGCAAACCAAAAGTATGGAGATGATGATTTCCAAAAAAGAGACCATACTTTCGGGCGTCAAGGACCCTCGCGAGAGAGAATCTGAGAAAACAACATGGCAACCACTCATTTTATGAAGAAGCTGTGGGCGTCGCCTCTCCGGAAATACCCTTACACCGAAGGCATTCGATTGCCTGACTTTTCTGGGACCGGTCCTTGTGGGAAAATGTGGCACTCAACCGGTAAACGTTTAATTTCAAAGTAAGTGAGCATGACCTCTAAAGCGCTAGAAATTTTTGTTGCGTTTCTCATTTCTGGTGTATTTTCTACTTAATCTCTTTTTTGTGCACTCTCATTCAATTCTTTCTTGACTGAAAACTAAAAGAAGAACTTTTGTGTGAGTTCAACGCAAGGCTACAAGATGCACTTAAGTGAGGCCCTGTCAGGAGGGGTCTTATCGTCCCTCTTCTGAGTTTCAAACCTTTTCACGTCGCAAGTTCGGAAGGTTCGCATGTGGGTGGCGGAATTTCGTCCAAAGCCACAGATAACGATATTGGAAATGTTCAAGTATAGAAAGTTTAACCTTAATGGGTTCTCGTAATTCTGTTCCCGATACATTTTATTTCCGGATAATTATCGACCAAACTAAAGCCTTGCAAAGAGCGACATCGAAAAAAAAAAAAAAAAAAAGGGTAAATCTGAATTTGGAGCGCTTAACCATAAAGGACATGAAACAAGGTGTGATGACATGAAAGATAAGAAGTGAAGATGACAGAAGAGAGTCATACGACACAGGTCACACAGTAGATTGTCATTACTCACTGAAAGTTAAACTATATTGTAAACACAATTTCCTCTGCCCGAATGCGCTGCAAGTCCTTGTCTAATTTTTAAACGCCAACGTCACTGTCGATTTCACTTTTCTCTTTGTCGCTGTCATGATTTCGCGAGAACAGCTCATCTGAAAGTAAGAACCACGAAAGTCGCTTAGCAGGCCTTCGAATTAAAAAACTTGCACAAAAGCTACAAAATAATCGTATAGACGCACAAAATTGTTGTTTCCAGCCAATAAAGATTTTGACCTCATCAAACTAACCAAGCAGGAGGAAATTGAGAGGAATATTGCCTTTGATTTGGCCATATACTGAGAGGAGAAACCACCAGCATCCCTGACGTTTTGCTTAGCTGGTCTCCAAGGGAGAAGGAAAATAATGTATCCGGGATCCACTTAGAGACCTTTAGAGGGGGACTGCGGTGGACTTAGGCTAAGCTGGGAGCGGGCTTCTATGCTGTAATGGACCGTGATGAGCAGCAAGGTGAATCTAATTGATACCTTGTGTGTCACGGATGATAACTAGTTTTATATATTTCAGATGGTAAATAATCACCTTGAGCGATAACATTTTCACTTTAGGTCTGTGTCCGTGACCTTGTTAAAGCGTGTTACTACCACGTCGCAGCTAGTCTAATCTCTCGCATATTTTCTGCGTGGAAAACGATTTAATAACAAATGATTTCGCGATGACAAATTGCGGTATTTCTCCAGTATCAGGCCAATATGGCAATATGAGTAAGGCTTGTGTGATCTATTGCTGAAAAATGATTCAGAAAAGTTCCTAATCTTAGCTGAACTTAGATGGGACATGTGAATAGCAATTCGCAAAGGACGACGGTCATGCGGAAATTTTTTTCACTTACGTCCGCCAATTGTTACTTTCGTCAGCCAAGTTTTACTTTTCGCCAGCCAATTTATTTGCGGCGAGGTAAGCGAATCATACAACGGCAACAAGCTCTTTGAATTAATTGTTCCGGAGAATTTGGCGATTCCAGTCATTTTGGAGAGCAACTTCACAATCATGCAGCAGACCAAAAGTACGGAGATGATGGTGTCTGACGAGAAGAGCATTACTTTTGGACGTCAGGGACCCTCGAGGGAGAGAATCATCACAATTATGATATTAGCTGTCGCGACGATCATTTTCATCGTTGGAATCGCGTTGATTGCTGTTGCAGCAAAAGAAAAAGGAAAAGATGACGGAACATCAGGTACGAATGCGGCCGCCGCAGCCCCATCAGACAAATCAGCGAAATGTGATTATTCAGAGGAAGCAAAACGAGTGGGGCTTGGTGAATTCCTCGATAAAGTCAAGTCATCGTATTATAAACTCCATCCTTATGTAGTTTATGATGACCCAGATGTCACCCCTGAGAGAATCAAAAAAGAATACGTCGCCTACGATCCGAGGCCCTCTCTGATCAAAACTCGAACGGACGCTTCCTTAAACTTGCTAAAGGAAATCAACAAGAAGGACATAAACAAAGCTGCATTGAAACCAAGAGAAAAGAAAGTTGTGGCCCAAGTGAAGCACTATCTTCAACACGTATTCGGTCAACCTTTTGATGTCAATTACTACGCTGGAGATTGGATGATGGGACCGAACAAACGCTGCTGGCAGGAAATCTGCAACATCGGAAGGGCAGTGCAAAACGGACTGGGTCGTTATTTTAAACCTAATGATGCATCGGATGTTGAGCTAATAGAGACGAAACTTAAGACTTTTAACGCTAGCATTTTGCAGTACATCGAAAACATGAAGATGGGAATACGTAAAGGAATGGTAAGAAGTAAGGAAGCGTGCGAGGTTGGATTTAAAGCTTTAAGATCCAAGTACATGAAGGTTTACCTAAACAACGAAACAGGTATGCGAAGCTATCTAGATGTATGGCTCCGTCTTGCTTTAGAAGACGTTATGTGTTATGCGTTCATGCACTTCGATTATTATGTAATCTTGACCTTCCCCTAAAATTTTAATAAATTATGTGAGTTAATAAGAATATTGCAAAGCAGGACCTCTTCGTAACTTATTCTTAACGATGCTATAGAGCGGAACGCAAAATTATTGACGGATCACAGTCAACATTGGCTTATTTCATGAATGCTTATACCGGCATACGGATAAATACATTTTTCCGATCCTATTTCAAAATTATAGGCTTAATGCTAAGAAGATAACGCCTGTGAATTAGCTGTTATTTCCTCTCCTTTAAATTTGTGGCAATATTTTATTCTATCAAAAACATTTATTCAAAAAAACAAACGAGTTGAATGAGTAATCGGAAGATAAAAATGGCAAAAATGATGCTTAGATGTTAGGGTTTCCGATTCCAGTTCTGCTATTGCGAGGGAATACTTTGCCCTCTTTGGCATCTTAACTCAACTTCCGCTGATTACAGTTACTTTGTGCGACTATAGAAGTTTTTATTGTGAGCTCTTCAACTAATGAGCTTTTCATTCTTGAAGGTTATATGACAGCTCGGTGAACTGTTGCTAATTTTTTTTCTAAAACATTTCAGGAAGAATAAAAAACGAAAGTGGGTCGGGAAATTTTGATATTTGAAATATTTGTCCCGTGGCGTCCATTTACGCAAAACGCCTCGCATAATTTTAGCTACTTCAACTTCAGATGCCGATATCTAAACAACCAATCAGAATATCGGAAGAACCTGATGAACTTTTGTTGATTGATGCCTTGTGAATAAGACTGCAGCCACTTTGCTAATGCTGCGGCATCTAATACCCGATAAATTCAATAAAAGAGCCCTAGGTCGTTTTACGCCTTTCTGGCTCCTGACACTTCTTAAAAGGAAAACTCGCGTAAACTATATTTTTATCGCAAACTGCAGTTATTAAGCTTTCTTCTGATATTAAGTTTGCTAGGATATTAGTAAAACTAAATAGGAATTAGGAATAGGATTTTTTTTTCTCCCGAAGGACACCCACGAAGGTGGGAAGTAACCTTGACTTACAAAGGAACGCCATTCCTCATTAATTCGTTCGAATCATATTTCAAGCTCTGAACTTAGGAAATATTCCACGTATTTTGGTACTGTCTGGGATTAATTGAAAATTATGAAGACTAAAGATATCATCACATATCATAACCATTTTGCAGATTATCCTCATGAATGTTTCTTTGCAGCCGGAAAGAATACCTTTCGTTTTTATCCCTTATAAGGCCAAAATCACATTTTAAGACCCCTTGACTAGTTAAAAAGATGTGATTTCGTAAGCGATTGATGAAAAATAATCTCCCTAACCCTCTACAACATGGCGGACACACAAGTGCTGAGTGTCCCTGCTTCAAAAATCCACTTGCACTTGAGGCAAACGATTGCGTGACTTCTCTGATTGAGGCCCACAATAAGAAGATGCAGTGCTTCATTAGTGAAAGTTAATAAAATAAACAAACAAAACAAAATGTCTAAAGGAATTCATCTTGAAAAGAACGTCAAGTTAGTGCTTCCAACACAAAAACAGTTATTCATAAATCTTTTATTAATTAAACATAATAAAAAGTGTAAATTGAATGAGTTTAATGTTACGATAAGTAGCATAAAGTTTGTCTTCACAGAAAAAAAAAATTAAAATGTTGCTCTTGTCCATTCAAAAAATTAGTTAGTTGAACTTTCCTCGTTAGCGATTAATAGATTAATCTGTAAACCACACGCAGATTCTTACCCATTTTTTTTTCTTCCAGGTGTGCTACAAGAATCATTTGTTCAACCCCTGTTAAATCCTAATTTTTATAGTGGTATAACAACAGAAACAGATAGCGAGTGGGAGAAAAGCCACGATGGCAAAAATGTCAGCGACTCTGTAAAAGGATATTTGTTGGATTACCTTGGGAAACCGCTGGTTCATTTATTGAGGTAAGGCAGTACGTGTTGCACTCTCTTCACCTGCACCCGAGACGCAGTCGAGTGTGTCACTGGTTTTCATGTGATGAAGAAGAAAAACGTTGAGAACGGTGACGCCATCCATGCGTTTGTCCTCCATTAAGAGGAGAACCAATCAAAATGCGAGAAATCAGGCTCATTGTATATACTGCTATCCACGACGTTTGAAATTTTGTCATAATATAAAAGAGAGTACGCTAAACTGAGCTTGACCTTCGTGTTACATTGTTAAGTCTGGAGCCCTTTTCAGGGCTTTTGCGACCAGTCTGTTGTTCACTGGCACGCTGCCTCTCCTTAACCATTACGTTTGCATCAAAAGAGCAAGAAATGAAAATATAATAACGCTTTACTGACGATAATGTATTGCACGCCTTTAGATACATCAAGGATGAACACATTCGTCACTGCGTTCCAGGTAATGTATCCAGCGGTTGGGCTACTCTACCACTCAAACATGTTTGGCTTGATGGCAAAGAAAACAAGTCCTGGTCAACAAATCGATACCTGTCCGATGGTAAACAACTGAATGGATCGCAGGCTTACACCACAATATTGTCGTATTTTACAACAAACGACATGACCCCGACGGAAGTTACAGAGCTCGGGAAAAAACTTCTCGACCTTTATTATCCAATGGTGAGCCTTGAATTCTAGTTTACGACAGCGAGTGTAAGGACTGTATAGTACGTTGACAAATGGCGTCGGGCGGTCATGTTGGTTACCAAAACAATAAAACTGATGAACTGATGAACCAACTCAGTCCTATGCAATTTGAATTGTTTTCTTAAATGAACATTCTCTTATTCCATAAAATATAATACGCTTCTCATTGCACTATTAAAAACATGGTACACACAAAAGCTGATCCAAACAGTTTTAGCGCAGTCAGCCAATGCTAATGATCCTATTCGGTTTCGAGACATCCTCGAAAAATTCTACTTGGGGTGTTAGTTGGCGCCTTGTTCACTTTACAAACGACACTTTGGGATGTCATACAACATCCCCCTCCTACCGTCCTAATGAATCTTTCCTCTGGGCCAGACGCTCTGGCTCAGAGGAAAGCTTCTTCGAAAAGGGGCCAAAGAATGGCAGCAAGTGCGATTAGTTGATATCGTGAAATGGCCCAGTAAGAGAGGGCCGTCATCCTCCCTTAAATGGTTGGATAAATTTAACTTTTGACGCAACTGTTAAATCAAAATAACCTTTTCATTTCCGACCGCAGGTTTTAGAAGTTGCAAGGGAGGTAACTGGAGAAGCCAATAACGATACCGCGAAACAGAAGTTTGAGAAATTGTTAAATGATACTTCTAAGTTTGCATTTAACACGAAACCAATCCCTAAAAACGAGTCAGACGAAGAAGCAGAGCGGAAATGCAGTGATATTAAAGGAGCTAAAGAACATTGCCCTACACGATGGGCTGCCGTGCAGGCATGGATGGATGAAATAAGAAAGGTAGGTTTCGATGGTTCGAAAAAGTTAATTGCTAGGCGTGCATGGGGTTATGAGCCTAAGGAGAACCAGAAACACGTCCTTATCAACATAATCCGGAGGAAAAAAAGTGATATAAAAATGAAGCTTATTGAATTTCCTTAAAACTAACCTCTTAGTTCACTCCGTCTTAACGTCTCCATTTTCAGGTCATGAGTTTACTTGCACCAAAGACTGTTCCAATGTTCCATTTTACTGGAGATAAGGCAACCACTCCCACCTGTCCAATTGACGTCCAGCCCAACTTTGATCCAGCTATGACATTCCAGAGCTACCACAGCAGCGACTCTAATTGCACAAAAAGCGCAACATTCAAGATTCCATTTTTCAACTTGTTCCCAACGTATGAAGAATGGAGTGTTGATGCCCATGAGGCCATGCCTGGACACCATTTGCAGGTTTAAGTTTTCTTCAGTTTCTACGTAAATCATTTGTTTTCTTAAGTATCTTTAGTTCGAAAACTATTCGTCTAATGAGGGCAATTTAGCTTCGATAAAGAAAATGCGCAGAACTTGTCACGGAGATATATGAAGCCATCTAAAAAATTGTACTTTGCAATTGCTGCATTTTGAAATTCGTTGGTCTTCAGTTTTGAAGAATTTTTTTTTTGCCTCAATTTGCGAGCACAAATAAAATACACGTGTACATTAACTTTCATCCTCGACAAAAGTGGTTTGTCCGCTTGAATGATATTTGAGCCGAGCTCAGCTAAATTGAGATAAGTTTTTTTTTTAAATTCTTTTTACAGGTACAGGGACACCTGGAGCATTTCCTTGATAGCTGTGGTGGTGCGATTGCCTGGCTTGATGGTCGCACCTCTTATACAGGCTTCAAGGAGGGATGGGCCTTGTACGCTGAGTATCCTCTGATTGGGCGAGATACAGACATGTACGACGACGAACCCATGCAGAAATACGGAATGTTGAAGTGGCTGGTAAGGATACATAAACCACAGCAGAGTAGACACATAAACTTTTTTTGCTTTATAAGAACTCAGTCCTTTTGATATGGTTACGTGAGATATTTGAGTCTTTCAGTCGCTGCAATTGATTGTCACTGTCACACCGTAATTGTGAAATTTTTGATGTCGTTCTTATTTAAGGTGTGGCGATCTATCCGATTGATCGTGGATCCTGGTTTGAACTACTTTGATATGAAAAGAGATAAGGTCCTCGACTATTTTAAAGAATATGCTTGGGCAGAGTCACCTTTTGTCCTGAGTGAGGTAAAAAGAAACATTGTAAAAAGCAATGTTTGTCTGATCATAATTCATTTGTAATCTTTTTAAACCGCTTTCCACAAACTCAAAGACTGAAAGTGTTGTTTTTATCAGTTAACATATTGTTACATTGAAGATTTCAATTCTTAATGTACACAACAGGCAGTCCGGTACGAAAGCATTCCTGGACAAGCCACCTCTTACATGGTAGGACAGGGGAAAATTCTTGAGGCCAGACAATATGCAAAGAAAGAACTGGGAGATAAATTCGATCTGCGGGACTTTCATTACCAGGTAAGGATAGAGATTCGTTTTGTCATGTGTTAACTGAAATCAGAGTCAAGCAGATGTAAAATAAAATGTGAAGATAAGGGACTAGTGGAATTCAGTGCATGACTCTGTCATAAAACCTTAGCCAGTCGGTAACTTTATTTCCTCAAACTCCGGACACCTCGACATTACACAATTCTAGTAACTGTAAGGTTTTCCCCTTCCTTTGTAATAGAGTTTACGGCTGTCGTTTGTAATTTAAACCTTTGCACCTTTTGTATTTATTCATATCTTCTTTATTCAGATTCTGTCACAAGGATCGTCACCTCTTGGTTACTTGACGGACCACGTGGAAGAATATGTGGCTTGTGTCAAGAATCAGACCAGGGAAGGTTGTGACGTAATCATGAACCCCCCAAAGAAAAGTTAAGCAAAGAAAACAGTCAAGGCACAAGGTCTCTGGTCAAAGATGATTAACTTAAGCGGGTCATATATTACTGATGAGCTATCGGTGCAATTTATTGTTGTTCGCTGAGTAAATTTTAAAGCTTTCTAAAAAATTTGCAAGAATTTCTTTCCCCATTATTCGAGCTCAATGAATACTGGGTTTGATTGAAATGCTAAAAAAAAAAAACTTTCAATACAGTATGATATGTAGTTAAATTGCCCTTTGCATTCGAAATTGTGGGTTTAAATCAATAAACAAACCTAATTAACGTGAATTTTTTTTGGCCTTTGAACTCAATATGCTCGTCTTCCATCCATATCACGATCACTAACGGCTACCTCAACGCCTATGGAAGGGTTTTTTCGCCCGCGAGAAAGTTTGGGGCGGTAGAGAGAGACGTTAAGAGGTCATTATTATCGCCAGACGCCTCGAAGACATTTCACCGGCTCGCTACGTTCAACGTCTCAAACCATCTCGTGGGTAAAAAGAACATTCGGATGACCTTGACAAATAGCCCGCGAATAATTGGCGACAGGCAGTCTTAAAAAGCCAGACTATACAACTACGAATGACTTAAAGATCAAAATAATGAGGTCAGAGCCAATTTGACTTACGATTCAATTTTGACTGAGTCCTAAGATTTCAGCCATGGCGACAAGAACCTTGGGTGAATGTTAAGAAATCCATTCGGCTTGTCATTCACTGCGTCATAAAATGCCTTCAGCTCTCTGTTTACACCTCCCGATAATATTTCTCGGACTTGGAGGGGTCATATGTTACATCGGCTTGCCAAACGTTAGACAAAACCATCACCTTGCTTAATGGATAGGTGTTAAGGCATGGTTTCCTATTGTTGTGAAGAACTATAGTTTGAGATTATCACTCGTACCCTTAGCCCGCTCGTTGATTTCCTAATTTTTGCCCGTTTTGGCTTGTTATCTTATTATTAGCTTTTCTGTGTGGGGTACTTTATCATGAGTTATTTTAAAGTTTTTTTCCTTTGACTGATTATTCTGTAATCCTTGCGTGGGTCTTGTGCCCGAGGGTGTGCAAGATCGAACACATAGCTTAACGTTTGAGTTGTTTGCCGCTCCAGTAACAGTTTCCGCGGGTGAAAATGTTTGGGTTTGTCTCCTGACCTCGGCTAGGACCAACAACAGAGTAAATTCCTGTTTTGATTTTTGTGTTCAGAGATTGGCCTTACATTTGGGGAAAAATCACGTACTCTATTCTTCAAGTTGTTCTTTAAGTCCCCTTAAAAGAATTTGGTTTATTGTTTAAGTATAGGGGTTAAACTTCAGAGGTCTAGGGATTTTTTCCCCAGCTAGGTCTCTCAGCTCACAACCCAAATATGCTTACCATCAACTGATAGAATACTTAGGAGCATGCTTTAGAAAAACACTTCAATAGAAGCAGAAGAAGCATTTTTATTTTCTAGCCGCGGAAAGCACAAATATGGAAAAAAACTGAAAAAAGCATAAAAAAAGAGTCTCGGTATCTCTCCATGGCGCGAGTTTCTTTGAAGCTTATTTCCCGGACTATACTTCGTAACACTATGTACAGTCATTACTATAGATAACTACTACACGTTTAACACCACAAAATAAGTGCATATTTCACCTATTTGCCAGATAGACGAATATTTAGATGTAAAGATGTGTATATGTGATTCGACTGAAAATAAATTGCAAACATCCATGTACAAATATAACAACAACCGGAATAACGACATAGGTACATGAAATAGAAACGAACCTAAAATTTGTGGCGTTACCAGGTCCGACAGTAAAACTACTGATAGAAACACGGCGCCAGCAAAAACTAACGAAACGACTAACTCAGTTGAAATCAATTAGCCACAAGAATTATCTAACAAGAACAACGCCTATAATGGAAAGAAGTAAAATGCTACTGGCTTTCCGTAATTCTTATCCAACCTCACTCAAAAACGCGAAACTTGATTGAATTGAAACAGAACATGAAAACAGTAGTTTAATCGAAAGAAAACCGATATAAAATCATTTCGCAGTTAGTTGACCATAAATTAGAAATGCAAAATCCAGTTGCTTCAATTGCCTTTCATATTATGCAAATGATCGTTTAAATTGTTTAAATTGTTTTAACTTTGTTCTCGTGTGATCTTCGAGACCCACACAATTACTGGTTCAGTCCAGGGAGTGGCTTGTTAACGCCACAGGCGACAGTTGGTTCAGTTCAGACCTTGTTCAGAACTTGGCATCATGGAGCTGAATAAAAGTTCAGAAATGATCTTTTCGGACCAAAGAAGCATCAAATTCGAAGGAAGAGATTCTAAATTTAGAATCGTCTCATTAGTCTTACTGGCTGTCGGAGTAATCTTTCTCGTGGTGGGAATTGTGCTAACCGTAATTGCATTAAAAGAGAAGGATGAGAAAACGCACGATTCAAACATCGCAAAACGGGAGACTTCTCTGTCAGGTGGATGCGACGGTTCAGAGGAAGCTAAACGAATTGGCCTCGATGAATTCCTTAGTCGAGTTCAGGCAACATATTACGAACTTCATCCTTACGATGTGTTTCAAGACCCAGACGTAAAAACAGAGACAGTCAAGGCCGAATACGTTGCTTACGATCCAACACCAGCCGTCATTAAAACCCGCACGGATAAGTCTTTGGCTTTGCTGAAAGAAATTACTGACAAAAAGATCAATGAAGACGCGTTAAAGTCCCGAGAAAGGAAGGCAATTGCTCAAGTGAAGCATTATCTGCAGCATATATTCGGTCAGCCTTATGATGTGAATTATTACGCAGGAGACTGGATGTTGGGACCGAATTTGTTTTGCTGGCAGGCAATCTGCTACCATGGATATGGTGTTTATCAAGGCCTGGGATCATATCACAAACCTTTCAATGCATCGGACGTGGAGCTCATAGAAAAGAAACTCAAAACTCACAAAGCTGGTATTTTACAATACATCGAGAACATGAAGATAGGAGTTCGCCGAGGAATGGTCAGAAGTGTAGAAGAGTGCAAAGCTGGTATTGACTCCATCGAATTGGTATATTCTGGCATTTCTTTACACAACGCGACAGGTATGAAGTTCAAATATTTAGACAGTTTTTAATGAGTTCTTTTTAGCCTTTTTTTCAATGGACCTTGGATGAGACGAGAAGAGGTCATTTAGTGCATTAATAATAGTAAACTTTATTCAAGTGTCGTGTAACTTGAATATTAATTAAGGACCTTGCATGAGATGATAAGAGGTCCATAAGTGAATTGAAGCAAATAATATTAAGGAAAAAACGCAGATAACATTTAGAAAAAAAAGGCTCTTCTTGGAACGCAAATCAATTAGGCAAATTCTTATTCCTTTCATTTCCTTCCTAGTTGAAGTTTCGCCGCGTGACGTGGCAAACTGATTGGAGAAAAGTGAGAGAGACGTGCATTTAAAGCGAACGGCGATGGATCAACAAATTGCTAATAAATACTTTATAGGATGCTTTAAAAAAAATGGGAATACCTCATCCTCTTTTGAGTTTAAGAGGCAAAACTGCAAACAAATCAAGAACATTAATTGAAAAAGCTTTACCCAAGCGTGGCACCCACTTAACTAAGAGTGAATTCGTAGAATTCGTTCACGCTAATGAGTTTATCACTAAATGCTAATGTGAAAAACCCTAACACATGGAACATTTCTTAACATTTATTCGAAAACGTCTCGACCGCTGAATTTTTCCCCGTGAAAATTTCCAAACAACCGATTCTGCAAAGGGTAATGATTTTCGTCGGGTGATTGTGAGTGTAAAGTCAGAAAAAGCAGCAAAAGGGCAAGTGTATTCAAAAGCACCTATGTATGCATTTCCACGGATTTTACAACTTAACTCTCAGCGAAACAAGAGTCACTAGGTCTCTCTATTTGAATTTTTCGTTTAATTTGCGTGACTATGATTGCCAACGTTAGAATTCACTGGCCTACCCTTGTCGTTATGCGACGATGCACAGGAAGCATAACTCTCCCGAGGTTTGGTCGCCTTTCAGATGATCTGGTTGAGTTTTCTCCTCCCGAGAAAACAGGATCAAAAAACGCCTTTGGATGAGGATCGAATGAAAATAAAAGAAAATAAATTAAAAGAGAACAGCCTTATATGTGCGGCGCGATCGTGCTTGTGTTCAAAAAGCTCAAGACGTGGTGACTCTGTTCAGGAAAATGGCTCTTCATATAATTCGAAAAGAAAAGAAATGGACAATTTTACTTGTGTGTTTCCGTATGTCTTCGTATGTCACCCGTCCGTGGCCTTATGTATTTGTATGTATCCGATTTGACTCGTGGTACTGATGTAGTGTTTCAGCCATGATACACAGAATATTCCAGTTGTTTTGAACAGTCCAATACATTCCAACGTGAATCACTCGTGCGTGCTCGACAGGTCACCAAAATATTACGCGCCTCGTGAACACAAAGGAATAAGATATATATCCGATTTGATATATATCCGATGAATCCGATTTGACTCGTGGTACTGATGTAGTGTTTCAGCCATGATACACAGAATATTCCAGTTGTTTTGAACGGTCCAATACATTCCAACGTGAATCACTCGTGCGTGCTCGACAGGTCACCAAAATATTACGCGCCTCGTGAACACAAAGGAATAAGATATATATCCATTTGATATATATCCGATGTATCCGATTTGACTCGTGGTACTGATGTAGTGTTTCAGCCATGATATACGGAATATTCCAGTTGTTTTGAACAGTCCAATACATTCCAACGTGAATCACTCGTGCGTGCTCGACAGGTCACCAAAATATTACGTGCCTCGTGAACACAAAGGAATAAGATATACAAAGCCACTGTTCGTGACTTTTTCCGCGCCGAGTTCATAAGCTAACCAAGACGGCGACCGCAACGCAGGACGTGGCAAAACAAATTATCTTATGAGCAAAACAATGGCTCAGCACGTGCATTTTTCAAATTGGAACTCTGGGTCTAAAACCTGATTCATACCGCCACTCAGGGCCTGTTTACATGGAGATGGGAGACCCCAGGTAAGTGAGGTAACCCGCCTAGCCGTGGTCGAAAAATAAAACGCGTTTACATGCAATCTTACAACCCCGGGGTGCTGGGGTGAGGTTTCTTGAGGTTGTTGTTGCACTTGCAATCAAGGAGTTTGAGCAGAAGCGTCCCACGCTCACATCTCGAGAAAGACGAAAGAGTAATTCTCGGACACATATATATTTATTCATGAAAGCGTCACCCGTTGTGTTGCGCGGTGTCAGGTTACGCGAGGAACTGTTGACTTAATATGTTATACGGAATAGTTTGGGAAAACAAATATGGTCGATTTATGATGCTAAATATTCCGAAATGTGAACATTTTACTCTCCTTGTGTGTCCGTTGCGGTTTCGGGTGATTTCTGCCATGAGACGGCTAGGAAATGTACAAAGTTTTAAAACACACATGTTTCGCTTTTGAGCTTTTTGCCATTAACGCGGCCCCGGCTAGGCGGGTTACCCCACCTTGACACGTTTAGCTGGCAAATTGTCACCCCGGCTGGCAGGGTTACCCTACCTGGCAGACCGGGCAACCCGCCTAAGCGGGTCACCCCACCTATCATGTAAACGTGATCAAGATAAAATAAGAAATTATATGGACAGGCGGGTTACCCCACTTAGGCGGGTTACCTCACCTACCTGGGGTCCCCCACCTCCACGTAAACAGGCCCTCAGTAGCAACATGTACTTGACCAGATGCGAGAACAACGATTCCTGCTTTTCCAAAGTGACTGCTGTTCATGCCTCCATCACGAGTAATATCCTAATTGAGCCTCATTGTAGAGAAATAAATTCTGGGTTCGAAATTTGCTTTTTGCAGGCGTGCTGAACGAGTGGTTCGTTCAACCCCTGCTGGATCCACTATATTACAGTAATATCACAGAAGAGACCGACAAGAAATGGAAGGCAGAACACAAAGGAAAGAGTGTCAGCGAAACCGTCAAAGAATATCTGGTGAAATATCTAGGAGAGCCGCTCGAACAGATGTTGAGGTACTAAGCTTATGGGTAGATCTTCTCGTATAGTGATGAGAGTATCATGTATAGGTAGAACTAATATCAAACAATTCACAATTTTATACCAAGGACCAAAATTGTGGAATTCTCTGCCTCATTCGATAATTGAATCTTACAATGTAAGATCTTTCAAACGGTTACTTAATCCCGTTTAATTAATTTGCAAAATAATCAATGAACTATATAGCAAGGCGATTAATATTAAGTGATAAAATTTTCTTTTAACTTAAAACTAGTTTGACTTAAACTCTAGTTTTAGGAGGGAACCTTACTTATAAGCATTCATGGCTTGTTGAGACTTCCTCGCCTTTTCTTTTCTCTATTTTATATTTCCCGTGAATTATTTCTGTAAATTAGCTTTGTTCCCCTTTTAATATTTAATAAATACAAATGATAAATAAATAGATAAATAGAAATAGATATGCCTACCCCATAAAACTTAACCCTTACCTTAAAACCTACAACATATTTCAATAAAGCTCTTACTATGCTAGAAGTTTCCTTTACACTTTTAAATTGTCTGTTTAGCCCAACATGTTAAAGTATGATCAATGCCTTATCGGTGCGTTGTATTGCCTGGTGACAATTCACTTGGCCTTACTCGTTATGCACTTTGGTATAATGCAGTACAAGCATTGTGCACGATAGAGTGCTCAACTGATTTTCATAAAACCTAGCATCGGGTGATCACAAAGTGCCAACGAGTACCTAAAGTAAAACAGAGTAAATTTTTTGATTTGCATTTGATTGGATGAATGAGATAGTTTTCTGGACCGATCAGGGAACGCGGCAAAGCAAAACATTACTCTCCCGCATTTCCTCAGATACTCAGCTGGAAACTGTCTATAATCACTACAATAGCTGTAGTAGTCATGTAATGATCAGTGCACTCAGAAAATTTGACACGCCTAAAATACTTTTCTATGTCTCAGATACATTGAGAAGGAACACTTTCGTCATTGCGTTCCAAGCAATGTATCCAGCGGTTTAGCTTCCCTACCCCTGAAATATGTGTGGATCGATGGTAAAGAAAACAAGTCCTGGCCAACAGAACCAAACCTACCCACTGGTGAACCGCTGAATGGATCGCTGGCCTATTCTAAAATCATGTCGTATTTCACAACAAACAAAATAACGCCAATGGAAGTTCATGAGCTTGGTAAAAAGCAGCTCGATATTCTCTATCCCATGGTTAGTTGATTGTACGCTTAGCTCATTCTCTCTTTCCACTATTATCACAAGATAACCCTAGTACAATTTGCCATTTTATACTAACACGTAGAGTGAATGGAGGGGCAAGCACTTAGTATTCCGAACGAGTGTTCAATTCTCTGTTTTTGGAAGACAATATTATTACAAAAAAAGTCGATTTTAAAACGTAAAGGATGTGTTCGTCCGTTCATTTATTTATCAATTCGTTCGTTATTTCGTTCCTTAATTCTCTCAGTCACTTACCATTCTTTTTAATTTTTTTCTTTCAACGATTATCAAAATCGAAATTTATAGGTCGTTGACGTTGCAAAGGAAGTCACTGGAGAGAAGGACAACCAAACCGCTGTGACGAAGTTCAGAGAAAGACTGAACTCTTCTGAGTTTTATTTTAACTCAGAACCAATCCCGAAAAACGAGTCTGATAAAAAAGCACACAAAAAATGCAGCGATATTGAAGGAGCTAAGAAATATTGCCCTAAACGTTGGGCTGCCCTTCAGCTGTGGTTTGCTGAAGCAAGAAAGGTAAGTTTCTTTCCGAAACTATAAGCATAAAAACAGGTAGAAATAAATCATTTGGCAACAGGCGATTGATAGAAAATTTGTCGAAGTTCCTTCTTCTTAACTAGTCTGTAGTTAGCGTGTCACGCAAAAACACGGCAGTGTATTTTAATAGCACGTCATCAGTCATGTAGCACGACAGTAATTAAGTCAGTCAGTCTCTCAGACGGTTAACGTGTGTATCAAGTAATCAGTGGGGTCTGTCGTTTAGCCAGTTTGATTATAAGTCAAACATTCAGTCGTTCCGTCAGTCAGTAAGCTAGTCAGTCGGTAAGTTAGTAAGTCTTCAAGTCATTACGTCAATCAGTCTATAAGTCAGTCCGTCCGTCAGCCAGTCACTCGATCACTAAGTCAATCGGTCAGGCAGTGACCCCGGAGGTCAGTCACTTAATGAGTCTGTGCAGGCAAGTCGGAAAGTTGTTTAATGAGTCTGTTAGCCACTCACTCAGTCAGTGAGTCAGTGAGTCAGTCAGTCATTCGGGCAGTAACCCAGTACGTCAGTCACTGAAGAAGTCAGTGCAGGTAGTCAGTTCAATCAGTCAATCAAAAAAAAATGTTTTTATATTTCCTACCATATTGAGGTGATGAGCTTCATAGAGCCTAAGACCATTCCACTGTTCTACTTCAACGGTGACAAAGCGACCACACCCACTTGTCCAGTTGATTTAATTCCGGATTTGAACCCATCCAGTGGAAGTCAAAGTTATTACTCTAGTACTCCAGATTGCGAAAGAAGCGCAAAGTATAGGATTCCGTTTTTCCTTGAAAACTTTGGTCCACGGTACCATGAATGGAGCGTCAATGCACACGAGGCGAGGCCTGGTCACCACACACAGGTCAATGCAAGCTCCGTAGAATTGCAACTTTAGTCTGACTGTGTTTGTGTTAATCTTTGAGCCTCCCTTCGACACCTCCGTATACAGGATGGAACTGTTCTTATTCACATCGCATTCATTTCAACCAAAAGAAAATCATTGAACAAGCTGATGTATTCATCTGTTTCTTTGACTAATTGAAAAACGGTTACCTTTGTATATTTGAAATCGAACAGTTTGTTCACTGACTGGGTACACATAGGGTTCTCAAGACAATATACGCAGGAATTTAACTGCAATTTTTTAAAGGTAGAACTTTACATTTCAGTAGATAAAGATTTAAAGCTCACAAAAAAAAACATACTGAAAAACCGAAGAGAAAGCAAAGTGGGCGGAACGTGAATTTCTGAAACGTCTCAAATAGTATGACGAGAATCCTATTGTTTCATGGCCAAATTTCAATTCGAATGGTAAACACCTGGTATGATGTAATGGGAGTAACGTCCATTATCTCTCTCTCCAAAGGTTCAGGGTCACATAGAACATTTCCAAGACAGTTGTGGCGGTGTTATAAGCTGGCTGGATAGTACCACCTACTACACGGCGTTTTCAGAGGGATGGGCGTTGTACGCTGAGAATCCGTTAATCGCTCAAGATACGGACACGTATGAGAACGAACCCCTCCAGAAGTATGGAATGCTTAAGTGGCAGGTAAGAAAGTATAGCCTTCTGATCAAGTAGAAACGTCTAGAAGCGAAGGAGGAGTTCACACTTTATGCTTCGATTTCAGCCACTCTATATTTCTGTCCCATTCAACCTCACTAGGATTTCAGTTGCTGTGGTCCATCATGATATATCTTTTTTTATAACATCCATTTTAAAATCACTTGTGGTCCTTGAAATCTTATTGGCTCTCAGCAGTGCGATCTATTCACGCATTGCACCATTTTTTGCTCTAAACCGCATCCTATTCACGCGCATGATCTCAGACCAAATTGCACTCCATTCGGTTCAATTACCATTATTTATGTAGCTTCTGTTCTGCCCAATTTCACTGTATTTCTCGATTCTTTAAGGTGTGGAGAGCTCTTCGGCTGATTGTGGATACTGGTTTACATTACGTTGGATTGTCTCGCGATGATGCCCTGGAATATTTCAATAAATATGCATGGGACGATACAGACCTTGCAAAGAAAGAGGTACATTAATTTTCTTCCTACTGTTGTCAAGTATTTAGTTAGCTAATTATTATTTTAGCGCTTCGTTTATATTTATTCATATTTTGAATTCATTTAATCAAACTTTGAATTCAAATTCTAAAGAGGTCGAGGCTTTTAGCTACCGTTACGTGTTCCCTGATTGTGACTGTCTTGTCTAACAACATTATTGGACACGCTTAGTTTGTAAACTGACCCTGCCTTGGATTCACACTAAAATTCTTGTTTTGGCTTCGAAGTTGAATCCAAACCAGGACATTTAAGTCCGAAGTTAGCGCGCTTGCTCAAAGACCAAATAGCCTTCCAAAGGGTAAAAGCATAGAGCAAGAGCGGCTGGGGTGCATCAATTAAGATGAACATCACATGTAAAAAGGCCCTCCTCCTACTCGCCACTGGCCGCCAACACTCCTATCCTTCCAAATCTATCTCACTTGAAAACAGTTATTCCCTTTTTTATCTTATTGACCCTTATATGACCTGGCTTATTAGGTGACTCGTTACCAGAGCGACCCAGGACAGGCGACCGCTTACATGATCGGTCAGTTGGAGATTGCACGACTTAGGAACTATTGCAAAGATGCGCTGGGAGATAATTTCAGGTTGCCTGAATTTCATTATCAGGTAATTTCTCTGCCTTCTTCCTCTCTCCCACAACTCAAATAACCCTAAGCAAATAAAATATTCGGCTTGCATTAAAGAAGGGGATAATGCTGCACACTGAAAAGTGTGGCCTCTTACCCAAGACGTTTCACTGCAAGATCGAGTGGTACTTCACTTGCTGAACTGCATTTTAGGCATGCAAGGCGGAGGGATACTTAAGGGACAAGAACGAGACGAGGAGATGGTGGCTTATCGGGTGGGTTGCCAACCGCGAAAGTAACCTGGGTGTGTTTTTAAAAGGACTGACATCCTTATCCTTATGGTATCTTTTTCAGGTGTTGTATCAGGGGTCATCTCCGCTAGCTTATTTATCTGATCACGTGAAAAAGTATGTGGCGTGCGTCAAGGATAAAGGAAAGGAAGGCTGTGACTTCATCCTTAATCCACCAAAGAAAAGCATGGACGAGTCAAAAGATACTAAAAAATCAGGACTCCACCGGGAAAAAATACTGAGACCCTTTCCGCATTATTTGTAATGAGCAATTGTATCCAAAGATTTTTTGAAATGATTTTGAGCCATAAACTGATTGACTGATTTTTAACTTTTGATCCTCCTGAACATTCAGTTGGCACAGTTTTTCGTTTTGCATCTCTGCCAGATTATTGAAATAAGCTGGGCACAGCAATTGAAACAAAAACATTTTGATCACAGCTCAGTTACAAAGCGGAAAAAACCCTCACGCAACAGTTCTTCGTAAATGCCTCTCAAAAGCTGCCTACTCTTAAAATGATTTCTGTAACCGATGTTCTTTATTTCTTCAGAAAAATAAATAAACCGTGATACGAAAGACAGCCTATCAGTTTATATAGAATATCTTGGTGTCACGTCAATCAAGATAAGCAAATATTCATAACTGTTGAAGAGAAGTTAATGGATTGACTTTGCCTTGAGGTCGAGCACCTCTCAAATTTTCTTGACTTCCTTCCGTAGAAATTTATACTTGGGAAGTTATCAAATTGTTGGAGCATGAAATATAATCGAAACATCTACAACTGATAAATTAAGTTGAAGCGAGCCAAGTAGCACACTAAAGCGACAGCCAAAAATGTAAATTATGTAAATATTTTTTTTGCGGGTACACAGCTGAAGGGTAAACATTGCTCTGCCCTGGCCCGCTACGGAATAGATATTGTTCTCGTTTAGCTACCAAGGAGGTCAAGGTAAATAGAAATCATGGTCGCCGATATTGCATTCGAAGGGGGTAAGTCAAAGGGTAGGATATTCCTTATCCTATTCGCTGTAATCGCTGCTATCACATTGATCGTAGGAATCGTGTTAATAGTTCTTGCAACTGAAAAGAAAGGGGATACTGACAGTAAGGCTTCGTCCACATCGACGTCGTCCGCAGCGTCATCCTTCTGTGACTACTCTGAAGAAGCCAAACGGATCCGTCTAGAGGAGATCATTTTACGCGCAAAGAAGAAATATTATGAGAAACATCCTTTCATGCTTCCGCAAGACCCCGATGCCTCTCGAGAGGAAATCAAGAAGAAATACACAGCATACAATCCAACGCCGGATTACATAAAAAGTGTTACTGATGCAGCGCGGAGCCTCTACAATGAGGTCAAGGAAATAAAAGTGGACTCTAAAAAGCTCAAGCCACGCGAAAGGAAAGCACTATCACAGCTCAAACATTATTTGAAGACTGTATTCGGTCAGCCTTTTGACATGAATTTCTACGCCGGAGATTGGATGATGGGTCCAACATTCTACTGCCATCCGAGGCAACAAGTCATCTGTAACTTGGGTGCGCATTTGCAAGGATTGCTGAGAAGTCTAAAACCAGAAAACTTGCAGGATATAGAACTTATAGAAGAGAAGCTAAAAACTCACAAGAAAGGAATTTTGAGATACATAGAAAATCTGAAAATGGGAAAGTTGCACGGCATGGTTTATAGTCAAGATGCTTGTGAAGCGGGAAGGAATGCACTCAGAAATAGATTCCTGAAGATCGCCTTGAAAAACGAAAGAGGTTTGTTTTTATATTTTGATTTGTGATGGGGTATGGGAATTTTCTTTCTTACAAACTTAAAGTATCTTCAAGCGCCTTGATTTTATTGCTTGTACTTTCTGTTTCTTTTCATGACCAGTTTTTCAAAGATCGCCTTTCTGTCAAAGTGACTTAACAGACCAAGTGAAACTCTGAACTTAGATTTCTTTCCACCGCTATAGCAAGGAGAAATTCAATTTGATACCTGTTTCCGCCGATCAAGAGTATTGTTTACGTAAAACAGCAGCAGTTTGTTAATGTTTCTTGCTGAAATGGCCATGATAATTAGCTAGGGGATTAACCTAACTAGCCAGAAAGTACGTTAGTGTAATCCTACCCCAAAAGTAGGATAACAACACGCGCCTCATTCCAAGGCAGAATGGAACATAATCTTGTATGACGCATGTATAAATGAGTTCAGGTTTCAGAGTTAAAACTATAGCAAGCCACATGATTTGCAATCAAGTAATCAGTCAACAAGGTGAAACATAACTAGGTTGCAGTGGTTATCTCTTTGTTTCTTAACTGATACTATCTAAACAAAAAAATTATTGACGTCGTATAACGCGTTTTAAAGAACGTCTTGTGTTTCAAATTATTAAAACGTCAAGTCTTAAGAAAACAAAATTACTTTTGAGTATCCGGCTTAGATGTAACAGAAACAGAACTTTTCGCGAAGATTCCGTTGATGGACTAAACTGAAGTAATTTTTTTAACGGAAAACCTTTAGGAAAAACCTGACGATCAAGTTTTCTTGTTCTCGCACCTTTATTGTTGTGTAAATAATCCCACCGCTTGGGTTGCTTAAACCTAACCCTAAGCAATTACAAAGGTGATGCCTTATGCATTCAAAAAGAGGTTTAAAATCTTAAAAGCTTTCATACTTTTAGGTGAAAACATCGATCTGGTTTTTTTTGCTAACCGATATAACCGGACCAAATATTAGTCCTTCGCGTTGATTAGCTTAAATTATGAGGTCTCAAACAATAAAGATTCTTTATACAGATTTTACCAACGTAATAAAAGTAGATGACGTGAATAACTGTGATGGTAAAGCAAGCTTAAAATGGCAGAAATCGCCAGAAAATAAAACGGATACACAGGGTATGAGTAAGTTTTATTGATTTTACGAGAAAAATTCATATTTCGAAATATTTATCGTTTTAAATCGACCATACTTCGTTCCCTATACTATTCCTTATGACGTGTTCAAATTTCCAACAGTTCCTCTCGTAACTTAACACCGAGTCACACAACGCGTGACGCGTTCATGAATTAATCGTTGGCTTTTTCTCGAGACGTGAGCTTGGGCCGCCTGTGACAAGACAAATGCGTAAACAATATTTAACATAATAACATTATACACCAAAAACACAGGGTTTTGGATCACGTATTTATTAAAAAAGATTATCCATACAACTACATTGAAAACAAACATAAGATTCACCTTTCTGATCGTGAAATTAATACCATTCGTACTGTTATCTTAGCTACGTTCCTTGCCATCAAGTGAATCCAACATGTCTTTCTTCACAAGCAGTTTGCATCCATTATAGATATGTTCTTTAGTCTCACGGTAGTAGTGTTGTTCAATAGATTGCATAGAGTATATGCAGTTTGGTTTCAGATTACAGATTTTGCTTTTTTCAATAAGTGAACGTTTTTCAACGAAGACATTGGCATACTTAGCATACAAGGCATTCAAGGCTTTCATGGCTTTCAAGCGTTCGCGACTCAATCCGTTCCAAAATTACCGCTCAATAACATCTTTCAGTGTGGATTAGCCGCGATTAATAAGACTTGTATATGCGTCTGTAAGTATTTTGCGCGTTTGCGCCATAATGCTCAAGGAGATCGCAATCCAAATACGTTGAAATGCAAAACAACCGACCAAAGAGTTTTATAAGCAAAAATCTCGTGATTCGTCATGTGACCGGGCCCTGTCTGTGCATGAAAACGTCAATCATCCTCAAGATAACACGCGTGATCAGCATGTGAACACCTCATTGGATCACAGTTAGTTGTCATGGTGTTGAGGGCCCAATGACCGGAGGAAAAAAAAAGACGACAAAAAAACAAAGGCATTTTATGACTGGGCTACCACAGGTATCCCAGTAATATGCTTTTGTCATACTAGAAGGTGAGCTCAAATCTAATCTTTGGGTGGTCAGGTAAATTTTTGATCGCGACATACCCAAAATCCTTAAACCTCACCAGGCGATGAAGAATGATCGCTGGCTGAGCATAACTTAATTAACATTGCATGATTGAGCATTATTGAGCAACCTCTTGAAATAGTGAAATGGATCATTATATATATATCCGTTGAAATTCCACTGAGAGTCTGAGACCAGGACTAAGGATTTGTGAGAACAAGGGACTGTCGTAAGGATCCAAAAAGACCTCGAAGCAAAAACAGTCATCCTACTTGAAGGGCAAAAAACCGAAGCTAACCATGAAGAAGCGATTGGTCTCGGCGTTCTCTCCGATTGGTAGAGAGAAACGCGCGAGTTTTGTCGACCAATTGAGGAGCGAATTAAAACGAAAAAGCTGAATTTTCGGATGTTTCACCTGTAAAATTCGTACCATTTTTAAATGAATTCTTTTTTTTTTTAATTTCCAGGTGTGTTGTATGAGAAATACGTCAGCCAAGCTCTTAATGATGATTATTATAGTAAAATCACGGACGAAATGAAAAGCCAATGGAAGAGTAACCACAATGGAATAACGGTGAATGAATCCTTAAGTGAATACCTTGTGGAGTACATGGGAAAGCCAATGACGGAACTGTTAAGGTAAAGCAGAAGACCTTAGAATGATCACTCAAACTTATGTTTTGACGACTCCACACAACCATACTTTTGTTGCGTAAAACTGGCGCTAAAAATGCTTTGGTGTTTATCAATGTGTTTTATGTATATGCGTTTCTAACATTTTAATGTTAGAATTATTTTCTAACTCACGTTGAAGGTTTTTCTTTATTCTTCTCTTTCTTACATACAACTTATTACCTCGGGACTAGCTCTGATCTCACGATGAAAGTATGGGTCACCGCCTATAAAAGTGACGCTTACTGAGCTGTCAATCTCTAACCTTCGTCATGTTTTTACACTTAACTAGCGAATCACGTTAAGCTACCTTCGAGATGTTTACGCTTTACAAAATGATTTTCTACATGTCGAGCGTGCTAAATCATACCTGTAAGATAAGACTGCCAAAAGGAATAAGAAATGATTTATTGGCTTATTATAATCTTTACTGAATGGCTTATGATAATACATTATTTCCATTCATTTTCAAGGTTTAAATAAGTAAAAAAAAACACGCCTCTAATGAAAATTATTGCTAAGCTTGTAATTATCATACTGAGCTACTAAATAGTATGGATAAAGGGGATAAGTTTCTGAAGAAACTGTGGTGCTGCGTGCATCAAGGGTATTAAAAGAATGGTCGTTTTTATCCACTGAGTCGATAATGTAAATTGGTTAACGTAATGACTTTATACAGCTGAAGTAACTTTTTAATGATGGCTAATTAACATTATCAACGGGGATGATAAGAACAAATTATCTTAACGTAAAAGTCTACCAGTAACATCCTCAGTGCTTGCTTTATAAGCCTGCAACCCAAAAACGAGCCAGTGACCCACATTTTTCGTAATTAAATTCCAATCGGTACTAAATGAGGAGAGTTGTAGTGGTTTTTATAGATATTCTTCAATGTTGAAGATCAAACGATTTGATCCTAAACATTGAAAAGTATCTATATAAACCAGTACAACTTACATATGGTTTCGGGAGTATGCGTTACCTTCAAGTGTCTTATAGATATCTTCAGTACGAGCATTACCGCTACTGCGTTCCAAGTAACGTGTCCAGTGGATTGGCCTCTCTACCTTTAGCTCACGTTTGGTACGATGGAAAGGAAAATACATCTTGGCCAACAAATCCAGAACTATCTAACGGTGACAGGTTGAACGGTTCTGAAGCATACGCTATGATCTTACCATATTTCACGACTAATGATATGACGCCGATGGATGTGCACAGGCTGGGATGGGAGCAGTTAAAAATGCTCTACCCGTTGGTATGTACTTGAAATCAAGTTATGGACGAAAAAGACTCTTTGGGAGGGTTCTTCGAGAGTTTTTCTTACTTTATTTAGAATTACAGTAGGATTATTCGTGGATACAACTAATTGATCGAATTGACAAGCTGTACAGTTCTCAGCAAATCTTCCCTTCCCTTCTCTGTATACAGAGAAGAGTTTCACGATGGGCGATAAACATTTCGAATAATTGTAAATGACAGAAAAACAGAGTAACGTGACTTGTTTCTTAATTACTAGCCGAGCGTTAGGGCCGCACAGGGTAATATGAGCCCGAGGTCGAGGAAGTACGAACAAAACGACCGTTCGCGGAAAAATATTTCCTAGAACAGTTCAGGCAAGCGAGGTTAGCAAGTACTTTATATATGGCTCTCGGAAACATCTTGTTTATTCTGAACTTGCCGGCTTTCGTGACAAACAAAAGAATACACGGCGTATTACCGTTTCCGTGGAAACAGTCCGATATACGTACATACTTGTATGTATATGGCAAAATACGATATACGATATGGGAAAATCCCGACCAAGAAAGCAGCAGTTAGAGCGCTCGACCACCTTGCCTTATAATGAACGCTTTTATGACATGAGACAAGATATGCTAAAGCCAATGTTTGAATAGAGGTTAAATTTTTTATGTAAGCGATCTATGAGATGATATGGGTTTGGAACTCAGAACTAATAGAGCATCCTTAAAGAAATTTTAATAACTTTCCACTGGTTCTACATAGGCTAAGGAGGCTGCCAAAAGTGCTACTGGAGAACAAAACGAAGCTACAGCTATCAAGAAGTTCAAGGAACAACTCAACTCTACTGACGAATACTTCAATAATGAAGCTTTTCCTAAAAACGAATCTGACGAGGATGCACACGCAAAATGCAGCAATATCGAAGATGCTAAGAAATATTGTCCGACCAGATGGAAAACCCTTGAAAAATGGTTTACGGAAGCCAGATCGGTATGAAGTGATTTGTACTTTTTGTCTTGTTTGTAGCAAAAATTGATGAACGGAAACTTTATGCAATCGCTCTAAACTTATTTCAAATCGTTTGTAGCAATAATCGATGAACGACAACGTTATGCAATCGGTCTAAAATTATTACAAACTGGAATCAACCTATCAGTAGCTGTTATTAACTGTAATTAAATTCTCCATTCCATCAACTCTATAACTTCACATCTATTATAATTTTCTGACATTGGATTTAGCCTTAGAGTTAAAATCCCATCTGCATTGGTTTTATTTGTGTTAAGTTTCTCATTTGAGGCAGTTTACTTGCTCTTACCTTTAACTCTCGCAAGCTTTTTCCTCTGTTTAGATTGGTCTTTGTAATTACTTTTTCAGGTTATGAGTATGCTGTACCCTAAAATTACCGACATGTTTTACTTCGCTGGAGACAAACACTCAACACCCAACTGTCCTGTAGAACTAAGACCAGACCTAAACCCATCTAGCGGTATACAGAGCTACGACGGAAGTGATGCAATGTGCACAAAGCCTGCCCATTACAACATTCCTTTCTTCCTAGACAGACTGGGGCCAAGGTTTTCTGAATGGAGTATCAACGCCCACGAGGCTCGTCCAGGTCACCATATCCAGGTGAAAATTTTGCAATTTTAAGTTGGCTGTAGTTTTATTTAATACATGCTTTTATATACACCTTTTTTTGGAACCAAATTAACTTACGTTGCGAAATTACTGGAGAGTTGAAAAGGCACAGAAAGGGAAAGGCAAATTCACAAGTTTTCGAACTCGAAGGTTATTTTAATACGTTTATTTTTTAAACTCTTTGACTATTTTTTGATAATTTTGAGACGACTTAGTTCTGAAAGCCTGAAAGCACAATGCATCACTATTGTGTTCGATTCCTGAGTCAAGTTAAGGTTAATATTCGTTCTCCCATGATCCTTATATCCTCCTTACTCAAAGTCTAACACCGCAAAATGTAATTTGACCTAAGAACAGTTTGCAAAGAGCTACCTCGCGGGTGTATTGCAACTAGATCTTTTTACAAGAAGTTGGGTTGTTTGGTTTATTTTTGAAATTCCTACAATTCGACTTTCCTCTAGACAGTTCTTATCATTTCAGATGTCACTTACAATTTTTACTGTGGTAGATCCAAGGGAATAGAGAGCACTTTGAAGACACCTGTGGAGGTCCAATTGGTTGGTTAAGCTCCAAGACATACTACACGGCGTTTTTGGAGGGGTGGGGTCTATATGCTGAGAATCCATTAATATCAAACGATACTGATGTCTACGATGGAAGACCATTGAAAAAGTATGGCATGCTGAAATGGCAGGTTGGTAATGACGATAATCAAGGAAAGGATAAAATGATAGTTGAAGTTGAGATCGCGCATGGATAAAAGCGCTTGTCTCTCACCGCTGTACCCTGGACTCGAGTCCCTGGCCTCACGTCATATCTGGGTTAGGTTTCCTTTGTTCTCTTTGCCTTCCAGGAATTTTATTTCCTAGGTACTCCCGTTTTCCACCCTCTGGGAAAACCAGCACTAGAAAATCCCGTAGATAGAAAGTCACCTCGTAGAAGTATCGATGCTAATGTTTCTGCGTTTTCAGATCTGGCGAGCAGTAAGAATGATTGTAGACACAGGACTCCACTACACAGGAATGAAAAGAGACGAAGCTATCAAGTTATTCGTCGATAACGCTTGGGATGACTCTGACTTCACTCGTAAGGAGGTGAGGAGAATGTCTCCGGCTCAAGGGTGTTTGGATGCAATAGTTTACAGTACTATTGCAGCGTTCATTTGCTAGCTTGACTTCTACTTCCTCTCTTCCTTTTACTTCCTCTGCAACCCACTCAGGGGTGGATGCCATCCCGTGATGCAGATGGATACCCCGCTGAGTCCATACTTCCTACGTTGTCATAATTAGTGGTTAAGGCGAAGTGAAATCAGGGCTTGTCATAAGTTACATAGCAGAATTCATAAGGTGGATGTGCAAGGAAGTTACTTCGGGCACTAGAAGGACATTTAGATACTTACTGAGGAAAATGCATGCTACAAACGATTCAGAGTGGCCGCGATCTAGTAATCACTGTGATATGCTCTTGCGAAAAAAAAAAACACTAGTAGACTTTTATGATATTATTTCTTCTATGTAACAGGTAACACGTTATCAGAGCTGGCCAGGCCAGTCGACCGCGTACATGGTTGGCAGGATAGCCCTTCTAAAAAACAGAGATCATGCAAAAACTGCTTTGGGCAAAGACTTCGATCTCAAAGACTTCCACTATCAGGTGAATAACAAAATAAACATAATATGATACACATAATAGTAATTTGGATTTATCGTCGTTATATGAGGGAGAGAAAAAGTATCTTCAATCGATTTCTCTTTTCCAGTGGGTCGTGGTTGCAAAATGCTGGGGCTTTTTTGTCTATTTATTTATTTATTTATTTATTTTTTGTTGTTGTTTAGTCACATATCCTAGATTATTCCATTTCTACAGCCACATTTTCTCTATTACTAGTAAAGGGCCTAAATATTTGCACACCTCATTTCTTTACAGAACTAAAAGATTGACAAATATCTTCTCGCACTGTCCAAATTAAAATCTTTTCTTTAACTCATTTCTCAGGTATTGAGTCAAGGTTCTTCACCACTCGCCTTTCTTGAAGAACACATCGAAAATTATGTCGAATGCGTCAAAGAACCCAAGAAGGAAGGCTGTTCTGAAATCCTTAACCCGCCCAAAAGGGGAAAGGCAAAGAGTAAAGATAACAAGTCTGCAAAGAATTTGCAGTCCTTTGAGGCCTACAGGCATTATGCTTGAAGAGAAGAATATTCCATGTCTTAGTACATTATAATACAAAGACTGAACGGAGAAACACGACACAAAAACTCGGCTTATTAGCCAAACAGTACATGCCACCGTCCTAAAGTGACGGCTTCTCATAAACAATTTATTGCAAGCGTTTTTTTTTTTTTTTTTTACTTTGTCTCCTTGATATACTGCCCTATAAGTTTTGCTGCACCAAAAACCACTGCTGCTATTGTTATTCAGTCATTACTGCCAATATATCTTCATTTTTCATAGAGGTACTGTTTCGTGGAGGAAATGTTAATCACCGCTTTGATTCACGGAAAAACGACTATGCTGTTCGCAGGGACTCTCCGCTTATAAATAAAGTAGAAGATAAATGAAAACACTTGACATCAATAATAAATTCCTTATCTTGATCACTAAAGTAGTGTTACAGCCTTTTGATTTTTCTTCTTATAAAATTCCTCAAAGACTAATATGACAGGAAGAGCCACAGTCTTTCCTCTTTGTTTCTTTCTGTTATTCCTTGTGATGTATAATATGCGAACGCGTTTCGACTTAAAGAGCACGCGCTTAGAAAAAGGTCCGATTGTTACGTCACTTACAACAAGCAGATGAGAATTTCCCTTGCGTTCCGTTTAGTACATTTGCTAAGCTAGAAAACTTTGCAAGCGAAAAGTACTCGTAATGGCTTCGGTTATCGGCGAAAGTTTTGTGGCAAGAGCAAGTTATCTATCTGATGAGAAGTAAAGACAGATCGACAAATTGCAAAGACAATTTTATGAACTTAAAAAACAATGTGACAAGTGGTTTGATGACTTGGACGATGTTGAAAATATGTGCAAGCAGGCCAAGAAGAATATGAAAACGGTCCGATTGGTACGTCACTCACAACAAGCAGAAGAAAATTTCCTTTGCGTTCCGATTAGTACAGCTTGCAAGTTAAAATTACCCGAAATGGCTTCGGTTGTTAGCGAGAGTGGATGAAATTCTCTACCCGATGACTCATTGACGAATAAGCTCCTCAGAGTTAAAAACTTTGAGGTTTTTCGTTTAACGCGAGATAAATAGTTGAACTGGTAAACGGAGTACTGACTGTGGATACAAATAACGAACGTAATTGACAACGTATAAAAGTCAGTTAGGAGAAATGTATGAAAAAAGTTGGAAATCAAGAAAAAAATTCAAATGCACTTAATGATCCTTTGGGGTATTGCCAGTGAAAGCACTTACTGATGACCTCGTATTCTTTTCGATTGGATTTCCTTTGTAAACTCGAAGAATGGCCATGATGGCTAACTAGAAGTACTGAACATAGTTAAATTTTGTAAGCTCATGAAACATAAAGTCTCCTTGGATACGGCCGGTTGAAAAAACTGAAATATTTTGAGGAAAGTTGGATCTCGGCATGGCTTTTTCGCTTCGTTTTCACTTCAACGCCTAATGGCTGCAAGATGAGCTCGCATCCAAGAGATTTATCGTCTAACTTGCAGGGACATATTGCTGGATATGACTCTCGAGGAAACTCATCGGCGCAGAGCCTTGGTTGAGAATCTAAAATTGAAAGCAGAGTTTATGAGTTTTCGCCCATAAATGTAATACTGATTTTCTAGGCACCCAAATAAGAAAAACGTACAATTTAACAATTCCATACAGATATAAAATGGTGTAAGCCAGTCATATAACATCGATAGTCGTAAACGCAATAACAAAATGTATTTAGTTATAAACACCTCCATATTTTACCTGGCAATGAAAGTCCTTTAGGTCAAATTTTCCCTTGGACGTCATCTCTGCGTAGTCCTTTAACTTCCGAATCATCAGCTGACCAATCGTGTACGCCCTAGCCTGACCCAGGCCAGACTGGTATCGAGTTATTTCTTTGCGCGCAACATCGGACGTGTCCCAAGCATAATTGGCCGATAGAACCAGTCCTTCTCGGTGAGTCATAACCTTGCTATGGAGGCCTGCGTCCAGTACAAGACGGAGGGCCCGCCAAAGCTAAAGTTAAGAAAGAAATAGAGTAGTGACAATACGAAACTGCAACAACGGCGGAAAAAGGTTTCAAGGCTGAGAACACGACAACTTGCATACATGCAGTAAAAACCTTTATATGCCTTGAGGATAATTACACTGACAAGTGATTGCTCAATTTTGTCTCCGACAACTATTTGATGTTGTACATTGCAGAGGTGTCTGTATTCATATTGCGGGAAAAAATTTGCGAGGTTAAAAACCATTAGCTGTTACTAAAAGAAAAAAAGTCGACCTAGCTCTTTGGTGAATGTCTGTGCTATTAAACTAGGCATAGTTTTCAGTGAGCAAACTGTGATCAGGCGTCCTTTATGTTAAGTATTAACGACAATCTATGCTTCCGATTAAAGCATGGATCCAAAAGGTAAAATTCCAAAAGGATACTGTCTTGTTTATATCTTATACCTAGAAAATAATCTGTGAATACTTAAATAAGGCTACTTTTGTTAATTTACTAATGGCGGTTTTGTTTAGTGAATGTTTCTCCACTGATTTTGCTTTCCAAATTTTAAGCTACATTTTTCTCAGAAGGGGATTTTTTGATGCCCCCCCCCCAGACTTTTTCAGTTTGGTTTTATCTATTTTCTACCAAATTTGGCTCAGTTACATATGGAAGGCTGCTCTAAAAACCTATCGAGGCTTTTTTCTTTTTGGTGAATTCAGTTGATGTTATACCAGATTAAACTCTACACAAAAGTATGCTGTTACTATGGCAAAAAAATTGGGTGAAAACCGAAATCGCTCGATAGGTTTGTAGGAGAGTTTTTGTAGAGTTATTGTGCGAAATATTATGCTTACTGTATAACTAGAACAGAAAAGAAAGTAGGGGGGGGGGAAACATGAAAAAAGTGAAAAAAAGCCTCAATGAAGAATTTGGTTAATATTTAACCATAAATTTGTTTATTATGGTATGCAAGCCATATGCCACATTATGTGCTTCACAATCTTTGCACGGATGGGCTCAAAATGTAACCAGACTTGCCCCCACGATTTGCATATCGTATCCAGATCTTTGAGGATTTGGATAAAATATCTAAACGTCTACTGATTCTAGTAAAATCATGTGACGCGAATAAATTAATTCCAACTATTTAAAAAAAAAATTAATTCCAACTAAATAACACCCCGCGCAAACAACAAATACATATTTCCTTCAAAGAATGTAACAGAGTAGTTGGGTAATTCACAAATTATCGCAGTTCGTAGAATCTAAAACGACTTTAACATTACAGTTATCGAAAGTTACACTGCACGAACTTGGATAGCCAATAGTTTAGACTTTTGGCTTTCATATTTTCAATGCTTTCAGTCAACTCTTGTACATCCACAACATTGTATTCACCTTTAAACAGTCCGCCTGGCCCAATGGTGCAAATCTTTAGTGTTCATTGGTCTTGCCATGTCGAAAAATCTAGTAAAGCCCATTTGTTCTTGTAAACCATAGATTTCGGAACAGAATTGATAACACACTCCTTTTCCTTGTCGAACGTTTAGGGCATCCGTAACCTTGAATTCGACTCATCCATGTCGTACAAAACAATGAATATGATAAAAACAAAAAAAATTTGGATAACTCCCAAATGACGTATTCCATCCAAACTGTTTTTATCACAAAGCTATAGTTTAATTAACAAAACGAAACAACAAGACTCAATAAATAATAATTGTCGGTCACTTATTTAAGAAGCTGAATTAAAAACTCGCGCTTTGTGTTTCATCGGGGTATCCAGACATCAAGTAACAGATAAAAACATGACGAGCTTTGCGTCGGAAAAAAATTTTATGCAAATAAGCTGGCTACACATTCATAGCAGCCAGCAGCCAGCCAGCTAACACTCTTAAATTAATTTCAAGCCAAGGTTCGACGCCTCTTGGTGGCATGAGGTGTAATTATGCTCCCCTCGAATGAAATGGAAAAAACCGCGACTTCCGATGATTACAATTCTAATCATTTTCAAGATGCAACTCTGCTTTGTTCACTCATTTTCCAGAAACAAGAGTCCAGAGAAATGTCTCATACAAACTTAACGGGTCTAATTCGAAAAAACTTAAAAGGCAGTACGCTAAGCTTATTTTCTCTGTAGAGAAAATACATGTCTTTAAGAAGACAACAGTAAATCGTTAACACAAGGTCCACGAATATTCCTGACCAAATGTCACAGAAACATATAACAGGAACAATTTAAAACACGTAAAACGAAGACACTCAAAAATAGCGGCACCGGTAAAGCTGATTTCACCTCCATGGTCGAAGATCTAGGCCTACGTAAGGTTAACTCCAACAAACCCTTCTTTATACAGGTCATGGTTTTTAACTTTTAAAGTCCAGAAATTGTGTTGATTAGATAATCCAGAAAATACACATCGCTTTCAACTGATGGTCTCCTCGTTCGGTCTTCAAGCTTCGGCGCAATGCAATTATTCTTATAATTACTTTTTATGTGCGAAGGTTTCAGTTTGGAACGGCATTTTTAGCTTTTCCGAAGACACCAGTCTTGCCAAAATCGACTATAAAAGAGGAGAAGCTGGTCTAAAACATCGTTACTGCATTTTAGGTCTTTGAGAACAAATTCACACGTATGAATATCGTCTTACGCAATTGCCGAGTTAGGAGGGATAAGAAAAGGTAAGAAATAACCCTCAGGTATACACTACCCAAGAGGGTACAGGAGAGATTAAGAATAACCCTCAGGTACACGCCACCCGAGTGGGTATAGAAGAGATTAAAAATAACCCTCAGATATACACTATCCAAGAGGGCATCAACAACAAGATTATGTTTTGAGACCTCGCGAATCCATCTGCTGGATTTCTCCCTGTCTAATTAGTCCGGCACAGAGACCACTTGAAGATATAACATGCATGTTGTTTGGTTACCTGGCGTTGAATGAATTTTTAGTAGTTTAAGACCTGGGTCAGGAGAGTAAATTGCCTTAAGAAAATAAACAGCTCTATCTCCGCAAATACACAGCCGGTTGCGCTGAAACTTTCGTGGACGATAGTTTTCCGTAAGAACTTTTACCTTATGGCAACAATACCGACGACGAAAGTCACATGTCGGGTCACGTGATCAAAACGCTACTCAATCAATTTTTATTGGAATTGGTAAGATTTAAACACACTCTTCACTGACCAATGAATAAAACAAATACTCAGTAAAAAATTCTAGCCATCTACGTTTGGAATTAATTTCCTTCGTTCCTTCAAAAAGAGAATTGAGATTTGTTAGAGCTGCGAAGAGAATTTTGTAAACTTAATGGGATTTTGTTTGTTATCAACTGTACTTGACACATCATTCTGAACGTGAAGACAAAGTTTATCAATGCCTTCTTCCATTTTTCAAAAGACAATTGCGTGAAACGGAAACTTCAGCACCGGCGGGTGCGTTGTGATTACTCCTTTTAGGGCTACGAAAAATACCGCCATTTTGTTTCTTTTCGTTAATAATACATGAATACAACCTGACTATTACATTACACCGCTGATTACAAAGGTGCAAATCAAATATGGCGGTCAACATCAGTTATAGGACAATGACTGCAGCGAAAAGTGATACTGCTTAAATAACTGACTTAGTTTGTTATTTGGCGCTCTAGAACAGTATGTTTGCGACTCTTGTAATTCGAGGAACGCTGAAATACTTCAATGATGATTAAAAATTTGCGTTTGTCTGTAGTTGCTTTTGTTTTTTTGGCAATTTCCATTCGTGGAACGTATTTTTTGGCTTGTGGTTTCCTGTGGAGTCAAATATACGACAACTTTTACATAAAAAATCCCAAATGTTTCTCTTGCCTTGGCTGCCAAGTCAGTTTACCAACGGTCAGTCAGTTTTTCAAATTTCAGTTTGACATGCTGATTTGCTCATGTTAAGTTATGGGGGGCAATTTCCCTTGCCAAAAAATACGAAAAAATAACAAGATATGATAATGAGTCAGAAAAGGCATAAGCTGGCATCTGGAAGAGAGGTATTGGCTGTACAAGGAAAATTTCAAATAATATCTTCACCAACATGTCTGCAAAAGTGTTTCTTTTCTCTACAAACCTTTTGAAGGTTTCCAAATACTTACTGATAGAAAAAAGCAGCATCAACTACAAACAAAATTCCCTATCATTAATAAGTTTTTTTCTAAAGGATTATAAGGCCATTGATCACCTAATTTCACAGTGGTCACCACTGAAAAATAGAGGAAGTAGCTAAAAACATTTACCATTGAAAGCTGGCGGCAAACTGCCTGGGTAAATCAATCCTGCGAAGAGACTTTTGTAAACTTAATGGCGTTTTGCATTTACACCCTGCACAGTGTTCATGCTTTATTTTAACGACTCCAGTAGAGAGTATCTTTTACAAGAAAAATACATGCTGTGTGGTGTACAAAAGGGAGCCATTTACAGATGTCAAAAATCAAACAAAAGAATTGGCTGGCAAAAAAAATTTCCAAACAAACACAGAAGGAGGTGAAAAACTTTGGGACAGTGATCTACAAAGAATATGACAATGTATGCAAGAAGTGATTGGGAAAGTCCTTTGGTGAAGTAATATCCCTGGTTCCTGAGGCTGGGTTAACAAAGTAGGAATCAAAAAAATTATGTAGGCCTTCACCTGGCTCAGCGCATATCATTTGCAAGGCAAAGAACAGTGGAATGCTTCAATATCATCAATGAAGCAAAGGAAAGGGTCAACAATACACCAAAGTGACAAAAGAGGTTGTATGTTCCCACAACATTGGATGGGGACCTTTAGCAGCTGCTGCTGGATGTCACTGTCAAGGAGTACCATTCAACAGACAAGAGGCAAGTGTCCCACCAACCAATGCTGGGCAGGTTTTAAAAGAGTATTCAAAGTCTCAGGGAGTAGACACCAATGTATTTGAAAAACAAACAAGTAAGTTCTAGGTTGTTCTACACACCAGCAAATTAAATGTAGTGCCTGGAGATTCAACCATATCACACTGTTTTCTAACAGACACTTACAGAATACATGTACAGCCCTCTTATACTGGTGAAAAGATCATTAAAAAAACCATCCAACTCAGTTTCATAACCAAATTGAAAGTCATTCTTAATCAGTAATATAACTTGCAGTTACTGATCAAAAGGCAAGCTCAAACAAAAAAAAATAAGTATTTTCATTGCACAAAATTCAGAAAGGTCAAAGTTAAACCACCTCAAAACATTGACCAGCTCCAGGTGCCATCTCTTGATAATTAGATGACATGTACATAGCCAATCCAATCACATGTAAGCATTTCTTTGATGGTCATTCAGTCAGTTATGTTCAATAATATTTATCATAGGATTTATGCCTTCCAGCTTATTCTGATTCTTCATAAGACCCCACAAAACTTCACCAGATTCCAGTGTTGTTGGATGTCAAAAGAATTTGCTGTAAACAAAAAAGTATAAAACAATATTGTTAAGTATGATTAAAAACAAAATTTTTTTTGGTCATGGGCATATCACTAGCCTTTGGAATGTAACTCAAGCCTTTGTCATCAAAGGTTAAAAACCGACCACTCATTTTGACAAGTCTCTCAAGATCGATTCAGCCAAAGTCTATTTTTCACTGTACATGTAAGAACACAACTGAGTAAGTATAGCTTTTATTTACCTCATTAATTCAAAATGTACAAGCATTGTAGCTTAATTGATAAATTCTCTTTATTGAAGCTCATAGGACTCACAAAAAAAAGTATAATAAACAATATTGTTAAGTATGATTAAAAACAAATTTTTTTTTGGTCATGGGCATAACACTAGCCTTTGGAATGTAACTCAAGCCTTTGTCATCAAAGGTTAAAACCGACCACTCATTTTGACAAGTCTCTCGTGATCGATTCAGCCAAAATCTATTTTCCACTGTACATGTAAGAACACAACTGTGTAAGTATAGCTTTTATTTTCCTCATTAATTCAAAATGTACAAGCATTGTAGCCTAATTGATAAATTCTCTTTGTTGAAGTTCATAGGACTCACCAAAAAAAGTATAATAAACAATATTGTTAAGTATGATTAAAAACAAACTTTTTTTTCGGTCATGGGCATAACACTAGCCTTTGGTATGGTACTTAAGCCTTTGTCATCAAAGATTAAAACCGACCACTCATTTTGACAAGTCTCTCGTGATCGATTCAGCCAAAATCTATTTTTTGCTGTACATGACTGTAAGAACACAACTGTGTAAGTATAGCTTTTATTTTCCTCATTAATTCGAAAAGTACAAGCATTGTAGCTTAATTGATAATTCTCTTTGTTGAAGCTCATAGGACTCACAGCAGTCTCGTGTTGATGTTGCCTAGAAAAGTGTTGTGCTGCAGATCGCTGTGAAATTTTTGACTTGGGATTGAACCTACCACTGTATTCAGATTTATAAAATAATTCAAATAGTACGCGCGCTCTGATTGGCCATAAAACCATTTACATGAGCGTATGTAAACACGGTTTTCGTTCCTCTTTCATTAGTTATTTTATAAAAGAAATGTAAAATGGTTTCTGTGTTTACATAGCCTGATGTAAACACTTGGGAGGTTGGGAGAACACGAGATAAGCTGGAAACCACTCCGCTTCGCGTCGTGGTTTCCTACGCTTAACTTCTTAACTTAACTTCCTCGAAAACGTGAACGTTCTAATCGTAGATCGGCCGCCATGTTACCGCTCTTCGATTAAATAGCATGAAACTCTGCTGGGGGTGCCTCTGTTGGCGCTTGAGACCTGGCGGGACAAAATGTATTGTAGTCATCGCGGAATCGATGATTTCACATTAACTTCTCGTTAGCACATACCAGGACTTTTTGGGGTCGAGATTGGATCCCTTAACTATAGAAAGCTCAGCCGATCGATGGAAGACTTCAGCCTCCATGATAAGATCGCGCCAAGTGATTTCAATGCTAGATTTCTTGTGTTTTCGTAATTGAAATTCGAGCATAGATGCAGTATTAATTATTCGGTGAACCTTAACTTATAATCAACAGGTTTAATTAACGGCATCGTCTAACGTTGATGTAGAATGAATGCTGCGAATTTTTTTGTCTGGATACCTCGATGAAACACGAAGCACGAGTTTTTGATATATTACATAACTCGAAATATAGACTCTTTTTCAACTTCTTATATATTTTTTTACTGAATATCGTTTCAGCGACTGGTGTAATTTCGCCTACAATACTACCCAAATTGTTGGAGCATGAAATATAACCGTAGCATCAACAACAATACAAGTCAGCTGAAGCGAGCCAAGTTGCACAATATAGTGGCACTAAAAGAAATAAATTATGTAAATATTCTTTCTGTAGACAATAGAGGCGTATAAACATTGTGCTATGCCTCGATCTTCAAAGCCATCCGACACGAGTAAATGAGGTGGACCAAAGTGGCAAGGGCAAGGTATTCTGGAGTTGCTTCTAAGTAGAATACATGGCTGACTACACTGCATTGAGAGGGAATAGGTCAAAGAGTAGAATATTCCTTATCCTATTCGCTGCAATCGCTGCTATCGCATTGATCGTAGGAATCGTGTTAATAGTGCTTGCAACTAAAAAGAAAGGGGAGACTGACAATGAGGCTTCATCGACATCGACGTCGCCCGCAGCATCATCCTTCTGTGACTACTCTGAAGAAGCCAAACGGATCCGTCTAGAGGAGATCATTATGCGCGCAAAGAAGACATATTATGAGAAACATCCTTTCATGCTGCCGCAGGACCCCGATGCCTCTCGAGAGGAAATCAAGAAGAAGTACACAGCATACAATCCTACGCCGGATTACATCAAAAGTGTTACTGATGCAGCGCGGAGTCTCTACAATGAGGTCAAGGAAATAAAAGTGGACTCTAAAAAGCTCAAACCACGCGAAAGGAAAGCACTATCACAGCTAAAACATTATTTAAAGACTGTATTCGGTCAGCCTTTTGACATGAATTTCTACGCCGGAGATTGGATGATGGGTCCAACATTCTACTGCCATCCGAGGCAACAAGTCATCTGTAACTTGGGTGCGCATTTGCAAGGATTGCTAAGAAGTCTAAAACCAGAAAACTTGCAGGATATAGAACTTATAGAAGAGAAGCTGAAAACCCACAAGAAAGGAATTTTGAGATACATAGAGAATCTGAAAATGGGAAAGTTGCACGGTATGGTTCACAGTCAAGATGCTTGTGAAGCGGGAAGGAATGCACTCAGAAATAAGTTCCTGGAGATCGCTTTGAAAAACGAAACAGGTTTGTTTTATTTTTTGATTCATAATAAGGTATGGGAATTTTCTTTCTTACAAACTAAAAATAACTTCAGGCGCCTTGATTTTATTGCTTGCACTTTCTGTTTCTTTTCATTTCGCCAAAGATTGCACTTCTGTCAAAATGACCCAAGTGAAGCTGAACTTAGATTTGTTTCCATCACTAACGAGGAGAAATTAAATTTGAGACTTGTTTCCGCCGATCAAGAGTATTGTTTATGTAAAACAGCAGCAGTTTCTTGACGTTTCTTAATGAAATGGCCATGAAGGCCAGGCAATTAACTAACTAGTCAGAGGGTATAGTAGTATAATCCCACCTCAAAAGCAGAATAACAACACGTGCCTCATTCTAACGCAGAATGGAACATAATTCTGTAAGACGCATGTATGAATGAGTTCTAGTTTCCCATCATCCAACAGAGTTGAAACTAAAGCAAGCTGCATAATTTTCAATCAAGTAATCAGTCAACAAAGTGAAACATAACTCGGTTGCAGTGGTTATCTCTTTGTTTCCTAACTGACAAAATCTAAACCGAAAAAGTTATTTATGTTCTTCTACGCGTTTTAAAGAACGTGCTTGTGTTTCGAATTATTAAAACGTCAAGTCTTAAGAAAACAAGACTGCTTTTGTATAGCCGAATTAGATGTGACAGAAACACAATTCAAGACTGTTAAATTTTGCGAAGATACTGTTGTTATACTAAACTGAAGTAATTTTTTTTAAAACAGAAAACCTTTAGGAAAAACCTGACGATCAAGTTTTTTTGTTATCGCGCCTTCATTGTTGTGTAAACAATCCCACCTCTTGGGTTGCTTAAAACAGATAAGACGTATTTCTTACGCCTTTTACAAAAGTGATGCCTTTTGCATTCAAAAAGTGGCTTAAAGACCAAAAAGGTTTCACATCTTTTAGGTGAAAACATCGATCTGGCTTTTTTTGTTAACCGATATAGCCGGACCAAATATTCGTCCTTCGCGTTGTTCAGCTTAAATTATGAGGTCTCAAACAATAATATCATCGATATCCTTTGATTCTGTTTATCCAAGAGATTGGTTTTATCTTGTGTGTATTATTTACAGTTACTGAAATAGGGTACATGCCTTTAAGTCAGAACTTTGACAAGACATGCTTTTGTCATACTAGAAGGTAAGCTCAAATCTAATCTATGGGTGGATCAGGTAAAATTTTAATCGTGACACAACCAAAATCCACCAGACGATGAAGAATGATCGCTCCATGAGCATAATTTAATTAACATTGCATGATCGCCCAATATCGGTGATTCCAATAGTGGCGAAGGCGTTTGAAAGGATAGTTTATGAACAGTTATATGCCTATTTGAAAGAGCACGATATTCTATGTCAAAACCAGTCAGGTTTTCGTGCTAATCATTCAACTGTAACAGCTTTGTTGGAAGCGACAGATTCTTGGGCATATGAGATTGATAACGGGAAAATCAATGGAGTGATTTTTCTGGATTTGAAGAAAGCTTTTGACACTGTTGATCATCAGATTCTTCTATCGAAACAAAACTATTATGGTATACATGGCAAATCTTTCAAATGGTTTCAGTCATATCTAGAAAACCGCACACAAAAATGCTCTGTGAACGGTTCGCTTTCCAATAGCTACTCACTGACATGCGGCGTCCCTCAAGGGACCATCCTCGGTCCATTATTGTTCTTATTATATATTATTGATCTTCCAAATTGCTTATCAAATTGTAAACCAAGAATGTACGCTGACGACACGCACCTTACATATGCGGGCAGTAATCTTGAGAATGTTCAGTTTTGTCTAAATGAAGACCTAGCAAACGTTTTCAACTGGCTATAAGCAAACAAACTTACATTGAACATGACCAAAACCGAATTCATGCTAATGGGGTCGAGGCAGAGACTGAATACTCTCACAGCTTAATACTCTCACAGCCAACAATTACAATGAACAATACTCAAGTGAGCCAGGTTACAGCTACGAAATCGCTTGGTGTAATTATAGACGATAAACTCGATTGGCATAGTCACATCGAAAAATTAACCAAAAAGATCGCCTCTGGTATCGGGGCCCTAAAGCGAATTAGGCACCTGATCCCAGCATCAACCTTGCATCTCGTTTATCAAGCCTTAGTAAAACCTCACTTTGATTACTGTGACATTGTTTGGGGTAACTGTGGGAAAACGCTACAAGACAAACTGCAGAAATTGCAGAATAGAGCAGCCCGTGTGTTGACATTCTCTAACTATGATGCTGATGCAACTGAGCTACTCGAGTTTTTAAGGTGGAAAAATCTTACACGCCAGCAGGAAATTCACAAAGCCACCATAATGTTTAGATGTCTGCACGGGCTAACTCCAGAGTATCTGTGTTCAAAGTTTACGTGGCGTGACTCTGCTTATGACCTCAGGGACTCTGAAAATAAGCTCAATGTTCCCTTACCGCGCACTAATTATTACCGAAAAAGTTTTAGCTACAATGGCGCCACATTATGGAACAGTCTACCATGCGATATAAGGAACACAGAGTCTCTGGGGGTATTTAAACGTAAGATCAATGACATTCTTTAAGTCTAACGCACGGCACTCACGGAAAACAGCTTTTAGTGTTATAGTATATAGTTTGAGTTTTAAATATTCTAGCGTATGTGATATGTATTTTTTAGGCTGATGAATTGACCGTGTTTAAATAAAAATTAAAAAAAAAAAAAATCTTCCTCTTGAGCAACCTCTTGAAATAGTGAAATAGATCATTGTATATATATATATATATATATATGTATATGTATATCCATTGAGATTCCATTGAGAGTCTGGTACTAGAACCAAGAACCAGATTTGTCAGAACGAGGGGACTGTCGTAAGGATCCAAATAGACCTCGAAACGAAAACAGTCGTCCTACTTGAAGCACGAAAACCGGAGCTGACCATGAAGAAGCGATTTGTCTTATCTTTCTTTCCGATTGGTAGAGAGAAACGCACGAGTTTCGTCGACCAATGACGGTGAGAATTAAAACAAAAAAGATGCAATTTCGGATGTTTTAAAATTTGTACCACTTTTTAAATCAAGTTTTTTTCTCAAATTTCTAGGTGTGTTGTATGAGAAATACATCAGCCAAGCTCTTAAAGATGATTATTATGTCAAAATCATGGACAAATTGAAGAGCAAATGGAAGAGTAACCACAATCAAATGACGTACTTTTTTAATTAATTTTTTAATCATTATTTTTGATCAATTTTTTAAATTATTAGTTTTAGTTTTTTTAAATTAAATTTTTTAAGGTGTTTTTAAATTTTTTTAACCATTAATTTTAATAATTTCTTAAATTATTTTTAATCATTAATTTTTTTTCATTATTTTTTAAAATGTATTTAATCTTCTTAATTTTTTAAAATTTTTCTGAATTTTTTGTTTCTTTGCTAATTTTTTACTCAGTTGTTTATTTTTAATCATTTTTAAATAAATTTTAAAATAATTTTTAAACAATTTCTTCCTTTTTTAAAATTTTTAAAATTTATTTGTTATTTTTTTATAATTTTTTACCGAATTTTCTCATTTTTTTTAAATTATTTTTTTTGTTAATAAATTTTTTAAACTTTTTAAATTATTCTTTAAACAATTTTTCCAAACAACTTTTTTCAATAATTTTTTTAAATCAATACTCCTAAAACTGAGCTAGCGAGCAGCGCTCTGCAAACAGTAGTTGTAAAACTTCTTTATTCTCCGACCGTTTCGTCTAACTGTCATAGACTTCTCGAGGGAGTCTTACAAGTTAAAACTAAACGCCTGCATTCATAAGCCATAGTTAGCGGCTATACGGAGGCCAATATATATCTATATCTATACATATATATATATTGAAATTCCATTGAGAGCCTGAAACCAGAACCAATGATTTGTTAAAATGAGGGGACTGTCGTAAGGATCCAAAAAGACCTCGAAGTAAAAACTTTCATCCTACTTGAAGCGCGAAAAACGGAGCTGACTATGAAGAAGCGATTGGTCTCTACTTTCTCTCCGATTGGTAGAGAGAAACGCGCGAGTTTTGTCGACCAATTAAGGAGCGAATTACAACAAAGAAGATCCAATTTCGGACGTTTTACTGGTAAAATTCGTACCGTTAATTTTAAAACAATTTTTTTTCTCAAATTTCCAGGTGTGTTGTATGAGAAATACGTCAGCCAAGCTCTTAATAGTGATTATTATAGTGGAATCACGGACGAAATGAAAAGCCAATGGAAGAGTAGCCATAATGGAATGACGGTGAATGAATCCTTAAGTAATTACCTTGTGGAGTACATGGGAAAGCCAATGACGGAACTGTTGAGGTAAAGCAGAAGAAACTTAGAATGATCACACAAACCTATGTTTTGACGACTCCACACAACCATACCTTTTTTGGGGTAAAACTAGCACTAAAAATGCTTTGGTGGTTCTCATTATGTGTTGATCATTCTAAGTATTAGTATATGTAATCACATGAGGCCCAGTTTATCAATAAAGGGCAAAATTTATACGAAGGAAAATCACGCGCGCAGTCTATTTTTATATGGGAAGCCTGTTTAGCGCTACGGCAAATCATCAATCAAATTGAACTGACTAATCGATTCAATGAAATTTTATTCTCCAAAACTGTGTCGTGATACACTGCCAAAAGTCTAGAAAACAAAGCTCATTTCAACAGAGCGTTTCTGCCAACAGAAAAACAACAAAGTGCTTTTAACTGAACAAGGTAATCATGCCCTCTCTTGATTACTAAAAATGCCCTCGATTAAGAAAAAATGCCCTCTCTCTCAATCATAATAAATCATTGATAAAGCTTGTAATTATTATACTAAGCAACCAAACAGTATGAATAAAGGGGTAAGTTTCTGAAGAGAGTGTGGAGCTGCGTGCATGAAAAGTATTAAAAGAAGGGTCGTTTTTATCCACTGAGTCGATAATGTAAATTGGCTAACGTAATGACTTTACACAGCTGAAGTAACTCTTTAATGATGGCCAATTAAACGAGGTGAGTTGTAGTGGTTTTCATAGATACTTTTTAATTGTTGAAGATCAAACGGCTTGATCTTAAACATTGAAAAGTATCTATAAAAACCAGTGAAATTTAACTATGGTTTCGAAGCATGCTTTACCACTAAGTACAAAGTACTGTCCCATAGGTATCTTCAGTACGAACATTACCGCTACTGCGTTCCAAGTAACGTGTCCAGTGGATTGGCCTCTCTACCTTTAGCTCACGTTTGGTACGATGGAAAGGAAAATACATCTTGGCCAACAAATCCAGAACTATCTAACGGTGACAGGTTGAACGGTTCTGAAGCATACGCTATGATCTTACCATATTTCACGACTAATGATATGACGCCGATGGATGTGCACAGGCTGGGATGGGAGCAGTTAAAAATGCTCTACCCGTTGGTATGTGTTTTGCAGATTTGAAATCAAGTTCTCGACGAAACAGACTCTTTAGGAGGGTTCTTTGAGAGTTTTTCTTACTTTTTTTTTAGATTTACAGTTAGGATTATTAGTGGAGACCATTAACTGATCGAATTGACAAGCTGCACAGTTCTCAGCAAATCTCCCCTTCCGTTCTCTGTATACAGAGAAGAGTTTCACGATGGATGATGAATATTTCGAATAATTGCAAATGACAGAAAAACAGAGTAACGTGATTTGTTTCTTACTATCTGAGCGTTAAGGCCGCACGGGGAATATGGGCCCGAGGTCGTGGCAGCACGAACAAAAACGACCGTTCGCGGACAAATATTTCCTAGAACAGTTCAGGCAAGCGAGGTTAGCAAGTAGTTTATATATGGCTCTCGGAATCAACTTGTTTATTCTGAAGTTGCCAGCTTTCATGAAGAACAAGAAAATACACGGCGTATTACCGTTTCCTTGGAAACGGTCCGATATGGTAAGATCTCGACCAATAAAGCAGCAGTTAGAGCGCTCGACCACCTTGCCATATGATGAAAGCTTTTATGCCATGAGGCAATGTTCTCTTGAATAGAGGTAAAATTTTGTGTGTAAGTGATCCATGAAATGGTACGGGTTTGGAACGAAGAACTAAAAGAGCATCTTCAGAGAACTTTTAATAACTTACCACTGCTTCTACATAGGCTGTGGAGGCTGCCAAAAGTGCTACTGGAGAACAAAACGAAACTACAGCTATCAAGAAATTCAAGGAACAACTCAACTCTACTGACGAATACTTCAATGATGAAGCTTTTCCTAAAAACGAATCTGACGAGGATGCACACGCAAAATGCAGCAATATCGAAGGTGCTAAGAAATATTGTCCGACCAGATGGAAAACCCTTGAAAAATGGTTTACGGAAGCCAGATCGGTATGAAGTGATTTGTACTTTTTGTCTTGTTTGTACCAAAAATTGATGAACAACAACGTTATGCAGTCGGTCTAAAATGATTACAAATTGGTACCAATCTCTTAGTAGCTGTTATTAACTGTCATTTAATTCTCCATTCCATCAACTCTATAACTTTACATCTATTACAATTGTCTGACAGTGGATTTAGCCCTAGAATTAAAATCCCATTTGCATTGGTTTTATTTCCGTCAGGTTTCTCATGTGAGGCAGTTTACTTGGTCTTACCTTTAACTTTCACAAGCTTTTTCTTTTTTTTAATGGTCTTTGTAATTTCCCTTTTCAACATGATTATTCTTTTGTTGATTTAGGTTATGAGTATGCTGTACCCTAAAATTACCGACATGTTTTACTTCGCTGGAGACAAACACTCAACACCCAACTGTCCTATAGAACTAAGACCAGACCTGAACCCATCCAGTGGTATACAGAGCTACGACGGAAGTGATTCAATGTGCACAAAGCCTGCCCATTACAACATTCCTTTCTTCCTAAACAGACTGGGGCCAAGGTTTTCTGAGTGGAGTGTCAATGCCCATGAAGCTCGTCCAGGTCACCATATCCAGGTGACAATTTCTAAATTTACGTTTGATGTTGTTGTTGTTTTTTTTTTTTCAAGATATGCTTTTGTGTCCTCTTTTGTTGGTAACCAAATTAACTTACATGGTGAAATTACGAGAGAGTTGAAAAGGCACAGAAAGGGGTAGGGAAAGTCATAACTTTTCGAACTCGAAGGTTATTTTAATACGGGTATACTGTTGATTTACCATTTTTTTTTAAAACTTCACCAAAAATGAGGTACGCGTTCTTAAACGCTTTGACCATTTTTCAATTATTTTGAGACGACTTGGTTCTGAAAGCCTGAATGCACAATGCATGACCATTGGGTTCACTGTGACCTGAATTCGATTCCGGAGTCAAGTTGAGGTTAATATTCGTTCTCCCATGATCCTTATATCCTCCTTTCCTAAAATCTAACACCTCAAAATGCAATTTGACCTAAGAACAGTTTGCAAAGAGCTACCTCGCGGGTGTAGCACAACTAAATCTTTTTACAACAAGTCGGGTTGTTTGGTTTACTTTTGAAATTCCTGCAATTCGACTTTCTTTCAGACAGTTCTTATCATTTTAGATGTCACTTACAATTTTTACTGTGGTAGATCCAAGGGAATAGAGAGCACTTTAAAGACACCTGTGGAGGTGCAATCGGTTGGTTAAGCTCCAAGACATACTACACGGCGTTTTTGGAAGGATGGAGTCTATATGCTGAAAATCCATTAATATCAGACGATACTGATGTCTACGATGGAAGACCACTGAAAAAGTATGGTATGCTGAAATGGCAGGTTAGTAAGGACGATAATCAAGAAAATGATAAAATGAACTGGAAGATCGCGCATGGATGGAAGCGCTTGTCTCCCACCGCTGTACCCTGGACTCGAGTCCCTGACCTCACGTCATATCTGGGTTGGGTTTGTTCCGTTCTCTTTGCCTTCCAGGGATTTGTCCTGGGTTCTCCCGTTTCGCTCCCTCCGCGAAAACCAGCACTCGAAAATCCGGTAGAGAGAAAGTCACCTCGTAGAAGTATCGATGCTGACGTTTCTGCGTTTTCAGATCTGGCGGGCAGTAAGACTGATCGTAGACACAGGACTCCACTACACAGGAATGAAAAGAGACGAAGCTATCAAGTTATTCGTCGATAACGCTTGGGATGACTCTGACTTCACTCGTAAAGAGGTGAGGAGAGTGTTTTCGGCTCAAGGGTGAAAGGATGAGATAGTTTACAGTGCTCTTGCAGCGTTCATTTGCTAGCTTGACTTTTCTCTCCTCTATTCCTTGTACTTTCTCTGCAACCCACTCAGGGATTGATGCGATCTCGTGATGCAAACGAATACTCCGCTGAGTCCATACTTCCTACGTTGGCATTGTTAGTAGTTAAGGCGAAGTGAAGTCAGAGCTTGTCATAAATTCCATAGCAGAATTCATAAGGTCACGTTCCTTCATCGTCCCACAACGAAGTGGATGTGCAAGGAAGTTACTTCGAGCACTAGACGGACATTTAGATACTTATTAAGGAAACTGCATGCCACAAACGATTGCAGAATTCATAAGGTGGATGTGCAAGGACGTTACTTCGGGCACTAGACGGACATTTAGATACTTACTAAGGAAACTGCATGCCACAAACGATTCAGAATGGCCGCGATCTAGTAATCACTGTGATATGCTCTCGCAAAAAAAAATTAGACTTTTATGATATTATTTCTTCTATGTAACAGGTAACACGTTATCAGAGCTGGCCAGGCCAGTCGACCGCGTACATGGTTGGCAGGATAGCCCTTCTAAAATACAGAGATCATGCAAAAACTGCTTTGGGTAAAGACTTCGATCTCAAAGACTTCCACTACCAGGTGAATAACAAAATAGACATAATATCATACACATAATGATTTGGATTTGGATTTATCGTCGTTATACGAGGTAGAGAAAAAGTATCCTCAGTCAATTTATTTTTTTCAGTGAGTCGTGTTTGCAAAATGCTGGGGCTTTTTTTTCTTGTCTGTTTATTCATTTTTTTATTTCGTTTGTTTTATTTGTTTAGTCTGATATCCTACATTGTTCCATTTCTGCAGCCACATTTTCTCTTTTACTAGCAAAGGGCCTAAATATTTACGCACCTCATTTCGTTACAGAACTAAAAAAAATGACAAATATCTTCTCGCACAGTCCAAATTAAAAGCTTTTCTTTAACTTATTTCTCAGGTATTGAGTCAAGGTTCTTCACCACTCGCCTTTCTTGAAGAACACATCGAAAATTATGTCGAATGCGTCAAAGAACCCAAGAAGGAAGGCTGTTCTGAAATCCTTAACCCGCCCAAAAGAGGAAAGGCAAAGAGTAACGATGACAAGTCTGCAAAGAGTTTGGAGTCCTTTGAGGCCTACAGGCATTATGCTTGAAAAGAACAATATTCCATGTCTTAGTATATTGTAATACAAAGACTGGACGGAGAAATACGGCACAAAAAAAATCAGCTAATTAGTCAAACAGTACATGCCACATAAAGTGACAGCTCCTGATAAACAATTTGTTGCCAGCTTTTTTTTTTACACTTTGCTTTCTCGATATACTGCCCCCGCACGTTTTACTGCACCAATAATCACTGCTGCCATTGTTATTTAGTCATTACTGCCAATATATCTTCATTTTTAACTCGTGAATTGCGCGCATGCGCAAGAGCGAGTTATAGATACGATGTGGGGAATGGCATTCGCTCGCTCGCTCGCTCGATTGGTCGATTCCTGTAAACTTTTTTTAGATTTTAGGCTTTTGAGTGTATTTGATAGTTTTTGGCGAGCAATAAACATACAAAATGGCGACCTTTGTTGCTAAGAATAGTGGTGGGGTGAAAAAGAAGCCAATGATAATCTTAAAAGAGTTTTTTTTTTTCGTTTTAGTTTCAACAAGCGGCGCCAGCGACTGGCAGGCATGCAAGGATTCACACTGAAATAACAGAACAACCTTCGTTTTTTCATAAAATTGTAATTTACAATCCTTGAACTTGAAAACAATCCGAAGATTCATTGAAAATATCACTTACTGCGAAGCACTCGGAGTTAACAGATGTTCAAAAGCTTTTTCTGTTATGACGTGAGATTGAGGACAAAATTGATCTTTACGTTTCGTCGCGTGTGTTTTTCCTGAGTGAAGCAACAAAAGATGCCGGCGACTGACGAAATAACAAGTTAACACGAAAATCAAATAACACCTAAACAAACAATTTTAGCTACCGATTTTCAGTGAATTTTTAAAGAACAATTTTCTTTTAAGTTTCAAGACAATTTGAAGATTCAACATACATACAACGTACTAAAATGCGAAAGTTTCACACCACAAAATTGATAAATAGGCCTGAAATGAAATTCTATCTTGTTATTGATTATACGTTGCCTAGCACGTGACTTAAATCTACCCAGGCGGAGATCCAAAATGACGGTGGCAGGCTTGGCTTAGTTATATCACTCAAAACTCGTTCCCGTTTGTCTCATTTGATAAAGAGGGAATCGTTAATGTTTTCATTAAGAAAGTATTGCCTTGATTTTCTAATACTTACAACGAAAGACAGTAAATTTCGCTTTTCACCCACATTTACTTCCAACCTTTTCTTTTGAACCAGAAACAAAAATGATAGACGTTTAAAACACATGACATCATCCACCTTGTCAAATGTAATAGCATGATCATTTCAATTGTAATGCCTTCTTATACCAACGTTACTTTGTTTCTTTGCTACATTAGCGAACACTGAACTACTGCTTGTACTTTAAATATGACAATCAACCACAAAATTCCCTAAACCAGATAACATTAAACATAATCTAAAAAATCATGTGTCAATTCACGAGTTTGCTCACAGAGCACTTTGATTCATAGAGGTATTATTTCGTGGAGGAAGTGTTAACCACTGCTTTTATTCACAGAAAAACGACCATGTTGTTCGCAGGGACTTTCCGCTCAGAAATAAAGTAGAAGACAAATGAAAACACTTGACATAAACAACAAATTCCCTATCCCGGTCATTAAACTGGTGTTCAGTCTTTGATTTTTCTTCTCATAAAATTTCTCAAAGATGTTATGACAGGAAGAGCCATAGGCTTTCCTAATGGTCCTTTTTGTTATTCCTCGTGCTGAAAAATGCGCGCACACGCCTCGACTTACTGAGCGCGCGCTTGAAAAACGGTCCGATTGTTACGTCATTTACAACAAGTAGAAGAAAACTTCGCTTATGTTCCGATTAGTACAGTTGCTAAGCTAGAAAAAAAGAGTGAACTTTTTAAGCGAAAAGTACTTGCAATGGCTTCGGTTATCAGCGAAAGTTTTGTGGCAAGAGCAAGTTATCTATCTGATGAGAAGGAAAGACAGATCAACAAATTGCAAAGACAATTTTATGAACTTAAAAAACAATGTCACAAGTAGTTTGATGACTTGGACGATGTTGAAGATATGTGCAAGCAGGCCAAGGAGAATATGAAAACGGTCCGATTGGTACGTCACTTACAACAAGTAGAGGAGAATTTCCCTTGCGTTTCGATTAGTACAGCTTGCAAGTTAAAAATACCCGAAATGGCTTCGATTGTTAGCGAGGATTTCGTTGCAAGAGCAAGTTATCCATTCAATGAGAAGGAAAGACCGATCAAAAAATTGCAAAGACAATTTTATGAACTTAAATCAAATCAAATCAAATCTTAAGCAATGTGACAAGAGCTTTGATAACTTGGACGATATTGAAGATATGCGCAAACAGGCCAAGAAGAATATGACAAGATTCCAGTTGGAAGCCAAAGCGGAGAAGGAGATCGGGAAAAGAGATGCACGAATACACGCCAGGCTGTTCTTTGCTCTGACAAACATGAACGAAAAGATGAAGAAAGCGGAAGGAGAAGATTTGAAACTACCAAAAGCGAAAATACCTGAAGCGGCGAGAGGGGCCTTACTATCTACAAGAAGAGGTCAAGTTTGTCAATTTGTTAAGATTGGATGCGCTTTGTTCTTAGACGCCGTCGGGGCGTAAGGACTGTTTAAGGTAACAGAGCCATACTTCGTCTGAAACGTTAACAGCCTTTAAACGAACTTGTTTCTATTTAATTGCCATCTCATTTAAAAACATGGCAATCTTATTCTGAGCTTGAAATTAACTTTTATTATGGATATTATTGTGTGTATCAACTCCAGTTTTGAGCTGACGTTTCCCGTATAGTTTTCAGTGATTTTTTTGTTTTTATTTAGTTATTTTATTTTCCGTCTATATGTTTGTGAAATAAATCATGAGTTTCTTGGTGAGGTATTTGGATGGAGACTTTTCGATCAAAAGTAACTTCTTGTCAGAACAACTCTTACTTGAATGGTTTACCTACACGAACAGATGAGAAAATTCGAAAAACCAGTAAGGATAGTTAAAGAAACCTGGTTAAGAGTCCTCAGAAAATTTTGCTCTCGTTTCATTTATGCATTAATTAGCATCGACTCCAAGTATCTGGCTTAGATTTCCTGCCTCACTCGCATAAACAATTTCACTTAAAAATATTCGCCATGCTTTTTAAGACTGACCTCCCGACCTGGATATTTACTGGGATACCTGTGGTAGCCCAGTCATAAAATGCCTTTGTTTTTTTGTCGTCTTTCTTTTTTTGTTTTTTTCCTCCGCCACAAAATGGAAAAATTACGCAATAGTACCCAGAGGTCATTGGGCCCTCAACACCATGACAACTAACTGTGATCCAATGAGGTGTTCACATACTGATCACGCGTGTTATCCCTCGACACCGTGACAACTAACTGTGATCCAATGAGGTGTTCACATGCTGATCACGCGTGTTATCCTGATGATGATTGACGTTGTCATGCACAGACAGGGCCGGGTCACATGACGAACACGAGATTTTGCTCATGAAACTCTTTGGTCAGTTGTATTGCATTTCAACGTATTTACAAGTCGTATTAATCGCGGCTAATCCACACTGAAAGATGTTATTGAGCGGTAATTTTGGAACGGATTGAGTCGCGAACGCTTGAAAGCCATGAAAGCCTTGAATGCCTTGTATGCTAAGTATGCCAATGTCTTAGTTGAAAAACGTTCACTTGTTGTAAAAAGCACAATCTGAAATCTGAAACCAAACTGCATATACTCTATGCAATCTATTGAACAACGCTACTACCGTGAGACTGAAGAACATAACTATATGGGATGCAAACTGCTTGTGAAGAAAGACGACATGTTGGATTCACTTGATGGCAAGGAACTTAGCTACGATAACAGTACGAATGATATTAATTTCACGATCAGAAAGGTGAATCTTATGTTTGTTTTCATTGTAGTTGTATGGATATTCTTTTTTAATAAATACGTGATCCAAAACCCTGTGTTTTTTTGTGTATAATGTTGTTATGTTAAATATTGTTTACGCAATTGTCTTGTCACAAGCGGCCCAAGCTCACGTCTCGAGAAAAAGCCAACGATTAATTCATGAACGCGTCACGCGTTGTGTGACTCGGTGTTAAGTTACGAGAGGAACTGCACGTTATAAGGAATAGTACAGGGAACGAAGTATGGTCGATTTACAACGATACATATTTCGAAATATGAAGATTTTTCTCGTAAAATCGATAAAACTTACTCATACCCTGTGTATCCGTTGTATTTTCTGGCGATTTCTACCGTTTTAAGCTTGCTTTACCATCGCTGTTGTTCACATCATCTACTTTTATTACGTTGATAAAATCTGTACAGACATCACACCAACCAACTCGCGCGCAAAGTAAGAAGACTATATTGAAGGCTTGAAATAATATTGCGATCGATTTTCATCAAGAAATGGGCCAGGAATATTCCACAATAGTGCAAATAATCGTGAAGGCGGATTGCAGAAAAGCGATTGCGTGACGCTCGGTAAGCTGTAAGATGACATGTTATTATATACCAGACGTAAAAACTCTTCAGATTCTTAGTCTGCAGTCTGCAGTCTATATTTTGTATCCGGTCTGCAGTCTGCTGTCTGCATTTTGTACTAACAGGTATCCGTGGCACCAATACAGTTTATTTTTGGTTACATTTATTCGCAAAACACACATAATCTCGCACAAAATACCTGTGAGTGAGGTAATTCGACATTTTCGTTCTTTCCCACATTAATATTCTTCTCTCCTTTTGTAAGAATGTAGACATCACTCGCAATGTTTCAAGTAATCCACCCACCCTACAAAAAAGGAACTCTTGCACGCATAGCATGCCTATGTTTTGAATTAGGTGTATGCCCTTGGCCAGACTTGAGCGCACTATTTCAGTATACTAGTCCGACACCCGTAGTATCACTACACTTGATTCCAAGGATCCAGTACCATCCAGGTATCCCAGTTACCCTGCTCACAGGGTCTAGTTCAAGTTAAAGTTTTGCCTCTTGCCGGTTGCCACATGTAACCTTGTTATGTCTCATCTAATTTCGTTTTTATCAATTCTTGAGGTTTCATGCCCATCACTGGCAACACCTACGAGGGTCAATAATAACAACAATAAAACGTAATAAAGACAGGTTGTTGGAAGTCAGTTGCCAGTGATAGAGGGCTTATTTTGATATTGCGCAAGGATTTTCTTTAGCTTGCAGATAATGTTGGCCTGCATACCAGTCCTTAACTGTTTAAGGCCCAAAAGTGTGAAAAAGCTGCTTTTTTTTAGTTAACGACAGCTGAAGTGCAACAGTTTTGCTTTGCTTGAAAGGAGAACTGGTGACGAGTTATTGGAAGAACAAGATTAACAGTCGATCTTGTAGCGAGAATTTTGTCAAAGACAACGTCAGCAGCTTAAAAGCAAATTAAAGCAGTTTACGTCGTCAGCGCTACAGGGAAAGAAGGATGTCACCAAAACTCGAAAATATGCACTCATTCATCCTTTATTCGATTACAAAGCTGTCAAAATTGTCATTTGTTGGAAAAGCCTGGTTTTGACTGTGATTACACTCTTATTTCCGAAATGTCATAAATATTCTGATCCTACTATTTAACAAGCGTTTTTACTCAATTTAAGCTGGCTACAGCACACGAGCAGGTTATTGAAAAAGAAGACTAAAAAAGGCTACTGAAGCATTAATTTATTAATAGTCTAATGGGTTCGTTGCTTAAAGGCGACTTGATAAAACTGGAAACTCTTCCATAGGGTGTTTATAAATATGAAGGAACTAAGTGAATGAAATTCTCTACTCGATGACTCATTTACCAAAAAGCTCCCCAGAGTTAAAAACTTTGATGTTTTTCATTGAACGCGAGATACATGGTTGAACTGTTAAAGGGAGTACTGACTGTGGATATAGCTAACGAACGTTATTGACAACGTATAAAAGTCAGTTAGGATACATGCACTATTTTAGAAATTGTGTGAAAAAAGTTAGGAATCAATAAAAAAATGTAAATGCACTTAATGATCCTTTGGGGTATTGCCAGTGAAAGCACTCACTTATGACCCGACTTCTTTTCGATTGGATTTCTTTTCTAAACTCGGAGAATTGCTACGATTGCTAACTAGAAGTACTGGACATACTAAAATTTTGTAAGCTCATCAAACATAAAGCCTCCTTGGATACGGCCGGTTGAAAAAGTTGGAATATTCTGAGGAAAGTTGGTTCTCAGCATGGCTTTTTTGCTTCGTTTTCACTTCAACGCCTAATGGCTGCAAGACGAGCTCGCATCCGGGAGATTTATCGTCTAACTTGCAAGCGACATATTGCTGGATATGACTCTCGAGGAAACTCATCGGCGCAGAGCCCTGGTTGAGAATCTAAAATTGAAAACAAAGATTGTGAGTTTTCGCCCATAAATGCAATACTGATTTTCTTAGTGCCCAAATAAGAAAAAAGTACAATTTAACAATTCCATACAAATATAGAATGGTATAAGCCAGTCATATAACATCAATAGTCGTGAACGCAATAAGAAATACATCTAGTTATAAACACTTCCATATTTTACCTGGTAATGAAAGTCCTTTAGGTCAAACTTTTCCTTCAACTTCCTCTCTGCGTAGTCCCTTAATTTCTGAATCATCAGCTGACCAATCATGTACGCGCTAGCTTGACCCGGGCCAGACTGGTATCGAGTCATTTCTTTGCGCGCAATATCGGACGTATCCCAAGCGTAATTGGCCAATAGATCTAGTCCTTCTCGGCGAGTCATGCCCTTGCTATGGAGGCCTGCGTCCAGTACAAGACGGAGGGCCCGCCAAAGCTAAAGATAAAAAGGAAATATGGCAGTAACAATACGAAACTGCAACAACAGCGGAAAAAGTTTCAAGGCTAAGAGCACCAACAACTTTCATACATGCGGTAAAACTTTTAAATGCCTTGAGGATAATTACAGTGAAAGTGATTGCTCAATTTTGTCTCCGACAACTTTTTGATGTTGTACATTGGAAAGTTGTCTGTATTCATTTTGCGGGAAAAAATTTGCGAGGTTAAAAACCATCAGCTTTTAAGTTAAAATAAAAAAAGTCGATCTAGCTCTTTGGTGAGTGTCAGTCCTATTGAATTAGGCATAATTTTCAGTGTGCAAACTGTGATCAGGCGTCATCTAAGTTAAGTATTAACAAAAATCAACTTGCTCTCCATTTTAGTGCTCCATATCTCTGCCACGGCTTATTATCGTACGAATCAGTATCTTCAGCTACAAGCATCTCGGCATATAGTCCCCAGCCCTCTGAAAATGCAATTGACTGAGAGATCTGGTTCACCCAGCCTATCACACCGCCACACTTGTCCGCGAAATGTTCAACAAAACCTTGAGCCTAGGACAGGAATTGAAATTAACTGAAGATGTCGATAATAATTATTCATAAGGTAAATCAGCTTTCAAACCAAAAGATCTCGACAAAGTTTTAGTTGTTCCAGTTTCGTTGTTCTCCCTGGCTCATCCTAGGGGTCTTTTACCCCCCCCCCCAGGAATTTAGTTAGGAATTCGTGACCGTTGGCCGGTAGTAATTTTCACGCCCTCTCCCCTGCGGTAGCAATTTTCGCGCCAGCATAATTTATAAACGAGCAATGCGAGAGGAAAGCGACCTGCTCAAGAATACAATACATAGACTCGAGCTGGCCGGTTTTTTTTTTCTCCATTCCCACAGCAGTGAAGTGAAAACTATATACAAAATAGTCCATCTACTGTAAGGGACTCCTGTTATTATACACCTACCTGAGTGTGGTGTCCAGGTCTCGCCTCGTGAGCATTGACACTCCACTCGCTGAAGACTGGACCCATGTTTTCGAGGAAAAACGGAACATTGTACCTACAAAATTTCAACTAGCCTAATGAGAAAGGTCAGCTGTGTTAATCAGAACAAAGGGGTCCCAAAAATTTTACTTCTTTGGTTATTTGATGATATTTCCTACGCCTCACCTGGAGTTCTTTGAACAAACTGCATCACTGAGTTCGTAGCTTTGCGCGGCAGAGGAAGGATTAAAGTCCGGAGCAAGCTGAACGGGGCAGCTTGGCGTGGTCTGTTTGGCACCAGTGAAATGAAACATGTTGACTGTTTTTGGTTCTAAGAAACTCATAGCCTTCGGAAAATGAAAATGAAGAAATAATATTGTAAAAAGGGAATATGAAGAAAAACAGGAAAGAAAACTTCCATCAAGATATGCCACATTTTTTTAGATTTTGAGGCATTTGAGTGTTTTGTGTAACTTGGGATTTTTACACAAACGGAATCGAAACTCGTTGAGACTACGAAAACTGAAGAAGGAAAATACAACATGAAATAAGAAAAAAAAATAGGAACTGGAGCAGGAAAGAACCCAGACAAGAAAATATCTCTTGAGATACGTGAAAGCCACTGCATTTGTTCAGATTTTGAGACACTCGTCCTCTTGTAAATGCTATAATCACGAAGTCGGGGGAATCCCGAAAAATCGCCTTAGCCACTCTGCGGAAATTTAAAGCAACTTCTTTTAAAAATAAATCTGTCATTACGAGGGTCCAGATAAGAAAAAGAAACAGAAAAAGGTAAATTTTCAAGTTCCATAACTAAATAAACTTAATCATCAACCAAAAGTGACATTTACATTGCGCGCTCCAATACAGCTAAACGTTGCATTAATTACCTCCCTAGAAGCTTTGAACCAATTTTGTAGAGCCTCCCATCTCTTCGGGCAAAATTCCTTGGCACCTTCGATCGTACTGCAGCGTTCAACTGCCAACTGGTTGCTTTCATTCGCTGGTATTGGCTCTTTGTTGTAGTACATGTCTTGAGATGTAATTCTCTTTTTGAATTCCTCCACAACTGTAGCATCTGGGTCTGCTTTTTTTCCGGTGAGGTTTCTCGCAAGAGCAAGGATCTACATAATGGCAAAAATATAAGCTGCAAGTTAAAATCAGTGGGGTGTTTGGAGAACTCGGTGCGTTGAGCTGAATTGTGTTAGTACCAGACAAAAGATCAAGTACTAACTTTAAAACAGAGCCAGTCCTTCTAATTAAGGGCACACTTAATTTGAAGTCTCGCTTTGTTGTGTGTCCCGTACCTTCGTCTCTCGTTCTTGTGACCTCTTCAAATGTATTTCTTCTTCCTAGTCTTATTTTAGCATTGTGATCATGGTGAAAGCGATTAAATAAATAAAATAAATAAATTAAGCGACCAGTAGTGATCATAGTAGGATAAGCTAAGCAGCAAGTTACCCTGAAAAAGTTCGGAAGATCTAGTCCTAAATTACTTTCACTCTAACTTTTTCCAAATAGTTAGCGTTGTCAATGTAATCATTCCACGTGAATATTCTATCCAATCCCGTTAAATTTGGGGCGGCTTCTTCTTCTCCAGCAAAGACCTCGCCGAAAACAATTCTGATGAAAGATTCCAACAGAAATTATAGATTCATCCTTAAGTACCTGAGGATAGGTTTGATTCAAGATCTCCCATCCCTTGTTGTACACCTCGTCAGGGGTCATATCAGTTGTGATAAAATAGGACAACATGCTGGCATAAGTCTGAGGCCCGTTGAGAATCTCCCCCGTGCTTAGGTTCCTCACGGTCGGCTGTGAGATATCAGGTTTGCCGTCAATGTACACGTATTTCAAGGGGCGGTTAAAAAGACCACTGGAAATGTTGCTTGGAACACAATGGCTCATGTGCTCTTTTTCCAGATAACTGAAAGGAAACAATCCACGTAAGAGATGCAACGCCAGATATCTAAAGTTTGCAGTTTTTAACACTGATATTTTGTTTACCTATTCTTTCGAAAATGCGTTTTTCTTAAGTTAGGGATTACATTGTTGCATCGAGATAGAAACCGTGCATGCATTGGTCTACGCTAAAAGCTCTCAGCAGATTATTGTGTTGTGTTTCTGACGTCTCTGTTATTGCTTATCATCTCTTTTCGGCGGACGACAGATACAGGTAGATGAAGGGGAAGTAGCAATCTTCTAAAGTTGGATGATGACAAAAGAGTGCCGCTGCCCCTCACGGTAGGGTTGGCTGGCGGCACAGCAAGTTACGGAAGGAATTCGTCTATTTCTGATAGCTTACAATTTCTGACACCTATTTATTCTTCCGGGTGGATATAGGTATTGTTAGAGTTTTAAGCGTTTTGCCAAAGAACGCAACACAATAACTCATTTTAGGGCTTGAAAGTAGACCTTATGATCCGAAGTTCAGTGCTCGAACCCCTTAGCAACAATCAACATGTGAGTTTCTCCTTAAAATATCAATAAAAATATCAAGCAGACAAGTATGAGAATAATGATAATAATAATAGGAAAAATTAGGGGATTATTAATTGATCCAAAACCATTCTCTCCCAAATAACATCATGAGAAGCGTATGACAGACAGTAAGGAGAATTTCTTAGGAGATCTTGGAGATGAAACAGATAATCTGGTGCTTCTCTCACTTTGACATGAAGAGGCATGTTTCAATGTGGATCCTAAATTTGAGAATTCACCGAGACTGTCTTTATCTATTTTGCATGTCTACTCAGCAATACCTAAATAATCCATTCATTGGTGCACCGACATTCTGGATCAAGAATTCCTCCATGGAGCTCTCCAACGTCTTTCCTGTGCGTTTATTCCATTCGTCCCTCATTTCCTTCGTCAATCCTTCGTAGAAAGAAGGATCAAGCAGCTTTTGCACAAACGGTTCTTTTAACACTCCTGGAGGAAAAAAAAACATGAGTATGAGAATTTTTCCTTTTTTATCATAGGCTTGCATGTACCGCATGGCTTTTTCAAAAAGTACTCTCTTAATTTTCTGTTATCTTATGTTTTATTTCGATTTAGTCTCTTATTTTTATATATACTCTTATGGGATTATTTAGACCCTGTCGATATCTCATAAGAGCATTTTAAAACACTACTCAAGACGAAAGGCTAACGTTCAAAACGTCAGCTTAAGAAACTCGTTATGGTAGCCAATTAACATTATTTACTCAGTTGATGAAAGCAAGTCAACTAATCGACAAATAGACCGCCTTTTAATCGAGTGTCGCAGGAACAAATAGATTTCATCCCGACGGCCAATCAGCAGGAAGGACACTGAAATATCACATGGATACCAATGAGAACTAAAACTCAACACCAAAAACGAAAGCAACTGACTGAGTTACGAATGGTTTGAATCCTAATTCTGATTGGTTGAAAAGGTGAGCGAGGCCGATTTTATTGTCCAATCAAAGAGCGTTAAAAGCCAGCCGTCTAAATGCAATGTGGGATTGATGAATTTCAAAATCTGTTTTAAGATCATATTTCAACTTTAAGGAGACAATCTGCCTTTTCTAATCTTTAACAAAATTCTGGTGGGAAACTTTTCTCACATTGTTCTTAGACGCAAGTTTTGTTGTGAACGCAGATAAATGCTATTGCGTACAAACCTTCATGGCGCAAGTTTATCCGAAAAACAGCTTCCTGAGAGTTTGACTCAGCAATTTTAGTTTACGCAAAAAGACACCGGTTTTAGTGACGCTGATAAATAAAGCATGGCCATTATGATTATTGTCTTTTGTCTGATTAACTGCTGTAAACAATCCGTTTCTAACAAGTAATGATTTTGAATCCGAAAACTGTTGCAGTTCTTAATAAAAAAAATTTACACTTAACTTCACTTTTCTTTCAGTCTCAAATCAAGCAGTGAGTCGTGCAGTGTAAATTTAATTGGCAGAACTTATCCATACCAGATTATAGAAAACTGTATAAATATCCCATGGCGAGCTTAGATAGTATTCCAGCACGCGTTTAGAGGGTCACGCCAATCTTCACCAACTACCGAGAGGGTTCTTAAATTGTTACAAATTGAAGCAAATAAACTGTATGACTTTTTTAAGCCCTCAAGAGATGCCGATAGGCAGTTAAAAGTGTAATATGGAACGCTTGCCAATGAAACCGTCCCTTACTGCCTAAATATAAAGAGTCTAAAATCCGAATCTGTCTGAGTAGCTACATGGCAATTTTTTCAGTGGTTTGGTTTCTTTTCCTTCCGACATTGGGCCTCAACCTAGCAGTTTAGTTCATTAATTTCAGTTCAGAATGATGATGAAGTTACGCATTATTCCTGATTAATGTTTATCCATGTATGCACTAAAAGAAGCCGCGAGACTTTTTAAAGTGATAATCTGCCGTGAGGAAAGATTGTTTGTAACTCGAAGCTATCATGTTTTCGAAATTATGCGAATTACGAGTTTTTTAATATTTAACAACATTGAAATAACAGAAGAAAACTAGTGAAACCAGCTGCACGCTGTTAGAAACATACCTTCTCTCTCAGTGTAAATATGGCTGAAGTATTCCTTCAAGGAATCAATCCCCGCTCGACACTCTTCAATTGAACCAACCATTCCGGCCTTTACTCCAAGCTTCACATTTTGGGTGTATCGACTAATCGATTTATTGTAAGACTCCAAAATATTCCGAATGACCTCCATATCGCTTAAATTTTTAGGTGCAAAATGCCGTAAACTACCGGAAATTTCTTCTCCTAGAACGCAGATCGGCTGCCAACAGAAGAAATTCGGACCCAACATCCAATCACCCGAGTAGTAATTTCCGTCGTAAGGATGTCCGAAGACGTGCCGAAGATAGAATTTTATTTGTGATATTGCTTTTCTCTCTCGTGGCTTCAGTTTGGCCGAGTCGATATTTGTCTTATTGATCTCCGTAAGCAGTCGCCAGGCTCCGTCTGTTCTTCGTTTGATCTCGGAAGGTGTCGGATCGTAGGGTTTGAAATCACGGCGGATTTCCTCGGGTGTCTTATCTGGATTGAAACGTAGCAAATTTGGGTTTAAGACGTAAGTTTCGAACTGAATTTTCTCGAGAAGTTTGTAAAGCGACGCTCTCACAGCTTCCTCTGACGGCGCACACTCGTCTGAGTTTGCAGTTTGAGTTTGGTTTGTCTGATGACTTTTATCCTGTTTTACATCACATTCGCCCTTGTGTTTATCTTTGGCAAGCGAGATTAAAACGATTCCAATTATCAAGCACGTTATTCCAAGAAGAACGATAATAGCAACGATAAACCTCTGGCTGTTGCAGCAACGCTTACTTTCCACGTCGACATCTTGGTTATCAGAGTCACCTCGAATTGCAACAGTGGAAGGATTTTTAATCATGAAACTGTCCAGTTCTGTGCTATCGACTGAACAATTGGTCGCTGTAGATACCTCTGCCATGATTGCAGTTTCAAAATCAAGGCACGCAAAGCTACGAGCTGGAAAGTGCAAACTCTTTGCTTTGCAGCAAGGATGAAGTCTCCCGCTCTGGCAGAATTGTACGTGGAGCGATCTAATTAAATAAACTACTCAAATATTCAAGCCACTTAGTTAGCGGCTAAATTAGGCCTTGTGGTACCCATCGGGGAACTTCACACATCTCGCGTGTGATTTGTAATAACTGATGACTTTACCAGCTGAGAGTTTTTCTCAAACGCGTCGGAGGTGAATGTAAAGTAACTAAAGGCAAAAAGGTCTTATACGATCAGGAATTGAAAGATCAGAAATTTCTAATTTTCTTGACACCGTTGGAGGGAACGAATTTTGAGGAGCCGATAAGCAATAATGACGTTATTGTCTCGATGAAAATTTTGATCTAGCCGCCCGGCGTAGGCAGGTGTCTGATCTTTCCATTATCTCCATAGCTTAGTTTTCTAATTTTTATTATGATTATTATTATTTAGGGCATGAAAAATCTCCTAATGAGGTGAAGGATCAATCTAACCTTTGCTAATTCTGCGTTGAATTCTGAATGAAATGAATACGCAGATATTTTTTAGGAATTGCTTTTCAGAGTTGTCAAATATCGATTGCATGACTTCCTGATAAACAATAAAATACTGAATTTTTTTAGAGGAAAAAACCTTGTTTGAATCTCATTGGCATTTGAAAACAGACAAAGACTTTGTACAGCGTACGTCTTCGGTGTTATGAAGTAATTTTTTCCATCCGTCTCATCGACCTACTATATAATTTTGCAATATATGAATTAGCGTCTCTCGTTTCATTAATAAGAAAGTTTTTCATTTATTTGTTTTCGTCAGTGCAGTGAGTGGTAGGCTTTCCTTCAGTACGTAAAAGGAAATTTGTCGAATAAAATCGTTTATTTAAACTGAAGGCGTTTCTGACCAATTACGAAAAAATTGAATTCACCTGCCATCATCTGATGTCGTGCTGATCTAAGAATCTGAGCGGGATTCTATCTACAGTGGAATCAGAGACACCTAATCAACGCCGTAGATTAAAAATCAATGGGAGCAAATTATGAGTGGGTGTATAAATTAAATTAACCTTTCAGCTTTGCCTGTACGTAACAAACTTAAAAATGTCTATGAAAATACTGCATGTATATAATTTTTTCTTTATTCAGAGGCTGATAAAAATAACATTGGACATATCTCGAATCAAACATTTTCCCCCAAACATCAGGATTCTGTTTTAGTGGGTATTGCAAAAGATATGAATATTTGATGACTTCAGCATAATTTTGTTTGACAATCGGATGATTTCCAGAACTAAACGAAACCACAAATGATAAAATGTCAGCCTCCGCTAACATAACCCCCAAAAACCTTTGCACTCTATTGTGAAATTTTTCTGTGCTGATAGCATTTGTGACCCCTGTGCATTAGGTGGTAGCTAACTCAAATGCTCGGTTCTAAAAAACATAAAATAATGGGAAATGAGTCAACAAACAAAGAAACAGTTTCTTCGCAACGGAAGTGAAAAATACACGCAAATGGTTTAAACTTGTTTTCCTTTCTCTTAAATACACCATTGTTAAAAATTTATCGGAAGCAATGATTCATGCGAAATGCATTTTTGAATAAATCAATAAAGGATGCAGAACTAGAGATATGTTGGGCATCTCAGCTTTGACGCTGTTTCTAAAACTGAGGACTGGTAGTGAACATTCGAAAAACGCGTTTTCACCAGAGAATTTGCTCTTGGGCTCTTTCTCTATAAGTCACCCTTTAAACCCTAACATTAGTATGTATATTCTCCATACTGTTCTCTATACATTTCTCAAGGTGTTGACAAGGAGAATTTGTATTACAATCAATATCTTCTTCAGTTGATGATCATTCCTTTATTCTCGTGACCTTATTTGACTCAGCAGTGGTATTGTAAGAAGATATTAGATGCAAGTCACTCTTAGGGTTCAAAGGTTACGTGGAGGGCCCTTGCAAACAACATGGTCGTTTTTCCGTAGGGTAAAAAAAAAACCTGAATGTTTTGAACAGCGCAAGTTTAACGCGTTCACGAGAGCGAACCAGGAAAACTGACTCAGACACATGAAGTCGAAGCTAATCAATGCATCACTAAAAAAAGACATCATTTTGCAAGGAATTTTGACTAGTTTCTTTAACTCTCTTTATTTCTTTTTAACTCTTCCCACTATTCCGTGTGGTTAAAACTTTTCAAATAGGAGTTGTTCTGACATGAAGATACTTTTGATCGGAAAGTCTCCTTTCCAAGTACCTTACCAAGACAACCCCATCCACTTCAGTTTCAGAGTCAACAAACCACAATTCAATACCCGTGTACTGTGCAATAGGTACACATCATATGATATACAAACAATTTTTTAAATAGTTCGCAAACCAACACAAACATACAAACGATGAATAAAACAACTAAAAAGCAAATAAATAACAAAAATCTGTGGAGACACATAAGCTAAAAATTGGAGTTTACTTACCAAAAAATATCCATAACTGCAGTTAATTTCAAGTTCCGTATAACGTTTCCATGCTTTTGAATGAGATGGTAACTGAATTGAAATAAGTTCTCTTGCAGGCTGTTCTAGTTTCAGAAGTATGGCTGCGTTACCTCACACAGTCCATACGCCACAACAGCGTCAAAGAAAAAAGTGCACCCAATCTTAACAAACTGACAAACTTGACCTCTTCTTGTAGATAGTAAGGCCCTTCTCGCCGCTTCAGGCATTTTCGCCTTTGGTGGTTTCAAATCTTCTCCTTCCGCTTTCTTCATCTTTTCGTCCATGTTTGTCAGAGCTTAGAACAGCCTGACATGTATTTGTGCATCTCTTTTTACGATCTCCTTCTCCGCTTTGGCTTCCAACTGGAATCTTTTCATATTCTTCTTGGCCTGCTTGCACATATCTTCAACATCGTCTAAGTCATCAAAATATTTGTCACATTGTTTTTCAAGTTCATAAAATTGTCTTTGCAATTTGTTGATCGGTCTTTCCTTCTCATTGGATGGATAACTTGCTCTTACAATAAAACTTTCGCTAACAACCGAAGCCATTTCGGGTAATTCTAACTTGCAAGCTATACTGATCGGAACAAAAGCGAAATTTTCTTCTGCTTGTTGTAAGTGACGTAACAATCGGACCGTTTTCTGAGTGCGCGCTCAGTAAGTCGAAGCGCGTGCGCGCATTTTTTCAGCACAAGAAATAACAAAAAGAAAAAAAAGGAAAGACTGTGGCTCTTCCCGTCATAATATCTTTGAGATATTTATAAGGAGAAAAATCAAAAGGCTGCAACACCATTTTAGTGATCGAGATAGGAAAGTCATTTTTGATGTCATGTGTTTTGATTTGTTTTCTACTTAAAGCGGAGAGTCCTTGCGAACAACAAAGATTTTAGTGGAGGAAAGTATTGAGGAAGAGGGCTCTTTACGGAAAAAATTTGGAGTAACAAAAAAAAAAATTTCCCTTTTACCCTTTCCACCTCCAATTCCATTCATCCTGCAAAAATTTTTACTGTGCTTCTGCAATCCTTAGGCCAGCGCTAGCTCAAATGAACGCTCAGTATGTCACATAAAATACCATGTAGCGTCCATAATATTTATGTAATGATTCTTAGATAGACCAATTTATTAATTCGTTAAAAAGCAGGAGAGGATCTTATTGACGTGAGAAGCGAATAATTTTATTTGACCAAACTGTTTACACAGCTGCAAGAGGACGTCTAAAAGATTGATTTTTGCTGTTGTTCGTTGGTTTTGTCTGATCATAAGATCGACCTTGTGATAATGAATCACGTTCAAGTCGCTTGACGATCTCGCTGCTGGCCGCATGACAGGAAGCGTGACGGCGGAAGAAAATCTCACCTTGCAGAGATAAAGGAGATGGACAATAAATATCACAAAAAAAATAACCTAAAAATACGAGCAGAAAAGCTACAGTGTGCCATATTTTATGTCAGTTTTCGAATAAGAAGGCACACAAATATTATAGCAGAAATCTCCTACACTAGACACAATTGGGGGGTTGAAAATTCCTGACAGAGAGATTTTTTCGAAATTTTTCTGATAGTTATTCAATTGGCGAAGCTTTTACTACTTCTACAGCCGATATGGCCCATCCTAATAGCTTTTGCGTGCGTTCCATTTTTAGCAACAATTTGTCAGATTACGTCACCTTTTCAAATCACATGACAGTTTTCCACGTACACATGCGCAAGCACATTTGCTAGTACCTCTTACTTCTGTGGAAATACTGTGTCTATATTGTCGGATTCAAGGGTTAAAATCGCTGTTTCTGCTCCCTGAACATAAGGGGAAGCTTGACTATGGCCGGTTTTGAGGAAAATCCCTTCGCTGGGGACTCAGAAAATCCATTCGCTGTAAGTATTCCTTCTGTGAATAAGATTGTTTTTGCTTCATAATGCAAGACAAACACACATTCAGACGACGGTAGTGATCTCGGAGATTTTTATGTTGGTTCTTTTAACGTGTCGGGAATTCTTTACATTTACAGGATCCATCGGTTGCTTCAGTTACGAATAATGCCTCCAAAGGACTGGAAGATTTCAATCCATTTGCGGACGCGAACACAGCTCAACCAACAGGAGCAAAGGTTGTTCATTTCCTCTAAGTGTTTCATTTTTGTTAAGAGCGCTTTCGTAACTTAAAAAAGTGGTATTTTTTTCCATGAGGGCCTTGAGTTATAGAAATAACACTTAAGAATACTAAGGGTGATAGTTCTATGAACTCCCTTCGTTTCTGAGAACGAGAGCGTTGACTAATTGAAGTCACATTAAGACTGATTTGTTTTCATGTAGACTTGGATAGACATGATTGTACTTTATTTTTGTCGTGATGTACTTGGCCGCAGAATACACATCACGAACCCCAGCTCTTACCTTTATCAGCGCAGGATGTTGAGAAAAAATGTCTGATGTTCGAATCTACTCAGGGTTTAAGCTTACGAAAACCTCTTGTTTGCGAAAACCTCTTATTTGCGAAAACCTCTTCGATAGAGACCTGTTTACCATTAATTTCCTCCTACAAAGTAGCTGATATAAGATCAAGTATATAAGATCAAGTATTCTTGCTTATAGAAACCTGTCACTTAATTTTTTTAGAGCTTGCATTGTTAGGTTCTCTTTGCTCTCCTTATTGTTAAACAATTTTGAAAAAATTGCGTTGAGAAAGAAACAAGATCTTAAACTTAACGTGTTGATTTTGTATCTGCTGTGCGTTAGAGCATATAGCTATGAACTCAGTGAAGGCTTCTGAAATAAACAGTTGTTGGTCGTTTCACACAGGGATTTATCATATTCAAACGCAAGTGATACCAGCTTTTGAATAAAAATCCCCAATAGTTAATGGACAAAGCAGTAGGTTGCTTTAAATCCAGCTGAACAAGGAACAAATTTATTATTTGCAAGGATGTAGCAAAGTTGTAACAGAAAATTCTTAAGTAATGATATTGCGCTCAATTTATCATTTGTGGGCTCTATTTTCTTTATTTCTGTTCTTCTATTAGCTCTCATTCAAGACATAGATGAAACCAGATATAGCCCTGTTCATGATCAGAAATACTAGTTGAATTATAGCTACAATAGATCACACATTAGGAGGTTATATCATGGGCTGTAAATAAAGCATTATGCTAATATGTGTAGCTTGATTGAAATAGTTGTCTTTAATTATACCACACTCTTTATGAGACTCGCGCTTATGTGGATATGCAATTGATTTGTTATTTGGTTTTATATTTGACTTTGTTTTTTTAGTTAATATTGAATCACAATACATTGTTTTAAACTGAAATTAAGATTCCTGAATGATATTGAAACCTAACATTCCTAGCAATATTTACAAACTGAAATAATTACCTATTTTGCAGAAATGATACAGATAAAGAACATGTTTCAACATGGCATGAACATGTATATGGAGCAACAAATTTGCGAAGACTTTACAGATTAAGTTTGAAAACTTGAACCTGGGAAAAATAGTTCCATCAGTTCAAAAACTCTAAACATGTAATAAATTTGGCCTCCCATAGCAAATAGATTGTCAGGAAAAAAATAGAATTAAAACCAAGAAAACAGTAATAGCATTTTTAATGTAGTTAATAATTTTTGGTTCAACACTCAAAACTCCTTTTCTTGTACACTAAGGCAGATAAGGCAGAATGCAATCCTACTTGAGCCAGCTCTTGTATGCTGCTATAATATTTGTCTTTTCTGTCTTTGTGGTTCAAAGGTTTTCTTTCTCTCTAATTGTGCTGTTTGCTGATTTTTTTCTAGCCTTAGACAGGACATACTCTAACTAGTTCTTGTATGCTGCTATATTATTTTTTTTGTTTCAGTGGGTCGAAGGTTTTTTTCTTTCTAATTGTGCTGTTCACTGATTTTTTTCCAGCCAAAGACAACACCAGCTGTCCAACCCCCTCCTCCACCACCACCCACAGCACCACCCCCTTCTTCCTCTCAGCCAGCTGTGCTTCCGACCAGAGAAGAACCTCCACCTTATGTGGTATGTGTAACATACGTATATGTTTTACTTTAAAAGTAGAAATCAGAATAGCTTGTGAACCAGTTGTAGTTTGGGATGTTGTAAAGTTACTGTCTCAAGTCCCACTCAAAAACATGCTCTGGTGGTGATTGAAGGGCAGAGTGAGCAATAAACATTTGGTACACAATGTTTACCTTGAAATGCAATGAAGTATATGAAGTGAAGTTAATGAGGGATGATGAGTCAACTTTTATTTTTGACCCCACTATTTTCTACATGTATCTCACACAGATTGAAGAAGAAGCAGAAAATTTACGGAAAAGGCAGGAGGTATGGTGTCCTCATCAGTGTTGTATGTGTGCCTGTACAGTGTGTCGCTAGACTGTGCTCTCCAAGTTATGGCTGTTTTGGTGCTCATTCTAGCTACTAAATTTTCAATTTCCAAATTGGTAGTTTGTGTTTGGTGTTTATATAGCAAGGTGGAAAAGTTTTTGGTACAAAATGGCACAGCTTTTTCTGGAACTGCTCTGTCCATTGATGTAGAAATGTAGTTTGAAAGTTGAAATACTGAGATTTCATAATAAATGTATTCTTATGGTCAGGCCACAAATTAAATGCCAGTCCAATTTTTTATAGGATTTAGAACGTAAAGCAGCAGAACTTCAAAGGAAAGAACAAGAGTTACAACGAATGCAATTTGGAGGTAGAGGCTTTTAAAATATTTCAATTAAATAATCTTGAAGGGTACATGTACAGCACACCTTCTAACTCTGTTGTGCACACTGCTCAAAACATCTTAAACCCTTTTACTCCTAGAGGTGATTAACATGTAACTTCTCCCATAATATCCATTTATTATCCAGCAAAAAGAATACTTAAACTTATCAGGTAGAGGTTGTACTTTTGACCTAACACCAAACTCTTGTGACTTGCTTAAAAGAAAATGTGTAGAAGTAAGAGGGGGGAATTTGCAATCAGATTTGGGATTGAAAGGGTTAATTAACTTTTGGAGAATGTTGCTGTGCATTTTTTGAATGGGTTGTTTTATAAAGTATATAGAGAAGACAAACTATGCCAAACCATTTTAGTTGTAGTGAAGAAAGTAACATGTTTTATTTTTTTTTCAAAGGCTTAAATTTGGAGTGCCATATAGAAATGTAGTATTGTACTCTTTAACGTTAATGCCTTCTTTGTTTACAGGGTGTAAAATTAATTTTTTTTTTTGATAGCCACTTGGCTCCTTAATTCTTCAAAGTGGTAGCCAATTCAGAAAAAGTTGGTCATGATTTTCAAAGACAAACAAAACCTTTTGTCAGTGTTCTAGATAGACCCTCCAAAATTAAGTTAGGGAAAAGATCTTTAACTTGCTACAAAGTGGAAACTAGGATGGAATGATATACAACGTTCAAGCTCACTTAAATCCAAGATGGTGTCTAGTTATTGGAAACAAACTTAACAAGGAAGTTTGCTGTGGATTTATCTTTTTAGTTCACTTTATCTCTTGGTAAGGTTATGATGAAACATTCTAGTTACCAATTTGACAACAAATTTTCAGGATTTGGTCACCAAAGTTAAAAATTTAGTTGCATTGGGGCCTGTATTAGGTGCAATTTCGTGCCCTGATTGACCGATCAGGATAAAGATATTAAAATGCGTACCATTGTTGTCTTTTTTTATTTGTTTTACAGGTTATAGGGAAAACAATTTCCCTCCTTTCCCCAAAAAATGTCCTTGTAAGCCATGTTTCTTTCAGGATATCAGCATTGATATTCCCATTGATTACCAGAAGACTTGTAGAATGGTCTACATCAGGTGGCAAGGTAAGTGCTTATCTTCAATGTTGAATGTTTATGGCTAATTAACCAAATTGTCTTATTATGGATCAACATACATTTTTCTGCAATAAGAAAGATTGTAAATTTTGAAATTTTGAGCTTGTTCATCAAATAGAATAAGAAGTGAAACGTACAGTTGTGACATTGGTAGAATGTTGAAAAATTCTAAGTAAATCCCTGTTAAGAATTTGAACCCCAGACTATTAAATTGTTGTTATTAAACACAGTATAATGGAGGTACAAAGGGCCTCTTCTGACAAGATTATGAGCTCATTCACACATGTAAGTTCAAAGTTAGCAGGTGTGAGTTAGTTACCGAATATTGGTTTTAGCCAATGGTTTTTTTTTCTGTTGTGATGGTGTGTATTTGTGATGTTGATGTCTTTTGTCCTGCTTTTCTTTCAGTATACAGTTTTACGATGTTTTTCAACTTCCTTGCTGCATTTGCCATGCTTGTGAAAGATGCTGAGCCAATACACGAGGGCCAAACATTTGGAATATCAATACTCTACTTAGTGGCAAATATTCCTCTTTCATTTCTTGGTTGGTACCGGCCATGCTATAATGCTCTGAAGTGAGTACAGCTCTAATGGGGAGATTAATAACATTTAAGTATAATTTAAGTTAGCAAAGTGATTGTCTGAATTTGGAGATCCAATGTTTGGAGTGTTAACTCCCAGAGTTGATGTAACTTCTGCCTATGATATCCATACATTATCCAGCAAACAAGGAATGAGAGTACTCACACTTATCAGGTAGAATTTATCTTGATCCAATACCAAATGATTGCAACTAATTTACAAGAAAATTTGTAGCATCTAGAGGGGAGAAATAACTGTCAGATCTTAGTGGGGGGAAGGGTTTAAATTACAAAGTAATGCACAGATGTGAGTTGTTTTGAAGCTTGAGTTTCAATTTTTGGGAATCAAGCTTCAAAACACGGGGAGAATTTTTGTGGGAAACAACTTACCGTCAGTAATTCTTAAGAGCAGATCAAAAGCAGATCAAAAGCAATGGACACAGCCCTTGATGACTTTAGCCCTCCTTACTGTTGCAAGCTATGTTTTCATGGTTCCTAGCAGTTTAGTGCTAACTGTGTGTTTTGTTCTTCTTGCTTCTTTCAGGAACGACAGCTCCTTCAGCTATGTAATATTCTTTCTCCTTTACTTTCTTCACATAGCTATTAATATATTTTACACCCTAGGTATTCCTGGTGGTGGAACCTGGTAAGTTTCCTTTTTGCATGGACTCTTGATACATTTTTATCATTACTGTAATTTGTTGGGTTTGGTATAGTCAGTAAAAGGGGACACTTTCTGCAAACTCAGGGTCTGTGACCTTGATTTTGTAGAGTATGTGTATATTAGTCCTTGTAACCCATTTACTTTGTAGCAATTCAAAACCTTTTCTGTTTCAAGAAGACTCTATGCAGACTTTCAGTGATGTATCCCTAATCATGCTTGCAGAAAGGAAAAACAAAGAAAACCATGTCCAAGATTCCTAAATTTCTTTCAATTATTTTATTTCTGGAATGAACTCCTTTGTGGACAGGGCTGTTGATAAGTTTGAAAGTTTAGGAATAGTAGTCAGGTGATTTAATGCGAAAGCCATGTTGTTTTGTTAGTTCCACTAGGGTCATAGGAACCAATTCACATATTTAAATCTTAACTGTTAAATTATCTGTGGATTCAGTTTGGAACAAAACTGGGAAATTGCTGCGGTGCATGTCTCCCATTGTATTTCAATAATTGAACAATTTTTCATCAGTACTTTTGACTAAGGGAGGTAAAAGAAACTGGCCAAAGATGGTAGACAAGCCAGCAGAATTGGCCAGCTACCACCTCATTGAAAGCTCTAAATGACTGAGCATATTCAGTCAAGTTGGCTGGATGCATCTGTGATATTAACTCAGGAGTATAACAATACAGGCTGTAGGTGACTCCAATTTTTCCTATTTTAGCGGTTTTATCAACGCAACTCAAGCAGTTCACCATAGTGTACCTGTAGGAGCCATGATGTTCACATCAGGAGTATTGTTGTTACTTGGTGTTATTGTAGATATTTTCCTTCTTATGAAGGTACAGTTTTGACAGATCTTATCAAATTTTTTACTTTCTCTCAAGCAACCCAGTGTCACACAGGGTTCTTGCCAAGTGTTTTTTGCTGCAGGTAAAAACAGTAAGCACATTTCAGCATACATGTATGAGATATTTTCAAAGCTGTAACCACCAGCATCAGAAAAGTAAGATTTTCAATTGAGTGCTATATCAGTATTCTCCTTTTCGCAAGCCCTAGGATCTCAAATCCCACGGCAAACTATTATTTTTGCTTCAGTGCCAGAGACCATGGAAACCCATCTGTAACTATTTTTTGGTGCCATGAAAATTCATGGGAATCTCCTTTATATAACTTTGATTTCCATCAAAACAGGATTCTCAACTGTTGTGAAAAACACATTGAAATGGAACATGTACACTTTTATAACCATTAAATTAACAACTGGTGAACATATGGGCCACCACCTTCAGTAAAATGTATCATACTATGCGAATGATACAAGATAGCACTGAGAGAAGATAGACAACTGATCTAGCTTCATATATAAGCAGAATTGCTCTACCACTAAAACTTCAGAGGGAGAAAAACACCTTTCACTTTAATTTTGGTCAGTGAGGGTAAATATGTTGATGGGAAACTATTTTTTGGTTCTGTTATTTTGATAACATAGTAACAAAGGGGTGAGGGAGTAATTATTGGTAAACACTTCTGAGAAATATCTGGTATTATTATCCAACTGCACAAAGTTGAGTGTAAATTACGCATGAATAGGTTACAAATATGCTGCCAATAATTTACAGTTATTTGGACAGTTGGTTAGTTTGCACTGCAAAAAAAACCTGTTTAACAAGGCAGCTGCACACCCTATGCTTCTCTATCCGCTTTGCTTTTCCTACCTTATGAGACATGAGCAGAAAGACTTAGCGGGAAAAAAAAGCAGGTGGATAATAAATAACTTATTAGATGTTTTGGTGTGTAGTATTGCTGATTATTTTTACTTGTAGTTTGTATTTTGACTCACTCTATGGGCTCGTCAAAATATGGCACAACTCATGAAAATACTCAGTGATTCTACACACCAAAATGTCTAATAAGAGATATATATTAAAATGAAATGGCCACAAAAATGTGGTTACTGCATGTAGTGCTGTACTAGTAGTTGAGGCAGTTATGCACATTATGCTTGTGTGTAGTGGTAACTTTGTTTATTTTGGTACAAAAATTTCTCAGGTCCATAGGATCTACCGTTTGGCTGGTGCCAGTTTCGAGAAGGCACAGGGTGAGTTTGCAAGTGGTATGGCCTCCAATCCACATGTTCAGAGTGCAGCAACCGGTGTCGCAGTTGCTGGAGTGCGAAGTGCCATGACCAACCAGAAGTGAGCAGTACTGGAAGTGGAGAAAGGAGGAGTCAGGAAATCACAATTTACACATGTTAGAAGAAATGCATAATAACAGGCTCTGTATGGATGTGTTTTGCCCATACATTGATGTTCTTGTATTTTCTTACCTCTTTACATTTGTAGTACAATTTTTTTTTCTGTAAGTATGAGGAATTATGGTGCCACTTTATTTGCTTTTGAAGGCATCATTTTTAGTTGTATCAGTAGGATTTAAACAGGCGATAAAAAAATGAATCCAATTTCCCATAATGAGTTAGTAGCTTTATTTCAGTTTCCAGTATTCAGTGAGGCCAAAATTGGTGAAACTAAAGTCCTTGTTTATAAAAGTTTTGTAGTCTTTTTTCAGTAAAGGGGTACTTTAAATCGTACCTTTAAGTAACCTTGTTAAAGATGACATGGAAGAAAGCAAAACTGAGAAGAGCCTGTGGGCAAGAAGTGCTGTTAGCTGGTATCAGCCCTGTGTAAGGCCATTGTAGTGAAGGGGAAAAAGGAATTGGGAGCTGTGAGAATAGGGGTGGGCAAGAAAGGAGATACGTTAGTTTTGTGTTCACTTTGTCTGCAGTATTTTGTAATGAAGGGGAAAGAGAGGCATTCCAGTGAAGGACATGGAGACTGGGGAACAATTCTCACCCTCCTCATTCCCACCCCTCCACCAACTTGCAGCTTGAACCATGTGACCTTTTATCAGGCTTAATTTTAATTCTTGGTGTTAAACAAAGTCCTCTCTGTATCAAAATACTTTGTATTTAATAAAAATGAAATATCAGTAGTCTGGATTCACAGAACACAATCATTTTGCCAATGAAAGATGGGAGAGAGCACTGATGAACTCATTAATGGCAAGAGTAACTGATATTCGTTCATGTACATGCTAAGAAGCCTTCCTGGTCTTCCTGACCAGTGCACTTGTAAATGCCAAGTTACATAATACAGCTGATAGACATTAGTCAGAACAGAAATAAGTGTTTGGCTTCCATGTGCATTTACCCAGCTACTGATAAAGCAACCCATTGAATTGTTATAATATAGAAAGTAGGGGTGGCATGGATTGTCATCTTTCGTGTTTAAATTGTACACTCCATTTATAGTTGAAGCTGATGTTTAAACAGATGTAAGTGATTAATTAAAACAAGAGGTTCTTCTACAAGATTGTCCTTTGCAATAACTGTTACATTTTGAATAACTTTATTTCCACTGATTCCTATTCCTGCAATTAAACTTTGTCCATACAGACAACTCTCTTCTTTTCCCATCTGCTCCTACCATAGACATAAGTCTTAGAGGGTAAAAGGGAAGATGATAATATCATTTTTACCACAGCTGTAAGACCTGACAATTATCATTTGTAAATAACATACAAGTGAATAGTGCTTTTTATGATTGTCGTTCAGAAGTGAATCACACATACTCTTCGCCTTTGGGCAGTGAGACAAAATCACATGACAAGTTAAATTTCTGACTATGTTTTGGTGTATTGGATGAAATAAACTAATTTTTTTAAAGAAACATTACAGCTGCAACCCATGAATTAATTATCTTTCACAGTACTGTCAGAGGTTTGCCAGTGACTCTCTACAACTCAAAATCCTCACACAAAAATCCAGCTATACACGCTAAAATTCACACAAATGTGTCACAGCAAAGACATGCTCAAAAATCAGATTGCATTTGTTGTATCTCCTTGTACTGAGAAGAACCAAGCTTATTCATCAACTGTGGCAGCTGATCTACACATCCTCTGTCATCATAGTGTAGGCAGTAGTCTAGTATATATCGAATGCACTTGGTGTTCTCTTCATCTTCCTGGTTGCGACAGCTTTCAAAGTGACATGGGCTCTTCTGATTTTTGTAATCAAAATCACAAGGGTTCAAATCTTTGTTTTCTGGCTTGTTCAGATCACTGATTTTCAGGCCTAATTCCTGCAAACAAAAATAAAAATAAAAAGCAGATTAAGATTATGGTAGAGTGGAATCAAACAAAGAATTACTCCAATAAACATAAAAAGACCTTGGCCAAGAATGTCTCCCTCCATATGCATGTACTGTTTATTAACCCCTTAACACCCTAACATCAGAATGCATATTCTCCACACTGTTCTCTATACATTTCCTAGGGTGCTGACAAGGAGAATTTGTTTTACAATAAAGAGCTTCTTAAGTTAGTGATCATTACCATCATTCTCATGACTTAGATGTTTGATTCAGGGGTGATATCGTAAAGAGTTATTGGATGCTAGTTACTCTAATGGGTCAAAGGTTTAAAGAGTTGATTGAGTGGTTGTGTGTGACTCCTTTTCAACAACAAAACATGCTTCTGAACTGTCTTTTTGCTCTCTTCTCAAATGTACTTTTGTTTCCTACAAAAAAAATTCTACCAAATTTATTTAGCAAAATGGAAATGGTAATAATGTTTCTACTTGTTGAAATCCATTTCAAATTCATATGAAAGTGGATAATGAAAGGCATAACCAGTCAGAAAAAGGTCTGAATCCCATCTGACTATTCAGAACTGAAGTTGTGGAAAATTTGATTATGAAACTCTCAAGCACTTTCAAATTTGAACAACAGGAAAACTGAGAAATTTAGATTTTACTTAGAACTTTACATGACCATAGAAGACCCCCTGAAATAAGCTGTCAGTGTCCCAGATGGAGAGAACATTGATACAACCTGTACATCTCACTCTAGAGTGATCTTCTCATGTTGTCCATACCTCTTCCAGGTAGCCTCCATCTCCCTGTGTCTGTGGTACATTCATTTTGTCACTTTCAAACTGATAATCGCTCATGAAAACCTGCTGGTCCTTGCATTTTATTCTTGGTGTGATATCACTCACATTCTGAACCCATAACTCATACTGGGCCAGGACATTTCCAAAGGAATACCTTTCTGTAAATGTTTCATATCTTCAATCAGTAAAGTAAGTACTGTTTACTACAGTCGAACCTCGATTATCTGGACTCATCGGGACCTCGGTAAATAGTCCAGATAATCGAGAGTCCGGATAATCGAAAATATGAATATTAATGAGATAGGAATGTGAAATAATTATCTGCTTATCTTTAATCAATAGAATTTTTCATTTGATTTTGTGTTTACATAAAAGGAACTAAACAAGTTGAAACCATATTTCAGCTGAATGCATCAGAATATTTCTTTGTCTCGTCACACTTTCGAAATTTTGAAAAGCGCATAGGATAATATGCTGTTTCAACAGTCTTTTAAAAGGATTATTGGGCTTTTTGCAACTTTGAGTTTTCAAGATCACAACTAATTAATATTCATGGAAAAATTGGGACCAGAGAAGAAAGTCCGGATAATCGAATAGTCCGGATAATCGGGGTCCAGATGATCGAGGTTCGACTGTATTAAATAATTATTAATTAAACTGTCCAACTTCTTACTAGAGGTACAATGATTTAGATAAACTTATGGCCAAGTTGTACTACATATGATTATTGTTGTAATAATCAGATTAATGCCATTCGCATCAAATTTCTATTGATTGGGACTTAACCCTTTTAAAATCCCACAAGTAATTAACAAGTAACTTCTCCCTCTAATATTCATATATCATCCAGCAAACAGGTAATGAGATTACTCAAACTTATCAGGCAGAAGTTATCTTGATCTACCACCAAACTTCTTGTAACTGATTTACAAGGAAATGTGTGGTAGCTAAAGGAGAGAAAGTTAACGTTTATCAGACACATGTAATAACAGGTTAGGAGACAACCAGAGCCTGCTTTGCACTATCTCACAAAGCCAGAATGCGGAGTACCTTTTACTTTCTAATAAATTTGTGTACAAAAACTCAAAGTCAATACTCAACGCCCAGTTTACAGCCAATACCTTTGTCAAGACTTTCCACTGGCAGTGCCTCCCTTCCAGGTTTTTTGAATACTGGTTTGGATTTCCACCACAAGGCCACTGCTTGTTGACGTTCAGGTCTATAGCAATGAAAAAGATGTAATTAAGGGCATTATTCATCACTGATTTATCATTTAACCCTTTAACTCCCATGAGTGACCAAGAGAGAGTTTCTCCTCAGTACATCTATACAATATCATGCAGACAAGTGAATTGAAAATAAAGGAAAATATCAATTACATGTATGAGATTGCTAATTTATCTGATACCAAATTTTCCAAACTAACATAATGAGAATTGTTTGGCAGATAGTAAGGAGAATTACTAATGAGACCTTGGGAGTTAAAGGTTAACCCTTTACACACTAACAGATAAATAAAGCCTTTATACGGGCCTGAGTGGCCTATGGGGCAGGTGCTTAACTCTGGTTTTCTTAGCATGAAGCGGCTAGGAGTATTGCTACTCCCCCCTGGATGGGATGCTAGTCCATCGCAGGGGTTACCCCCAGCACATTTGCTGGTACCCATTTGTACACCTGGGTGAAGAGAAGCACTGTGAGAGTAAAGTGTCTTGCCTAAGAACACAACGCAATGACCCCAGCCAGGGCTCAAACCCGCACCACTCGATCTGGAGTCAAACGCACTAACAATGAGGCCACTGCCCCTCCACACACACTAACAGATAGTATCCATATTTTCCATACTCATCCCTATACATTTTCTTCAGTATTGAAGAAGAGAATTTGCTTAACAATTAATGCTTTATAGGTTCGCAATCATTTCCTTAATTGTCACGATCTTAACCCTTTACACCCTAACATCAGTATGCATATTCTTTATATTGCCTTTTACACATTTCTTTAACTGCTGACAAGGAGAATTTGTTTACCAATCAAAAGCTTCTTTCATTAGTGATCATTTCCTTTATTCTCATAACCTTCATGTGTGACTCAGGGGTGCTATTGTGGGAAAAATTTGATGCTAGTCACTCTTACAGTTTAAAGGGTTAGTGAATGATTCAGTAGAATATCACAGTAAGGAGAAAGTAGAACCTGGTCACTCTTTGGATTTAAAGGATTAGATCCATGATATGCAAAAATATACATGCCATAATTACCTTGATATAACTTGGTGCCACCATATCTGGGGGATGTAAACAATATCTCCTTCTTCAACATTGGCCCGGTGATACCGAACTTTCACGACATTGGGAAATTTCTCTAAATCAACAGCTTGTGGATTGATGTCTGAGACACCCAGCACCCGTGACTCATCAGAGTACAGATGGGTGGAATAGACTGGAGACACCATGAGGACAGATTTATGTCCATGAATGACACACAGCAAGTTTTCATCTGTATCAATGTGAATAGATGACGATGTCCCTCCAGTGCTCATCCAGAAGTACGACACAAAAAAGAATGAGCTCATTTCTTCACAGCGTAAACACAGTGGAAGAATTACATCTTTTCGCATGTCTGGAAGAACTTCATCAACAAGGTAGCGATTTGAATGGTTGTATTGAGAGAGAAATTCACTCAGCTCCATATCAGGGGGGACATTCCATTTGTCATCATCCTTTGTTTCCATGTGAAACCTTTCTTGGCCATAAGTTGTATTCAAGTATTGATCTGTCCACTTTGTATATGCAGGCCAGTATTTCACAGCACCTAAATTGGAAGAAAAGTAATTTTCTTGAGAGAATCAAACAATTTCTTCTAAATAACTTTTACTTTCATGTGATTTGTGCTGGCATTAAAATGTACAGTATCTGAATGATATTTAGTGGTAACTCAGTGTTACTGTGGAATAATTAAATTCATAAAATACATTTGGAGTAAATCAAAGAATCACATTCATAGATAGAGAGGAATATAGACTGTCAGTTAAAATAGATTACCTTTAAACACAACTGGTTTATGCTTTATAACATAATTCATGTAGAAATCCACGGGAGAAATCATGTAAGGAAGTTCTTCTACGGCGAAGTCAGGAGGACGATGTGATCCAAATGGCTTCATATGACCACGCAGAAACATTTCCTCCTCTGTAAGATCATTCTTGAGAACATTACAATCTTCACCATACTGATTCCCACATGAATGAGTATCTGAATGGTGTGAAGGGTGCTCATGGCACAAAATTAAATTCACCATACAGAGAAACTCAATGAGAGTAAAAGTCACAAAAGATATTTGACTTGAAAATAACATGATGTTGTAAGCCTGTGTAAAAAGAGAGTGAAGATGTGATGTTAAATAAGTTCTAGAACTGATCTTGATGTCTTCAAAGTTTTAAGCTGCAGAGATCTTAGAGCTTTGTCATGTGGCTCATGAATGAAAAATTGATATGTTGTTTCAAAAGGAACATCATGGTTTAGCAACCTCCTTTGAGTGGTAACACTTTCTTTTCCTTCCTTAATGACTTCATTGTCAATGCCTGAGCCACAGCTGCAGATAAGATACACCAATTATGTATGTAGTCACCCACACTGGATACCATGATCTTGACTAGGAATTCAAAGATACAACTTATCCGCAAATTACGCTTTCTTGACTGTTATACACCAAGGAATGTTTTTTTTTTGCTCAATTAAACAAATTGATTTGTTGATAACATTCTCATGAGCTTCACTAGCCTAGTTTATTATTATTATTTGTTTACTTGGGCAGTATGATCTTGATGTCAATACGTCAATTTTCATCCAAGGGCATTAAATTCAAGTTTTAAGCGCAAAGTATTTTTCATTACAAAGTTGGCATACCGTATTAATTATTACTTCAGTCTACACATTCTAATTTTCGTGGGTTACTCTCCTGTTAAAAATGGAAAAATTATTTTTAAAAGTTGTTCTAACTTTTCAGTCGGGAAAACTTACTCATGGAATTAGTCTGCGCTCAGAGTTTAGGCATTGAGAAGGTTAGCAAACAATATAGTCTTTAACAAGTTTATACAAGTTAATTTATCTCAATTAGCATTTAACAACTGATGCCTACCGGAAAGCGAACTCGCAAATAAACAACTAACTTTCAAAGTAGGTTTCTTTTCTCAGCTACCTCAGCTTTCATCAGTTGGGATGGAAAATTTTTGCTGCATTTCTGTTGTCTAAGTGAAACCCAGTCTGATCAGGCAATTCATATCAGAACAATAAAAAATTAACGAACAGGACATCGATTACACCTGCACCGACAGCTGCACCAGATACAGTCACCTTCCAGGGGACTAGAGCTGAAGTGTAAGTGTTTTGAACAGCGGTAAGTCGCTTAAGAGCATGTGTTATAATAACCAATTCCCAGTCTCTTTCAGAATTTGCTCACTGATTTGGCGGTCATTTTACAGAGATTTTAAAACATCTTTATACTTCAAAACATGGCTTCTGCTTCCGATCCTAAACGACAACTTAAAATCAAGACTGGAGTAGTAAAGAGGTAAATTTTCGGATCTCGTTTTTCTGCACATTATCCTAATCTTATTTAAAAATGGTGTCTGTAGACACATTGTAAATTGCCATGTGTAAATAATAATTGTAAATTGTAAATTGCCATGTTCTGTTTGGTTTTATTGGAGAGCTTGTTTTGATACTCTAAACATGATTGCTACAGGATGAAATCAGGGTAAAGTGAAATTTCTACCAAATACGAAATCGTTCTTCTTATCTTGGACCTCTTCTTGCGGAAAGACGGTGACACCTTCGATGATACTTATGGACATCTTTCAACCTTACTGAACTATTTGTTTAGCAAGGTTGAAAGATTCCTGACCAGCATATCCTTTCCTTTTTTCATGCAAGTTTATAATTAATGTGGTTTGTGAATGAAATCGTACTTTTTATTTTTATTTTCATTTTTTCTGACATTTCAATTATTCCGCATATTTCATGAACATGAGAGGTGTTGGACCACCATAATATTGTTGAATGAAATTGAACGACAAATTCAGTCATATTTCTGCGTTGTCTAAAGGAACTGCCCGTTCATGTTCACTGTTTGTAACAGGCTGAAAGTATAAATTTATGGGTGGAGAGGATGGCTATGTGGGTAGGCTTGAGGCCATTATTGGAACTTGTTAGTGAAATGGGTCTGGGAAATTTTTTTATTTGTCAGGGAAAAGTTGGAAAATTTCAGAAACCTACACTGTGGCAACCATGTTGAATATTTTGAAGTCACTCAAGAATAAGGAATCTTGTTATTTATTTCCATTACCTACAGCTTCCTATAACCCTTTAATGCCTAAGAGTGACTAGCATCTAATTTCTCCATACAATATCACTTCTGAATCAAACATTAAGGTCATGAAAATAAAGGAAATGATCACCAACTAAAGAAGCTCTTGATTGGTAAACAAATTCTCCTTGTTAGCACCATAAGAAATGTGTAGAGAACAATATGGAGAATATACATAATGAAGTTAGGATGTGAGGGGTTAAAGATTTTTCTTGGTTGTGCTTTGAGAGACCTTTTGATGCAGGTAGAGAACAATACAAACAGTCCTGTGGAACTTAGTAAACAACTGCTTAATAAAAGTGTCCCTTTGATAAAGGGAAAAATTTCTGGTCTCTGGAAACCTACGGCTTAATACAGGGTGACCATTGAATACAGTATTGCTTATTACAGGTTGGACTGTACATTCTTTGTTGAAAAGAAGTTTCTGGTTAAAAAATGATTTTTTTCCAGATTAGCCAAGGAAAAGCAGATGTATGAAAAAGAAGTTAAAGATCAGTCAGCCAAAGTTGAAAAAATGAAGGCAGATGAGAAAGATGAATATGATATAAAGAAACAGGTTTGTGCCTTGTTTCTGCAATGACCTCTTTCTTAGTAATGCAAGGAAATATGGGGGGCGGAGGGGGGGGGGGGAGACAATTTGAAGCTTCAAACTGATCAGTGGTCATTCTTGAGAGTAAAAGTAATAAACCTACAGATCTGATTATGGTTAGTTCTCTTTCTGCATTTCCCTCAAGGTTAGGGAAGAGAAATTGTATTAATTAAATGTTATCGAATGGCAGATTGAAGTACTTGAGGAATCCAAGACCATGATTCCAGACTGTAAAAGACGGCTCAAGACTGCTTATGATGATTTAACAAATCTTGTGGTAAGAAATAAGTTGCTCTTTATTTGAGGGTATGATCAATCGCTGAGGGTGGTAATGTTATGCACTTATTGACTGATCTTAGGGCCAGACGGAAAAATATTTGGCTTGAGGTCATGACATAGGGGCCAAGTGTGGTGAGGTCTGTGCATCATGAATGAGGCCAAATATTTTCTGTCTGGTACAACCTAACTTATGTCAACAGTGCGGCACAATATATGTCAGCTGTCGCCATGGTTTTCTATGTGATTGTGCAAGGCGATTACTAATTGCACAAGCCAGGTTGGATGGGTCCTATGATAGTGACTGGTAATGACTGTTATCGGTTGCTGTAATCAGGTGACACTGCAGTGGAATTTTGTTTTTGAAATTAAAAAACTCTCATCAGTCAAAATTGACTTTGTAAACTACCCTTTAGAAAAGGAATTTCTGTTGTTGTTTTTCTTAAATTTAGATAACCGGTTTCCCCTGCAAGTGTGTTCCCTTTCCATTCCTCTCCCTTTCAGTTTTGTCCTTGTTGTTTTTATTCCTTACCAAACTTCCAGAAGTTTTTGCCATTCCATAAAACAAACTGGGAGGTGAAATTATCAAAATTGGGAAGACAGGAGGCTACCCACCCTTGATTAGGATTAGCATTTACATGTACACTGTATTCCATCATGTAGTCATTTCATTCCTTATGCTGGAAGGGGTTGGTAAGCTGCAGAGGTTGAAAGACTTCTTCCCCATGTAATCTTTATGTGGCTACTTTGTGAAATTGTGATCAAAGACAGAAAATTAGTCTTTGAACTGATTCTAACATCAGTGTCTGGCCAAAAAAAGTTACTTAAAGATGTTCCAGAATAGTGGAAATCATGTCTCAGAGAGAGTTGCAAGCACAATTCAATTTAGCTGTGTACTCAGTTAAGATTATACACCTATTACACTTTCTAATGACAACCCTGGAAAGGAGTGTTCATAAGCCTTGGCCAGATAGTTCAAAGCTGGGTTAAGATAACCCGAGTTTAGGGTGAAATCTGATCTCAGTTCTACAAGCATTGAAAGAAAATTCAGTATAGCCTTTTTTTTTGTTTACAATTTGGTGATTACTGGTAGATGCTCCTAAAGGGGTAAAGTAAATTATTCCAAAAAGAGCTTTTGCACAAAGGAATAAAGAAACCTGGATTAAAATTTAACCTTGTGTTGGGGCTAATTGTCCTTTGAACAAGAGGGCCAAGATGGGAGAGGCTTGAAACACTGCATGTAGATAACTCTCCTTAACAAAATGATGACACACTCAGCTAAAATGACTTAGTTTCGTTTCTGGTTTTGTCTACAGGCAGAAACAGAAGAAGAATTCGGTACGACAGAGGAATACAAAATGGCCAAGGAAATCTTGGAAAAAACTGTTCTAGAAGATTGAGAATTGATGTACTCAGTGGAACTTAATCATTCAGACAAACAAATAAAATAAACATGTGATTCCTTGGATGTTACATGTAACAAGGTGCATTCATTAGTTACACTTTTTATTCTTTACATTATTTGTGTGTGAAAAGATGTAAATGAACCCTGTAGCTTGAGACCAATAATTCTTTTAATTTTCCAAGACATCTTGATTAAACTTAAGAGAATGAAAAGTTTGACATGAACAGGTGTGTGACACTTTGCTGTGAACAAATCTTGTTTTAAATGTTAGAAAAAAAAATGGAATTCTTTGTATTTTTTTCGTAACTTATTCACTTAAAACTTTTTTTTTTTGAGTAAGCATGACTTAATAAATTGTGATCTTACTTGCATTGAGTAGTTTGATATCACAGTGTTCTTTTCCACTAGAAGTTCTCAGTTTCATTCTCGAATTGCCGAAAATTAAATTTATCTGGCACAAATCAGAACAAACCATTTGCCAATCATTCAAAAAGGACAAAACTGTCCAGTATTAGACTAGACTGTTTCAAATAAGACCGAACTATTCGTGATCAAACACTAAAAGTGAACTCAGAAGCAATCACGTGCAATCACGGGTACCATCCACAATGGGAAAAATTTTTCAAAATTAGACTGTGCAATATCAAATCTCATGAAACTATCTGGAGTTGAACGATATCATGAGATATCAGCACAACTCTCAGAAATCTGAAAAAAAACTGAAATCATACAAGACCATTGGAATCAAACAGAACCATCTCAAATAAGACTACGACATTTGAGATCAGTCAGAGTCCAAAACTAGACAAAATCATTCAAACTCCCTTGAATGCAGCCCAACTCCTCTGGATCATCAGAAAACTTCCCCCTCTTTTCAGCGACCTCCCCTGTGTTGCTACAGTCCTCTGACTTATTAACAAACTTCCAGGAGTTGTCCACGACCTCATCATCGTTGTGGGCGAATGCCCCCTGAGTTATTGGCGAACTCAGTTGAGTTATCGGCGAACTCCTCCGAGTTCTTAGTGAAGTCATCAGAGTGAGTGAACTTCCCTGAGTTGTTGAAATTTCGCGGAACTCAACCGAGTCGTTGGTAAAGTCCCTCCCTTCCCTGAGTTCTTAGTTGAACTCTTCGTGAGATGTCAAAACCTTCAGTTGTTTTAGGCGAAGTCCATTAACTCGTTGGTAAACAGTTCAATATTCTCAGTGTCTTCATTTTACATGTCGATGAACTACTTTCAGTTGTCTGTGAACTTTCCCATTTGTCAGCACACTCCTTTGAGTTCTCGGCAAACTCATCATAGTTTTCAGTAAACCCCTGAGTAAGTGAATTTCCCTAAGTTGTCGGCAGAGTCCGCTGAATTGTAAACCAACTCCTCTGCGCTTTTGGCAATATCCTTTAGGCTGTCTGTAATGAAACTCCCAAAGAACTTTCGGCAAACTTATCTGTGTTGCTGCAAAACTCAAAAGAGATGTCAGGAAACTCTTATGACTTGTCATGAAACTCATCTGAGTTGTCGGCAAACTCCAATGAGTTTTTTGAAAACTCCTCTGAGTTGTGGGAGAACTCGATTTTGTTGTCAGCGAACTGCCTGGAAATCGCTGTAGAAGGACAGCTCAGAGTTGTCAGAAAATTTACCAAAGTTTTCAATTGTTGGCGAACTCGTTTTTTCTATGGACACTATTTTTAATTTTCGAGTTTGGACACTAGTGTCCGATTTTTTAATTTGGACACTAGCGGTCAATTTTCGATTTTGGACACTATTGGCCAATTTTTTAATTTGGACACTGATGGCTGATTTTTGATTTTGGACCCTCGTGACTGATTTTCGATTTTGGACACAAGTGGCCTATTTTTTAATTTGGATTCTAGGGGCCGATTTTCGATTTTGGACACTTGTGGTTGATTTTTTAATTTAGACACTAGTGGCCAGTTTTTGATTTCGGACATTAGCGGCCAATTTTTTATTTTGGATACTAGTGGCCGATTTTTGGTTTTGGACACTAGTGGCCGATTTTTTTGCTTCTGAACCCTAGTGGCCGATTTTTGAAATTGGACACTCATGTCCAATTTACGATTTTGGAGTTCAGTATCTGATGTTTGATTTTGGATCCTAGTAGCTGATTTTTTAATTCGGATACTGGTGTCGAATTTTTAAGTTTGGACCCTAATGCCAAGTTTGATGTTGGTCGATTTTTTAATTTAGACACTAGTGTCCAATTATTAATTTTGGACCCTAGTGGCTTACTTTTGATGATGGACCCCAGTGTTTGGTTTTTTTATTTTGGACATTTGTGTCTGATTTTGATTACTATTTAATCATTGATTTAATGTCAGTTATTCACTATATCTGGAATCCTTCTCTTGTGGAACAGAGCAGTCATAAATATGGGTGATGCAGCAGGTTTTCTGTTTTGCACTATACATGTGAATACAAATCTTCTAGAGCACTACCTTCTTATGTCATTATCCAACCTCTAGTTATTTTTAAAGCTATAAATGTGTGCTATACCAATAGCCATATGCAACTTCAGACTTCCTATTTTTGTCTGAGTTTTTGGCAAACTCATTTGAGGTATTCCTTAGTTTTCAGTAAATTAACTTGATTTGTTGGCAAACTCCTCTTGATTGTCAGGAAAATTTTCTTTTGTTTTTTTGTTTTTGTAGTTGTTCTTGCAAAAAAATGAGGCAGAGAATCCCTACTCAAAACCCCGTTCACCACAGAGGTTGTGATAACTTTACCACTCATGGTCTCACGTAGGGGATGCTTTATTTACTAGAGATGCCAGTTTTTCTTTTCAAATATTTAAATAAATATTTATTCTTATTATTCATTAACTAAAGCAAATCTTGAAATGAGGATCACAAAGGTAATACACGACAGCCTTTGGCGCTCACTGGCAGATGATATCCAGTTAGTACTCGACCGTTGATAACAATATCATATAAATATAATATAAACATAATATAAATCTAATAGAGTAAAACCATGGCGCCCTATTAGGTTATGGTAAAATTACGAACTTGTATGGAGTTTTTTAACAATTAGCTACAAAAATATCAACTTTTCAAACAGGCACGGCTTAAATATTGTGACAACCCAGTCAAATACAACATAAATACAACGCAAAGATGCTCATCTCATTCATTATTTTATGTTTTATATTTTATGCCTAGAAAGGTATCCAAGCTTTGCGCAATTTTAGCAAAAATTGTTACAAAATTTTATAATACCGCGAAAAAAGATATCCAATGAGATTTTAAATTACTTAATAGAGTTTCACGTGCTGTCAGGATCCTAATAGAAAACGTCTTGCATCCTCCCATTTTGAAGACGGGAATCTGTTGACAAGCGCAAAACGCTGGGAAACCTCACCATCTGTGGCAAAAAGAAGTTGGATTAGAGCGGAAGAGCTGGTACATGCTGAAAAATTTGGCCAAAACTGTTTTTACCTTCGAATTTATTTCAAAATCCCATTTCCATTTTCATCATACTCATTTACAAATTATTCTTCGAACCATCGTTGGCTATTCTGCGCTCTTTTGTGGAACTACTACGATGTGAACCTTTTCATGCAGTTTTGTTCGTCGAAAAGTATGACTTTAACGTGTCGTGCCCCTGTTTACTTATTCTTTTTGTCTCCAAACAAAATTTATCACAACATAGGAAAATACTACAAGCGCGGAAAAAAGCACGTAACAAGGTCGAGGCTGTTGTGTAGGAGAGTGATTCGCATACTTATGCCTCCAGTTGCAACAGCTATGCTTCAATTAAGGCATTGATCAGAGGAAAATTGGCCCGTCTGTAGTACAAATGAGACATCGCTGCAACTGGTTCAATTTTCGTTAGTACGAATAAAAACACCAACTTACCTGAACGTCTTCCACTCTGAGAGGGTAAGAGATGATCATGGTGTAGATCCAATATTTGTTCCTACAAAAAAGACAAAGTGTGCTTTTATTTTGACAATATAAAGAAATAGGGTCAAAGGACCTTACTGGCCTCTTCATGGACAAGTCATCGACGTATAATCTTTCCAGAACTACCCTTCCCTGAACGATTACACTAAACGACCGATGGATTCCCCCGTAACAGTATTTTTTTCTAAGTAACTGTATACAAATGATAACGATGACGATTATTAGGAACCACAGTTTATTCCTGTTCAGCTAAGAATCAATATTTCTTCTTAATCAAGTGTTACATTTTCAACTTTTTAGAAATTTCTTCTGCAACATACCTCGATGTAGTTTTCTAGCAAGGCGCAACTAACTTCTTGTTCAATAATCTTTTTATTTTCTTCATTTTCAAAACAAGCAGCGATAAGCGTGGGAAATAAGACATTCCTGAGCCTGAAAAAAATTTGTATAAATGTTAAGAAGACAAATCTATTAAAAACTAATCATCGACTCAAAACTGTTTGGCTTACGAGCTTAACTTTGAACTGTGGCGCGCAAATTGTTCCCAAGAGCGTGCAATGTCAGCCTTTAACTCGAAATACTGCGAGAAAAAGGCTTCGGTTTCCTTAGCACTGGATCACTGCCTAAGCCTTCCACAAAATGCCAGCCGCTTACCTTGGATCACTGAAATACTGAAATGGAAGCGAACACAGATGCTGCAATAAGGTGGGAGGTCGACCAGTTTGGACAAACACCTGAAAAGCAAAAGGCAGTCACGAACTTAGTTCTTTCATCCTAGACCGCCACACATCACTATGGGAGATGCAGTGGGCTATAGGTCAGTGCGCTGTACTCCACGAGGAGAGGTCTGGGTCGAGACCTAGTTGAGTCGTTGTGTTGTGTTCTTTTCTCAAAATACAAAATAATAATAGTAATGCAAAGGATAACAACTGTGATGAAATTGAAACAAAAAAATTTGATTACCAACCTGATTATCGTTATTCAAAACGGTGAAGTAACCAACAACTAATATGACCTCGTGGAGAAGATCTTCATTTTTCCCTTCGCTGCAAACACTGATAGCAAACAATTACAAAAACATTACGAAAAACAAAACCTTTCAATTGAGTGATACGAAAACTCTTACACTAGGCGATTTTGTCGGGATGTTCGACTCACTCTCTACACAATAATCTCAAGCCATTTTGTTGAGATGCGCAAGTTTCTGTAGTGATTAGATCAATGATCTCAAGCCATTTCGTCGAGATGCGCCAGTTTCTGTAGTGATTACATAACAACCATCAAGGACTCTATCGCTTTGAGCCTTAATCCTTTACATGCTAACATCAGTATGCATATTCTCCACACTGTTCTCTACACATTTCCGAGGCGATGACGAGGAGAATTTGTTTAATAATCAAGAGCTTCTTTATCTGATGATCGTTTACCTTAATTTATTCTTTATGGGTGATTCAGTGGTGATATAGTCGGGAGAAATTAGGTGCTAGTCACTGTTAGGGATCAAAGGACCAGTTGGCCGCGAATAACATGATACAAGAAAGGAAAAGATTGGAATATGGAAGGAAGATGTTTTAAAATACATTTTTCTCGAGAGTGAAGCAGAAAAACATTTGAGTTCTCCCTTGACATAAAAACCTTGCAATTGTCGTTCGCATGCCTCAGCGTCGAACTATAGAGAACTACTCGTGCTGAGCTGGTCAGTGTAATGGGGGCATATGTGATCATTAGCACAAACCTACCACAACAGATGACTTATAATGTGCCGAAACTCCAATGATACGCCTTCTGCTCCAAGAGATGCCTGTCAAATGTAAACAGCCAAACAGAGAGAGTCTTTTATAATAAGATCCTGAAGCCAGGAAAACGCATAAAACGAAGCCTCGATTGGATTAAATTCACTTTGCATCTGATTGATCAAGAGGGTAGCGAAGTGTTTTTAGATCAATGAGAGTGCGATATAAAGCAAAAGCAATAAGTTCCCATGTTATACTAGACTCTCAATTTGGAAATTGTTCAATTTATAGGTTGTTAAAAGCACAGTAGAGTTAAAAAGTTCTATCTCAAATCGCCTTTGCATGGAACTGAATTAGTAGTCATTGTGCGAGTCATTTCGCTTCGCAACAATCCTAAGTTGTCTCCTTCAGAGAAACATTATTGGACTAATTTTTTTCAGCCAAGACACTTACCTGCAACACCTTCAAATCCACTGTCCCCATAAAATTCAACATGCCCAACGCCTCTATAACCAAATTTATTGTTGATTCAGGAAGTGTTGGACTCGACGAGGACTGTTGACTGCCATCATTCATCAAAATTGCATAAAGAAATGATACAATTTCTACAAACAAACAAAGAAATTAAGAATGCCGATCAGTTGCAACGTAAGTAACTTTGAATAAAAGACCTTGCAAGTAGCTTAATGATTTAAATCCACTTAACTTACCTAAAAGCTCGGTCTGTTGAAAAGTCACAACAAACTGTGTGAGGTCTTCCTTTCTTATTTCAAAAATGTTACTTGTCCTGCGCAAACAAAAGTAAAAAGGTCGTCTTAGAAAGAAGAGCGCTTTTCAATTGAGTGACGTAAAACCACAACCTACGCAATCAGAACAGCCAATTACAAGAAAGGAGAATTTTATAAGGAGCCAATGAGAACTTAGAGTAAAAACAAGCCAACTGCCCGAAGCGCGGGAAAACACGAGTGACAAAGTCGCAGTTGATTTTAGTTCAATATGATTGATTAAAAAAGCCACTAATAATAGAGAATAGAAAAAGGCACTGAAAGAGTAAAATACCTTGCTGAAGAACACAAGAGTAACTCTTAAACATTCCAATTCAAAGCCCACTACTTAACAGTCCCTCATCCATATTTTATTGGTTACATAAAATGCATAGGTGCTCACCTACAACCCAGATATTGAGCAGTCCCAGATAAAAGCGCTAAACAAGCCTGAGCGTAATTCATAGCCTCAAGCTCGTCGTTAAGAGGTCCGTGAATTGAACTAAAGAAACTTCTTATGTCATCTACAACTCCGCAGCATACCACATAGCTAGGGGAGACGGAACAAGATAAAGACATGATCAACAAGCAAACATATTCAGTAAGAATGAAGCTGTCTTAAGTTGTATTGCAACTTTCAAAACTAGCATTGGACGACTGTGGCTGGTGACGGGGAGTATTAATATTTCAAAATTGGCACTTTAAAATTGAAACAGAAGTGAAATACATCAAGTATTTACCCAATTAAGTCTACCATCCTTTGAACAAGCGTTGCTACTTCCTTCTCTTCTGGTGACGCTGTAGCGAAGCACTGGAGTACTGTGGCGAGTGCCTTCAATAACGTTGTTGCCAAGGGGTCTGGTAATGAGTAGTTACGGGCATTATTTTCAGTCTCTTTGTCGGTTCCTTTCTTGGTGGTCCCTTGAGACGGAGAGACATTCTGTATACCGAGATAACAAGTTTCTTTAAAATCACAACCAAACAGATCTAAATGTCCTAAAATTGGTCGAATTAAACCACAGTAATTCCCTAAAAATCACTTTTGAGGCAATGAACGAGAGAAAAAATTTCAAGTTCTAAAAATTCTTGAGGCAATTTACAGGAAAGTGCATCAGTAAAGAAAACGAGAAATATAAACATTGATATCAAAGAGAAAAAAAGACTTTTATAAATATATCATAAGGTCTTTACAGGGTGTAGTTTTTCTCCTTTTCCTTTTAACAAATGCTTATTTAGAGGTAAACCCTATACATCTAATTCTCCAAACAAATTCTCAATTTATTTCCTAGGGTGCTGACAAGGAGACTGTATAAAAATCAAGAGAATCTTTGGTTGGTGATCATTACTTTTATTCTCATGACCTTTGTGTGTGATTCAGGGGTGACATTGTAAGGAGAAAAAAGATGCTAATCACTATTAGGGGTTAAAGGGTTAGTGAACAATAGAAGCTTCTTTTCGGTTTACGTTGATCAATCTCACCTTCATCTGAAAGGCCAGAAGATCAACCAACGTACTGAGTTTGTTTGTGTACACCATATAACGACAGTTGTCCAAACAGTCACCACAAGCAAGCGTTAACACATTGGCCACGCTACAAAGGGCTCTGACGAGAAAAAGAAGAAGCATCTATTTGGAAAACTGAAAACCGAAATAATTGTTAACTAACGGAGACAAAAATCTAGAAATGCTTTCGTTGCGCTAACCGACTCCTCTATCTTTGGATTGAGGAAACTTCGCCATCAAGTCAATCAGTAAGAAATTATACATAGAGACTAATCCCGATCACCAAAATGCACTCACAGGTTCAGTAAGGCAACTTCCAATTGCTTGTCGAAAATAATCTTGGATTGTTTTGTTTCGCTCTTTGATTGGTCTGGAAACCTCGCGCCACTCTCTCAACCAATCAGATGCAAAAAATAATGACTTGGTCGCCCGCGTTTTCCCGCGCTTTAGGCAGTTCGTTAGATTTTACTTTGAGTTCTCATTAACTCTTAATCAGGCATTTTCCTTTCAGTTGATTTTCGTTGTGATTACTTTGGTCTTGTTTTTACAATCAAAAAGCGCTGTATAATGTGATCATTATGATCGGCTTTGGAACTGCTTTCACTGAGCGTAAAAGATCGAAGTACAACGCACAGCGAATAATAAGTTGGAGTGGTTAAAGAATCAGAAAAGATCTTACACTTCACTGCAAGAATCCCCAAACAAAGTGGGTGATCACATGGAAATCCGGGTTATTAAACCTTTGTGTTTGTTATAACATCTCTAAGGCTTAGGCGATATTTTTCGAATAATGAACTTACTTGTTTGGAATAATCGATTTAATCGGAGGCTTGTCGCTGGCGATGTCTGGTACCAAAAGCAATCTGGTCAGGGCGGTTAGCCCACCAAGATTACAAAACGTCACCTGGTCAGCGGTTACCTGTAATAAGATTGTAAGGTTAACTGTTTGTAAGGTTCTTCTAAAAGTTTTTCTTCCACCTAACTTTTCAAAATGGAAGCAACTAACCGTTGGATACAAAGAGGCCAGTAAAAAAATTCTTGATAACAAAAAACGAATTTTTGATTGTTCTTAAACGATCTCGATGCCCAAAATACTTGTTTGTTTCCCTATACGCCCCTTAGGAAATTATCAAAAGGATGTCTTGAGAACCTTTGATTCCAGGATCCTGCTCAATTCGCCCAATGATCTCTCCACTGACCCTACACGATTGGCTGGCCAAGGACCCGACCCTTGTGACTGCAACTGGCGATTGAGATCTTTGACAATTTTTTGAAGCCTGTGAACACAAACGAACATTGAATTGCAGAGATGGATCGTTGATAATTAGGATCCAAAAGCGAGTTGTGATTTAATTTTGTAAGGAGAAAGGAGGGAAGGAGTAGAGGAATAAATTTTCTGTTTTTGGTTAATTTAAAGAATAACACTTCCAAACAAAGAACTACACACGTTGTGTTGTCCTCTACAAGGACTTTTACGTGCTGTGTTATCCAGGCTTAAAAGGGATCGCACGATCCGCGGAAAAACAAAACAGAAATACTCAGCGTTCAAAGCTACGATGAAGCTTCTTCTCTTTTACCTTGGTTTCTTCGAAGATTCCTGTCTTTGTGATGATACACTTGATAAATTACTTTCATACTCTCGTCCTCTGCAGAGAGAATGAGTCATCAATAATATTCACCACAAACAAGCATAGCTCAGCACCGACATATCCCAAGAATTCTAACTGATTTCCAGAGACTCAAAACTATGCGATACCTCACCCTTGCACTCTCAGGAAAGATCAAAATGGAATTTCCCTTTACAAGATCAATACATTTTCAAAGAGAGAGAGATAATGGGAAGAAAGATAAAAATCAACAAGAGGATATTGTCTGATTTAGCCCCAAATTCTCAAAGCGCACACGATACTTAATCTAAAACAGGCAGTGCGGAGAATTCGTGGTTAGATCTTAGAAATAAACTGGTAAATAATATTCAATGGATGATGTTTAAAACTGGAACTCACTTAGCCGCCATTCTTGTCCTGAGCTTTTTCGCTCTTTTCCTGAGAGCTTTCTGTCGTTCCTGGTCAGCCTTTTCTGTCTCGCCTGCCTTGTCAGAAGGCATTTCCTTGATGTACTGAAGCGAAATGGTGTCCTAGGAGTAGCAATCGAAATTGAACTGATTAATTTCTTCTACAAAGAAGAAAGAGCGCAACTATCATGTACTCTTTCAAGAAGCGTTATAAAACCAAAAAAAAAAAATTAACACAACGACCAATCATATCACAAGAAAATATCACTAGGAGCCAATCAGAACTCACATTTAAAACAAGCAAACTGCTTGAAGCGCGGGAAAAGGCAAGTGTCCAAGTTGAGATTGGTCTTTCGCTTTGCATCCGATTGGTTGAAACAGTGGCGCGAGTTTTTGGACCAATCGAGAAGCAGAGTGAAGACAAGCCGATACAACACTGGATTATTTTCGCTCTTGTTTTGCCTCTGACTGGTTGAGAGGATGGCAGTATGGATCACTTTTAACTATGACAAAGTACCTTGTCGTCCGGTGTTCCTTTAATTGCCGGAATTTCAGACAATGCTTGCTGGTGTTTTTTGCCTCGCAAATGGCTCAACAGGTAAACTTCTGACACGATCTGAAAATGTACAAATATGAATTAAATCATCATTATACCACAATACACCGTAACATCAGTACGCATTTTCTCTACAATTTCATCTAGTCAAAACAGGGTCTCACCTCCACGTTACAAAGAGTACAGAACTTTTTCTTATCGTATGGCGTGACAGCAGGGACCTCGTCTTGTGTGGAATGGCGTGACACACCGGCGGCCTATAGAGGACGCGCAGGGCACAATAAGTGTAACGCACAGTTACCGATTGAAGAAAGTTTGCATACATTTTATCAACACAAATTCAAACAGCACTAACCTTTTCTTTTACTTGTTCCAGCACTTGCTCGTGTCTTCTAGTCGTTTCCGCTTGCTAAATATTTTGAGACGAAGAAAACCATTTTCATCAGACAGCGTAGAGTAATACTTTTGTATTACAGTACTTGGCCATACGAAATTAAACGGGCGTGTTTACCTTTAAATTTAAATTTAATGCCACTTAAATTCAAAATCACATATGTTAAAAAGTGGGGTTGGGAAAAGAAAAAAAAATCCCAGTTTTTTTCGACTTTTTTTAATGCGTTGTTAATATTTTTTAACTATATATTACATGGAAATTTGTATACAGCCATAAATCTTAGTTGTTACTTATCTGATTAGTTGGTATTGTTAGTAAGTCAACAGATGAAGAGGCAACACAATTGGATACGCTGTTAATAAACCATTATTATCATTACAAGTTTGCAGTAGATATGAAAATCTTTTTTGGTTCCATGCACGAAAAAAAAGCCAGTATTTGAACGTACCTTCTGTTGGATTTTCAGTTGCAGTTGTTCAGTTGCTGTTTGCAGGGCTTCATTTCGGGCAGCAAGACGCATTTCTCTCTCTCTATCAACAACAACAAAACAAAAATTCTAATGTCAGTGAATTCAAAATCGTTTTTCGGAAACATTTAGGTTTGCAGCATCAATATACATCGAGTTAGTGAGAGGTTCTCTAAACATAATTCAAAATCTACAACAGACAAAGCTGAATCGCACAAACCTGGCCTTTTCTTTAGCAGCTTCTTCTCTCGCCTTCTCTCTTTCGTGTTTCTCTCGTTTGTATTTGGCCTCCTAAATCGGTCATCGATAAAAAGAAAAAACCGATAGAAACAGATAAGGCGGGTGTATAAAATTTCGCGGCTGTAGGGCTAGACTTTTAAAAAAAAACTAACCGTAACTTAGCTTCTTTTTCTCTAATGTTCCGCCCTGTTTGTTCCCACGTACCTGCTCTAGCTTTTTCTGTTGCATCTCTTCAAGTCTTGCCAGTCTTTCAGCTTCTAACTGGCGGCGTCTCTCCTGCATTGGAACAAAACACGAATCAAACTCTTCCAATCGCCAAGAGAGTATTTCTCAATCAAATGCTTTTACCTGAGCGGCTGCCTCCTTAGCTTGTTGCTCTTCTTTCTTTCTCTGTCTTTCTTCCTAGATCATAAAAACAAAATAATATACTTGTACATGAAATGACAACAAAGTTTTATGTCAACATTCTTCGGAGCGGTAAAGAGCAGGGAATTGGGTACTAATTGAAGCGCGGGACCTGGGCATAGTGCTTGGGTGGACAGCAAAACAAAGATGGCGGCCGCCTCGTGTAGGAAAAAGAACAACAACAACAACAACGACAAAAAAAGCCAAAATCCCATGCCATAAAGAACGGATATTAACTACACTCGTATTCGTTCCTGAATAAAGAGGCAACGTGGTCGAGATCGAGTGGTGCGCACGTCGAACTCGCTATCTGGAGATGCAGGATTCGAGTTCCGCCCTTGACACCAGATCTATCATTCTATCGCCTCGTTCACGCTCATGGATCACTGACTGGTTTGCTTCCTGCTATTTGGGGTTATTTATCATGCTACCTACGACCTTGTTTGTGGCTAAGCGCATTTCCATTAAAATCATAATTACCTGAATGTCTTGTAACCTTGCTTCATGGCCCTGAGTTATCCAAACAGAGAAAATACTTTTAGTGACGAGTAACAAGAATCTCAACCTTGTTGCGATTCACGCGCATAATGAAACACGGAAAAATTGTTCACCTGGTGTCTTGTCAGAACCTCAATCTTTTTATTCTGCGCTTCTAAGGTGTTTATGAAGGCTATTTCATTAACCTGAGTACAAATACATCAAAATCAAATGAGAAAAAATATTATCTACAATGTCTCACAAATTAGCAACGTCAGCGGTGGGAGAGTGTTACCTAAGCATCCCGTATCTAGCTTTACTCTGGGCTACATGAATCTTTTCTATCAGAGAAAGTCGAAATGTTTCCGGTTTCACCTCCACTAGGACCACCACTAGCAGCCTCTGCACTATTTTGCAGCTGTCTAATGTCATTCGCTTAGCTTTCAATACAGTAACTTGAGAAAATAACCTACTGCTTTAATGTCAATTCATCAAGATAGGAAAAACAAGACGATAAACTTAGAAGAAATGTGGTGGGGCTGATAACGGAGAAGGTTAAAACGTATTACAGGCGACGCACTCTAAACAAGTAATCTTTTGTGCACAAAAGATAGCTGGAATGATTCCAAGTTCCCCACAGTTCATTTGACTTACCTTAGCTTCTTCCTCTTGAGCTTTTCGTATTTTTTCTTGCAGCACAGACAGTCTTTGCTGCTCTGCTCTTCTTTGCTTTCGATCCAGGTGCTGCTGACGCTGTTGTATCAACTCATCCTTTAGCTCACGTGCTTTTTGGACCTTAAATGCGTCACAAAATAAATAATAAAGTTTATAAACATTGGATGAAAAGATAAGGTCTTCACAACAGTGCAGAGTTGCAACGCCCCGAAATTTGATTGCTTACTGTATCACGCAGCTTATGCGGCACAAAGTTTAGGGGTTTAGGAACTTTTTTCCATAAGCGGCTGCCGATGGCATAGGCGGCTGTGCCCGGAAAAGGGGAAGTAACGTCCCTTTCCCTCAAGCCATGGGGTCTAGGGGCATGGGAAATAGACGAAGGCAAGAGGTCATTTGAAGGCCAAATATTATTTTACTGAATTTTCGAAGAAAATTAAGGATTTTTCAACCGCACCTTACTAACATTTTTTGAACTGATTTCATAAAGTATATTTATTTATATTACCATACAATTACACCTTTTGTAATGTAAACATTATAATTAACTTACAGGACCCTTATAGTCACCAGTGTCATAACACTGACGGGATTATCCTGTTTAAATATTATTATTAGTAGTAGTAGTAGTAGTAGTATTATTGTTATTGTTATTATTATTGTTGTTGTTATCATTATTATTATAATCATCATTATATTTGGTTAATTAATATAATTATATAGGCGGTGGTTAAGCGGCTTTCAGCGTAACCCCTGCATAAAGCAAGAGGGGAAGGAAAAAAGAAAAAGAGAAAAGAAAAGAGGAAAAGCTTGGCCAGTTTAAAGTTATGTTAACCAATTCCTTGATCAATAATTCATATAATTATTCTATCCCACGATTACAAAGGACGATGTCAAAGAAGGCTACACATTGATCCCGTCAAGGCTCTCGAAATACATTTAAATATCGTCATATACCTTTTCAGAAAGCATCTGAAGACTCTGCAACCTCTCGTCCAACATTCGCTCTCTTTGCTGTTGAGCTTTTAGCTGTTAACAAAACGGAGTGGCAAAAGTCTTGAAAATATTTCTTCATAAGCAAAACGAGTAAGTTATCTCAACCGTGTCATGATCTTCTGGGTCAGTAACTCAGAATAAAGATTCACAAATGGAAAGCGTGCAAATATCACGCAATGATAACTTAGAGTCGTTTTTATGCATCAAAAATAAAAAAAATTTAAAAAAATAACGTGTAGTGCATGCAGTTCACTTTTCTTCATCCTTCTTAACCTAAAGCATCTAACTTGAGACAACTAAGCGAATCTTACACTAATTTTCTGTTCCCTTCCCTGTTCCTTTGTCTTAGTAAATCATCATAAGATTGAAGAGTGTGCAGGACACATAAACAACACAATCACTTATATTATGGTTCATCACCTGCTTTTCTTCATGAATACGAATGACTTCTTCTAGTGGTCTGTGAAAAAGCAAAATCGATCATAGAAATTGGGTTAAAATGGAAAAAAAGGACTGTTGAGCTCATGAGTGCACACTGATGTTTTAAACGCAGTATCAAAATCAATGAAAACGACAAAAGGAACAGAAACTCCATGTAATGTTATCGCCTCCAAGAAGATGTCTTGTGTTTTTTTTCTTTGTAATCAAAGATAGCTTTACTCTAGGCTATTTAGGATTATAAAGGAGGCAAGTTTCTAAAGAAAATGTGTCGCTGCGTCGGTGGGGAGAATTACAAGATGATGGTTGTATCAACTGAATTGATAATGTAATGTGCCACCATAGAGAGATTCTACAGCTGACAACATTCGCTCTGACGAAGGACTAACGCTCGAAACGTCAGCTCTAGAGTGTCTAAGTTACGTTATTCATATCATTCCACTCAGTTGATTAAACCAAATTATCATTTTGGATATAGTCAGATTTAACCTTTTTATCGGTGCGTTTTAAATGGCCATGACTAATTCTGCGATGCACGTAAAGCAATTCTGATCCACAGCTGAGTTTTAGTCATAACTGATCGTGCTATTGAGCAGCTAACCTTTTTCTTGATGGCGATGACAAACGTTGATGTAGATGAACAGCCCTACCGGGAGGTCTCTCGGCTTGCTCCACTAAATCACCCCAGTTACTCTCCATATCACCAGAATGGTCAGCTGGAACACATACCCAAGTGGCATTGTGAGATACAGAATGTATTATTACATTCAGTTTATACATCTGTGACCTTCTCTAAATGTGTGGTTTGAAAGGATATTTTCAACAGATCCATTATTAAGTTTGTACGAAACAAACTGCGTACCCTTCGAAAACGCCCTCATCATTCAATTAGCACTTCGGCAAGTTTTTAATAAATGCTCCCTCGAAGGGAAGTTTATTAATCATTATTTATCTCAGACATCCAAAGTTCCGCTTTGGTCTGACGTTCTTGAAATTAAGGCAGAGTAACGAAGGATAGAACAGAGGTAGGTTGATTTTATTGATAAAAACCAACTCCTGAAAAATCAGGGAACTCGTGCTTAGTGCCAAGTCCAGAAAAAGAGACCTCAGCTTTCATCTACAAATAACTTTTAAATGGAGAGATGGACATATTTTAACCAACACCTAAATGTACCTCTGTGTCCCTCATTGATTTTCTCTCTGCTTGTACTTATCAACTTGGACATGGAAGCGTTTAGACATTCTTTCTCCAAAATAAATTTGCCTCGCCGCAGTGTATCTGAGCATTTGTTATTTGAGTTAGGAAAAGTGCTGAAAAGTCTGATCATTCCTGCCTGAAGCCACTTACCATCATATTTTGCCATCATCTCCTCCCAAGTCAACGGAGTTGCTGAGCTTCCCAGTGAAATCTAAGGCAAAAAATAATAGTAAAATTAATTAGTGGTTAGAAAACAAACTGTCAGGAAATATATGTACAATATGCTCTCAATGATCTACATTCCCATAAGAGAGAAAGTGGAACCAACCAGAGCGTTCTTCACATTGATACATGGCCTTCAACACATTCATGTTTTGTGAAAGGTCAGGCGTTTAGCGAGGTCACAAAGAACTACCCGACGGTTTGTACATGTCAACAACGAAGGAAAAATTTCTTCTGCTTGCTGTCCACAGTTTGCATCAATCTTTGCTATCTGCAATGGTCCTCATACCTCTATTGAAACCAACCATTTTTACAATGTTCCCTTAAGTTTCCAGGAAAATTAAAGCTACATGTATGCTTAAAAATATGGACTTCAAATGTTGTAATGTCTCGTGTAGATTTTCCTTTACCAACTTACACTGTCTCCATTTGTGGCACTGCTGCAGTTTAAAGAATCATCCTCCACTCCATTAACAGTCTCTGCATCGTCTTGCTCCATGTTAGAAACCTCAGTTCCACTTTCACCATGTATTTGTGTTACTAGTTCTTCCTCAGCTGCTATTTCCTTTGTCAAACTTTCCTCATGTTCAATAACAGATGCAATTGTTTGATTGCGACACTCTTCTATTTGCCGTGACAAGCTTTCTTCTTCTTCCATTGCTGCAGAAAGAGCTTTTTCATGTTCAATGTCTGACAAAGTTTCCTGCTCCTCCTCACCATCGAAAAAAGCTGGTGGAGTTTCTTTGCCATTGGAAAGTTCTGTTAACTTTTCCACAGTTTCGACTGAGTTTAAATTATTTCCAGTGTAAACACCCTTCGTACTGACATGAATACCACCACTACTTCCATTACTGCATGTGCCGTTCTCCATTGTTCCTGTTTCTACATGATTCAATATTGTTTCTGTTTTACTATTTAATAATCTCTCATTACCACTTTTGTGTTCTTTCTTTGTATGAGAGCTGTGCGTTTTTCTTCCACGACAAACAGTTTCCCACCCCTCCTCATCGTCATTTGCATCTAGAACGACACAATCCCCTGAATTCTTTGAAAAACCTCCCAAGTGAGGAGCAGCATTTTGATGTCCAGTTTCTCTTGTATCAGTTTTTTGAACAGCAGAAACAACACTTGCACTGGTTGTTGTTCCACGAACTTTATCAGCCCAGGATTGTGAAGGTGCTGAGCTGCCTGAATGATTGAGGGATGTGTTTAGTTTTGAAACAGATTGCGAGATAAATTCCAAGTTGCGAACAGGACTGGTAGCGTTCTTCTCAAGTGACGTCTGCAACGGATTTGCACTCGAGAACAGTGTCTTACCAGGCGACGATTTCCTTACTTCCCATGCTAGAGATGTTGGTCTGTGAAAAACAAAAATGCTATTGCATTCTTTTGTTTCTTGTGCTGACTATACAAAAGGCAACAAGCAAACAAAAAAAAAAATAGTTACTGCGCTAGAGAAACATTTACAAAATTATACCTGTCCTTGTAATCTGCTTTTTCGAATGCATCCTGCACATTTATTCTTTCAATCAAAGCACTAAAATCCCGACGACACTGATCCAGCATCATAATCACCTCCTGTTTACAAGAAACAAAAAATTCAGCAATGATTTGGTAAGCCATGTATATTTGTAAGTGTACATTGTTTGCTTGATTTTGCTCGATTGTACACTGCAGAGAGAGCCAGAAAAAAAAAAGGTGAAGTTTCCAGATTAAAAATCATGCCCCTTTTAAGCCATGTTGATCCTTTTGCCTTTTTTCACTTCCAAGTATATGTACGCACATGTATACATTTCTCAATAGGGTACTGAGATAAAAGAAAAATACTCATTAGGGGAGGCCTTTGTGATTTAATTCAAAGAAATGTGTAACAGAGGATGACAAGAATTGATATTTTGATCTCGCAAATAAAGGCTTTAACCCTTTAACCCTCTAAGAGTTACTAACATCTAATTTTTTCCTTACCATATCTCCCCTGAATCAAATTTAAGGTCAGGAGAATAAAGGAACTGATCACCTCTGAAAAAGGCTCTTGATTGTTAAAAAAATTCTCCTTGTCAGCACCTTAGTAAATGTTTAGAGAACAGTATGGAGAATATGCATACTGATGTTAGGGTGTAAAGGCTTAAAACAGAAGAAATAGACATCTAAGCAACTTCAAGCAATTTGTAAACGCCAGAGAACAAATGAATTGTTGAGGCATGTACAGTACCTGACACTCCACAATGCTCTCGTCAGCTTCACATGTGCCATAAATCTCATCCACAGCCCTTTTGAGGTTATCAAACAGGTAACTCCAGTAGCGAGCTCTTAAATCATTCTTCTTTCCTGAGAATGATCCTGAAAATTTTCTGCTTCCAGAGCGAGACCTCCCTGGAGATTTGGTTCCTCCTTTCTGAGCTGGAGATCCTTCTCTCTCAGACGAGCCAGATTTTTCAGGAGTTGAATGGCGCTTTCTGTTCACCATCCTGGGTTTAGACTTTTTTCCTTTTTCTAGTTTTAGGGACATAGAAGATATGATAATCAAAAGAAATAATCCCAAGAATCTGATTCATATGAAACAAAGTGTGAAAATCTCAAATATATTCTGAAACACATTGAAAGGAAATTTCTCAACAATTCATTTTAAGATAAATCTACCTCTATGCAGAAAAATATAATTCAAACATGCAAAACAAAAATATTGTGTTGGTTAAAATATACTAAGTAGAGTTCAACCAATTTTTTTTAAAACCAAGATTACTATTTAAGTCTCTTGATGGCTACTCATCATGGTGGAGATTTTCACAACATCTATCATGACAATACTTTTCAAACAATGCAATTAGTACTAACAGAATTACAGAATTTATCATTTAATTTGATTCCACTTTTTTTTGGAATGACTAAGTGATTTAAATTAATCTTATCAAAACTTGCATGGTCAATTTTAGTGCTATCTTAAATTTCCTTACAAACAAATGGCAGAAGCTGACAGACTATCACAAATAGGATAATTCAAATCAAGCAAATTCTAAAATGTTTCTTAGTTTGCTCAATGATTATTCAATCTTCACCATAAAAAAATTAAGAATAATTGACATCTTGGTCATTTTCTAGGCAAAGTTAATTCAAGATTCTCAACACAAAGTTTTTTTCTGATCTAGATAATCCTGAGATTTATTTAATTCATTTGCAAGATCAAAACTAAACCTTACATCCTCTAAAATGATATACATTTTTTTTATAAACATTTTACTAAGAAAAAATATGGTACAACATTATGAATGTGATAATCAATTCTCAAAGAAAAAAAATTTCCTCACGCCTCTACTGGTGGATATAAAAATATGTACATCAAATTTATCTTTTAGCTGATATCAATTTTACCCTGTGGTCATTGTCATTGCCAAAAAAATGTGATCAATACATATGCTTCAGATATCTGTAGGCAAAACTGAAATTTGAAAGAAAACTTTCAGAGTGGCTTCATTAAAAAATATTTAACTGAGATGAAATCTTCCACACACATCAATCAAACCTAAGAAAAGTCCTTTTATTTCAGGAATTTCTTTTGTTGCAATTTAGTTGAAAACCAAAACAATTCTCAATCAAAATTAGCTTCCTTATTCATTTTCAGTGTACAAAAATAAAAATATAGCAAAACCCTTCTGTCTGCTTTGAGTGCAGAGTGAACAGAGCAAACTTTTGTTTGCATAACATAAGCTGTGAATAAAAAAAATACTTCTTCTTCATTTGCAAAAGTTTCAGACATAGAAGACAAATAACCAGACATTTACAATTGTCATGGTGGCAGTTTCATTTCGAACATTAATCTGCTCTTAAAGAAAATCATTGTTTGTAATATTTTTGAGGTAAAAACAAAATTTTTCACAGAAAATATTTCCATGATGAAAGATGCGACATGAAAAATCTACAATCCTGCAAAAGAAAAAAATGGAATTTAAAAAGCCAGCCATGTTATTTTGATAGTGTGTATGTACGTGTACTACATATCGTTTTTCATCATGGAGAGATTTTGCATAACACTTAACTTATTAATTTTTCATATTATTCTACATTTGGGGTTTGAATTTTAAAAGCAGTTCTACTCTGCCCTCAACATCAAATCCCTTCAGTTTAAATCTGATCAATAGTAGATTTAAAATTCATGAAAGCAGAGTGAGTTTATAAAATGTTCTAAACCCACCCTAAAATCACAAAAACACAAACCCCCTGCCTTGCCCGAGCTTATGGCTGAGGCTGTTGATCTATTTACAAGATTTGGAGTATTTCAATGTGGCGTACCATTGATGAAACAATCAGCTTTCATAGCAGGCTGTAAATTTCCTCTTCTTGTTGTAATCCACAAAATATTTTATCAGTTATTTTCTGAAATTCAATTCTTCCCACCATCATGCACAACACTTCATTTGATTCAAATTGAAGTAAAATTTAAAAGGATCTATTCTGTATACATTAAAATAATTTGACTGAAGAACACAATTGGGATCACAAAGCAAAGGGATGGTTATTAATGAGGGGGGGGTTTGCATATGATTATCCACAGCTAATGTGATCAAAATCAATTATTTATCATTTCCACAAAGCTGTCTTAGTGGACAGGATTTTAAAACATCATGTCATGAGTTACAAAAATAGAAAGAAAAAAAAAAAGGAAAGAAAAATATTGCATTTCAGCTTTAAGCTAACATCACAGCAGGAGAAAACAAAAACAATATTTTCAGTTCATTCAGAAAGATGTGTGGGGTACAAACAAACAATCACTGTGATAATTTTTCAGAAATAATTTGCTGTGAACATGGGGAAAGCAAAAGGAAGGTGCTACAATAGGCCAATTTTCTTTCCTTTCTTCTTTTCTATTAATTGAATGTTTTTTTAATCTTTTTGTCTCAGCGATAAAAAATATTACAAATTTAAATTTTACAAGATCAGTCTGTCAGTCATGTCTAAGTAGCCTTCTTGAACATAACTTCATAATATTTGAGCTAACCTCATGGTGTTATCAAAATGGTTATAATTTGCAAGAAGTTTAAGGACAATTACATGCAATTTAAATTTAAAAAAATTTTTACATCTCTAACCCCTGAGGGTGACTAGCATTGAATATCTCACCAAAGTATCACTGATGAATCGAACACTACATGTAGGCTTAGGAAAAATAAGGAAATTATCCCAAACTAGAAAAGCTCTTGATTTTTGAGTAAATTCCCCTTGTTAGTGTCATAGGAAATATTAAAAGGAAAAGCTTGGAAAATATACATGCTGAATCTGGGGTATAATGGGTCAAAATTTGAAAAAGCTACAGTTGCTGTAATAATTACATGTGCAATGGTTAATATTGAAACAACTAAATCTCATTCATTAAATATAAAAGTCTCACTGATCACATCAGTAGAGGGTTGTCAAAACATTCTGAAGTTCAGGAAGTCTTACTGTTGTTCATAGAGAAGGCTAATTCTACTATCTGTTTCAGTAAAAGATAGGCATAAATATAAAGGTGGAAATTCTATGTGCAGAGAAAATCTTATTTGAAAGATGTTATTCAGTATATGATACAGACATGCTTGGAGAAAAAGAACAGTGAGTGCTCCTAACAAGAGTCAAACCTACAACCTTTGGATGCTCTACCACTGAACTATAGCACTGACTTGTGCCTTGGCTGTTTAACTAGGTTCGTGTTACAAACTTCTTATGCACTGCTAGAATCAGAATGACAGTGTGTGATGCTTATGCACAATGATGATGTAAATGAAGATGGTGAATTTGATGCCTGGTGTTTAAGTGAAAGAAGTTGTTATTCAGTGAATGACAGAGGCAAACTTGGAGAAAAAGAACTCAGAGTTCTCCAAATAGGAGTTGAACCTACGACCTTGTGATTAATACTTTGGTTGCTCTACCACTGTGCTATAATCATAGTTCTTGCCATAAAAAAAAGTTCCCTGAGACAAGTTAAGCAAATTCAAATTTTTGCAATGAATACAGGGATAGAACGAGTCATAGTAGCAATTTGTTTGGATGTAGCACACATGTAGCACACATTGTGTGGAAGAGATATATCCGAGAGAATTGTTGTAAAACTTTGGAAATTTATTTCCTGGGACTTTATAGCTTGCAGATAATTGCTGCTGAAAATTTGTTGCAATCACCACCAGTAATATCTCATCAAATGTTTAAATGTTTGACTCATAAGAGTGACTGGCATTTAATTTCTCTTTACAATGTTAACCCTGAATACCAAAGTCGCAAGAATATGGGAAATGATCACCATCTAGAGAAGCTCTCATTTGTAAAAAAAATTCTCCTTGTCAACCTCTTAGGAAATGTATAGAGAACAGTATGGAGGATATACATACTGATGCTAGGGTATTAAGAGCTAAAGGATCCCTTTAATCTATAAAATTATATAGAAACCATGTGCAACTCTCCTACTCCCAAGATCTCAGTAGTAATTCTCCTTACTACATGCTATTCATTTGTTGGGATGACTGTACCGAGAATATAGCTTCAAATCACAAGACCTTTAGTTGATGTTTTTTGTTTATTCTCATCACAAAGTGTATTGATATTATAGGGAGAAATTAGTCCTTGGTCACTCCTGAAGAGGGTTCAAAGGGTCTGCCAAACATTTTGTCAAAAATGATTGTTCTGTAAATTTAGATTCAAATCATTTGATATCCCCTCATTAATGTTTTACTTCATTCTCTTCACCTGTCAGCATGACAGTATATTCATTTGATATCATGAGGGGAAGGTTAAAATAATAAAAATTAATTATCCTACCTTCCTGATTAGGCTCTGTCACAGGTACTGACCATGTTACAAGGTTTCGAGCAATTCTCCCTTCCTGTTCAACCAGTTTACGTACATGGTCATGGCTGTTTGTGCGATTGACACTTTTCTGTTGATTACAGTAAATATATATGAATTATTGACCAAGTGTGAGGTCATGATGGCTGGATATTTGGCCAAGTTCTGTGTGCCTTTTCATGGAACTCAACTTGTCTCAGTCCATAAAAATACAAGGGAAGAACCAGGTAATATACAGCTATCTTAACCCTTTAACTCCCAAGATCTCATTAGAAATTCTCCTTACTGTCTGCCATACCATTCATATAATGTTAGTTTGGAGAATTTGGAATTGGATCAATCAATATTCCCCTAATTGATATTTTTCTTTATTCTCATTACTTGTCTGTTTGATATTGTACTGATAGTGTAAGGAGAAATTCTGTCTTGGTCACTAGTGGGACTCAAAGTGTTAACCAAATTGAGCAAATATATTTTTTTTTCACTGATTTCTTGATACTCAAATACAGAACTTTGCAAAGAACGAGGGAAACACCTTTTTCCTCTGCTTACAAGTGATTATGATATGGATTCTTAACTACATTGTGTGAAGGTCTGGCCAATTGAATGAACTCTATCAATTAAAAAGGTGTTTCATAAGTTAAAACATGCAAAACTAAAATATTTTGGTTTTCTTTTCCACACAAATATATAAATTTTCTAATTGAACCATAGATTCACATGACATGTATATCAAATTGCAGATTCTCAGATTAGCAATGTCCACATCAATGTCATACTAATCAACATCATAATAATATCACTAACATTGTTTGGGAATTGAGCATCCTAAACTGGGATTAACCCTTTAACTCCCGAGATCTGATTGTTAAATTCTGCGTTTTAGCTGCTACACATATCCTTGTAAATTAGTTATGAGAATTTGGTCTAACATCAAGATAACAACTTCCAGCAGATAAGTTTGAATTAATTCTCATTACCTGTTTGCTGGATAATGTAAGGATATTATAGGGAGAAGTTTCATGTTGATCACTTCTGGGAGTTAAAGGGTTAACCCAAGATACAGCTGAAAAATACACAACTTTTACAAAAGACATAATTATAACACCAATAATACTACCAGCTCAGCAAAACCCAAACACATTCAAATCTTTCTTCTAAAATTTAATTAATCATAAGGTAAAACAGCTCAACGAACGAAATTGATCTCTTACTGAATATCTATCTTCCATATAAATAGATTTTCTAGAAATCAAGGAAATCGAGACCCTTTACTCTTAAGCTTATTCACTGAAACATAACATCCGTTTTCAATTTGGGTAAGATTACTATGTAATGTATTTCGGATGTGACTGAAAATTGCTGACGGTGTAAACAGAAATGCAACTATGCCCGCACCTTTCCAAAATTGTTCTTCCTTCCCGACGAATTCTCTCGATATTGACTTTTATCGGAGCTATGCTGTCCACTGAGACTCTCGTTCGATCGCGAACTTGAAGAAGAAGTCCGAGGACTGGACCGTTTCCTTCGACCAGCGTTGTCTTGGGATGACATTTTGCGTCAGCGGATCCCAAATCTGGAGTACTACTCTTCTACAGTTGGTTACCCAAAAGTTCCCAAGACGCGTGATCAGGATCGTAATGTCATCCTAGGCTTACTAAAAGTCGAAGAATTATTCCTTTTAGATTGTTTTCAAAGAGCTTCACGGAACCCGCCATTTTATGCATTCAAGTAACTTGGAAACCTTTTAAGAGAGCCTCGTTTTGGAAGATAACTCATTCCCAGCTTTTCCCGACTGTTACAACTGGTCCTTGCTTTATCGCGCGCAGCACGAGGATAAACTTCTCCACAATAAAGGTGCCGGGCTCCTGCTCGGGTTTCGTAGAGATATCTACCGAGTTTGTGCCGGCATTCAGCGCCGGGATCTTCCCCTCTGATCCCTTCGAATGCCAGTGATTTCTCCGCAGGATTTCGGGACAAAGTAAAATATTTAATTGTTTGTGCGCGAGACTGAAATTGATGGCGTCAAATTACTATCAGTTGGTAATGAGAAATTTTTGAATAGTTTGATTGGGAAAAAAAGAATTTTTACTTCAAGTAATTCTCAATTATTTTTTTCTTTGTTCATGTATCATTCATAAAATTTCATTCTCCCTTCCATATGTAAAGCCTTCCCTTTCTTGAAAACTTACATAGCGCATGTCTCTTGTTCGATTACTTTGTTGAACGACAGAACCGTGCAAAGAAATCAGATAATACTGAGTAAAAGTAAAAACAAACGGTACCGTCTTCTGGAGATATCATGGTAATGTACTATGGTTCCTTCCATTAACTTACGCGTAGAATTGCGGAATCAAGGCCATTAATTAGGCGCGTTTGGTTTTAAAATCAAAACGCGTAGCGCGTGTTCGCCACATAAGACGCTGCCTAATTGAGTATTGCGTATTCAGCAAACTGACACTAACGGTCAAAAAGAGTGGCGCAGTTATCCATTTTATTTCAAATTCAGTTGAGATATGGAACCAGCTCAGGAACGGAAGCCAGTTCAATCAGCTGTGTATACAATAAAAGATGGACAAATTGAACTTGCAAGATTGCAGCAACAACTTACTCGACTTGAAGAGCGTTTTGACAAGTATTTCTGCCGTTTAGACGAACTAGAGGAGTCTTGCCAACGAATACAGAAAGAATTTGAATCCGCTGAGCAGATGATTAAAGAGGAACACGAGTTTCTTCATGAACAGCTTACGACTAGAAAAACTGAAAAAGAAGCTGCTCCACAGTGTGTAAGAAGAAGTATCAGGATTGAAAGAAAAAAGATTTTGAGGCCTATTAAAGAGGAAAAGACTGACATGGCTTAGGCTTCTTCAAGACTTGTAACTAAAAGACGGACATTGTTTACACTAGAAATGATCAAGTGCGACAATTGTTCATATCGCAAGAGATCTGTTCAAGAGTAACTTTTAGTCCAGTTATGGATTAAATAAAGTTTTAGATGACAACCAGTGGGTATTTTTTCCATGCGATATTTCAGAAGTTCAGAAAAACAGTGAATTTCCAATGAGTATCTGGGGTCTACATGGTTTGTTTTAAGTGGTGTCTTGTCATTTTCGCGTGTTACATAAATAACCCCAAATAACCCATGTGATGAAATTTTACTTCCTCTCAGCATAACCCTCGGCATTTTCTTCAAGTTTCCGTGACACAATTCGCCAAAAACCATAAATACTCCGGAATGGAGACAGGCACTCTAAGGAAAGGGTCCCTTTCTTTCCCAATAGGCCTGCAGGATTCGAACCATACCATCTCGACCAAGAGTACAGTGCGTTCATCAGAAGGCCACAGCTTCTCTTCTGAGAAGGCGTTTTACATTGAGGAGCCGCAAGCTAGTGTTGTAACATGCGACGGTTTAGCGAGTTGCCACGTTTTGATTTTGTTATGAAAAAGACGCCTTTTGGTTGAAACACTTTTTCTCCTGTACATTCGTTTCTCCCAAGGTTCTGGCCACTGTTTTTCGCGAAGAATTACTGGATGCAAATTCGCTTACTAACCTAAAAACACGTCTGCATATGGGTTCACTGCACGGCGCAAGCTCCTAAATAGATAGAATGAACTCCGTGATCGTCTGCGTCCATTTGTTATTGTTCCAGTGACTATTTGTAAAGAGAAAAGCTCTTCGCTTTTGACTGATTAGTGGTTCAGTAAACGGTCACTGTTTTTTAACCCGCCGAAAAAGCGTCATTTTTTGGCGTTTTTCAGTCGAGCGGAAACAAGAGAGAGGCAGGCGCGAGGTGAGCGCGAAAGGAGAAGGACGAAAAAATTATTCGTGGGGAACTTGCATCTTTCCGCACTGGCACTCACATCGTGATTGCTTCTGCCCACCTGAAAACGTAAAAAATGACGCTTGTTCCACAGGTAACATACTTGAGTTTATTTAGATGGGAGCCATAAATTTATAAAGCTAAGACCAAGTGAAGGTCAACGTAAGAGAATAGATTTCTCATATTTAACGCCTTATTTAGTATAGACATCCTGCACATCCCTTTCTATAGACAAGCAATCCTATATCGTATATCTGAACTACGCGAGCATCATTCGCAGCCGCTCTAAATTTTCCTTCCCCACCATACAAGCTACACGCTAGCCTCGGTAAACCTCTCCTCGACTTGTCTTAAATCTTCCCCCGGCCTAATTATAATAAGGACCTCTTCGCATGCTAGGAACACGCCATATACATTCAGTAAGGTTCCCTAGAGACCAGATACCCTAAGTCGAAAGGCATCTTGAAAATTAGTACCCTTTGGAGACAATGCTGAATAACTTCCTCCAAACTTCTTTTTTTTTTTAGTGTTATGTGAAAGTTCGTCAGATGCTGATGTTTTTCCAGCTCTGTCACGTTATGTAATAAGATCTAAATGGGGAGCACTCTCTGAACGTGCTGCACTCCTGTCTGTAGCGAAGAGATATAGAAGTCGCCTTCATGACATCGCAAAAGCGCGCGCTATCGTAAAAAAATACACATGACTCAATTGTTTCGTAAGCTTACCATTACCGCACACCAAAGATATCATAACTCCGATCTTTTCCAGCTAGGAGATTCTTACAAATATCACAGTGATAGCAATGAAGTATGGTTACGAAAAAAGACCAGCCTTTGCAATCAATTTTTCGTTACGGGAGGGTGAAAGTTCAGCCGTAGCAAGACTCCAACGACAGTTCCATCTTCTTGAGCGCCAAATGGAGCAACACTTTCGCGACATGGACGAAGTAGAAAGATTGTGCAAACTAGCGAAAGAACAGCTAGATACCTCCAAGCGCAGGATTACAGAGAAATATGAGGGAGTTAGAGAGAATGCAGAGAGAGAACTACAGATTATTGCAGCTAGAAGAAAGAGGGAAGAGGAGAGAAAAGGAGGAAAGCTTGTTAACGCCGCAATTTCGCAAAGCATCCAGGAACCGAATGCTAAGCATCAAACTAGCGGTATGATATATGAGTTTTTCAAACTTGCATGCAGCTTGCTGTTGGACATTTTGGTTGTGTATGCAGTGTTCAAAATTGCAAAGTACTTTTGGACAACATGGTTGTAATAACTTTGTTTCTTCTACATAGTCAATTTTAAGTGCGAACTGAAATGCAAGTTTTGTATTATCCTATATTGGGTGGTTGAAAGTCAAAATGTTTGTCTTTTTAATTCTTTGGGCTTCAGATCACCAAATCAAAGTCATGGGTAGATAAAACGAAGAGTTACCAACTGTATTAGTGTACTATCAAACGAGGGTGTATTCTAAATTAAAAAAGAATGATTTTTTTTCTGAGTCAGTATTTGATGCCATTGCGATCAAAAGTAAAGCAAGATGAAACAATTGAAAATAAATAAATATAAGAGGTCCTCTTGGTTCGCGTTTCAAACAAAGTCAAATGAAATAAGCGCGAATTTGTAATCCACCAACCGTCGAATCTCTGTTATTGAGCCTGTGATTGAACATTTAAAAGAAAGCAAGAGAGAGACGATGACACTGAACAAAATGCTCTTTTGAAACAACTTTCAATTAAGTGTCAATATCAATCTAGCGATTGCCGGTATTGGTTTTACTTTAGTAAAGAAAACATGCACCTCTTTCTAAACCAATCAGATGCAAGAACTGAAACGAATCGTGACTTTGTCAGTCGCGGGTTCCCGCGCTGAAGAGCGGCTGCCAACCTGATGGTTACACATAACTTTTGTTGGCTCCTTCTGATTCTGGTCTTCGTTTTGATTGGCCATTGATTAACGCATTAGCTACTGTATTTTTCACTAATCATTCTGAACAGCTGTAATCGGACAGTGTTGTCGTATTGTTGGCTGTAATCGGACACCTGTAATCGGACAGTTGTGGTAGCCAATCATATTAAGTCCACGCAGCCAAATCAACCAATCACAGAATTGATCACAATAACCACAGCAACAACCACTTATCCTGAAAAAAAAAAACTGAGGAATTTCCAAAATGGAGAACGTTTTTTCTACTTTACGACCCGAGCAGATTCCTAGCCTGAACGATAAAGAACGATGATATTGTTTTGGGTGGTCAACCATTGACAAAGCCCAACCCAACCTCAAATCAGGGGACATGGACTCGTACCCTGATCCCAAGCGTTCCCTCTGGAGGTTTTACCAATGTAAAGTTAGCGACTCGAGACGATTGTTTTACCATTTGTCAGCAGAGCTCTTTTCGATAGAGTTTATTTGAACCAAAACTAAAGCCACAGAAAAGGCCAGTAAGAGCGTGGGAAAACGTCACAAGAAGCCTATATATGGAGACTTGAAGAGAAAAAAAAAATCTAACTGTATAAAGCGCGGGAAAACGTGGGTGAACAAGTCGTTGTTGGTTTTAGTTGTGTATCTGATTGGTTGAGAGAGTAATGTGGGTTTTTTTTTTTTGGACCAATCACAGAACGTAACTGCAAAACCAAAGTATGTACTCCTGGATCGCTTTCGACACTCCAATGAAACTTTCTCAAATCATCTACTATTTAATTTCCATTCACATCTTCTCATTTCCTATTATTTTTTTTTTCAATCTTGGGAATGTTTCTTACAACTAATTATCGAACGATGCACCGTCTTTCTTGCGACGAGACTCGAGACACGTACAGTGTATCAACTTGAGATGATACAGTTCCTTGAAATGTTTTGCTATCAGTCATGTCACTTCTATTAAATTTTTTTCTCCTAGGCCATTCGACATTTTTTGAGTTATAAGCAGTTATGTCACTAATGATTAGCAGTAGAAGTTAATAAAGGAGATTCTGAGGTTTTGAATATCTATAAATTATAAAAAAAAAAGCAGATCAATGTGACAACTATTGAGATAAACTTTGTCTCCATTACTTAGTAAGCACAGGAGACAAAAACGGACACGCTTCTTTTTTTTTCGGCATAAACCATTAATTGAGGAAATTTCACAGGAGCATAGATGGAATATAAATAGGGGTAATACTTAAAATGCTATCAAGGGAATCAAAATCAGACGAAACTTGCAGACTTCGGTTGGAAGAAAAGTTCAGACTTTTTTTTTCTGTTTGTTTCATTTTAATATTCTTTCCGGATAAACAAGATTTTCCAAAATCGTGGACAGTTTGGCTAGACAGATTAAATTTTTGGAATAGCAAGGATACCGTGGATAAAAAGTTTTAAAATTCAAGGGTAAGTAATTTAACCAAATCAAAAGTTCAAGAGACACCAGGGAAGGTTACATATCCCTGGTGAAGTGCCAGGCTACATAGCTTGATGCTACCACAACAGTCCTCCTCTTGGGCCTTTCATTGTCGTATCCAAATCAACTGCTTTTGTGTGGAAGACAAATGGTGAATGTTGTGGTTTGTCCGAGGTGGATTCGTGTTCATAGCCTTATTTATTTTGGAAAATGATTCCCTTGGTACACGTGCGTGAATTACCGATCTAAAGAAGATTATTTCGCTGATCGTATAATCCTGAACCAATCAAAACACGCGAAACAAAGAAAAATCCCGATAAGTGAAATATCCTTATAAGTTTAGCCTTTGGTAGTATAAAATTATATATATATATCAAATGTTGGAGTCGTAAGTGTTGAAAATGCCTTATGTTCACTTTTTATCTTCTTTAACATCTTCAGAATTTTTAATCACAATATCTTAGGTGGTATGCAAATACTAAACCTACGTTAAACGAGTTAAACGGAATTAGATGCGAGTATCCTGTGATTATTGAAAAAATCAAGACATCTATCAGTCAAAGGTGAAGATTCTAGACTTCATATGTGGGTGGTAAAAATGTTATTATTCCTAATCATAACAGAATAAAACCAAATCAAATTTTGTTCTTATTAATAATCTTCACTGAGTCTGTCATTAACAGTAAATAAGCACAAGGCTAATAATTTTTTTCAACTGTCATTTGAGGGAATTTTATTTTCCGCAAAATTGTCAAAGTTGTAATTGTTCGCGGACCACTCCAAAAATGCGTTTATTATCAAAGGGTAACTCCTTGTGGTATCGAACAGCCATTGTAATAAATCAAACTCTGGGTAATACCCCTGATCCTTGATGAACGGACAACCGCACCCATCAAAAGCACCAATTTCCTTATGTCAGATCATTTCATTCTAATCTGCTCCATTGGTGGTGTTTAAAAATGGTCTTCGTCGAGATCGTCACGTCCTGATGTTTTTTCATGATGATAGCTCTGGTTTATCGAGATAATCGACTCTCTCCCTCTAATCGAAATGTAAATACATGCTGTGATCTCGTAAATCTCTTTTGTCATGTCAACGCATTTACAGTTATCCAGATAGACGCCCTAACAGCGCGTCATTCTCAAGTGGGATGAAAATTCCTTTCTTTTTGCGCCTTCTTCAGTGTCTTGGTTTAGTTAGGGAAATATTTGCAGTTGTACAAACGCCTTCAATGGGAATACATGGTGACGAAATTCACGTGGGAAAAACCGCGGTCTAAGAGGCAAAGAATTCAGATAATGCGTTTGTTTGCAGAGCGCATTCCTGGAAAGTTTTCATGTGCCTTCATTGCACAATATTCTTAGTTACGTGTGCTCACGTGCACTGAGTTCATGGCCAACAATTGGCAAAGAATGATTAGAAAAATAGATCTTATTAAACGGGGTCATGAAAGGTTATTCGTTGCCACGAGGTTTGAAGCGCGGGGTTCTTTGCCTTCTCGAGGAGTTTACATAGAGAATCACGCCATCTTCAAAGCTTGTTTTTCCAAGTGGAGTTTTTCCCACGCAAAACAATGGCACACTTTTACAAACAGGAGAATGATCGGAAACGAAACACTGTGTCAGAACAATGTAGTCCTTACGCTTGTTATTTCAGTAAATAATTATTTGGCCGGGGCATCTAAATTCGGCACAAGGAATGTTATTGCAAACCAAGCCCACGGCGGCCTAGCCATTCCTTGGATACTTTTGCCGACAAAATGTGGACATCGGCGGGAAATGTTTTTACAAACAGAACTACCACATCGCAAAGTGAAATTAGGTGCCGACAAAAGGCAAGACACGCGGTGTCTGGTGTTAAGGCAATTGAGATTCTTTGTTTAGATAAGGTCGATGGAGACGTGTGCTTTGTGCCCCTTTGTGAGGTTTATCGCGATCGATATCAAGAGAATATCGTTTGACAGTAGACAGAGCTAAACTGTGAATGCACACAAGCCAGGTCATTCCGCTTTGGAGTTTTAAGCAAGATTATTTCTTGTCGCGCTTGGAGGCCGGAAAAGGTCATTTGTCGCTCAGGCTGGGGTGCTAAAAGGCTCAGGTGTAAGCATCTTAAATCATTTAGCGAGTAAATGGCATTTTATTGAGTCTTGTTATCAGAATATAGCGATCTTGACGCGGACCGACAATGCAATCTTCATGTCATGATAGCGTGGTTATCAGTTTCAATGTTGATTGGAAAGAGTTCAAAAGTACAAGCAATTATTTCAGTCCTCCGGTTTTTATTAAAAAAAAAAGAAAGAAAGAGAAAAATCGTAAACCTGGTATCATGTTAAAACAGACGTCCTGCGGGCTATCGGTAGATAGAACTGGATCGATTTTCTACTTATATTTGAGAAAAGAATTACGACAAAACAATAGCGAATTATTTACGAGTAAAATTTCCAAGGTCATCGAAAGTATTGTGAATGTAGGCCGAGTTTTTTTCAGTTTCTAGTTGTGGTTTTGGGAATTCGGTATGTTTTGCCTTTTCTTTTGAAGTTTTCGGTTTTCCTTGAGCTTTAAAAATGAATAACTTTCAGAATGAAATATTTCCTTTCTGGAATTTGGTTACATTAATCGATATTTGCGCTAGTTACGCAATACCTTCTCTTTTCAATGTTATCTCCAATGCCCTTGAAGCAACATTCAACCGTGTTTGAATATAACTTCTGTTTGATATGCTTCTGAATTCTGGGAGAATACCTACTTGTTGTATATCATGACAAAACTATACACGGTTGATAATCTTCGTTCCAACCATAAAACCGTCATAAAACGTAGTAATGAGTTGAGACGCTGAAAAACACCTTCTAAAGTTCTAATCAAAATTTTTAAAAAAAAAGGCAAGTCAAAACAACATACCTTGATTCTGGAGCACGGAATAGGTTTGAAACATATTATTACCGACAGAACTAGCTACCAAACTGCCGGAAGGAAAATGGTTTTGGAAAACTGCTTTTATGATATCTCGAACTTAAGTTTCCATTTTCATCAATGTTCGTGCCAATTCAATTGCACAGAAAAGCTTTGCTAAAACATTAAATCAGAAAAACCTCAGATATCATAACAAGTGAATAGCAGAAGAACGGAAGCTTTGCAGAGTTTAGTTAGTTCAATCTTTTGAAGTTCAAGTTTTTCCTTCCTGTGTACTATATGATGCTGACTGACATTTTTGCGCACTTTTGGTCTTTTTCTAAGAAAGAAAAATGACTAGCCGTTAGTCTTACAGATACATATACAAGTATATACAAATATATACATACACACATATATATTTTTTTACTTTTTCACAGTAAGGCTGGGTTTTAAGATATTCTTCCCCTCGAAGCATTCAGCTAGGCCCGACTTTTCATCTTGAAGAACCGGCTTTAGGGTCGTTTGAAATGCTTTTATAGTTATGAGTTTATTTTGTTATTTTTCATTGGATCATTGGGGGGAAGAGTTGACAGTCGACATAAAACTATGCTGTTCACGGCTAATGGGAATATTTTTCCGGAGTTTTCTCTCAGTGCAAGCGAGGTGGTTCTAAAAGAGGGGAGTCCGGATGTTGTGGTACAAATGTGTCGTAATGATGAATCGAAACATGAGTTATGACCTTTCGCGAGGAAAGTTAATGATAACTTGTAATTTTGTGGGCTTGTTTAATCAGGCTCAAAGCCACAGTTGTTCTTAAAAGGAACAAAGAACCTAAATAATTTATCGACCTGATGAATTGTGAAAAAACAAAATTCTATGTAACAGACTGCCGAACGACTAAAGCTATAATTGATACCCTCGTTAGCCTCACTTCGCAAGGCGAATAGATGGTGGCACAGTAAAAATATTAGTTTTACCGAGACATCCTATTTTTTCATTAACTCTGCTAGTGTAAGCCCCGAGGCTAATTCTTTCTACAGTAAAAGTGTTTAATGACTTATCCCGCCTCGCTCTTCTGATGTCAGAAGATTTTTAAGTACTGTGGTTAAAATTATATCGTCAGACAGATTTTAACTTGAAAATATGCCATCTCGCCAATCGCGTCTTTGCAATTCTTTGCCATAAATTGAGAGAGTTACTTTAAAAGTGTCCTTTCAAACATTATCGAAGGAAATTTTAAAAAAAAATTATCGTTGAGATTGGATGAATTTCAATATAACGTGACTTTTGCATATGTTGTAATTATTGCGTAAAATTGTTATTCAGTTCAAAAGTTTATCTCGAGCCCGCACGCGACCGTAATTTGCAACTCATGAAAAGTCATTTCGAAATTTTGTCACTCAGACAATTATAAAATTCGCTATTTCCTTTTCCTCCTTCTTATATTCTAAACACTCCTGGATAGAGATAAAGCTTGTTAAGTAATTATTTTTTCTCGGGGCATTGCTCATTAAGATGCAAACAAGACTATCTAAGGTAATAGAATTTTCCACCTATGCGTCTTTAAAATTATAGAATTTGTGGCGTGTTTTCTTTCCTAGCGTTATCCTCATTTTAAAATTAAGTCCTCAAATAATTTTAACGATAAATGACATGCTTAATTCCCTAAAATTAACTAAAAAGTATTGCGTGTCGTCTCGCAGGAAACGCAATTTATCACATACAAGAATCATCTATTTATACTTTCATAGTCCACACCAGAAGAGCTATAAATTTTAACTTATAGAAAATGTCAGAACTCAGAAAAGCGAATATAACAAGTTGTTGTGTTGAGCAGCCACTTGATACTAAAAGAAATTTAGAATCCGCCCGAGTCAGTTGATCAGTCGCATATAATAGCCATCTATTTTAGGAAGAAGTTTCCTGAGGCAACGGAGTTTGCTACATCAAATAGCCTTAAAATGGCTAAAGAGAGGTCACTTACTTTTAAAAGCTACCCATTAAGGATTTAATTTGTCCATATAATGAAGAAAAAATTATGGCAAAGATCGACGAAAGAATACATCTAATATATCAGCGAGCGATGAAATTATAATCAGCCCTTCCAGATCCAACTCTGATGACGAAAGAGATATGAAATTGTGTACGCAGTATGTATTATTTTGTTAGAATTTTTTTACACATCATCTCTTATCTGACGTCGGTATCATGAACCCTACAGTTCTTGTTTGCCTAGATGAAAATCAAAAACACAGTACAATGTGGCGAGTAAAAGAGTCGAAAGTGTAGCAATTATTGATTTCGTAGACAGTGAAGGTCACCTGGGCCGTTCACCTTGTCTGCATATTAAGCACGCAAAACAAAAAGATCACGCAAAGTTTCTGCACGTGAAAAAAATCAGATTCGGGGCCAAACACTTGGCAAACATTTCAAAGGCAAGTGCCTATTCCCGAACATAACTAACCAAACAGGAAGCACTTTCTAAAGGAGCACACAGCATCGACCACGGTAAAATCACATGTTGATCACAATGGCTGTCAGAAGCCATTACACTGCATAATAACTCAAAACAAAAAAGAAACCTATCAGAAAGTTCCATTCTTTCCCGTTCCTCTAGCCCGAGGCGATAAGGGGGCAAAGCACACGAAAGTTCTTGTGCAGGTGCTGGCTAGAATAGTTTTGTTATATCCCGAAGGAAAATAGGTTGACTCTGCGAACAATTTAGTCCGCGAGCAATTCGATAAACATCGACTTTTAAGCGTTTCACTCCGCCTTTTCCTTTCAAAGTGATGAACGATGAAGATGTATACAAATATTCATCAATCCCCTTTCGTGGGCGATTTATCTCATTATCAGCAGTATCTAGAGAGGAAGGAAAGGGAAGAGGGGATTGACAAAACGAACCAAAAGACAAAACAAGGCGGGGTTCAAAGTGTCAAACTTGCAAAACAGCACCAGACATTTTCGGTCTTTAAGGCACCTCGGTGTCTAGAAAGATATTTTTTGTCACAAAAAAAATCTTAGTATTGAAGCCCCTGTCACTGTAATTGTCTGCAACACTCAAACATTTATCATGCTAAATTGCCAGTACAGTACGCTGTAGATATGCGCGGCAACGCCGCGAAAAGTTCACTTTGTAAAATTGGTGTTGGCTCATGCCATCAATCTTTTTCTTATATCATCGAAGGAAACCGTTCGGTGAATGCTCAAACCTTGTCTCATCTTGCAGCCGAAACAAAGACTTACCATATTTGTTTTCAAAACATACAGCAGAACATGCACGGGTTAAAAGATCGTATCTTTACCGCAACACGCGCGTAAAAAGCCTTCGATTTCAGCAGCGCGCGTAGGGTAAGCCACCGTGTCGCTGATTGAATATTACATCGTGGTTCCACGTTCTTCACGACTGAAGTCTAGCGATGGATAATTTGGGAAAACAATTTAATACGCAAACACTGTATCCTGATGTACTTTTATCTTTATTGAGAACGTCTCTCTCTCATCCCGTGAAACGGATCCTATAGGATATATACACTGTCGACACAAGAGCATAATGTTATGCCCCTTGCCATAATTCATGCTGAACTTACGCTAAATAGAATGTTCGTTGCGGCTTGCGATAGAAGAAATAAATTAAGATTTTCGGAAGATGAGCGTGTGCCATTCGTTGGACGTCCACTCCTCATAAGTTCCTTAGGATAGAAAGTCTTTGGTCGAGGAGTCGAGGATTTCAATTTGCCCCTATTCCTTCATGCGTTCGCGATACCAAATGGGGCGCCTGCTCCGAAAACTGCACCTAACAAGAGAGAGGGTTAAAATAAGTTTGTGCGAAAGGGAATGTCAGCGCAGCCAATTCTGTCTACACAACGGGAACAAACAGATTACGAAGTGTTCAAATGAGACAAGACCGATAGGGTTTGATACAAGGGCATAGTCGAGCCAAGGGCACAAAGAGTTCGCCTTAGAATAAGATGTGCTAGCTTTACTTTTCTCGGCTGATTTTCAAAGAGAAAACACAAATAAATTTTGCCATTCTGGTTGTTTTAGTAGTTACAAGCGTCGCTGAGATTCTTGTGTAAAAAAATGCTACCATTGCACAGCGTAAAGACTTACGCATGTGTTCTTTGTTTTTCCTAAATGAACTCTTTTACCACATGCTGGGAAGTGGATGTTTATCACGATTAACTCAACAAATATCCCGCTGTTAGGAAAAAGGTCAAAAAACGTCTTTGTTATTGGTTGAATGTTTAAGTTTTCGACTTCTAAGCCTATGGCCGTCGATTCCACGACGCTCTGCCAGATTTATAAACTAATAGAAAGCTTCGAAGGTGACGAGCGCGGAAATTCTAAAAAATCCCGCTTTCTTCTGCCTCTAATCCAATATTGTGGTGTTTTCAGAACGTGGAATGTTGAGAATGAACAAGAATTGAGAAGGAATACCGTAAGATGAATAACTGCTCAAGTTACACTTGACTTAGGGTCTTCATGAGTTCACGAAACTGCGAACTGGATTCATTAGCTTCGTATATTTGGAGAGTGTTAAAAAACAACAATGCCCTACCGGTGTCTTGTTCATTATGGTACAAATTCAGTCTTACAATTGGGAAATTTTGCGATACCTTCGTAAAGAATGGCTGCCAATAATTTGCTGGACCACCGGCGCTGGTGAAGTTTAAGCGCCAATGATAATTGCCTACAGTTTTTCTTCTTTAAGCAGTGAGAAAAGTACACAAGGCCAAGTTTCCATTTCTTCCGAGAAGGCTTTGTTGTAAAAGGTGTGAGGCAATTAGTACAAATCACAATGCCATACAATGCTCGCAAATTTCACTTTGCCATAACTGCATCTTCACACCACACGAAAGAAACCGACGTCCAGTAACAAAGATCACAAACCCAAAAACAAACTTAAGTAGAAATCAAAAAAACAACGTCAGGTTCCGTCACTTTCAGTAAAGCCTCGACCAAAACGAATTTTCTTCTTGCAATAGATTTTAACAATGCCGTTAGGTATAGGTAAAAGTCCTCTTGGAAGAGTTGACACTAGTGAGCACCTTGCTACAAAAAGAATTATTTTACCGACTACGAACGGACCGAGGGAGATTCTGAAAAAGTGAATTGGCAATTCAGTATCCTAGTTGCTTTGATCGAAGACGATGAATTGAGTTATGCAAAATAGACGAGCCTTCTATTCAGAAGGAGTGCAATTATCTTGTCATACACAAAAAAACACAAGCTCGCCTCAATGTATGCACGCTTGGATGGATGAATTAATGGTCCCCTAGAGGTACAAAATCTCTCCTTTGGATATATTTTGAACACAAGGGTTTCCGTTTGAGATGAGTTAAACGCTTGCTTGCGTTAATAGATAGCGCTTTGCAAGCCGTATAATTGGACCATTTAAACTGTTCAAGATGTTATACTTGCACGCGGGTGGAACGAGAGTGGAAACTGTAAAAAAACACAAAGGACACCTTGACACAAATAAAGTTTAAAGTTAGGTGATACATGCATGCTTAACTTAGCTTAGCTAGACATGCCAAGTTCGCTTACCAGTTGTTGAAACGGACCTTGATCCATATCGTTGTGTAAAGCGAATTCATTGAGAGCCTTCCAAGGCTGATATCCGGGTAGATCGCTCAGTGAGACGTCAGCTGGCGGTCTTAGCGAAGGTGGAGTTAAATTCGTAGAATACGTCTGAACACCCGAAATAGCTGATGGCGGTAGGGAGCGGGAAATTGCATTCGGAGAGCTACCCGTCGGACTCTGTATATAGAGCGTATAAAGATACAATTTGATCACAAAACAGAGTTATAAAATTCGGGCCAATTATTATGACTTCGGCCTTGCTATGTTTGCCTTTACAAAACGTATACAGTAGAGCTCCAACCGAGAGTAATGGTAATTGCATTTTTAGCTAGAATCTGCGAGTGGCGTTTAGCAAACTACGAGTATGCGGAAAAGGCGATAATCATTGAAGTCTCAAATCTTAGAGTTTCGAGCAACAGTTTTAGTTGTCACTGTGTGCATGTGATAATAACACAACGTCATCAGATGCAAACCTCGCTAACGAAGTCCGTCAGCGAGCAAGAATGATTTTATAATAGGCCACACACTTCTTGTATATTCATATTCAAAAGGTTGATTCATTTAGAAATCGCGTTCGAACGTCGCTCTGCTCCTTAATCGAGATCACCGCGAAATAAGCAAACAATTTCCGTGGCTGGTCACTAGTTTAACGAGGAAGTCGGGGAAATTCTTGTCAGGCTATGCTCTAAAATAACGCGGAGCCGTCGAGCCAGCTGTGAATGCTAACAATTTAAAATTAACACCTTCAACCTAATTCTTCCAATTATGTTAACAAGAAACATCCTCGATCGGCGAAGAATGAAAAAGATCCGAAATCAAGGCGCAAAGCGCTTTTTAGTGATAACAAAAAAACAGGAGAAAATGCCTTACGTTTGCTTGCCAAGCTCGATTAACCACCTGTGCGTAAATAGTATTTTTGTTTCCGTCTTTGCGCTGACAGAACTAAGTGTTAACGCTCGAATACAATGACAAGACTCGCTCGTACGCTCATTACAAACGGCTGAAGGAAAACTTAAAAATTGAAGACATTACCTGTCCGTCGTCTGAACCTGGTCCCTGATGTTGGTGATGCGAGGAAGTTTTGTTAAGCATCATAGATTTCTTCTTGTCCTTACAGCGTTTATTCTGAAACCACACTCGTATCACTCGAGGACTCAACCCTGTCATCTCCACTAACTGTTCCTTCATCATCGCATCGGGTCGCGGATTCGCCGCGTAGCACGTCCGTAAAGTGTGCAACTGCTTTTCGTTCAACACGGTGCGAACCCTCGTCGTTTTTTCTGATTTCCCACGTCGCGTCGGTGAGCCATCCGGTTGGCCGTTTGAGTGCGCTATAAAGTTATTTATTACGGTAAGCGTAAGCTTGTGGTCCGTTCGAGGTCGAACCTAATATTTCGAGGGTCGAAACGGGGGTTCAAGGGGAATACTTAGCAGTGACAATATAGGGCTTTCAAGTCTATAAATGAATAGTGGTAAAATTCGTGAGCCACCACTTCTCACTCGCAATTATACTGACTGTCTCGTACAAACATCCTTCACTTAAGATTTTGTATTTTCCTGCGGAAATGTTTTTACTTCGGAGGAGGTAACATACACATCGACAGTTCTAGCTGAATTATCACGGCTTGACGTTAATTTTTGAGTTTAAAACTACATCCTAAACTGCCTAGTCTTAACAGTGCGCTGATGTTTAAAAAATGCATAGATGGCTCACTCAATTTGCCATCACGAAACTCTATAATCGGAAATGAATGTCACAAGTACTTATACGTGTTGAACCCTATAATTGAGAACCGAGGATATTGCCAACAAACATTCAATTTGGAATTAAGCCACTAGCGATGACTGAACGTGTTATAATATTCTTTTATGACTAAAGGCTTTGAGTTGTAATACTCTCTGGGAAGATCGCCGAAATCCAATTTGCAAGTTGCTTATCCACAGAGGGCCTCACATGAAGCGCCCGAAACCTAAAAACACACATAACACGACGCCATACGCCTGGCTCTTTCGGTCAAAATGATTTTGGGTAATTTAGAAGCTACCTTGGATACATGCAGAGTCAATCGTTGTTACTAATAGCGTTATCAACCCCAATTTGATTAGGTTGTGATATATACTCTGACAAGACCTACCGCATCGAAGAAGCAACACGGAGAGAAGAGACAGACCGACTTACCTGATGATTGAGACGAAGATCTTTGTCCTCCGCGAGCATGAGCCGCTTGAGCTGTTGCCGTAGCTTTCTCCACAATTTCGTTGTCTTCTTTACAAAATAACCCATCCTCCCGCAGTGCAAATTCGTCTCCTGGTACTAGCTGTCTACTGCAGGCGATGCAGCGAAAACAGTCTATGTGATAGATTTGATTCTTGGCCCTCATCACGAAATCATTTTTGGTCACCGACCGGGAGCACTTGGCGCACTTTGTGCCGAACAACCTGGAGAACAGAAAAGCAGAAGTATTCCACAATGGCTTTAAAGCAAATAATGCGCTTCGCAAGAACAACTTTCGCAAATAGATCTGTTTCGAATTTATTCGCATGCAGAGTGACCCGTCAGTGACAGATTTGAAATTCTTCCCGCTCCTTTACTCGAACTCAGTCAAAATACTGAATATGCGTAAAAGCGCAGAAGGCTAGGCAACGTACACACTCAAGATCGAAAGCGAAATTTAAGGAAACCACAAATCTAAATTGTACCTTTAGCCTCCTGCTTGTCGAGTTAGCAAACTTTCCCGCCTCGCTTGCCCACAATATGAAAGAGGCGGAGTCAGAAAATAACTTGTGTGAACTAAATTTCCTGAACTCCAGCCGCCCGTTAACCGTGTGAATTTCTTTATAATTAGCTTCCCTGATTCGACGCAACACAGAGCACAAACCGAAATATCTATGCATGATATAACACAGCGGGTGAAATCAGGGCAGGTAACTAGCCGCTGGCTTACGCCATGGCTTTGTAAAGACAATACGGTCATAAGGATCAAACAAGCACTCTGTCTTCGTAATTAACAACATTGATTCCTTCGCCTGAATAATATGCCGTCAATGTTTGTAATAAGCTGCCGTAATCCTACGATGAACACGGTTTGGTGGCTACGCCGGCGGCCAAAATTGGAAATGTATGTGTTGATCGCGATTTGATCGCACCCGGCAGGTCTGAGATCTTGATTTCGCAGCAGCAGACTACTCTGGCTTACCTAACATAATCACGTTTGCAGTACGTCTTTCCGTCGCGCACAAAACAAGTACATGTCTCGTCTAGATACGTGTGGCAGTCCGCGCATTTGAGACAGCCTGCGTGCCACTCCAAGTCGGGTGCTACGCGGAGAATGTACTGGTCTTGAATCTGAGATCCGCAGCCGACACACATAGATATTCGACGCTTCTCTGCAAAAGAAACACAAAACAAAACTTAAGAGCTCCTTGGTCTAAAAGCGTGACAGGAAATACTTTGTGAGTCCAAGAGAGCCGCGGCGCTGGGAGAAGGTTTATTTTGACGAGCAGGGAAATAGCATCGGGTGAACCACGTACGTTGAAGTTCCTGATCGCTCATTCCCGAGGAAGCTTCAGAATACACTCTTGGTGATATCAACCAAAATGGGATTACTAACTGAGCGACACTGCCAGCTGACGAACCGAATACTTCAAAATTCCGATCTCTTTAGATGCGTTATGCGATTGGCGCAGCCGGATCGTACAGAGACACGTGACTTGAGCTGTCATTGTCCGGCATTTTATTGGCCGGAGGCTCTACCACCAATTTTACAAATTGGTACCCAGTTGTGAATGCCACACTTGTCATTGGTCGCCCACCTTTCACCACTTGTCAAACTTTGCGCGTTTTTTTAGATTTGAATCTGCGATAAACGCAGGTGTATGTTAAGAAACTAACCACAGATAAATTTTAGTATACTGTTCCGAACATATGGAACGAGCCAACGGCCGTAGCCTTGCTGATCGCAATATTGAAGAACCTTGTTGACCATCAGAGATCAAGATTTCTGGTCCGTCGCAAGCAAATGCCTCGAAGTTGTTATTGAAAGTGACAGCTGACTTTTGTATTTCCCGTTTACTCACGCACGTGGAAAGTCACAAAACCAATATCTGTTACCGTTCTTCTTGAAGGACGCCCCGATATCTGTTTGGGTGCGTGTGAAATAAATTTAGTCGATAATTTCGCAATTGAATTGAATCAGGCACTGGCGTTGTCACTGAATCGCTGAATAGAAGTCGCCTTTGTAACAAGCAAACTGTTTATGCGCCGTCAAAAGCAGTGCCAACCGATCGAGGGCAATGTGAACGCTTTGTTCAATTCTCTATGCTTGGCGGCGCAACAACAAGCAAATTTGAATCAAAACAAAAGGGTGGATTTGGGGTTGGATCTCATTGAACCTCAAACACTTCGATATAATTAGCAGAAATTTGTGAAAGGAACCAAACGAGATTTAGCACGTCCTAGTTAGGAGCTCCGCCTCGGCGGTCACCAATTGGCGAGATATTGTCGGGTTTGATATCTTTCTATCGCTTGCTGATAGGAACTCTCAACCCCCACAAAACCCAGACAAGCCGCGATGTTCAAAACTAGAGAGGTCTTGATATTGACACAAATTGGAATGAAAAATATTTACCCGAGAAATTTTCCCTTTGAATAGCAGAACAAAGTCGCCATTGAAAACATTTGTGCTCAACACAACGCGGAATAATACCTTTTGTTTTCCTAGTACAACTCCGGGATTTAAAAAACCATTCACCGTTGTCAAACATATCTCTTGATCGTCTGACGGCATTGTTGCAGCCAGCCCAACTAATTCATATATTAATTATCTGTCATATTCACTTGTCAAACACCTCATTTACGGAACTCTCGGTTCCAGACTTCCTACTCCAAGCAACTGCTCGAAATCTGCCTTAGCTAATGGAGCGTTACACCTAAGCTGGATTGTCCAACCCTAATCTGAACTGTCTCGTTTATAGGATTTCCGATCCGTCTTACACAAGGATTACTTATTTGGAGTGCGCCGAAAGGCAAGAGAGAGGGAGAGTTAACAGAATCGACACAACTAAATTGGATCAAAACACCTTGAAATATTTTACTCGCATTGTGGAATTCTTCCAAACCGCTGAATATCACTGATTGACATTTACTTGCATGATCGAGAACAGAATGTCAAATCGCAAACGAGGGAAAAAAATAGGGACAGACAAGACAAGCGTAACAACAATTTAGCTAAGCTCAATTGCTATATGTAATGTGAGTGAACTCTCCATAAAAAAAGGTCGTTGCGAAGAATAATTTCTCGCACGGTCTTTGCAAGTCATCTTTCGTTGCCTTGGTTGAAATTTTTCCCAACCCCAGATTGTTTGCATAGAAACGGAACCCGAATAATAAGTTTATTGGTGATTCTGCTGTTGATATTAAGCAGTGGCGCCGCTCTGGTGGCGGTGAAAATGCTCGCATAAGATTTCTTTGCATGGAGTCAAATTTCTCTTTAGAGGTTGTTCCGGCCCAATTTCCGGAAATGTAATTCATAACTAGGAAAAAAGAAAATGTAATTCTACGCAATTCGATTCCTATTTTCACCCTACCATAAAGTATATTGTTTGGTAGTTTTAGAAAGGAACTTGTTCTTAAAAAAGGAATTATCATCCAGGTTAGATAAGTCCGAAAAGGTGCTTTTTTATAGCAACAGGAAAATATGTAATCGAAAATGAAAACCATAAAACAGGTGCAAATGGCTCCATAGTGTCGAAACAAACGTGTCGCTAAAGAATACGATGTGATCGAAAATTAAAATTGATTTTTTTTTTATATTCTAACAGCTCATTAGGGTTAGAGAATTTCTTGTAGTAAGGTATCACTGTATTTCATCACTGTTTTCGTGCATGATTCCGGCAGCTTTTTGAACGCAGAGTTAAATTACAAAAAAACCCTAATCCTGTGTACTTTGTAATGATCTTGCATATTTCAAAATTAAGTCAGATCGTCAGAGTAACATTGCGGTTAAAGCAGTTGCCTGGTCTTGGGGAAAAAAAGGAACACGGAGATGCGATTATTATATTTTCAAGTCAGGAAAATGAAAATATATTCGATGTAAAAGACCAGCTATGTGTAGTTGCATTTACATTTAGCGGAGAGTACCCAGTTTTCTCCATCTGACTTTGTTTAATGTAGATTACGCGAACAAAGGTCATTCGAATTTTAAAACAAGTTACAATAATCATTCAACTCTATTTGTTGAACATTCAAATTAGCTTCGACGCAAAAAAAAGAAAACCTGGCAAACATGGCGTTTTTTATTTTACACATTTAAAGCGAGCCTAGCGTAAATGCTGTGCTAAAAATATTGAACGATTGCTTGTCTATAGTGGTAATTTAGAAGCACAAAGCTGGTTGTCGCCTCGATGAAAGTAAGGTGTGTAAGTCATAGATCAGCGTTACATGCGATTTAAAATGGAGAAAAGGGCAAAAATACAAGGCAATTAGAAGCAATATTCAACAACTAAGAAAGCAGCCGCTTCGCGTCTTAAATATAAATGTACACAACATTGTGTAAACTTCAACAATATCACATTGTAAGGATCAAAAAGTATTCTGTCCACTTTGGCAAAGAATTTCCTAATGAGGATGTCTTTCAATGTCGAATTTCGTAACCTCCGGCACAGTTTTGACCTCAATTCTCGAGCTGGATATGGGCAATTTACGAGATTGTCTGGTTACGAAAGTGTAGACATCCAGTCGACAGTGAAAAGTAACACATGTATTTTCAGCAAAATGACATTTAAGGAAGGTTTTCTCCAAAAGAACTTTCAGATATGTTTGTTAATTTTTTTAGGCTTTGTTATATCTCAGCTGGCGGTATTAAAAGAAAAACAATCACCGTGTCAAAATGGCGGGAAAATATGTGATCAAGGGGAATGGCGATATTACTGTCAAAAATGGATAACAAAATTTACACAATGTGGCAAATTAAGAAGAAATCGTGTGGTTTGGTTGCCACGAAGACTGAAAAAAAAAAAGATAAAAACGTTTGTCGCACAAACCACTCCGTTTACCGTGTTTCCGTTTTTTGCCGTGGGTAATTCCTAATATTAAGAGGGAAATTATACACAAAAGCTAAAACATCTGCTGCCCGAGAGCAAATGGACGCAAGAAACATTTGTGGCCGCAATTAGCGACAAGGCGATTTCTTTATACGTTCAAACTTTTTGCTGGTAATAAGAAACCGAAGCACGAAAAATTCGAAGAATTCTGACCTATATTTATAAGAACCACTCCTTGTAAATTAATTTGAGAGGTTTTGAGATAAAAAATAATATTTATGAAAATATGAGTTCAGATAATGAGAGAACCTCTGTTTACGCCAAATAGCCCGTGGGAATTTTCTCTTTAGGCAGCGCTTGAAGTGAGAAAAACAAACAACTTCCATTGTGACCAAGACATCGTTCGGTAATTATTCTGTTCCGCTGTCCTTTTTTTGTCTTGATCCTCACAAAAGAAGTCAAAAGAAAGTATATTTACTTTATATTTGCTCTTTACATTTAAGAATAATCCACGGCCATATTTTTTAATAACTGCATATTCAGAATTTTGAGTTAGTAGCGAAGGAAAATGTACTGAGGAAACGTAAACCAAACCTAAAATAAAAATATATGCCTTCAAGGAACAGCTTGGCACCACAATTAACGCAATCTTTCCGAAAAAGATCGTATCTGAAAAAGTATGTAAAATTCATTGTGCAGATTTTATATCTTTATGTGGGTTAAGTGTAGTTTATCAGAAGAATATTTGAAGGTCACAAAAGAATATATTTTCTTTCTGTAAAATACTCACTATATTGTAATATTTCAATTCTCCGCAAATAAAGAGGTAATTCTTTTCACTCGAGCGAGTGACTTGAAATCATGTTCGTACGTAAAACACTTTTGAGCGGAATTATCAATCATGGAAATCATATGATTTCAAAGACTTTTTCCTCATCAGAGGAAATGTTTCCTTTCTTTCTTCATAAACGCCTGAAGCAGCAAGACAATGAGATTGTTTGCTTTTCGGAATCACGAAATACGTTCTCGATACTTTTCAAAATCTCTTGAGCTTTGCAATCTTTGTGTCGTCAACTGACATCTGGTGCTCTCTTAAGTCCGGCAAAGAGATAATCCAACCTTTATTTACGAGGTAGCAACGTTTACAAATCTAGGGAAATTGTAAAATAATTAACACAGCATGGAGTTAAACAAAAACAAATCTATCCAAGTTGAGTGAGTTCTTCACATCGCTAAAAGTTTATTTTGGGACTAAAGAGCGTTTTGGAAGAGTGTTCAATTCATTGGGCAGATTCTCTAGTCATATTGCTTCAAATCAGAGATTTTGGCCATCTTTGGCTTTCTCTGACCTTTACAAAGCGAGAGAAGCCCATAAATTGAAGTTAGCAAAGAAGAGATACGAATAATCTCGCAGATAATGATAAGAACTACACATATTTTATCATTGATACCTATAAATGTTTCATGAACTCAGATGTGGCAAATCCCCTGGATATTGCGGACGAATCGAACTCAATCTTGACTGCACCTGTACCGGTTACAAGTTATCAGGATTTGCAAATTTTTCTTAGGATAAAAATGAAGATTCGAAGTAACATATTAGTTCGCACCATCATTTATCTAAAAGCAAAAACAGGGAAATAAGGAAAATGAATCCACAAAAATCAATTTACTTCTTAATATCGCCTATGTACTGAGTACAACAGTTGAGGCAAAAAAGACCCAAAGGGTCTTGCATTAGTTAATAGAAACGTTCCAAAATAACGAACTCATATACTGTCCATAAATTACTTCAGCCAAGAAATACTTTTCAGTATTTTGTGTAGTTTGTGATGCATTTAACTAAAATATATCAGTGGAGATAAATAATGGCCACATGTGTATGAAAAATCATGCAAAGCAATTCATTTCTCCTCCTCATTTAATTTCCGTAAAGCAAAATACGTATTTATGGAGTTCCATTCCCGACTGACTCAAATACTTTATATCAAATAACGTTGATGCAATATTTATTGATGTACAATCAGTGAAGTGAGTGTAGATAATGGAAATATCTGTCTGCAATGAATTTATCAACCGCAAATTCCACCGTCGCAGGTAGTTATTTAATTCAGGTCTAGACATCACATTTTCTAAATCTAAATTTCCTTCTACGAAATTTTGGTGGAATCAAACAGGGCTGTTCCAATTACTATCTAATGGTAAAATCAAGAATAAGCATTCGAAACGCGCGTGCTACATATGTAAGATACGCATGGACGTCTAGCCTTGCTGCCGGTCGCGTTCTCAGTAGCGTGTTTTGTAGGGTAACCGCCGCGAAATCAGCTTTCGAATCTTCCGGGATTTATTTTTGTGTCCCACGCTCGAGATAAATTTTTTAACATCTTTCTTCAAAATGTGATCGCATGTAAGGAACAAAATAGCAACTAATCTTAATGTACATGTAGGTCGGATGTAAAAATTTTACACCTCTAAATAGGCGAGATAAACGGATGATCAAACATCAGATTTGTTGTCAAATATATCGAGCAGTATTCTCCAACGGATTCAGATGGTCTAATTTGCCAACAACTAACCAAGAATTTTGTGCCAACTTGAGGTAAAAGAGGTTTGCGAAAACATTTTAATTCAAATTTTCATGTTTTCTACGCGCGTTAGGTTCGGCTGAATTTAAAACCTAAGAACTAGGCAGTTCCAATTTGGATACAATCATCTCCGCGGGCCTTCAAGGAAAAATTGAATTATCAAGAGGATACAAAGGTCATTTTTTGTGGATAGTGATGAGTGTCCTGTGTTTGGCGAACAACTTAGACAACCAAAGCAAATAAGTAAACAGCAACTGAAGTTCACCTCAAAAGGACGGTAATGACCAGCTGATGAAAGCAAAGTAGAAGGACACTTGTAGGAAAAGGAGAAGTGAAGACGACTGGTCATCATAGGAAATGCGGAGAAGAGGAAGAAAAGAGAGAGGTGAAAAGTAGGAAAAGAGAAAATGGAAATTAATTTCGGAAAGAGAAGTAAAACAGAATAGAAAAGAGATTTAAAGAAGAGACAAGGAACTAAAAGAAAGAGAGAGGGAAAGTTAGTGCATTTGAGAAAGGCTTGATGCCCCTTTACACCGTCAAGTCACTATCAGGCGGCTATATCAAAACGTATAAATGTTTCTAAATCTTTGTTCAAGTTGCAATTTAAAACACATGACTTTTAGTTACGAATATTTTGTGTGCAACTTAAGAAAACAAAATCCAGGTTAATTCCGGCATTGACAGATTGTTTGATCAAGGTGATACGGATCTTTTTCGTTTCAAGCCTACTAGGTATTTGTGACACCACTAAACGCGAGAAAGCCATTTTCTCATGAGTGCTCTATGAAAATCAGGTCGATTCTCGATAAGGAAAACACATTTCAATATACCATCCCTTCATTATTTGGTCTTGCAGCAGGAATTATGCTAAAACTTGTCAACACATAGGTAAAATCAAGAACGACAATATTAGTGTGGAAGCTTCATTCGCGGAAAAATCATTGTTGCCAGTATTTTACAATTCTTGTTTTAGAATAGAGCGATCACTGAATTGTGCAAACCATAAACAAAGAGACACGACAACATATACTTTTTGTTGAGGGAGGGAAAAGGAATACCTTTTCCAAACGTCCATAACTTTCCACGACAAAAGAGTTAAAAAAAAGGATCACTTAACCTCGTTAAAATGTCGTGAGGTCAGAGCTCGAATATTTCTTATAAGAAATATTGATAAGAATAATTGCACTCGTTTTAAACTATGCAGGAAAACACGAAAACCGACAAAGTTCAAGTTAAAAAAGTTTGGTCAAGTCTAAGTCAGGTAATGATAAGTTTCTTTAGAGCCCTGATAACCAGAACATTTCTTGGAGAACAAAGCTTAATCCTAGACTGTGTAAAATGCTTATTTAGCCAAAGCCCTCTAAGGTGTCAGACAAAAACAAAGGATAAGTTAACAGCTAAGTCGGGTTACCCGCCCTTCAATAAACTAAGTATCGTTTTGGTATCATTTTAACTGACACACGCACAGTCGGGAACTGATTTGGTGCAGAACTTAGGCCGCACAAAATCGGAAAGTTATGTAATTGGGCTAATTATCTTAAGTCTATCTACACTTCTGCTATCATTCATGAGTAGAAATGTAGTGCATCGTCCCATTGGATGACTGTATATCGAGAGCATCGTCTTAGAGCTTCAAAAGCTAAGATAAATTTAACGCGCCTTGATAGCGAAGGAGTGGATAGCGCCAAAGATAGAAGTTGCTTATATAACTCTAAAGAGGTCACTTGAGTCGTCTGATATGTTCGAAAAAGTAAAAATAATGACAGAAAGAAATACTTGCCTTCTTGAGAGGAAAGATCTTCAACATCAGCGTTTAACATTGCGCTACGCTTTGCAAGTAAGAGGCTGACGGTTGTCAAACAAAAACGTATAAATACAGTCCGAAAAAGTGAGCCACATATGGTGTTCTTCGCGTACCACGAGTGTGACATTGATACTTTTATATTGGGTTGTAATATAGGATGTTTTCTTACACAAGAATGATTCAGTCGCTGAATATATTCGGAAAAACCTCTCCAAGATGGGGTGGCAAAAACACGGGCCACACCTTTCTAGAATCAGCACAAGAAGAACGTGATTTCCTTTTGAGTTGTGCGTAGAAACGTTCCTACAGATATGATCCGCTTTTTGAAAGCTCTTGCGACATGTTTGAGGAGTGGTCTTGAACCCATAGGCGAGGTCAATATCACAAGTTTAATTTGGAACCACAAGTATTTTGATATCAGACCCGGGGAACGTTGTGGTTTATTCTTTCAACTTCCATGGACAGCACTGGAATTCTAGAGGTGGCATTAACACAATATTCCTGTCACGTTTCCTCAATCAGTGATATTACGGAAAGGAAAATGGTTTTTTTAAAAGCCGTAGATTCAGGCTACTTCTTGGCTTCTCATAACTAATAATCAACCATTGTATATTGCGAAATCACTCTTACGAAAGACTCAAATCTTTCACACTTCAAAAGTGTCAAAGGCTAAATTCTCGAGAGACAAACTCTCAGACTAAATTTAGCGCAGACTGTTCCAAATTGATTACACCTGAAACAGTGCTAGCAATACAAAACACTTCAAGTTGCACAACCATGATTGAATATGTGCTGCTGTTGCTCAGAATTCTAGGAATGTGAGTGTGCAGATAGATTCATTTAAAGTGAGGTATGGAACGAGAAGTAAACAACTAACAGACTTCTTAGCAGATTTTATCCTTCTTGCTAAGTCGTTCGAATCCAAGGTGGCGGCTCATTCTTTTTATCCACATTTTTCGAATTTTTTATTGTTTTTTTTTTCTTTGATATTGTACCTGTAAACATGGATAGTAGAGTAAAAAGATGACGACTTAAAAAAAGGGGGGTACAGTAGTATGATTGTAGCCAAAGACAACTAAAAAATGAAAAAACCAACACGCATGATGTGGACTTCTCTTGCATGACAAGCATAGTCTTTTGGGGTTTACATAACAGTTGTACACCGACGACTGTAATTTCAAAATTGAAAAGGTCAGAAATGTTTAATCGTAATTTATATAGTGACTTATCATGGTTTAAAAACTTAGAATAGGACTTACATGTGTTTTTTTCGTCTGAATGCTTTATCACACTTCTCTGAGGAGCAGACCCTGCACTTTTATGGGTAGTTTAATTGTTGCTGCGTTTAGCTTGATAAAATGTAGCTTAACCGTGTTATAACTGATTGTGGTGGGTTGCACTGGAGGGTTAAAAGTCTCTATCAAATTACTGAACAATTGCGTTTAGTTCTTGTCTCTCACGTTTCCTTCTTCCTTTTCTAAGGTGATCTGATTTGCAATGGTAAATGATCCCTAAATGTTGAATTTACTCATTCTTGTCACCAATTGCTTAAAACAGGTAGAGTGCCAGACACTCTATGTTCCTCAAGTTGATTTTGCTTTTGAAATTAATCGTTTCTTTTTGGAAAGGGAACACTTTTGAAAATTTGCAACAGTTTTATTCCTCAGCACTCTGGTTGTGAACGTGTCAATTTGTATATTTAATTAAACCTGGATCCAAACCTGGGATGGTCACAAATGAAGCTTAACCCAAGACAAAAACGTTGTTTTTCATTAACTTTACGAAGGAAAGTTTTTCTTACACGAACGCTGTGATATCATGCCTAACTGATGCAAGATCGTGGATGGCAAAATGTTTGCTTACTTTGTATTAGACGGTGAAACGAGACAATTTGAAATGAGAAATGAAAAAGGTTGTATGAAAAATTCATGACATTTTGCATTGTTTTCCTCGACTGAAGATGATTTTAATAAACTAAGCAAAAGGCTTTAGAGGAAATTTAATTACAGGTCAAGTTTATATGTAAAATTATCATGAACGTCGAGTTATTTCTGTAAAGGTTTATTAAACTCTTTATGGAAATGATTTCTTATAACAGTTTGAAAGTACCTCGAGGGGAAAAGCTCAGGTAACTAATATAAATGTCAATTCTTTTATTTGTGTCTTTTTTCGGAAAAGTAGCATTCAAAACTCGTATATGATTTATTTTTAATAAAAGTTGTCTCTCCCGTTTTTTAATGAAGCGAACGTCTATAAACTCGAGGACTGTTATCACCCCCAAACACAATACCAGAATACTTTTATTGCTTTTTTTTGTAGATAAGACAAAGAATATTCGGAAATAAAGTCAGGAAATGCCCGACTGAGCGACGCCAGTCTAGGACACAGACGAACACAATCTCACCATTGTCACTGTTGCAAACGATCAAAGAGAGAGAAACACACATTCTTTAAATATATCAAAATCATAAGTCAGCAATTCAAGAGATTTTAATAAAACGTCTGTTAATAAATAGCGTGTGTGAAACAAATCAAATTTTATCTTTCTGTCTTGGCGTACATACTTAAAATAAACATCCTTTTTAATTTCTTGAATTCAATGTATTGCGTGGCTACAGATAAAGATACAGCGTAAATATAACAGTGATTTTTTTGTTTGAGAACCAATATCAAGAATCTGTCTCGAGTTTAGGAAACTTAAATATTTCAGTTGAATCAAACGGCATGTAATGTTATCGCAAATATTGATACTAAAAAGTTTTGAAAAACTCCTTAAAGCTTGGGACATTTTATTTTGTTCTGACGGACTTGCATGCCATACAAAACACCAATTTATTCGACATTTTAGCATGGTGGTGTGATCTGAGCATAAACCGAGTATGAAGGCGAGACTAGCCTAATTAAAAATTTGACATTCTTCCAAAAATATCTCTGTGAGAAAGGATACTGTTTCTGTTTCTTAAAACTTGCATGTGCACAAATCTGAATGGCCTTTGCAATAAATCAACACAAAATTAAGTCAATGCCAGTTTAACTTCGTTATATAAGGGGAAACTTGTTTTGCTGTCAAATGTTTAATTTACAAACCACATTGCTAGTAGTCAAAGCGGGCAACACGCTTCAAAAATACGAGCTCACTAAATTAAGTTTGCTTGAGAGGTATTCGGCTCTTTTGAAGTTACAAGGCGCGGGAAAAACATGATACCGTGTTTGAACGTATAATAACATTTTTCAGAAAGCGTTACGAAAACAAAGGGATTAGAGTCACAAACCTGCGAAGTCAGTAATAACATTAATTAATTTTCATTCTTTTTTAACATAAAGAATGCTTGCGTTGTGGTAAATGTTTAAATTCTGAGAGCATTAAAGGCAGACTAGAGCGTACGACGGGCTATTGTCGCCAAATTTACAGCATTGTAATGAACACAATTGTAGATTCAGATGTACTTAGATCGTAGACATACGGGCGGCTTCTAAAACGGATTTTATCATGTAGAGCTAGAAGTGTTTAATTGAATCATGAAAGATTTAGCAGGTCTAAATGAAAGGGGAAAGTGTAGCAACACTAGGCAAGCAAAAATCCCAATCATAGGTTAAATGAACTTACTTATTTCTTTTGTTTGCTTTGTTCACTATCTATACACAAAATGAAACTGTGGTTGGCGTCATTTAATTCCAAGAAAATTTTGGACAAACAAAAAAGGAGGGAAGTTTTAATACCTAGTATAGCTTCTTTTCGCGGCAATAGAAATGTTTTGCAAGACTGATCAATCCTGCTTCAAAAACTCGGTCGAATGAGTGGAAAAATGGGGGTTATTTTCTTTGCATACAAGTATGGATATAAACAGCATCATCAAAACAGAACGTTTTGGACGTAAGCTTCGATTGAAGCACTCTAAAATCCCGCGCGTGAATAACACTCAAACCTACGTCCTTGCATGTCATAAATAAAGTTCCAGATTGTTACAAGCTCTCCTGTAGAAACGGAGAATTGCGTGCTTCTAATGGAAAGACTGATACTTTTTGTAAGGAATTGATGATACCTACAGCGGGGTAAATGACTAGATGACAGATTTCCCCCACGCATCACCTAAATTTTTAGAAAACTTGTTAATAGTGCGCACTAGGAACGGAAGTAAGCTTGAAATTAGGAAGAAGCGCAATATAACATAAAGAAAATTTATTAGAAGAAACAAGGAAAGCTAAAGAGGGAAAAATTCAGTTAGTCAGCACAATCTAACTCCTTAACGAGAAGAGTCAGTTACCTGGAGTGAAAAAATATGCGATGGCAACTGATTTACGCGAATTTGTATTTGTAGCTATGGATCTCAAAGGCTGGATGTTATATTACTTTTGAGCTTCGAAAGCGTACTGAATCAATATTGAATTCCGCAAACGTGACTTTCTGGCAAAATGTGAAGGACAAATTAAATTGGGCACGTTCACTAAGCGGAACCCAGGAAGAAAATACACTATCCTAGTTTGGTATTTTTCAGTTTCAATCAATGTAATTTCCTGAATACTTCATAACAAATATCATTTCAAATAATGTCAGGATACTGAGGGATGGGTTTATTAAAAACAGCCATTATCAGTCTTACTGAAGTCATTGTTATTCCGTGTAAAGAAACTAAAAAGTATGCCTGGAGCTATTAATCGTGGCACGAGCGTTATGCTTTTTTAATTTTCCATTTACAGAGACTTTTGTTGACATGTATGCTTCTACGGAATCGATTCGGAAATGTTACTAGCTTTGTGATCATAAAACAGCGCAAAAAAAATCCTTCCTCGAAAGTATTCTGTTTTCTACTAGAAAATGGTCGTCTTTGACAATGGGCGGATTAAATCAGCTGGAAAGTAAGTAATGCTAAAAATGGTGCATTAAAAATTCATTAGCCGTAAGCTGTACAGTACATTAACCATACTCTCTTGTTACAAACCACAAATTGGTCGACCTAAAGCAAAAAGATTCACAAGACTCCCTGGATAAAGCAGTGTCTTAGCCATGTGCTGCGATTGAAGTAATATTCAAACTCGCCATCTGTTTTCCAGAAAACAACTAAGGCAAGAAAATTATGTAATTTCCTCGCCGCACAGTTTTTTCTTAAATTCCTGTTTCAAATAAGTAGCGTAAGCATTGTAATCTCTTTTCTTTCAAGAAAGAAAAATCAGACTGACGTAAACCTCCGCTCCATGAATTAATGGGGTTTTCAGGGGTGTAGGAACGAAGGGTTACAAAACCCAGCATGTAAAGAATTTATCCATCAGAAATCAGAGAAATATATACACTAAGGCGTTTGGTTTTTTTTTACTGGACCAAACCATCAAGCTTTCCCAGTTCTTTTCAAAACTCGTCATCCCGCTGTATGGCGTATCATTTAAAGCCCATGGAGCAGAAAGCGAAACTACCAAAGTGCGAAATTTAACTAACGCGGGTGGATCTCTGACAACAAGGCAGAGATAAATGGAGGGAAATAAACCAATATCTATCTGCATCGTTTCTAAATGACAACCGGACAACGGAGCTTAGAATTAGGGCGGAAAAAGGAAGGGCAGCTTTCATTTGCATGAAGTAGATTAAAACCAAACTCGTAACGAGTATCTCGCCGCATCTTGATGGAGAAATAAATGAACCAAAATTCATTCGGCGTTCCGTTTGATTTGAAAGTCGTTTTCGACGAAGAAGATGAAGATATGAGCGGTTGCGCACTTTTGAAAAGGGATCTCAATCATCAGTAATGATCCAAAAAGCATGTTCTTTGATGTGTAAGCGTCAAACGTAGTTAAGAAAGTAAAAAGAGTTTCCAAATAATCGTAAGTCTGAAGAATCGGTTAAGGGGTATCTAAGAGACTTTCTAAATTGTTGGATTAAAAAGTCGCCTTTATCTACTAGAAAGAAGTAAAAATATGGAGTAAAAATGTAGCCGAACTGTAGCAATTAGGGCACAATAAATTCCCCTTTCCAGAGGAGGGTTGATGTTTTAAAGGCTTGAAGTTTGGCTAAGATAAACCACTCTACCACTGAAATCGGTGACTTTCCGATTAATAAAGTTTGAGTAACTTGCAAAGTCAGGTAAACTCTTGGTTCTCTTTCGCGACCAGCAACTACTGTTAGTTCAAACACCTTAATTCGTCGTACTTTGCTTAAGTAGAGCTAGAAATTTGGCAAATTCTTAATCAGTGCTTCGCACATCGCTCACTCAAGCTTTGTCAACAATGAGGTTGGCCGCAAACCCAGGTAAAAGTTTGTGACGTGGCCGAAATTGTTCGAGTTTGATGATCAAAGAGTTTACGAAGAAGAGTTACTCTGCAAAGCAGAGGGTCTTGATATTTCGATATCTCGACAAAACAAGCAACTGAACATGACACAAAAAAACTTCAAACCAAGCATGTACACAAATAAAACCTACTGTACCTTTAGTGTTGATGGTCTCCATGTCCAATGCAAACTGGCCCTTCATGTAACACGTCAAAATTTTAAATCAATGAAGTTAAAGGAGAAGCCTGGGGTTTTTACTGAACCAAAGACCGCCCGTTGTGCCAGCTAACTAGGAGAGAAAAGAAGATGTTATTAAATTCCAAACAACACAATATTACAAAGCCAACATTTCGAGCGAACAGGCCTCACCAAAGCCAGTTTAAAATCTACGTGCTTATCTTTAAGCGCAGTTTGTATGAAGGCTATTGAAAGGGAGGGACTTCGAATAAATGTCGAGAAAACTTAGAAATGTTTGCCTTTAAACTTGATTATTTTGAATCGTAATTTCCCTTTGATGTACCTAGTACGGTGTGTTGTTTTGTATACAACAGAAGAACAGCCAAATATATCTCGAAAACAAATGAAAAGCACAATACAGGTAAACTGGATAAGAACTCACACACTTTGCAAGACGATTGCAGAGAAACAACCCTATTAGTATTCCGCAGAAAATTAAGCCCAGAAAGACTGATTTCCCAGTTATACATTAGCAAGTTATTGTCATGAAACAATTTAATGTGAACGTCACAAATGTGATTTGAGTTTTTTTCTTGTTTTATCAATATCTGCCTTTAGGCATGCAGATGTTGGGTCAGAACATAAAAACATCTGTCAAACTTGCATAAAGGATTTAAAATCGCTCACTCGACAGGTTGGCTGAAGATAACTGCACTATTAAGTCACAGAAACATCTCAGTCACAGTTGTCGGTTAAAAACGATTGAAACATTACATTTAGAAGTGGGTTATGTGTCGAGAGTGAAAAAGGAAGTTTAATTTCTCCGTGACTCACCCTAACCTACCAAAGTGACAACGTTTGATTTCAAAAGAGCGTTCTACCCAAATCGAAATGTGGTCGAGGCGTGTTTTTTGAAACAAGAAGCTTTCTCCGAGTGAAAAGCAACGATGACACAATGCAATTTGACTAACAGAGAAATTAAATATCGCTTTGTTGTTAGACTCTACAAATACAACAAAATCACAAATACATCGAACAAAATGAAGTAAATTACAAATTAACACGAGGGCGACAAATGGAACCGAAATTAATGGCGCGATAGAGATTTACAAAATCTTTGCAAGAAAGAAAGCTGTTTTTCTCCACGCGTTCGCTATTGGTTCCCACCTAAATCTTGACTTGGACGAGGTACGCCGCAATTCACGAATTCATTACACTAAGTTGATAATGGACGTGTATATATTTTTGGATAATCTTCTCTCGAATTTGCTTAATAATAGCTTTTATCCCTTAATCTATTTGCATTTGATGAAGTCGCTTTTTCCCTAGTCGATATTTTCACTTATTTCGTGTCGTGGGATTGGAGGATTTGCGAGCGACGAAGAGGCGTAACTGCTAAGAAAACCTTTAAAAAGCTGAGAAGGTTCGAAGTTACAAAAAGTGAAAATTGATTTTAAATGTTCGATGTTGAAATGTTTCTGCCTTACTGTGCTGTTTCCCTTGACCAATATACCTTTCATATAAATATTGCTTGCTACTGGCAAGAAATCGAACGACAAACAAAGAACTCGCTTTGATTTTTTGAAAGGATTAATTACCACCCAAGCCACGTACAAAGATGAAAAACCGATTTCTACAAATCTCCAACTTGCGTTAATCCAATGCGAAATGGCAGCGCCCGTTTTTAACTTCGCACACAATAGAAAAGTAAACGCTTAAATTAAAAAGGCTGGAAACATGGAAAATTATCTTTGAAAATAAAAGCGAACTCTGACTATGCCTGTTCCTTTTATGGCCAAATCCGAACTACATGTTCCACACCTCATAATATCTTGTTTGTGTTATATTCAATCTCTAAACATGACGGTCATTCACCAAACACATGCAAATTAGCGAGAGGGTGTTTTTGACACAAAAGATGTCACACCGCTAAGGCCGATTTAAACACAATTCACAGTTATCCCGAGAAGGTAAACACAAAAATAATATCTTCCAACCCCTAAGTGCGACTTCAGTGTTAAAGAATACTCACTGTTTGGTCTCTCTTTCAATTGATGGCTTGGCACACAAATTTAGGGGATCTCTCCTCGAGCCGTATTGTGATTAGACTTGAGCCTCAAGGACGTATTCGGCCAAACATCACTGAACACTCATTAACACGAAAGTTGAATATCTATTTTGCCAGAGTTACCCGCGGAATTTTGAAGTCGGAAGATTAGAACACCACCGAAAAATTTCACGCTATGAGGAAAAAGTAAACTGTCCGGACCATTCACTGAAAACCGCGTGAATAACAACCCAAGGTTTTTTGTTTCAAAGTCGGTCTATGCAAAGAAAGACATTATATTCGTTCAGATCGGACTTCGCCACCAGTTGTTTTGCTCCGCCTACAAGAAGCGATTCCTTGCTCTTATATACATTAAAGAATAAAAAAGATGATAGGGAACTACTGTGACTATTCTGTCTGAAATACCACCTGTTATTGCTCGCGAAAGAAAGAGCTCACATTTCACCTTGGTTGAATCATAACGCGCGCACACGCCAATAGACCGGCTCTTTAATCTGTTTTCTATATATTGGCTTGTGCCGATGATATTTCTCAGAGGAGAAATCACTGGAAAATACGATTGTGCTTGTATCTAAGGACATCAGAATCGTTATGATCCCCTGAGGGCGACCGAAAAGTCTCTATGTCATCAATATTAGGTCTATTCCAGAAACGGAAAGAAGCGACCGGTTTTTGCCATGTGATGACAATGTTTTATTACCGGTAAATAGCGTTCCTCGTGTTTTACACTTTGTGATCTTAACTTAAAGAAAGTAAAAAAACATTCGCTTGGAATTGGATCGCCGCCTTCACCACGCCGCAGAAACCCAGACACTCACGCTACTCTCACGCCGATGTTTACCCCAGAATTTAATAAATAAACACCGCATGTGGTAGAGGACTTCAACTGTGCAAGCGATTAGAAGGAATGTTTAACCTAGCGAAGTAAAATGAGTTTCACTTAATTGTTATCAACGCGGAGCGGAAAAAACCGACCGAAAGAAAATCCATCGCGTTGAACAAAAATCATATTTCGTTAACGAAGAGGTTGCTAGTCCTCAAGAAACTTTTGCTATTCAATAGGCAAACGGTAAATTATAAATATATGTGTAGTCCTGTTACAACAAAAGGGAAAAAGTTAGTTGAATGGAAAATAGAATTCGCTCAAGTTAAATGCATTCAAGTCGTTAACTTTACTTAGCTTTCAATATTTACGACCCACTTAGGAGCTCAATAACCTTGAAATGTAATTTTTTCACCTTTAAAGGAGTGATCGAGCGACCGCCAAAGGATGAATAATTCATAGTCTGAAAGCAAACGGGAAGGAAAACGCTCTCTCTTTCTCTATCGTAACACGACAAAAATTACTCCGCTTTCCAGGACAGTTTGCTTTGAACCTCTGAGAAGATAACATATATCATTAAATTTGATGAGAGCGAACGAGAGTAAGCTTGATGCAAAACCTGGTAATAGATCTGTTTACAGGCTTAAAATGTTGCGAAAATCTAAAGGACATCTGCCAACTGTAGCAGAAACTTGGATGATGTTGTTTCAAGCGCTGAAACGCGATAGTTGGTAAAAAGTAATTTTGAGTTCCGTCGTTTCGCATTTCCCGCGCTTAATATATCGAAATTGTAGGGAAGATTTTACGCTTTAAGAAAGACGAACTTGGTTTAGCGCAAGGAAAAAACTAAAAGAAATGGTGCAGACTGCATAAAATACGGTGTATTTATCAGCTGTGAAAAGGAGAAGGAAAAGGAACGCTGATGTAGTAAATTGAGGGAAAGAAAGAACCATTGTGCGGAAGTTTTAACGAGAATTATATTATAAGTTGAATTAAGGAAAAAGAGTGAAGGTGACAGTATTTTGAATGGCGCTACGATTCTACTGGCAAGCGATTTTGTTTTGGTTTGATGCTCATCAATAAGATCTTATCAAAAAAAAAGTCGCACATTTCTACCGGACTGCATCAATGACGTGTGGTAATTGTTTGTGCGACGACTTACGCAAAACGCGCCCAACTGAGTGAGTCTAAACTCGCAGGGCTAATGCAAGTGAACCTCTGTAAAACCATTACGAAGCAATTTCTTGAAGCCTTGAGACATTCTCGTGAGAGGAAAAATGTAAAGTTTACAACTTCAACAGAACGGTAAATTTTTCGTAGCTTTTCACTTGATTCTTTCCTTCCGATACTACGGAATTGCAGTTGTAAGATATATAATTTATATTTTGGAATATTATTATTCGTAAGTAATAATCTATATTGTTCAAACTCTTAGGGTGCTGTACACATGAGATCTATTTATACACGCGCTAGATCAAAATAAAAGAGGTAAACAAACAAATTCCTTTTCTGATAATGGAAGGTTGAATAAGTCTTAAATTGAAATTGAAAAGCTGATCAAATTTGAATGTCAGAAAGAGATGAAATGTTTGACTGTGAACTTTAGATTGTATTTGTGATCAACGTCAAACAAATCATTTGCCTTCCCAACACTTAACTAAGAACTTGCGAGTCATGTCTTTTCAATGACAATAAAACCTGACTCAGTTTTAGGAGGACAAGGTGAAAATTTTGAAATGATAAGTATATATCAGTTAGCGAGAAAAAACTGGGATATTTTCCGCGAGTTTCGCTTTGTTCTTAGCTGTGCGGTTTTTCATTCACGCGCACAAAGTTGGAAGAGCGAATTTACAATGAAAACTGTCAACTTTAGGACGAGTTGTCACAGATAATTTTACAGCTGGTTGATCAAAATTGGCTAACAGTGAGATAGGACATAACGAACAAACAACACGGCCACCCGACGACTCTCAGTAGAAGATTAGGACCACCAGAAGATAAATATCCTCTTCATTAAGAAAAAAGAAAATATTGTGATCCTCAAAAGTTCACTCCAAAGAGGAGAGAAATGGCGAAGACACAGCAAGTTTCTCCAAATGGAATAATAAATGATATCCTATTTCGATGATTATCAGTATGTGCGGGGTTTGACGTTGTTTTTAGATCAATTTTTAAATTTTCAGTCTGAAAACGCAAAGGATTATTATGATTATTTTTTTTGTATCCGTCACAAAAGAGTAAACGTGAAAAGACTCTCAAGCTAAATTCTACCACAATCGTCAGAAGCCTCAAAGGAACGAGTCCTTTCCTTTGACTTTCGAAAGTTCATTGAGAATTGAGAATTTTTAAAGAAAAGGAATTGTAAAGAAGTTACTTGTCAACGTGCATGGTAGTAAAAGCAGGTATTTTAAAGCACGTTTCAATTCTTTCACAATACTTCAAACTACCGTTATAAGTTGAGAGAGAATTTTGAAATTTCGTCTATGGAGTACTTAGGAGGTTGCCGGTGTGTACCCGGATCGTAAGCCTTTATCACTTTAGCAAGAATCTATCTGGTAAATCACAAGAAAAAAAAGGCTTACAAAACTAAAGAAATATTACGACAACAACTTGCACAGAATGACAAAGAATTCTGGCCATACAGCTCAAGCCCAAATGAAAAAGCTTCTTCAAACCATCGTACACTGAGGTGAACACATTAAAATAATACGAGAGAGAAAGTTACCTTTCAGTGGAGTCTCTGTGCACTTTCAATTTTTTTGAAATGTTGTGAGGTTCAGGCAGATTCAACCTGTGGAGTGAGCGAAATAACAAGAACAATTACCACGAAGCATTCAAATCATGCTATGTAAACTGCATGTTTATTCAATCAAAAATGGACCTTGTAAGAAAAAATGGACCGTCTCTCTGCATTCGGGTCTGCCTTGTCCCATAACAATTTCAAGGCGTTGGAAGTAAATTGAAGTACCTTTTTTAACTAATAAACGGTAGGTAATTCAGTTTCAAGACGAACTTTCTTTTCAAGCAAAGCAACGTAAATGACTCTGAAAGGTAGTATAGATGCTGTTATAATTCCAGTTTCTAGAATTCTAACTTTGGTCAAAAGCCCATGAAGCAACTGGGGTAAAAACTTATTCCAAGCGCATGTAAAACTGGGAAATGAGGTGGGTTTTGCCATGTTGAACCGTTAAAATATTAGTATGCTAACTAAGGCAGCTACAGCAACGACATATGACAAAAAAATAATTGAAATCAAAAGAAAATCAAGAATGTTTTCAATTCCGACAGAGATTGGAAAGCGGTTGAGTGCGTCGAACACTGAAGTATATCTGAGTAAGAGAGATACGTCAAAGAAAAATTATTGTATAATACCGGAGCACTTTCCATTCCAACCCAACGATACCCTACATTGCGTCATTACGTGATACCTCGTTTAAGAAAGTAGCAGTTGAATTAAACCCCGACGGGTTGAAAGAGGACTATCCAATTATCTTTAATAAATCATTCACTTCTCAGAACTTCGAAGTTTCGAGTCATCTTTGAGTATCACTTTAAAAATGTTCTTAGACCGCTTACTTAGAAAATAACTACGAGTCTGCTCTCTGCAGGCTTTATCAATCCACCGGCTCTTCAACCGAGGCCTCATCCTGGCAGCATTTTTAGAAAAATTCCAACTTTTGTATGATGATGAAAGAGAAGACTTTTTATGTGTCGAGGGGCAATAAGATAATATTGTACTTAGTTGAAAAAACTGACACTAACCTATTTTTTCTGGCGTTGAAAGCAAGAGAGAGTTTTGCGCAAAGAAAACTGGAGGGTAACCGTACTAACTTTTAAAATTACACACACAATTTGCACTTATAGCGACTGAAAACCTTATCTTATGGGAATCCTCACTGAAATCTTAGCAAAACTAAACGTTTGCTAACCAAAACTTATTCGATGTAGTTTAAATTGAGGGCTGCAGGGAAAATTTATAAAAATATGTATTTTTAGTACTGTGCGTCTAGACCGTGTTATATGACCCTGGATAAATAGAAAACCTTTTCAATTTTAATGTCGGACGATAGATGCTTGAAAAAAAAAATAATGATAATGAAACTGACATTTGACTGTATCCAATTTGTAGAACGATAAATTGAAAGAAGATCAAAACTTGTTTACTTCTAAAAATGAAAAGATTTAACTAGGTTACGAACTTAAGTTCTACATTAGTTGTTATCCGTGCACGAAGTGCGGTTTGAGTATGTAGGAATAAGGAATTTTTAAAAGCAAAATAAGTGGGAGATTTTCAGACTGAAAAATAACAGTTTCAAAAGAGTTTTTTTCGACATTTCTCACCTTCAATAGAGGATTCCAAAGAAGAAATTTAATTTGCTTTAATTTACGTGCAAAAGGTCTTGCTAGAAGCAGGTGCTAAATAAAGGTCTGCCAAGTTTTGACAGTTGCGCTGTTGGAACAGGTCATGTAAAGTGTGGGACATGAATGAATACCACGTGGCTGGCCTTGTAAGGCAAATAAACGGTTGTACCAAAGGGAACGATTGAGCCTCGCCCAAAAGGAATCGAGTAGATAGGGTTCAGTCTTTTGTACTAATAACACGAGGAAGGAGTGGGGCCAAGTGACAAATTATTAGAATGCACTACTACGATTCAGATCGCAGACCCTTGGATTTTGCGTATCGAAGCATCACCCTGAGCCACAGAGAACTCGTTGGACAGTTACGCCATGCATTCGAAATTCATTTATTGGCGTTCATTGACTCTTAACGACCTGCGACACTTTTTTTTAACACTGTTTCTAAAACGTTGTGTGTATTTCCAGAAGTTGAAAAATCATTTAATACGACCAAAACATACAAAACCAACAATCTTGTCCAATTTTGGGCCAAATCTGTCATACGGTAGGATAAAATGTCGATAATAAAGTTAGAAGATCGTTCGTTTGAGATACACCAAAGATCCGGTTAGCGTAGCACAAGAAATTTTCGCTACGAGTCATACTTTTATGAGAAATTATATTGACTGGTCCAGACTTTTATTGATTAGTTGAACTCGGTTTTTTTCGCGATCTAACAGGCAAAGCCTCATTTTTCCTATGCAATATCTTATTTTACTCAAGTAATCAAGAAAGCGGCATTTATTGTGACTTTCTGAACTATGCTATATCATAATTTTATCCAAAAAAATTGACGGTCCACTCACCGACTTTCCGCGGTGTCGAATTCCGTTAAATATTTTACTGGTCCGTCAAATGTCATATTGGGATACTTCAACCCGATTTCATATTGCTTCGCCCAAATAAACAGCTCCATAATGTAGTTTGTAGCCCAACAACCCAGGGTAACATACCTGGTTACAATTCCATTTCAGTTTATTGGAAGAGAACGCGAGTTCTCACAGATAGGAACCATTAGGAGAATTTCAGATTTAGTACCATATCAATGATTCATGAATCGTGTTTTTGACTGTGACTATCCTACAACATTTGTTTTAGATTGCATACACGAATAGCAGAGGAAATATATTGAAATTTGAATTATTTACGTGAATCTGGGAAAAATGTTTTAACCTCCTTTTCGTGGAGGCTATAAAAAACTTTTTAAATGAGACAAAAAAAATCAGAATTTGCCTTGCCTTTCCTTTCACCCGAATTTGATCGCCCTTTCCCAACTGATAAATTCTGCAAATGTTTTTTACTCTTTTTTTCTGTTTTTTTTTTCTTTTTTGCTGCAAGAGCATATCAGAGGAAAAAGGAGTTTTCGTATGGATCATATCTTTTGCTCGTGAACAGCCCAAATGACCTTGGTTTTACTGTGTTCTGCGAACATTCATGAATCACAAAGAACGAAATACAAAGAACATCCTTAAGACAATATCATTAGCTTACAATTTGAAACAAAGGATGCTAATGCCAAGAAGATTACAGCAGAAAGTAATAAGTCTTAGAAAATAGTTCTTAACATAGCACATTCAAACACAAAGTCAAATAGATCAGGATTAACCCTAAGAATATAAGCCATTTTAATAACATATCCATGTCTTCTGAGTTAAGTGATCATAGTACTGATCTCACTTCAACTAAAGGGGCAAAATGTTCGGGGCAAACTTGACGGAATGATATGACGAGTACATTTTTTCCAAAGGGCATTATGTTTTTTTTTTCTGTCCTAATGTCAAGCCTTTTCAAAAGATACCCGGTGAGAAATGCTTTCTTCAAAATCAGGCGAGAAAGAATTAAATCAACTTAAACAATTAAACAAACAACAATCTCAAAACTCTCAAAATTATCAGAATGAGCTTCATTGGAATTAGTCCTATAGCATTCGCAAGTTTTTTTCTATAAAAATACTCTTCTTATCTTAAACTTGCATTTACAACAAATAGCTTATGGAGGATTGTTTTAATCCAGACAAACAGAACGGTTTTTTCAAAGATATGTAATGCCTTTTCGAGCTCGGCCTCAAATAGAAACTTTGAGATGCGAGGACTAGGAGGAAGAACGAAGCTTAAGAATGCGCATTGGTCATCCATCGTTGTCTTCAATTCTTAGGATTCACAAGAAACTTGAAACTTTTTAAAAAATACATGCACTACGAAAAAATTGTATGTATTAAGCTGAAATGTTCTGATACAATTAGTTAAAAGTTTAAAAAATTTTTTCATACCTACATACAGATTCTAAGGTAACCATATTAAAGTAATAAAAGTTGGTAAGTTAAGCCATTTTTCATTACGAGGACATTAAAATTCTTTGGATGAAGCATCACTCCTAATTAATCTTTCTCACTTACTTGATACTTAATGTTTTTCCAGTCGATCGAACAAGGCGTACTGCTATAAACTTTCAGTTTGGAAACCAATCTTGTTGACAGTGATGGCGCGATAAATGGCTTATTGACCACAGGTAATCGAACGACGTTGAGAAAAACGCTTAAAAGCTGCTCAGACAACGAAATTGCCGTTAAATGGCAGGTACATGTACAAAAACAAAAACACATCCGATAAGGAAGTGTTTTTTGAGTGGCCACCAGCTACTCAACTTGGGGACTTTTAAATGGGTTCGGAAGCCCACTGAAGGGGGAATGTCAAAGATTGGTTGATCGTGCACGTCCTGATACGCCAATAGGCGAAGAGTAAACTGTCAGTAAATAAGCGCGCAGGTTGAACGCCCTCTCCAATTGAGACAACAGGAAGGAAAGTCCCGGCTTTTCAATACACTAACCCGGCTAAAAACAGTTACTTCAGGAAAAAGCAGAATGCTTTGTTTATTTTGAAGTGAAATTGTTTGAGTATCGAGAACAAACACACGCCAGGCAACAGCACAGTTGTGATCCGCAGATGTGAAATTTCAAACGTGCCGACCTTTAATGCTTTTCAGTGGGTAAATAACTTCAAAAGGCCGTGCAATAAGTGACAGCCACTTCTGGTTGGCGGGCCGTTAAATACCCTTTTAGTAGGAAATGCCCTCTGTCATATCTGGCGATAGAGGACACAGCATGTCCTCAAGTGGACAATTTCTTGCCGCTTTAATTTTCTTTTTCCTGATAAGAAACAGAGCTTAATAACTTAAGCGATAGGGAGAATAAAAAATAAAAGAAGACTTGGGTGTGTTTGTAATTCAATAGAGATAGAGACAGAAGAGCCAAGATAGGGTAGGAAAACAGCCTTTTGCACCGAATGAAGAAAAGCAACGGAAGAATAAAACTCGAATCGGAGCCTTGAATGAAAAAGAAAAGTAAATAAAAGATTTATACTGGTGTTGCTATTCTTTTCAAGTCGCGAGAGCAGAACTCTCTGAATAAAGCAAATTTTCTCCTTTGTTTCCACAAACAAAATAGCCTTTTACTCACGAAGAATAAAGTCAAAACAGACCTCTTCTTGTTACAAACAGAAAACAAATATTCTCGCTCGCCAGGAGCGTAAAGATGATATTTCATTTCTTTTAAACTCGGAGCAGCTGCGTTTTAAGTTTGTTACTTGCGCATTCCAAAAAACTCAGTGAGCCTTGACCGACACGGCAAGATACTTGAACACGGGTCGTTTGATTCGCGACGTCTGTTATAGTAACACAGCAGGTTAAATCTACAACCTGTAAAGAATACAAACTAAACTCCGAGGATGTATATTTTACATGGCATCCAGAATATACTTGATGCCTTTTAGTTCGCATTAAGGACAAGGAATAACACTCGACTCTGGGGAGCTCTTTAGTGCCCCAGATGTTTGCATTTAACGAAGATGAAATTCAGTGGGCTCTTAACTTAAAAGCGTACATGCCAAAATAAAAGAAAAGAGAAATTACAAGTATGGTAAACCTATTCTTTTCAAAATAAATTTTATTTTTGGTCATTTCATTCCTTAATTTAACGTATCTCTTTCTCTCCTTAAAAATGTAACCAAATCTGAATAACATTTCGTTGCATTCGTTGCACGCCTCTAATTTTACAAGAACTATTTTACCTTTTTTTTTGGCGGAATGCGCTTTCAGCTTTCATAGGTTAATAATTATCAAAAGCTCAGCGCTAAGTAAAAGTTTGTATGAGCTGGCTACGCGCACCACAGCGCGAGATGAAAGGTAAAAACAGAATGGAGGAAACTCACAACCGGTGCTTTGAAAATATCAAATGATGTTGCCAGAAACCAGACGAAAGCTGCATTAAGGAAAGATAAGCATACATGTAAGTTTGTATGTCATAACAAATGGCATAGAAATTAGTCGCAAGTTTTTTATGTAGTATGGTACATTAAGAGTTTATTACATTTTTATAATGGGAAACATATGTTCGATGTACCTACACACAGTTTGGTCTTAGCTTAGATTCATAGTTTAATTGCAGAAAAAGAATCAAAAATAAAATGAAAGGAAAAAAATGAGTATGAATTGATCTTATGATGTTCAGTGCGGGAACTTGGGAAAATCTCAAGCTCTGACAAATGAATATTCCACCTCTATGTACATACAATGCGGGTGGCTGTCTTTTGTAAAGCTAACTGTTTCTGCCATTTGGATATTTTCACGATATGTGGAAACTGCAGAATTACATCCGCGCCTTAACAATATGTCTTACATCAAATCACAAAAGAAAGTCGCCAATGGCAGCAAAAACCCATGTGCACAACGATACAGATATCGAGACCGGAAGATCATCTTTGTAAGCAGTTCTTTTTTTTTATTTTTTATTTTTTTTAATGTATGAAAAGAGAGCACCTCACGTACCTATTTAAGCAAACGAACCCCTCGGAGAATAACTGCTGGGAACTTTAAGAAGTTCTTGTTTTGTTAGCTCTTCCTCTTTTCAGGTACATTTGTTATTAAAAGCTGTCTGAGGCGGGAGACACAATTTTACAGATATACCGCTGAACCGATAAATTTAAAAGCTTTCTTGAAACGTGATCGAAAACGATCAATAATTAAACGCGAAAAAACCAAAGCGTTGGAGTATAAAATAACGATGATTGAAAAATGACTTTGCACGGCTACGTTTGTGGCTCTTTCAGCCGTTCTATTCTTGTTTGCCAACGAGTAGGTGTAAGAATAGATTAATTAACATTCGTATATTTCTTTTTTTTTCAGTTTACTTTACATCATTGGCAGCGAAAATACAAGTCTCAAGAACAAAAAAAAAACTTCTGTATGATATGATCGAGGTTTTTCTTCCTCTGGTTACGGGCAAGATCGGCTCGGCAACATTTTCTCTAATTGCAAGAGATTTCATATTTCCTCTTGTAATTACTTTCTCACAAAATCTCGAAAGAACCAATTCATTTATGTGGGGTATGCGTGCTCAGAAGCTTATTGCTTTTGCCTTTGTGAACCTGAGGGATGCCCCCTTTTTTCTTAAAGTTCTGTGTAATTTATAATTTTTCCGAAATGTCACGGAAATGACAACTGCCACGATCGTTCGATGCTGTTTTTCATGACCTCCGTTTGAAAAGATAAAACAAATAGTACACTGACAAAAAATTACTTAGCGGTCACTAAAATTGCCTCCGCTGTAGGATAAGCAAACAAAATTTTACGCTATATCAGTAATAAGTGTCGAGTCTTTAATCGACAAGAAATCTCTATTTCCTTGGGAACTTTTCGCAAGCAACACGATCAAAATCTGGAAATCGTCTTACGAAAGAAAAAAAATAATGAAAACCAAAATAAATGAATGAGCTTGGCCAGAAAGTTGTTCCTTAAGTCGAAAATTCAAATGTACCTTGTGCTCGCGAACTTTCGAGAAAAGGCACTCCACGAGGAACACCAGAGAAAAAAAAATTCAGTTTCACTTTGAATTGAAAGAAATATTCTCCTTTTGTTAAACTTTCAATGGAATTTGCCTTTATTCATCGTAATAATGGAAATAAAACAGTCACGTACGAAAATGAATTTGAAATTAAAATGTCCTTTCTCAAGTACATGACAAAGATAAGAATTCTAAGTTCAAGAATTTTTGTTTGTTTGCCAATGGAAAAATGGATAGCACCGTCAGGTCCTCGCTATTTTCAATGAAGAATAAGTAACCTTTTAATTTTTAACAAAATTAAATGGGTGTAAGGGCGTGAAATAGCAAAAAGACACAACAGAAATGAGTCACACGATGTGAATCAAAGAGAGTCTTGAGTCCTGCTGTTTCAGTCAGCACACAGCGAATTTTATGATCAATCACTCGCACAATGAGCTAGTGGATGTGTCGATTATGAAGGACGATAAATCAGGAAAAATAGAAAAATATCGTCACGTTTGTTCCTCGCTGAAACAACAGTTTTGCCAATTTATCGCTTACCTGTGAATTAAGTTCAACGGCCACTACTCTCTGAGGATAGAGGAATTCTGTCGATGGTTACGGAAGCCTCGAAATTACTTTAAAGTTTTTCTCCAGATCCCTCCAAATTTCAAAATTCAAATCTTGGATGTGATAGTTGAGAGTCACGTAATGGTGCAAGTTCGACAAAATTGAAAAGCGGCGAATTTTTCCCCTCGATCTTAAGGAACTCTTGCGCTTATCCTTCCGGACCAGAATGATTTTTGGTTACAAAGGGACTATATCTCTCATCTCTTTGATTTCAGCCATTGATATCTCGTAACAAAGAGCATAATATATTTGCCTGAAGGTGGCTAATTTGTCTTCTCTTTCTGGGATGGAATAGGCACAATTCTCTTACTGGGTGCAGGTATCAGGAAGGTGGCACCAATGAAATACAAAAGGGGATTCAACCATCCAAACAACTGGCCATGAAAAGAAATCATTTTCCACGCAAACATTTACTTAGGTGCAGCGAAAGAGCCTTTTGAAAGTGGAAAATCTCCAAACGACTGTGTTTGACCATATGTTATTCAAGGAAGAGTCAACGAGTGAACAGAACTCTTTCGAAAACTGATAATAGAACTCGATAGAGAGACAGAGAAATGAATTGTTTGCTCGAAAACGCGTGGTTAAATTCATATTGGTCGGTGAGAAGAAAGCGTTTTCATTCAAATCTGAAGCAATGGCAGTTTGTTTCGATAAAACTCTTAAATGCTATGTAATGAATCTGAAACCAGTAGGGTAGAATAAAATAGCTATAAAATCAAAGGAAAGCTGTCGATCATATCTTTTCAGTTGGCAAATCACAGTAGTTACCCACGAAATCAAGGCCGGCTTTTAAGACGATTCCGTTGCAGTAACAATTACACACTGTACCTTAATACTCAACTCTAGTTTTCGTTGCCGCTTGTATTGAGATCAAGGAAATCAGAAACAAGCAGAAGTGATTGATACGAGCTTGAAGCAAAGTAAATACCGCGGGTTATCCACCGGTAATGCAATCTTTATTTTAGAATGATTTTCGAAGGGAAAATATCAGGTGGCTCCTTTTTTCTAAGTATGAACTTCTTGAACGTCAAAAGAAATTAAAGGCTGAGAGAGTTAGCTACTTCGAAAAACGAGTTTAATATGCTCATGCTTCCAAATAAAGAACGTGAGGAATTAATGAAAGAACTGTCACCATTTTCCCCTGTTCGAAATATTTTTTTTTCTCTCTTTCTTTGTGATGCGAATACAGAAACAACAGATATAGAAATAGTAAAACTAATTATATAATGTCCCGTGATGATTTAGCTGTTACTTTTTCAAAATTAAGGATGAAAATCTTAAAACTTCAAAATGTAACAAAGTCATTGGTCTAAAGAGATCGAAGATCGGAAATTGAAAAAGTCCACTGCGTAATTTTTATAATGCGAATGACTTCCACCTTTGGAAGAGTGTAAAAACTAGATTGGATTAAAAAATAAACGAAGAAAAGAACTAAAAATTACGTAGGGAAGGAAGTTTAAACTGATGAATAGACCACCAGTTCACAACAGCAGGAAGCCGATTAAAAGAGTCTTTTGCTCGATTCTTGTTTCACTGAATGACAGATTTTTCTTTTTTTTTGGCTGCTTTGGATTCTAACTGTCAAAATCTATTAAATGGAAGCTATTTGTCACTGTAGTGCTAGTAAAACTAGGAAGCACTATAAAATTAGGAACCAGCGAGTGAACGGAACAATTATTTTGAATACTAATCCTAAAACTGGTGAGAGTCATAAGGAGTCATGAAAATTACCAAAAGAAGTTGCTCCACGTTCGATAAAATCTCTGCTGCGTCTGAGTCTCCCTGAAATTGAATCCTGAAGAAGAGAAACCGCAGTTCTTAAATGTGTCTTCGCTCTAAAATGTGTACAAGTAAGAAGCGATAAAAATCTAACGCACGTATTTGTCGACGAAAAATTTTCCTCACCCCTCTAACAAGAGCAGTCGCCGGAAAAATTGCGTCCTCAACAAAGTCGGACAGCACAATACCACAAACATATTTGACTACATAAACTTAGCTGAAAAATTCTCATATTTGCGGAAAACTTTTCGGAGATTTTAGATCCAGTTTGGCACACAAAACTTAATGAGGAAGAAGAACGGAATAATATCCAGGGTAACTTCTACGGATCAAACCTTACTGGTGTAGCTCTTTCTTTCCCTGAAAAGACCAAAGCATACACAGAAAGAAGAGATAGTATGGTGCAGTTATTTGACGGTTCTCGATCTGTGGGGAAACGCCAGCCCCTTCTCTCGAATTCGTACTGGGCTACGTTCGTTTGCGCTCTCAAATATGCAGCAAAGGAATTGTCGACGTGAGTATAACGCTTCAATTTTACTTCCGAAATACTATTCATTGTTTTATAAACGTCGAGGTGTTTCGTTTAAGGTATTAGTTGCTTTTATCATTAGCTGTTTTAGGAGTCTCCAGACGATTCTAGTCAGTACCTTTTTGCATCCTTCTGGATGGAGCTTAAAACGAAACGGGAGGCTCATGAAATTCGTTGCTCGGACGCGCTAAAAAAAAACTCGTTACACATGTATGTATATCTGTAGATCTATAAATTTCTACACTTTCATTATTTTTAAAATGTTCTTCAAACTAAAAAGTCAGTTTTATTCCATTAGGACGTTTCCTGAGACAATTAAAGAAATCTTCCATTGCTTCATTCAGAAAGAGCCAAAATAACGTATGTTGCCTTCCCAATAACAACAACATCTTACAACGAAAAAATACCTAGTGAAGAGACCGACTTCGTTTTCTACTTAGTTTTCGCCCCCGTAGCCTTCATTTCGTTTTAATTACAACGTTTCAATTTATCTTTACTAAATCGAAAAATGTCGTATTTATAATGATGGTAAGAAGACATATAACGTCGTATTTTATCTGCGAAGGCAGAGGATATGCCAAGTAGAAAATTTCAACGAACGGGCATAAGAAGAAATCGGTTCCGGGCAAGAAAAAAAAAATTGAAAGAAAATAAAAAAAAACATCATGAAAAGACAGGTTCTTAACCTTCGTGTTTGAACGATGTGAAATTGTCTCTACTGATGGTTGTGATTAAAACGACAGGTCAGAAATAAAGGAAATTTAATTTACCAGCTGAATACAAGATTAACTAGAAATACACAGGACTGACATGAGTAGGATCTGTAGTGTTCTTTTAAAGTAAACGGTGACAGTGAAAGGAGCGCTGAAATGGACCACCTGTTTGGGAATCGAAAGCTGTCAGGGGAGGCTATTTTGTTGATGGTCTTTTCTGGCGGACAAGTTAATTTTGTCGATGTTGTGGGGGTAGTCATTTGAGTGTAAGGCACAATAGACACCGCCCAGAACACCATCTTGAAACAAAAAAGCTTGAAATAATCAACGCAGTTCTCAAACCAAAGAGCAAAAAACACATTAGAGCCGTTTTCTATAAATGTACTAAATTCTTTATAAGTTGTAGGTTATTAAGCGATGTACTCTGAAAATGTTCGGCCTAAGTATACTATTTGAATAATCAGTTGAAAAGTTCGCTTTGAATTGAAAGAGTATTCTCCAATAAGTGCTCTCAAGAAAATGGTTTGGAATTTGTTTTAAGAAGACACGCCATTGAGAGCCATTTCCAATCTAATATTTATGAAAATGTCCTTCGTATGTTAAAACAATAAAGACAGGTCGAAGTGTGACATAAAAGGAAGACAGCAATTGTTGTTCATATGAACACAAAATTGCTATAAGAAATTGCCTTTAATAGCACAGATAGAAAGTATAATATCTAAAACACATTGAATTCAAATGGACAAATAAAAAAATGGCGTCATTTGTAGAGAGAACTTATCCACGCAAAGCCCAAACAAATCTGACAACAAAGGTGTGACTTCCATCGCGATTCGATTTGAAAACATAACGACTTTAGGGATATGAAGGCTTTTACTTTTTGAAAATCTTCTTTAAATTGTCGTCTTTGAAAAGATAAATACCAATTTCTCTTTTCTATCATGATCTGTCAGCCTATACCTCATCATATGTGTTAAGTTGAGCCGAAAATTGGAATATCAAACGGCACTCAATGAACACCGTCGCAGAGGAGATAGGTCTCAGAGAATCGTAAGTTGTCAACAACGCGTCAAGAAACGTAATTAGTCAACTAGAGAGAAGGTTGTTTTTAAAACGTGTCGAGTGAATCTAGCTTGAATTATGTTTTAAGATTCAACACAGATCCAGAGAGATCCTTTTTGACGTGATACATAAAAATACATGGGGTCTTTTCTTGTTAGAATTGTGGAGAAGTGTCGAGGCCATCAGAAATATCCGTTTAGCAAAATGATAGTATCGTGGTGTAGAAACAACGACTCAAGCGTAACTAAGGTATTGCTCGCGGATTCAATTTTTTTCCTGAAGGAGGAAGTATGTTGACAAGAAAGGGATAGTTTCTAAAAAAGGCACTAAAAGGAAATTTTTCTTCTCAAGATTGGCTTTAGAACCACGCTAAAATTGTCATACTAAGAATACATTTCTCTCCAAAAATTCCACACTTGTTGAGGTAAAGTTTATTTCTTAATTAAGACCAGTGTTCTTATGTGGGAAGGCTTTCTATACGGAAAGGCATGCTTCGTTTCTACAGCACCGTACGAAAGTAATTGAACAACTGTTAGCTCATACATGCAGGTGCGGGTCATCTTGACAAATACTAACACGGTGTTTTCACTTGCCCCGAATTCAAAACTCGCTCCTCTCCTGTTAAAAAAGGTCACTTTGTCCTTCAGGAAAGGACAGCGGTGCACTGAAGTCCAATCACAACTGCAGTCGAGCCTATTTAGCAGTTTGTTCCGTGATTTTAGCCCTGTCTAAGATATTATGTAAAGTAAACGAAACCCGATCGTACGGAACGGGCGTGCGGTTTGTGAATATGTCAAACGCTTTTTCCCCGATGCGCCATTGAATGTTAATAATAACCTCAGGCCATCCAATTCGATTGACATACAAATATTTAGTAACTGTGTGGTCATTTAATATCTTAAAAGCAGAAGAAAACGGCAACATCAAAAAGAAACATTCCGAATTAGTTCAAAGACAACAGCAAGTGAAATCCATGATTTCGCCAGAGAAAATTTCCAGTTTTGCCGTCTTGAATATCAACAAAATAGACAGTTGGTTTTGAGTTGAAGGAAAAACTGTCATCTTTCTCTCTTCTAGCGTTACGACAGGTGCCGAAAGATGCGTTAAAGTCGACTTCGTTTTTTCTAATCTGCGTTAGTAGCGCCGAAAAACCGCCCAAACTAAGAAGTCGATCTGTGGCCAAAAATGATCAGAAATTCACTGAAGGAAAAAAAAAACAACAACAACAACTACAACAAAAAATACGACAATGATTAAGCCAATTAGCCAAAGCAGGGGTCAAACAGAACAACGAAAGACATAAAAGTTCCCGAAAGTGTCTACATGCACAATAAAAATGTCAGCTATCTGTTCAGAGAAACGCATAGTTACCTCTCCCTGTGAGCACGGACTCGTGCCGACATCGAACAGTTTCTAAAATTAATTTTTATTTTTTGTAGACATTGCATGATTTCATTCCATGAATAATCTTTAACGTCGAAAGATAATTTTCTATTCGAGATTGTAAGTGACCACAATAACAACGTTGAAAAGAACAAGTGGAAGATAAAGTAGACAAGGGAACGGATATCTCGTACGAAAATTACGACGCATAAACATCTTCGACACGATTTGTTTGGTGCATTCCTTGAAGACACATACAAATTAACATCATTCACAGGAAAGCCATCGCCTCTTAAGGAAAGGCAAATGCCACAACACGGAATAAAACTATGTGGACTGATAATTAGGCGCGCGACAAAAGGATTCCGATTTTAAATTTCAAAGCTTAGTGTGAAATTTTTATAAATGTACTTGAATAAGCCGCGTACAATGGTCAGAAAGAAGCAATAAAAGCAAATGTTGTTTCAACAAGGGAACATGTTTTCCATCAAGTTTCATGTTACTCTTGCAGACTAAGAACTTGATGTGAAGACATGGTAGAAACCAGTTTTTATTTTCATGTCGGCACTCCTGAATTGGAATCTTAATTGGCTAAGATAGATTGCATTAAAACGTGGACCAATAGACTTAGTATGGGAAAGCCGTTTTCCACGTGCAGAAGAGAACTCTCGAGATTCAAGAGTCTCACAAAGACACACAAAGAGCTTTGGATAACTGCCATGGAAGAAGTAGAAAAAGAGGAACTCTCTCAGAAAGAACGTCTCCTACCTTGAGCTGTTATGGTAAAGGTGGGTGATAAATTGTCTCTGTGATGGTTCGTAGTCCTAAACGCACTTTGCAGAAAACGTGAATTGCCTCCTTTAGAGTTCGTGCTTCTGTAAAGAAAATGGGAAAATCGCGCCGGTAAGATAAGTATCTGATTTAAATATTACCATGACATGTGCCATATTTGGCTCATTACGAAACCCTTCAAAAAAATTCGAGTGATAGAAAGCTTTTCAATGTCTCAGGCAGAAGTTTTGTCGGAAAGGCAACCGATTATTCAAGCTTTATCTTTTTTTGGTGCTTTTTTGACGAGCTGCTGTGACTCACAGTTTCAACAAAACGAAGTCGAAACGCCAAAAGAGAGTTCGTGCTCCAAGTTCATTTGCAGCTCTCAAAATGCGGTTAAAATGGCTCCAAGATGTCTAAGTAAATATAGCTGGCCAAATTAGCAGCTGACAAAGCAAAAGCAGCATTAAAACTTTTAAGCGCAACAAAAGACTGCTTCCTCAAACAATTGAGACTAGACACATTTGGTTAGTTCCTGTCACACAGAAAAGTCAACTTTCTCTTTAAAACTTATGGGATGTGTATTTTTCTTTTATGTTTCAACAAGGGACAACTTGAAATTTCAAGAAGGCTGCCAAAGAAACTGATTGCCGTGAAGCAAAAAGACGGTCGCGACAAGTCCAAGACGCGTCGACTGTTGCTAAAGGACCTGATTTACGTTATTTTTTCAAAACGACAAATCGAACCATGTGTGTTGAAAACACGATTGAAGTTTACCAAAAGAGGCCGTGAACAGGAAATTCTCGGTCAACTGCAAACACAGTTTACAGAGTCGAGGTGTAAAGACCACGCGGTCTTTTGTTGCGTACCTTTTGTCCGAAAACACTAAAACAATAGCGCGCCGCCAACTAGAGGTACACGCTCCTTTCACGTTTTCGATTACTCTTTAATTTTGTTATGAAAACAAAATGCACACGTCTTGTCGCGAACAAATATCTCATTCACGCGGACAAAGCAGAATTTACACTTTTCAAAGATTATTATTTTGCATCAATTAGCGAGCTAATTTCGCTGCAATCGCATAAGGAAGTCAGTAGTGAATTATTCCCTAATCATGTCTGTAAAATTTGCGCTGATTTTCTTAGCAGAAGACATTCTTAGTGAAAAAGTGATCAAGATTGCTGTCAACTCTGTAGGTAGTCCTATAAATGAGAACTTTGCAGCTGATGTCAATAGAGATCAATTCGTTGTTCCTTTGATAAAACGCTCTGAACTGCAAAGATAAACTTCCCGATTTACTTTACAAGCCCAGCCTTAAATGGCTTCCTACAAGCGTATTACGTTTCGTTAATAAATGTGTCAGTAAAGGCATTGTTATTCTCTTCCCCTGCAAAATCCTAAGTGAGCAAGTGTGGGAAATAAGTACACACTGTAATTCCTTGCTATGAAAACAAACAAACAAAAAGAAGAAGCGATCTTGTGTTGACCAAGAATGGCTTTCGGACCGGCCAATGAAATTCCCTTCTCTTAGCCATACAGATCTCGACGTTTGCACAAGGTAAGTTTATTAATCGGACATTTTCACTTTCAAAACATAATACATAGACGCCTCAGAATAGTCATTGTAGGCCTCAAAAGGGACAACTGAGTACATATCACGGTTCGCTGTGTTACCATTTTGTTCACAGCGGTACAATTTGTATTGTCTGTCTGAAGTATGTTATGGGAAACACATAAAACATAGTGTTATTAGAGTGAATTGAATGCAGTTGCAACATAATTTAACGTGTTTTGTTCTAGCACTGAGTATCAAAAGGAGTTTGAAATGTAGCCGACCAGTAACTTGGAAAGTACCATAGTAATTAGCCACCTCATTTGCCCACACCGATGACAACAAAAACACAATTGTGAGCGACGAAAGAACAGAAAAAATTTCGTTCAATAAAGACTGTTTGCAAAACTGAGCGATCAATTCATCGTTTTAGAACGACACAAAAAAGTACTTTGTCTCTTGGCATGGAAGCAGAAAACTAACCACTGATGAACGTGTTATAGAAGAATATAGTGTAAAAGAACACGAAAATAAACATAACCCGATAACAATTGAATATAGTGGTGGATGATAGTAAAATGCTCAAGCTGGTGTGATCCATCATACAATGAACAATTTCGCCACTGAACTAAGAGATTAAGAAAAATATTAAAAAACTATTCGTCATTTGTCTGAGCAATGACAACAAGCTTAACTAAAAGATTATCATGGAACATAAGCCGATTTAAACAAAATTACGAGCTCAACAGATCCATTCATGCTAATCCGTAGAAACCGATTGAGAAAGCAAACAAACGATCAACAAAGATCTAAGTTACACAACCCATGGCGTCTTAGTGGTTCACATGAATTTTTTCTTCCTATAGGGATCTGTGTTTCGGATTCATACATAATGCGTTAATGCGGATAAATTAAAAAAAATTACATTGTGAGTGAGAATCCTTTTCATCGTCATAAAGCCACACAAAAAGGCAAAATTACAAGAAAGCAATTTGAAAATGAACAGTTCTTGTTTTTCGTTTAGTGAGAATTCCCATCACTTAATGGAAATGACAAACCTTTCCTCTCCTGTAAGTCACAGAGGTATTAGCAAATCGTCTGTCTTGCAGATATCTGGCGTTGTTTACTCGCGAAAATGTGGGAGTTCATTTGCAATCAACTGGCCACAGATGAGTGAATTTGGTTCAGGGATAAAAAAAGGGCAGTTCCCTTGAATTAAGCAAAGTGGATTGTCGACAGCAAGTAAGAAAAAGGTGCGATCTTAAGCCCAACAATATCACAGAATGACATTCGTAATGTAGCTTAAAGAAGAGAGAGGTGTTAGCAACACGTGTTTTAAAAAAACGATTGGTGAGGAAATTTATGTGAATAAACAAACTTAGTGAGTAGGCGACCAGAAGTCGGTTAGAATTTCCTCCCAAACCACTCAGCAAAATAACAAAACAATGCCTTTCCTCGTTAGCGCAACATCATAGTTCGGTGAGAGCGTTTCTAAGCACGCATGGAAAAGAAATATTACGCTTCAAATGTACAGTTTATCAATATAAGACATATTTTCAGTTTACCACGAAACTGAAAATTGGATGCAAAGCCTTCGTACGTGAGTTAAATGTGAGTGTTTGTTTTAACAAATCGTCTCAACTGACTGAAATGCACTGCCTTTTTTCTTTCCTTTTATTTTTGCTTGTGTGAATATATCTTCTTCAAATAATATCTGCTTGTGATACCACTCAGTTTCACTATCTTACAGAGTTTCACATGCTACGAGTCAATTCGCAAGTGTGACAAAATCAGGGAGGACTATTTTAGTCTTGGTAATTACAAAAACCTATTTTAATGCAAATGCAGCCTCTTTTATGGATTATTTTCAATGATAGCTCGGTGCCATTCGGAGCCTTAATCGTAACTTCGGTGGTTATAGAGTATTTGTTATGCTTTCCATGTTCAGGGCTAATAGGTGTAGCTGCAAAACGATGCGGCTATCAGGTTTGCGTGATTTTTGGCAATCCCTAATGAGTGAACTACTAAGCTGTTCCACGATAAACGCCCCAACAGCTAACAGCTGTGAACAACTGTCTTGTTGGGTGGACTTTTCATAATGACCTCGGAGAAGAAAGAGGGTCATTCTTTAATCCACAATATTCAGTGATTCTTTAAGGTGATTACAATTATGTATTATATTTAGAACTTGTTCATCGAGAAGGATATTTTGTCAGTTCAGGAAAGATTGATCGGTATAAATATTAAAGGCATCGAAAGCCGCCACCACCCCACGCAACAAGTTATTTCCAGTTGTAAAACTGGCCACGAATTTATTGCCGTGGAGGTTTGCCGTAAAGTGGGCGACCTTTAGTTAGCAGTAGTAGTTAATTGTCTTACAAGCTCATTGAAAAGAAGAAATAAATAATTCACTTTACATGATGTAGATAGAAGAAATGCCTCTCTGCTCGTAAGAACAATGAATAGAAAATCTTTCTTTGAAAGAGCTAAATGAAAACGAGATTACTACAAGGCCATGACAGAGGCTCTTCCCGTTAACGTGATGGTGTAAACTTCCGTACCATGCCAACTATTTATTGGAGCTTGAAATTTTCATTGAGAGGAAGGTTCTATTGTAAATCAAATATAAATTTCGTATTTTTCAGTTTTCACTAATAAATCATAAAGATTTGGAAGAGCGAGGATTTGACAAATTCGTCGTTCGTACACTTGTTATTACAAAAGAATACAAATGTGATAAAAGAAATTTGAAACAAAGAAATGCATAACCATTTGTCTCTTTTGACGAATACTGATTTAACATACACAATCTTAGTCACCAAGTTCAGTCCAAAGCCTTGTTATTTCCAAAGGTTTGTGAAATCGAGCATTCTCAACGGTACACTAACCAACTTCATTTAAATGTCTTTACCAAACGAAAACATTTGAATTTCAACTTGATAGTGAAAAGAACGCTTTTACACAGAACTGTAGATCTATTTTTCATTTTAAAATATTTTCATTTGGCATTCATCAATATAAATTGAGATTTTACTTTGGTCCTAAATATTTAAGACCGAGATACCACCAGGCGCTGGTATGCACTCCTTTTTTTCAGCCTGAGGGAATGCGATTTTTTTCCTATTTAATACCTTCTCTCCAAAGTTACTCTCTAAAATTCTCATTTGGGCTATAGACAAAATCCGTGCTAATAATTTATTTCATTCACATGACGGAAGAACCCTCTCTAACCCCTCGCCACCGCTTTCCAAGTCCCTCCCCACTTCCCACAAGGTATAAATTGAACTGTATCAGTGGAACCAAAATCGCGTTGATATAACTCTGATAGGCTCTGATCACCGGTAGCGCAGGACGGTATCTCTCAATGGCGTTACCCACAATCATTACTGTCCAGCTGTAAGTACATGTATCTATCTAGGAATCTTACCTCCGCTGTTGTGAGTGTGAATCAAGTCTCTTGCCAAACTTCCGCCACAAACGAGTTGTTGTTTCCTCCAGGTGAGAAGAACACTAACAAAAGTACCTCTGCAAGTCAATTTGAGTTTCGACGAACGTGGACAAGAGTAATAAGAGCGCAAATAGCAAATCACTCCTGAGAGTAGAAACGCGGAAAAAAAGAAAAACAAAAAAGAACATTTCTTTCTTGCGCTCCTGACCGTTTCCAACGGAACTCCGCCTCTCCTCCACGCTCGCCTCGCACTCGCCTGCGCTTACCAAAATTTCACAAGAAAATAACAACTTTCCTTGAGGCCATCAGGAGTTTGCCTGCCTGATACGCAAAGGTCCACCAAAGACAAGTCTTCAATGTTATTTGTGCCTTAGACGTTCTTAACTTTCAGACTTCTGATGGATTTGCTGTGTTTATCCAAACATTATATCCCGGTAACTCAAACAGAAATCTCACACGCATCAATGCGGGCATCTCTGAATGACGTTTTAAGTCAAACTCGGCTGCAGCGAAATTATAGGGATGAAGTCTCGGAAAACTCTCGGCTTTAAGTAAAATTCGACAGGACTTAACTCGCTCCAAGAATATTCCATCATAATGTTGTATAGCGTTTTCAAGAATCACCGAAATTCCTGTGTTGATACTGACCCGTCGCAGTTTTGCGTGGCTTTCTTGTCGAGCCTTCTTTCAATTTCGTCAGTCGAAATAACATTTCGTCGCTGCAGTTCATCATGAAAATTGAAGAAACCAAAATTTTTAACGTCTTAGCTCTTCCTATCACCTGCTCCTGAGTACCTGGCAAGCGACCACAGATTCAACTTGAAGACGCAGCAATCACAAACGGTAAATTGTGCCGATGACTGGCGCGAAAATTGAGCACGGGTTTTACAGTCAATCGTATTTCCGGTTTCCGGTTAAAACATCGAATGAAGAATAAATAAGCATCTCAAATCATATGCTTCTCATTCTTATTTTCGAATGAGCTTTAGGATTTAGAGGAATATTAATCGGAAAATATTGATTACATATAAATTTAGAAGTGTTGATTACGGACTTCAGTCGCTCTTCACTGAAAAATGCTGCGTCACGAAAAGGTCACGTTTAGCGTGTACGTTGTCAAACGCATAAAATAAAAATTTTGTATGGGAAAGCTCTCAAATCTCTTCACTAGAGTTGTCTCCTTTTATTGACTGAAAATATCGAGGGGTTTAATGATTATTTAAGAAGAGATATACCCGCGGGTATTGCGCCGTAAATAACGATAATGATCAATCCACGATTCAATCATTCGGCTGAGCTTGAAATACAACCCCGGAGGAGTCGCTTCGTCGCGAGGGTGGTGGTTCGGAATGGGCGGTCTGTTTGCCCCATTCTATGAAAACTGTTTTCTATAAACGTGGAATATCTTTCGTACGCGGTTTATCGGCTTTAGAAATGTTACGAGTTCAAATACTTGTTGGTTCCAATTTGATTTTAAACATCGTTACTAACTCGACGCGAAGTCTCCTTGAAGTTGCTGAATGACCCTAATATTGACTCATGCCATGCTATGTTTGTTATAATCACTACTAGGTTTACTCTGTAAAGTAAACAGTCTCACCATCTAGTTAGACTAGCTTTTGCTAATTTACGGGAAAGTGCTGGTTTATTCGTAAAATGTATGTAAAAAGTCTCGATGAAATTTGTTAGTCTGTCGATCTGACTCCAAAGCATCAGCACTGCTCATTTAATCTTTATTTAACATTTGTAATGAATGAATGACATAAACGCTAAGATTTGGCCCTGATTAGAATCGGATAGAACCCCCTCCAACAGCAATTTGTCGACGGATTTCCCCGGCAGTTCGCCAGTACCCATCAATGCTTCGGGGTGGAGAGACACTGTGAGGGTATATTGCCCTGCCCAAGAACACAAACCAGATCTCGAGCCCAGACCTCTTTACGCGGCGTCCAGCCAGCTAACCTCAAGCACAACTGTCGATTATGATATACTCGCCCCGAACTCCTTCTCTTTTGGAATAAATGGTTAGTTTACGATTTGTTGGATTAGTTAATTTTCCGTTTTCTATTAAGACAACCGTTATCGGATAATTTGGGTTTCAAACTTCTATAGGGGTACGAATAAGACCAGGTTGAGATAGCTTACAACAAAGAGATGGTGACTTCTGTCGTTTTGAGGGCTTTTAAAGAAAGAAGTGGTCTCCACGTGTTCTCAAATACAAACAGCAGAAAACTATTCAACCGGCACTTATAATAGCACTTCTAAACAGTCTAGTTCATCCTAATACCTCAGTCGTTACAATGTCTTCTATACATAGGAAAGTAGAGATGGAAAGTAGTAGAAAACTGACGCCATGTCGTGTTCCTGCAACTTTTCAGTGCCGAGAAGTCTAGTAATCACAATTCCCAGGAGTCGCCGGGAAAACACCAGATTGCTTAGGTTTTCTGTTGAAAAGCTGTCGCCACTTCAGTCCGAACCGGTTGCAGTTGAACCGGTTGCAGTTGAAACCAAAGTGTCATATATTCTCGTATTTCAAAACTCACAAAAATCATTTTGTTCTTCAACCTGCCAGGCGTTTTTCATGTCATTAAACCACGTTGATTTTTTTGTCCTTTCCTGAGAAGTTTGTTGTAATGTTCCAGTTGTATCATTTTCGTTCCCTTCCACAGAGTGTATTCGTCGTGAAAGTCTATAATTTTTGACACGATCCGCGACCTTGGAAAGCGGTGCCATTTCTAAATCCATTCTAGACAATGCTGAGACTAACGGAAACAGCAAAAGGTATTTGCGAATAGTTTTTGCCCACATTCGGCTTTTCGTCGCGTATATAATTGGCTTAACTGCACAGTGACACCACATTATCCACTTAGCAGCTGTTTTGACATCATCCGGAAAACGACCAACCTGCAAACCGTCCAATAGCATCATAAAGCACGCTGGGAAAACTTGAAGTAGACTTGTTCCGATCACAGTTTTTGATGTAGATGCTGACTTCGCGTAAACGTTGATCGCCATCTTCTGAGCGTTCGAGAGCGACACAGGGGAGACTCTGTGTTTGTTTAAATGGATTACCCTGTTAATGTGGTAATAACTGTAAAATATGAAAAACAACGGCAGGACTGCGAAAACTGTTATCACAAAAACCACAGAAAATAATTGCGCACCAAGAACAGGGTGAGAATAACGTTTTGCGCACACGTAGAAACCATGAAAATACTCCACTCGCACGTGATTGGTTAGTAAGGGAAGCCATGGGAATGATCCAAGAAAACTGACTATCCAAGCAACCGAAGTTAGTTTTATGGCGTCCTTTAGATTAATTGCGCGGTACGAGGGTTTTACAATCACTAGATACCTGTCAAATGCAATAATAACCAGCTGCAGGACAGTTATCTGCGTGAAGTACAAGTTGAAGAATCCGTTCGCAGCGCAAAACTCAACCCCAAAGATCCACCCGTCGCATCCAACAGATACCAGGGCGAAAGGAATAACTAGAACGCTTGTGCCTAGATCCACAACACTTTGGCTCACAATCAAAACGTTGGTTGCTGTTCTCATCCGAATGTCAGCATAGACTGCATGAATAACGATGGAATTTCCTGCAACTGATGCCAACATTACAAAAGTTAATGGCATTATTTTAAAGACTTTAGAAACTGTCGACGAGGTCACTGCCTTAGTTGAGGCATGGAAGAGGGTTTCCTCTTCTGAATGGTTCGTTTCCGTAGTATTGAAGAGATCCATGTTCTTTGGTCGGGAGAAATAAATTGAGAACAACCTCCTTGGGCTCTGTCTTCTGGATGTGCCTTTTCTTTACCATGCCCACATTCTTGCGGTCTCAAGCTCACTGATGTCTGGAAGGCAAAATATTCCGCTATTTAGTACTACTATATAAATACCACTATATATATATCTATTATGGACTGGTATCTGTAATTATCTTGGAGATAATTGGAGTCTGAGGCGATTATTCCCTGAGGCTTTGAGGAATTATTCTTTTGGGTAAACAAGGCGAATCACAGGAATTAAATGTAGCACACGGGACAGAAACCAGATTGCCAAAAGAATTGCAATCACTTGTCACGATAATTCTCTTGGTGTAATGCAAACCAAAGAATTTGTGAGTAAAATAAAACCATTATTGTGGTAAAACTAATCTTTTTCCTGTTCTCATCTAGGGGGTATGACAAAAATCTGTGTGGGAGGTCAAAGTGAAACTTCAGACAAAAAATTAAGATCCCAAGTTTACTTTTGTATGAAATAGGATTATTTATGGCGTCCTCTTTTTTACGCTTCAAATTTTAGGTTGTAAACTAAATAGAAATCTGTCCGGTTATACCATAGTCAAGACTTCACACCTTGCAACTGACTAATGCATCAGATGTCCGCGAAATCTCTTTGAAGTTAGTATTTGATCGTAAATAAATTTATGATCTGACAATTTGCTTTCATTGGTAATTCTGTCATCCTACTGATGCACGAGAGGGGTTGCACATTTCTGAGGGATCTCGTGTAGTGATGAATCAAAATCATTACGAGGAATAAATTATATCTTCCCCTTCTGGGCCCAGTTGTAGTAAAGTTCTAATAGCGTTATCCAACGGATCAATCGCTTATCTAGTGGATATTATTATCCGACCTTCGAACAACCGGGGCGGTCATTTGTTTTCTTCTCGATCGTTCGTGTGCCCGTTTGCATCTACCTGTTTGTTGACGTTTTATATACCCTCTATCACAATTCATTGCTATTTTGCTAGCCAAATTAAACTGCAACCATGGAATACATCATCAGTCGCAGATATGGGACGCCGGCTGTGGTGCGCGGTAAAATGCGGCCCTCTCAGAAGAAAATCAAAACAAAAGAGCCGCGACTTTTCAAAGGAAGAAAACTAATGGACTACGAGTACAACTGCGCTGAACCTACGGAAAGTGCTGTCTGCTTTCTTCTCTTTGTTCTCAAAATCTTGAAAAAGGCCTCAAAGATGATAAAAAAGCGGTGCATTTATGCAGTAGTTTACACGAGTTTTAAATATATTCTGTAAACCAATTGCAATTAATTTTCTCGGTTGAGCGCAGAAACCGTCATGCTCCTAATGACAACGAAAAAACATCGCCGGCATCATTGATAGTGCTAATGTACAGGATAAATGATCATGTAATGAAAATAACTGAAAACGGGCACATGATTCAATGCTGAAGACTTATCATCGTTTTCAGAGTCCTATTACTGTTATGATGAAATAAAAGTAATTGTTTGTGACGCGAATTTGATTGAAAACTCAAAGCAACAAAGCAGGTTCTCGGATTCGAATGTAACCACATACATTGTAAGTTTTAGCTGAGTTGAAGCGTAATCTAAGATATTTTACAACGAAAATAAATACCATTCTTGAGATGTCTTCTTTTTCATCAGTGTTACATTTTTCCTAAAAGTTATTTTCTTTAGTTTGACTTGAATTCTGCTTACAATTGATAACCCGCAGTTTGATAGATCGACGATTTTACAGAGTGTAACTGCCATTTCATCACAGCAGTATTCAAAATAGCTTCACAAGAGCAACCGTCTTAACTTACCTTGAAAGTGTTCTTTTCCACACACAACGCTCTCGACTTACACTTTCTAGTGTAATTGAAACATTTTCTTGATTTTTTTAAAAGCTGTTTTGAAGCGTGGGCAACAAGAAAACGATGGAAAGTGGTTGAGAAGTCACCAATGGCTTTGTGCACTTTGCGTCTTCTGTATATGAAAAGGTTTGGTAACGTCAGTTATACAATCTTTGAGTTATGTAATCATGCAGATAAACGGGCGCGGTGGGAGCCCGCACAATTTGATCCAGAGTCCAGCAAGCTAACCACAAGGGTTATGCGTGTCAGATTTCATGCGAATGAAAAACGACAAGCTTAGAATTACCGCAGTTTTAACTGCGTATTCAAAGAAATCTAACATTGCTTTGCTTTGCTTTTACTTTACATCATTCTGCGATTATTTAAAATAACTAACGCCACAGACCAGGGGAGGTACCAAGTATAACTAAAATAGTCTACCTGTTCTTGTTTGAAGCTTCAGGTGGACCAGCCCTTCCTTGTAAGTCACAAATTTTGCAGTTAATCAAGCACTGACCAAATTAGTGGCTGACCGACTCTAAAAAATCCTGCTAATTTCCAATTTTTTTTTAGTTTGACATGGCTGCCATGACCCTTTTTTAAAGCTAACCCTTTGAGTTTGTATAGGTAAAAGAAAGGATTTTTCTTTTCAGGATAGTGTTAATTTTTCTGGATTGTAGAGTGAGTTTGCGCCTTTCGTCCAAAATCCCTCTTTCAGTCAATTAGACCTTTTCAGAACTGATTAAGTGAAAGTAGACCCTGTGTTTAGCGGAATTCTAAAGCAAAACACCATTTTTCTCTGTTTAGTCTACTGCAAGGCTCCAACCTCAATATGAAGAAATTCAGTTTTTCCTGTTATGGCGTTTTGATATTGCGCCCCTATTGTTCGCAATAATGCTTTTCAATTTAAAACCACAAAGCATTTCCTTAGCTTCGTCTATCGTCTTCACTTAATCACCGGAAACGCAAACGGAAACGACAACATCGAACGCATTTTTCAACATTTACAAAAGCCTCCATTTTCACTTGTACATACAAAAAACGGAATAACTTATAAATAAAATTGATAAAGAAAAGCAACAAAAAAACGAAAAACAACAACAACAACAATCTAAAAAAAGAGAAATGGTGCATTTTCAAAGACTTTACTTTTCAAACTGTTGTCGAAAGGATCCGTTTTCACGAGCGTTTCAGAGTTGATGGTAGGCAAAAACGCATCAAAAACCATGCCTTTCCGAATAAATCCGTGCGGATGGAGCTTAAAGCAAACATGCATTATTCGGGATCCTCGATTGTTCCATGTTTATCCACCAGTAACAGAGGATCGAAACACCATAATTGTTTGGAACATCCTCGCTTGGAACAACTGTATTTGAGGTCTGATTGATAATCTTAATAAGCTGACGTCAACACTACCTCCGGGGCTAAGATCCGCTAATTGAACGCCATCATTCGCTTTTTAGCAAAGCATTTGTTTCTAACAATATGCTTCCAACAGATAACAGCCTTATGAAAATAACTAATGAATAAATGCGTCAGATGCATAGAGCAGAAAATGGTGTGCAAAGCCCAGGAAGGAAAACGAGCTGAAACTGATTTAAAATCGTAACACCACCTGCTACTGAAAGAGGCTAGCGCTGCACACAAAATGAAATAGGCCAAAAGATAAAGACATGAATACGATCATGTCTCTAACAGGTTCAACAAATGTGACTGACTGTATGCCTAAATAAATAAACGAATGAGTAAATAAATAAGTTCGGATATTACAAGAGGTTCCACGAGCAGTTTACTTAGCCTTTTTAAAGTGGTCTCAATGAGGTGATGGCTTTGAAGGCCCACGGTTGACTTCCTTCCTTTCTTATTAAAAGAAACATTAATTTTTAAGGTTAGCTTTTTTTAAAGACTACGTTAAACTGCGTCGATTTTACGCCTACCTCTTAAATCTTTTGGCTTTTCTATGGCTAACGATTACCCCATGGAGATTCTTTAGAGTGTGCGGTTCCCATGTCGGCAAATCGTGTGAAACTTTAGTAATTGATATTTCTTTAAAATGAAAAATGTCCCCTTACACCGGAACAATTTTTCGCATTCAGGGGAAACAAAGCATATTTTTTTCTACTCTCTAGGGGACTTAACGCTAAAGTTCAGCGAAAAGCTCGTGATGATCGATCAAAAAAATAAGGAGCTGTGAAAGTTAAAATTTCCTCTTGGGTAAATCTCACCGTTACACCTTAAACAAGGCAATCCTTGTGCCATGATGATACTAAATGTGACGTATGGGCTTAATGGAACATGAAAAGCTAAAAAAAAAAAAAGCGCTTAAATTTGCCACCGACGTGTTGTGCGCACGTGTCCTAAACTGAACGATGTATTTCAGTTGATACGCGACTTCTGTTTGTTTTTCGAACCTTGATAGCGCTAGCTATAAATATTTGTTTCTAGCAGTAAATTATATATATGTTGATTACATTTGAAAAACAAGTAAAATTTGAATAGATTTTTTGTTATTTCCGTTTTTAGCAATTTCAACTGTATTTACATTGACGTCAATAAATGCTAAATGTTAGCTAAGCAAAAGTACGTCCAAACAATATACTGTTTAAATGCTACTGTAGGCCAAGAAAAATAAAACAAGAAGAAAAATGTATCGTGAACGCTTCTTACCACAAGATTATGTCTTTTGTTTTTCTCTATTTATGTGAGAATTTTAAGATAAGGGCACTGAAAGAAAGTGTTTGCTAATTTTTTTTTTAACGAAGTGAGTCTCGTGAAAGCCTTGATCAAAGGAGATGCTGAAAAATGTAAAATTCAACAGATAAAAATATTTTTATGTGGATACTCATACAAAATTTTTTGGAATTCTATTATCTCTAAGTAGCTAAGTGTATTTTTTAGGGTAATGATAATTCAAGGCATTATCACGGTATAAGGTGTTAGCGTTCTAGAAATTACGTCATTTTTGCGGCAAAAAAATTGACAAATACACTTTTCCAGGTATTGATAGTTCAAAACGTTAGTGCAGTATGAGGTATAAGCCCTATGGAAATTACATTATTTTTGTAAAACCTGAATTGAAAACTGATCCTAAATGACTTTTTTTGAGATCGTTTTAGATAAAAAAGAAATTAAAGGATATTTTTTTAATGAAAGTGCATGTGAACGCGAAAGGTTTATAGTAATGAGCTTGTTTTATTAAAAAAAAAAAGTGCTAAAAATAATCCTGATAACTGAGATAGGAATCGAGTTATTGAAATTCGGCGCGGCACATAACAATGGCCTACCCCAGTAGAGTATTCGCGACGCAAAAATGTTTTGATAAATTATAGCTAAGTAAAATATATAGTTCATAGCTGATTCGTGCTTAAAGTTTGATTTAAGTCCAAAATAAAAAAAAACCACGGTAACTGTTGAATTGCCCTTTATAGGGAACAAATTTGTTCGATTCGACATTACAGCTGGAACCGATCTGATCAAGAAAGCGAACGAAGCTAGCTACATACGTTGCATAAAGCGCAGAAAGTCACATACCCCAGTTTAAATTGTCATTGAGGGTTTCTGGTGGAGAAGTTTGTGTCAACGAACAGAAGAGCTATAAAATTAAAACCGAGCTAGTTTATTGTATAATGTTAGAGAAACTTCTTGATAATGTAACCTATAAACAAGCGTACTCGCTTTCGTCAATACTCGTCACTCTACAAATGTGTGTGATCGGGTCATGGAGAGAAATACGCAAGAACGCGAAAAAGACAAATACACGTACCTTCTTCTAGTTCCACAGTTAAAATTTCGAATACGTATGACCTCCTTATTGCGGGTGCGTTCATCCCAATCATCTACATCAGGCGCACAAATTTTCACGCCACTGCAGCAGCTGAACGGAGATTGGTTCTCATTTGGGCAGGAGAATGATAAAAAATAAAATTCGACAAATCAAAGACACGGTTGATATCAACAATGCTGTGTGTTTAGTATGGAAACCTGCGGCTTAAACTGATACCAGCATAATAGCCACCTCATTAGCGACGGAAAATTCTGAAAAAAAATGATTGTTTTTTCGTAAACGCGACTTCGTCATATACCCCCCGTAGATGTTCTATTATTTTGCAACGGAACCTTCATATATTTTTCGTCCTTTGTTATAAATCAAAACAACGCTAGGTGGTTTTCAAAATTCATAATTCCCTTTTGTATTAGGTCGCCAGTTATGTCTTGTTTTACAGCTCATCCCCGATAAAACTGAACAGAATCGGCATGGGTCAGATACCCTGTTTATCGATTTTATGCCAATTTTATTTGAGTGATATTTGAAAAGAATAACAGTTTCATTCCCCAACAAAAACTTCTCAAAGTTATAAATATAATTTAATCATGTAAACGCGCTTGAGGAATATTTAATAAAAAACCCGACTTCCTCTCAGCTAGGAATTATCGCAACGATCGACCTTCCAATAATTGTTGGAGTTAAGGAAAGTCCAGCGATCATTATGTAGTAATCATATGGAAAAACAGTCCAATGATAGCGAGGATCAAATGCTGATACCTAAACGAGTCCAGCACGTGATCGCTATGATCAACTTATGCTTTTTTAAGTCAGTGTACAATTCTAGGTATCATTCACTTTTTTCTCACCCCGCTTGTCGGAAGAGTTTGAATTATGGGACTAGGCATTGATAACGTAAATATGCATCGGAAGTTGATGCATATAACTATATTGCGCCAAAATGAGACGAGTATGTCAAGCTAAGGAGTAAAAGACGAGACATGGCCAACTACTTTTACTCGAGAAACTGTTCTTGTAGGTTTTACATGCATACAATGTGTTTCAACCAAGATTTTTATTTGTTTTTTTTTATTTTTTTATTTGATGCACCAAAATGACCTTTAAAGGCTCCTCGCATAATATGGCGAGAGACGCGAGTCCTTAAATCAGGGGTGGATCTTTGACCAGAATGTTGGTCTTAAGCTGTGTACATGCGTTGTGGAAGAAATTTTACAAAAAGCAATGCTTTATAGCAATAAGTTGCAGGAGTACTGAAATTAAGTCGGATCAAGATTATATATATGAACGATGAAATGACTTGTTTTACCAATTCAGTAACACACTAATCTAATTTAGGCAAAGCAGAACATTTCTTTGCAAATACAAGCTTTAAAACTTTGTTTCGCTGATCTGTGAAAGGAAAAAAAAAGCGAAATTAACGCATGAGTTATGATAGCACTCTTTCGTTTATCATCATCATCATTATCGTCGTCGTCGTCGTTATCAAGGTGGCGATGACTATTATTATTAGTGTATTAATGCTATCATTACTATCCTCATAATCGTCATTCATCATTGTAAGCTTATCAATTAAATGATACAGATAGCGATAGACGGACGATGAAATTTAATAGGCTAGTAGCAGTAGCTGTTCTTTCGTTCATCTGCGATCAATCATTGCTTACAAAAATTCTCATGAAAAGAAATAGAATAGATGAAACATTTACAAGACAGAGGTAAATCAGTTAAAAGCAAGACTCAGATTTTCGTATTCGTCTCTTTCTTACCCAGCTTCAGTTTTGAGATTCGACAATCTGAGTTGTACCCTGTGAAGGTGTTTCCCGGAAAAGAAGAAAAATTTGTTGTACAAATGTTTTACAACTTGTCTTACGCATTCCAAAGGTGAACCGGGTTTTAGGAAATGTCAGCTTAATTTTTATGAGCATGTTACCTCTGTGTCTTTTGGTACAAAGCAGAAAACTAACTTACATTGTGAGGCGGGCTGGCATGTAGTCTGTTCTCTTCCCCAATGAACTCAGGGCTGGTATGTAGTCTGTTCTCTTCCCCAATGAACTCACGTGTAGGCTTATTTTCGTTAGTTCTACCTCCGTTCTTTTTATTCTTGATGACGTACTGCATGAATAAACAATTAATAAAGTAAATGAAGAAATAGATGAATTCCTGAATTGATATTTGCTTGACAAAAATATTTTTAAGTGTACCTGATTATAAATCTACGGGCTACATATATCGAGGAGGCGAGAATGATCTATCTTTGAGCTGTAGCGATATATTGTTTGGCTTATATAAGCGATATATCACGGCTGTTACAACAAGTCCCGCGATGTATCGCTGATATATCGTCCCAACTGAAATATCGCTTAGATATCGCCAATATATCGCGATAATCAGCGACTGTCGTTTGCATTATTTTTGCGCAGAATTGTTTAAAGAGATAAAGGAGGTAAAGGAGAAAGAACTTAAAGAGAATGAGTAAAGGAAAGACGAAAAAATATGGAGGAGAGAGATAAAAGGGAAGGAGGAGGAAAGAGGAGATGAAGGAAGAAGTCGAGAAGAATATTTGAGCTATGAAGGAGGAGACGAAGATAAATAAGAGGCAGTAAAAAGACGTAGAGAAGGAGGGCATGGAGAACTGAGAGGAGGTGCAAGAGGGGAAGGGGAGGGAAGCGGAGGGAAGAGGAGGGAAGAGGAAGGAAGGAAGGAGGAGGATGGCGGAGGAGGAGGATGGCGGAGGAGGAGGAGAAGAAAAAGGAGGATAAGTAGGCGAAGAAAGCAGAGGAGCAGGGTAAAGAGAAGAATATTTAATGAGAGAGGAAATAGGAGAGGACAAGGAGTAGGAACAGATGATATATAAAGTTATTTCTCACCACAATTACTGCTATTGAAACAATGATGGCCAAAATCCCACAAGCAATTCCAATGGCGATGTAAGTTCTTTCCAGTTCTGTGAACCCGGTTGGCTTAGGTGGGGCATCTTCACCCTTGGCCTCCACTTTTTCGATCTGTTAATAACGTGATATAAAGAAATGATAAAAGCCCGTATAAGTAGTTATCCTGGAAAGGCAATAGCAACAACAGCACTTTTTACCAAATAACTTAGTCAATGACCCTCTCGGGATCTTGATGAAACAAAAAAAGTCTTAAAAAGTCTGTAAATCACCCTCCTTTGGCTCGTGATTAAAGCCTTTTCCAGTCTTCTCTCGACATCACACTTGGGTTAGTAAGCGGGTAAATTGACAGACAGAGCAGTCTTTTTTTTCATTTTTCCTTATATTAAAGCAGTAAGAATAATAACTTACCTTTCTCTGAAATAGCGGTCCAGCAAGTATTCCAAGATTATTATCAGTCAAATAACGAAGAGTATCGTACGCTTTTATGGTTGCATTTTTATTGACTTCATCGTAGGCCCCGCCTGGCTTAATGATGTAAAACTTTGGTGACGCTTTGTCGACGTTGTTCTTCGGGGGACAGTTTTCGTCAAAATTGTTTATGTATATCTGCGAGACGTTGAGATGATGCCCGTGATCATCCAGCACCAAATCGGCCATTTTTGTTTTGAAATATGTTTCTAAAAGACAAAACTCAGACCACGTGTATTTGAGATCCATTTGGATGTACACTGTAGGTAATGGCTTGGGAGCTCCTGCAAGGAAGAAGCATTACAAAAACTGAAAAACACCGACGTCATCTACAGCAGCGGTGTAGTGGCAACAACGATAATAATAAGGAATTTTGACAAGAGAAAATAATTGAATAAGTTCCCTTACTTTCCCTCGATTTCGACTAATTTTATGAGAAGCTAAGTCAATATTTTTGTCATTACGGCAAAGTTTAATTTTACGTAAAAAACATAGATATCATAACTGACACTTAAAAAATCACTAAATGGATCCCACAAAAGTACACGTATAAATCGCAGAGAAACGAGGATGACCCGGTTTATGATGGATTAATTCAGATCGCAAATAACATCGATGAAAATTTAATGAAGTTTTTCCACAAAGCGCACTGAACCATGAAGTGAAACGGTTGGGGCGATAAATCAGTTTGGATCAGCCCTTCCAGGACAATCGAAAAAAATATTTTAATGTTGTCATTTCCTACTGTTTTATGTAGCTAAATATTTCTTTTGCTTACCTTTTATAAGGGGTGGTGCGAGCACCAAAATACCGAACACCAAGATGAGATAAGTCATTTCTAATTGAAGCCTGTAATAACAAATCTTAATTTTAAAAAAAATTAAAATAACACTTAAAATAACGATGACAATTATAGCACTGTTGCTATCAGTAATAAAGTAATGAATAGATTAAAAACACCTAAATAGAAACAAAAGGATGAATTAATGGTAATGTTAATCATGAAAGAAAGAAAAAAGGGATGCAATTTGTATTCGTATTGTTTTTACCATTATTCTCATAACAGTGACTATGCCGATAATGTACGGTATAGACCATAAATAAGACTTCTTAGCTGCACTCGTTATCTTCAGAAAGCATACTCCTTTGGAATCGTTACAATGTATGAAGTGTACACTGTTGTCAAAGATACAGGATTGATTAATTCAACACGCAGCGGGTATTCCACTAGCTATGCATTGCAGCAATAGTAAAAGAATGGCTGGTGGCGACACAGGCCTCTACGCTCATGCATTATAGATATTGAAATTTTAATTGAAGACTGTGCAGACAACAAAAGTGATTTTGGTGACAATGACACTTCAGGTACTGATTATCATACAAATGAACCATGGAAACCAAAATATTTCAGGATGACTTCACAACTAAAGTATAACAACAAAGCTCTGATTTTGAAATCTGACAAACTGTACATATAACGTGTGAAAGAGCTACATTGATCTCGGCAGTACAACCTTGATTAATTCGAAATAAAACGTTGAAGAAACAGAAATTCCATATGGTTCAATGTCAATTATATTCTCTTACTAAGCCGAGTTATTTAAATCTGTAGTAAATGAACAAAATCCCAAATTTGGTAATTGATTTCTCGGTACAGTTATTAGTCAGGGTTTGGTTTGTCTGATGGTGGAAAATTTAAAAAAATATAACTCTAAATAAATGTGGTGACATACAGACTTTGGCTTCAAGATTTTAATCTCAAATTTAGAACATTATTACTTCTTTTACGAATACGGGTGGTGTGTACTCTTCAGTCACGTTCGTTACATTCGAAATAATTGCGCAATATCGGTCAAGGTTAATCACAATTTTTTCCGTCACTGTTATCGGTGGGTTAAAAAAAAGCTTGTATTTAATGCTTAAAGAAACAGTGGCTAATTCCAAAATACTCCTAGATAAAACTTAAAAATTGAGAATTTTGTTGGATTGCATATATACCGCTAGTTGAGATCGAGTTTGACGAAAATAAGCATTGTTTTGCCGCCCGTCATTAGTATGGACAAATACAACTTCTCTCATAACCTTACATTTATAAGATGTGATGTCCCAACTAATCAGTGCAGAATGCACTTGAGGACAGAATCCTTCAAACAAACAAAGTTAATAGCTTTGAACTTTGCAGGAGATGTCTTTCTGACTGAAAAGATTGTGGTTTTAATCGAATTTTGTGGGCGTAGTTGCAACTAATTACTTGATCGAAATATTTGACAAACCTCTGAAGTTCCGTCGATCTATCGGGCCACTTTCTACCTCAGGCAAAACTTCACTCGGCGGGCAGCTGGGTGTATGAAGGATTTTAACCGTGGGAAGATAAGAGCTCCTTTTCAATGCGCACGTAAATTAATTCATATTCTCCCGATCACAATGGCAAGGTCAGAGATTACACCAGTTGTTATGCAAAATTTATGCTCCAAATAGGCAAACGCCAAAAGGTAATTTCAATTAATTCATTCCGTGGCATTCATTCATTCCTTCATTCAAAGCGTTTTTGCCCTCATATGGATTTTACGATATCAAATCGATAACAATTAACAGTACAGTGCTTATTAACCATTTCAACCCGGCAAGGAAAGAATAAATGAACATTCTAGATCTTTTCTTTTACCATAGCAAAACAATAATGTTCCATCAAGTCACGCTTCTGAGCACTGTCGTAGGCAAACTGTCACCAACCATGTGTGTTACGTGCACGTTAATATCTTCGTGATTATTCTTTCATCAGCTGAAATATATGTTTGTCTGAGGGACTTCTTTTCAAGAGCAGAAACCGCAAAGGCGTGATTATAATGAGCATTTTTAAAAGGGAATGCTCATTAGTTCGAAACGTATGACTGCGTTCTTAAACTTAGATTTGTAATTAATACAAGCAGATAGTTTCACCAGCTCCTCAGAGGTCTTTTTTTAGGCCATTTCAAATCGACTTTCCTGACATAGCTCAATGTGTTATACTTTTCCCCTCCTTCCCCTCCTTAAATAAATAGTTTTGAGTGGCCTTGAAACAGGCCGGGGCAAATTTTAAATTTGCTACTAAATTTGAAGTCAACCAAAAATTCATGAACGTCAGGCTCTACTGAAGGGATGGTATGTACTATTGATATGCTTCGCTGTTGGTTTTTTTTTTTTATTTTTGTCACTGTTCATTGATCAATTTGGTTACTTGTTCTTCTTTTTCTTTGCAAGCAAATGGGTGCAATAAGATGAGCTGTGGGCATAAAGTTCCAACAAAGCTCCTTTTAATTCGCGTTCCTCATTTCGCAAGCGCCTCTTATTTAGCCAGCGGCTATTATTTCGCTCTATGAGCAATAAATACCAAGAAAAAAAGTATGTAGATAGGCTATTGAAAGCTGAACCAGTTATGGATTTCAATATACAAAAGCACTGCCAAAGACTGTTTACAGAAATATTAATATTTCACTGATATCAAAATTTCAACGATGTTTAAATGACACCGAATTGCATTCCAATTTTTTTTATTCTCAGGTTGAGATAGTTGTAAGCAACAAAATAATAATAATAATAATAATAATAATAATAATAATTATGATGATAATAATAATGATATGTTAAACAGAACACAAAACGAAGCAAAGAAACAAAAAGGGAACCAAAATAATCGACTAAGCTCAAAGAGAAAAGGAAAGATAAAAAACAAAAACAAAAACAAAAACAAAAACAAAAAAGCAAAAATACAACAAAACAGCCAATCAGATGAACACAGCTCAAAATAAAAATAAATTAAAAAAAAAAAGAAAAAAAATAGGAAATGAAAATAATTTAATTATCCCCCTAAATATTGCTTTGGGCAACTTTTTATGTTGCTATTAGAAAGCATCTCGAGCCCTAACAAAGGAAAACAATTCTTGTATGTCCCAATGAAATTTACGTAAATCTTTCCGTTCTTACTTTTCAGTTCTAAATCGCTCTAAATCGCTCTTGGGTTCAACTATGCGACAGAAGGACCTTCGATTGCTCCCTAATTTGACAACAGAAAAGAATACTGATTTTTACCTAAACCTGTCGATTGTACGAAGGTAAATTTCTCTTGATAATTATATTTCTTCAAAATCATTAAAAAATGGGCTTAACAGATGCAACCTCTGTGATTTACTGGTAAGTTACGACTCGTACAAAGATGACAACAGCTTCAAGCAAAGTCCCATATTGCCTTGCTTGCAGAAGCGGTACGACTCAGTTAGATGTTCCATTGTCATTTAAAATATTCGTGTTAAAAGAATAACACCAGCTAAAAATAACGTGCCTTCATTCAACAAAGAGTAGAGAGTGTTTTGTTAAAGGACTACGTCATATTACTTGTTAAATACACTAAGTAAACTTTGTGACAGTTTTGAGCTCGGAGAAATTAAAATGAAAAAATTCTTGACCGCAAAGCAAATTTAAAAGGTTAGTTTGGTCATTTAAAGATAGCTCAATACTGCAGTTTCAGTTGAAAACGTGACAGTGTATCGAAGAGCTCATCTGGTAAGAGAAGCAACTGTAGAAAAAGCTTCAAGGATTGAGCATGTTCATGAGCAGCGAACGGAGCTTTCAATAGCAATTGCATCCTTTTTGTAGGTAGCATTGCCAATAAGCCCGTGACAAGCAGCTTTCCTGATCATGATACTGTGGAGTAAATACCCGTAATCCTTGCTGAAAAACTTACATGCGTTTACCCGCTTCCAACAAAGTTGATTTTTTTAAAATTGCTTTCGCAATATTAGTGGCGGTACTGTTTACGTAAAACATCCATACTTATTTACCAAAAAAAAATTGCCTTCTTGTACCCAAGTAATGAACAAATGTCTTCTCGTCCCCAGATAAGAATTAAACAACATTTTACAATAAATATTAAACATTTAAGATAAATTGTCACTCTCATACTATACCTCGCCTTTATACCTTTGGCCTTAATCCATTACATGTTTATCACGTATCCTTCAGTTGACTCTCGGGGCCGAGTGAGAGGGGCTGGAACGAGCATGAAAATTTTTCTTCCCATGACAGCGAGGTTTACTTAATCACGTCCTGATAATTTATGATACAAATTAAAAAGTCGATAAAAGTCATCCAGAACTCAAACACGTCATCTCAGCGCTTCCTTATGCTTTTTTTATTTAGTTTTGTTTTTGCCACTAAGAAAGGCACAGAAAAAAAGCCCCCCTCGCATTGAAAAAAATTCATCAAAAACCCAACAAAACAATTCAACAAAGAAAATATTGAGCAACATATTTAAAGTTTCTTTTAAATAGTTTATTAAAAAACTTTTAAAAGAAATAAAATAATTACTGTTGTATACCTCCTCGTTTCACATTAATGTGGAAACATACTGCTATAATTTTTTGAGAAGCATCAGAATATGATGGTAATGGTTAAAGGCATCTCAGAATGTTTTAATTTTGCAAAGACGCCAGACACTTTTGTCCAGTTGTTTTGAATGTGCTTTCTCCAAAAAATGTGTTCCTTTCATTGACAGGGAATGATCCTTTAAACAGAATCAATTTCACTAATTAGGAAATTGTCAATCAGAATACAATTTCGAATGTTTTTGTTATCGGTGAGGAAGTTTATCGGGTAAAATTTTGTAAGACTAACTTAACTACACCCAAGGGCCATATAGATGTTCGTTTGCTGCTTCCTCTAAGCAAAGCGAAATTGCAAAAGCTATATAATTAACAGCCTAAAAAATAATACCTTTTGGAAGTTTACAGCTGAGTCAATATTGTGTGATCGAAAGTCCTAAACAACCCACACACTGAATAAGCGAATAATTCAGGATAATTTTGTACCTGATTTTAAATTAGGATTGAAGGTGTTGTAGTAACATTGCAATGTTCTACCTAGTAGAATTATATCTTGAAAAGCTAAGTTTTTCCCGGGTTGACATAGTTATCGAAATACTGGATCCACATGAGATCTAGACTGCTTTAATCTGTTAGCAGTTTGAATCATGTTTTCTTTTTGATTCTTTACTTGAAACCATGCTCGGGATCAGAAGCTCTTTTTGGAATCTCCGTCACAGCCTTTTTAAGAAAAAAAACCGGTTCGAAAATTCATCTTTGTCCAAGTAAGAAGCAAACCACTTTAAAAAATAGGAAAAAAAACTGTAAACAAGGTTTAAATGTGTGACAAACGCTTAAACGAACGCGTTACTAGCTAGGTACACTGTATGCTCAGCACTTGCAATTCCTCTGGACGTTTGATAGCAGTGGCTGATAGAAGCATATGACATCAGCCTGTCAGTAGCAGTATATCTAATTTGAGCTAAGCCCCAATACTAGCTGGAAAGCAGACCCATCCAAGACATGACAAAACCTGCTCATGCGAAGGAACGTTCTTCTGAAATAATTAAATACATTCGCTACTAAGATAATGTACTTAAAATATATTGCGTTCCTTGAAGATAGTATTTGCAGAGAAAGACGATCATCAAAACGTCCTCAACTGACTATTTATCACAACTCATCTCTTGGCTAACTCCTTTTCCTTAAAAAATAGCCATTAGAATGTCTTCAAAATTTGGTTTCCTGAAAAATGAAAGACAATTCGTCGTAAGAACAGATTGTCGTCGTCATTACCGCTATCGTCATTAATATTATCGTTAGGTTGGTGTCACAGTTACTGATGGAGGCTATTTTGATTTAGTATACGTATCCTCTATACTTCTCCATTTGTCTGTTTCTTTGTTTAATGCTCATGTTTCCATCAGTCAATTCTTCTACAAAGACTGAAAAATAGGACTGGACACTATAGATTTTGGCTTCTAAGGTTTGTGGAGACGAAATTCCCTTGACTTCTGATTTCACGCGAGGGGAAGAAGGTTGTTGTAACCGGACGCAACAAAATGAGACAATTAGACCAATGAGAATGTCGTGATTTTCAAAATTTTCCAAAAGTTAAATCAAATGAAATAGTTGAATGAACAGGGCAGTGAGGTGAAACTCAAGAGGGATATCGTGAAATGTTCGAGTTTTTTTCTAAAATTAGAGTCCGTAAACTTTTTATTCTGAAGAAGCTGATATTTTTAAGACAAAACGGAGGATATAGATAAATATATGCTATAAGTGAAGAAGCCTTTAACGAGAAAGACGGATGACAGATAGCACAAACGTTTATCTCTAGGATACGGCAACAAAATGGTTCACTGCTGGCAAAATATCTGCACTTTTATCTAAAGCCAATAAAGCAACCTGATGTTTAGATGTTTTTCTTTATTTACCTCGTCTTTCTCTTTCTTGTTATCAGGCTCCTTATCCGTTCCTTCATAGGCCAAATTAATAGCACCCTGGGTGGGATCTTCATCTTTATGATCTGATTGGCCAAAGTCAGGTTTGTTTTCTTCGTCGTCTTCTCCTGAAGCCGGTTTGTCCGGTTTGTCGTCCTCTTCTTTTGCCGGCTCAGTTGGATTTTCGGCTGGCAGGGATTCAGTTTTGGTCTCCTTGGGAGATTCCCCTGGAGTAATCTAAAGAGCAGGAGACATAGTGGGTCAACGGTGAACATGCTGAAGTCTGGATCGAGAGGTCCGGCTTCGAATCGTAGCCGGGTCATTGTGTTATTTCCTTGAATAAGACACTTCACTCTAACAGTGCCGCTCTCTACCAAGGCGTATAAATGGGTACAAGAAAAGTGTCAGAAAAGGCTAACGAAAAGCTCGGGGGGAACCTGCGATGTACTGGCATCCTATATCCAAGCGAAACTTGGATACAAACATGCTATAAAGCCCGAGATTAGCTCTTGCAACACAGATCTCTAAGCTCGAATGCAGCCTTTACCTTACCTACCTATCGAAAGAGCTGGAAATAAACACCTGTAGCATGTGGTTCCAAACGAGTGTTACAAGACATTACCAATTTACATTAGTTGCGCAGGTTAGCGAAATGTTACCTCTCTTCAGAAATTAAAACATCAAACCCTTTAAGCTGTTCGCAAATTTGGCCATTTACTTTCCACACATATTCTTTGATTGTTATAAGAGTAAGCCATTTTGATATATCGACTCACCATAATAGTCACAAGAGAGGTAGAGGTGTCCTCCCTCTATGTAACTTAGAATTTGGCGTTTTTAATCGTATACAACACGAAAGTTTGGAAGAAAGTATAAAGGAAGGAAATGTAATGTATATCCCCTAATTCGGTGTTATTATTAGAATCGTCGATATAAAGATACCCGAAGTTGCAGCGTAGACTATTGACTGGAAAGATCAAAAGGCGCAAGAGAGGCCCATCGTGTGACTGGGAAGATCAAAAGACGCAAGGGAGGGCCATTTTGTAAGCATATATAACGTGCATTTTCGGTCCTTACCGATTTTCTGACGAGCTTATCAGAGAGGAAGCTAATGAAGAATTTTAAAATAGATCTCGCAAAATCAAACTTCTAAAACATGTCAACAAGACACGCAACTTGAAAACGTAAAACCGAATGAAACATAACAACCAAACATCAGACAACATTAAAAGCCACAACTACCTCAGGTGCATCTGGGGATTTGCTCTGCTCTTTTATGCCTCCTTCTGATGATTCGATTAACTCTACCTCTGGTGATGAGTTAATGGGCTGTCCCGACGGTTCGTCGGGTGATTTTATTGATTCCTCTTTTGTTTCCTCTGGTGGCTTGGTAGGCTCTTCTTGGGAATCATTGCTGCGCTCTGGATGGACCTGCGGTACCTCCACGGACGGCATGTCATCGGAAGGCATGTCATCGGACGGCGCTAAAAACATTTTTTCAGTGGTAGGGAAATAAAAATCAGGAGTCAGTGTGCCAATCACTATAACATAGCGTCTCTTCAGAAAATAGTGTCAAGGGTTCCTGCAACGTTGTAGATAAATATAAGTTGTAAGTATGGTGATCAAAGTCGTTTGAACTCACCTCCATAAACTTTTTGACCACCTTCGTAATACGTGATCGCTGAAAAGAGTGGCGTTTTCTCAAGAGTTTGAGGTTCATTATGCACCACCACCTCTTCAGGCTCGTCATTTCCTTTTGAGTCTGCTTCTTGTTGAGCGGTCCTGTCACAACCCCCGCCTTCAGCTTCCTCTTTACAGGCTACCTCATTGCTGAAAACCATTTGTCCATCTTTTTTTGGACGACCTGCCTTTTTTATCTGCGTGCATCCGATCTGTTGAATTCGCAAAGTGATTTAAATACTTAGTTTTGAGTCCCACTGTCGTTAATACACAAACAATAGAAAGTTTCCCTGCCGCAACCTGAAATGGAAATTAAGTTATCAACAGATACACCTAGCTGTAACAAAGATGGACTCGATGCAGAAGAAGGGAGACATTCTTGCCCTCAATTCTGCTCTGACTGGGTTGCGGCCTCTTCCATGTACTACCATGAGAAGTCATCGGATGGAGTTTGCCGAGACGTGGAAAAGATATCATTCCCTTAAACAAACTGTTGCAAGCTTATTCATTCTGGTCTACTGACACATATCGAAGGAAATTTTTGTTAGTGATAACGCTTCCTAGATGTTTTTTTTAAGAAAGTATCGAAAATGAACGTTTTGTGGTGCCTCAAATAATCTTTGTTACAGACTCATACTTATGTCATAAACTTACCATACACAAATACAGGATGCCTAAAAACGCAATCACAGCCAAACAAACCCCAATAGCAATACCGAGGTGTACTCTTTCCGTCATTCCTTCTTCCTTTTGAGGTTCACCTCCTATAATTAGCTCAACTTTGGTGACCTTAAAAGGGAAAGAAAGAAAAGGTGAAAGACAGTAAGCTTTTAACTACCTCTCTAGGGAATCGGTTTCTCTGTGGTCCCAGCATTCACGTCTTTATTTCTCGGATATAAATTCTCGTTCATCGTAGCAAATGGAGGATAGGAAGGATTACTTACTGTTTGTCCCAGAATTTGGTCAACGATTGACGTTTGGACTGCATTGTGCGACTATTCATCGGTCGAGATGACGTTGGCAAGTTACACTGAGGAACAACAAGAAATTAAAGCACCAATAACTGATTTCGAAATCCCAGTCGATTACACAAAATCTGTTATTGGTGCTTTTGGCTGCCTACTGTTCTGTTCGTTGGTCCTCAGTGAAACCTGCCAACGTCAGGATCGAATAATAAATACTTGTTCAATAAAGTCCAAACTTCAAATCGATGAACAAATACTAGGACAAACAATAATCCTACTTGCGTAGCTTGCGTAGTATCTTGCCACATTTCAGCGTAAGGCTTAACCACAGGACTTTATCACCAATATTCATTCAAGTGAACTTACTATTTGAGAGCTTACGATGATAAGGTGACCTGTTACGTACTTTCTCCCTGTAAATTTCTACCTATGACTCTTTGAGGCGTTAATTTCGCTTAGTTTTACTATTACAAGCCTTTAACAACTCATCCACAACAAGAAAACGTGTCTCTCTCTGAGCATCAAGTTTGACTGTCAATGTACACATACATGCAGCACTGTTTCATATAACTTTACAGCACCGCTCGAAAGTGAGTCGACATGCAGTTCCTATTGAAGTGATCCTTGATTATCAAGAATCGAGAGTAGAAGATCGCGTATATATAATCAAGTACCAAGTAGCTAATAAAATTTCGCATTATGTGCCTAAGCTCACATGTTCTGCCTCTTAAACCACTCACCTGCTTTATGAAAACGTCATGTAAAAGTACCATTAAGTGGTTTACCCAATAATCGTACAAAATTTTATAAGCCTTTCTTGTCAAGTTTGTGTTAGTTTCGTCTTGTGCCATTCTTACGGGATCCACTGTGCTGTTGTTAGTAATGTAGAATTCTACAATGGCTTCTTCGTCATAAGACAACTTGACGTTACAATTTTGATCTCTGTTGATTAGTATTATCCTATCCGTCGGGACGTGGTAATACTCTGTGTCTTTGTAGCCTTTGTACTCAAGAAGATGGTGAGAAAGACGCTCTTTAAACAGGGTAAGCAAAGGACATAAGTCTCCCCAATTCATTTTGAAGGTTACTGCCGTTATCATAGGGTACGCGATCCGGGGAGGCATTGGTGTCCCTATTGGAATCAAGGAACTTTTTGAAGGTGGAAGGTTGAATGAGCTTGAAGGTGACGGGTGCACTGAGTACACTGCTGCTGATCCTGCACTTGTTGCTGGCGTCATCATTGCTGTTGGTGCTTTGGTTGATGCTTTTGATGCAACTATTGGGGATAGAAGAGATGCTGAGAAGCTTGCTGATGCTGGTGCTATTGTAGTGAGAGGAGGTGAGGTTAAGCTTGTTGATGCTGCTACCATTGCAGTACTAAATGCAGATGAAGTCGTTGGATTTTGCGGAGATGCAGTTGTGGATACCGCAGTGGTTGCTGTGCCTGCAAGTATGAGAAAAAGATCATAAAGAGATAACATCATTAATATAATAATGAAAATGTCGATGAAGAGGGGCAGACTTGTGTCTAAAACTTGCCTCAGTTTTCCGCTGAGGCATTTTCTACTTATCATTTTGAACTTTGTTATATTTCGCCTGTCAGTTATTATTATAACAACTAGTTATAGCACCTAATGCAGATGGAGTTGATGAATTGAGCAGAGTTGTGGATACCGCAGTGGTTGCTGTGCCTGCAAGTATGAGAAAAAGATCATAAAGAGATAACATCATTAATATAATAATGAAAATGTCGATGAAGAGGGGCAGACTTGTGTCTAAAACTTGCCTCAGTTTTCCGCTGAGGCATTTTCTACTTATCATTTTGAACTTTGTTATATTTCGCCTGTCAGTTATTATTATAACAACTAGTTATAGCACCTAATGCAGATGGAGTTGATGAATTGAGCAGAGTTCTGGATACCGCAGTGGTTGCTGTGCCTGCAAGTATGAGAAAAAGATCATAAAGAGATAACATCATTAATATAATAATGAAAATGTCGATGAAGAGGGGCAGACTTGTGTCTAAAACTTGCCTCAGTTTTCCGCTGAGGCATTTTCTACTTATCATTTTGAACTTTGTTATATTTCGCCTGTCAGTTATTATTATAACAACTAGTTATAGCACCTAATGCAGATGGAGTTGATGAATTGAGCAGAGTTGTGGATACCGCAGTGGTTGCTGTGCCTGCAAGTATGAGAAAAAGATCATAAAGAAATAACATCATTAATATAATAATGAAAATGTCGATGAAGAGGGGCAGACTTGTGTCTAAAACTTGCCTCAGTTTTCCGCTGAGGCATTTTCTACTTATCATTTTGAACTTTGTTATATTTCGCCTGTCAGTTATTATTATTATAACAACTAGTTATAGCACCTAATGCAGATGGAGTTGATGAATTGAGCAGAGTTCTGGATACCGCAGTGGTTGCTGTGCCTGCAAGTATGAGAAAAAGATCATAAAGAGATAACATCATTAATATGATAATGAAATGTAGATGAAGAGGGGCAGACTTGTGTCTAAAACTTGCCTTAGTTTTCCGCTGAGGCATTTTCTACTTATCATTTTGAACTTTGTTATATTTCGCCTGTCAGTTATTATTATAACAACTAGTTAGTTGTCATTTTAATCCCATACGAACCTTCCAAAAATACATAATGGATTCATATGAATGAGAATTATTGTTTATAACTTATAATATCGATGTTATGCATTATTTTACAATATATCAATCTGAGATCTTAAGGTAACGTCTCAGTTGACTCTTCAAAGGTTATCCAGGCAATCATTTCGGATAGTAGCCACAGAAAATGTGTTACATCCAACCCAGTCACATACCTAAGACAGGTGTCTGCATCAGAAATACTGAAAAGAGAAAGAAATTCACTCCAACGCTTTTCCAAGCATCCATCGTGGAATTCCCTCGCAAAGCCGACAAAATGAACCTGCGGGTAATAAAAAATGCAAAATATTAGATAGGCTTACTGCATAGTGGAAAGATAATGGACAAAGAAGTGAATGAATGAAGGAATGAATAGACCTTAGTAGGATCGAACGTACGTAAGAACGTAAGAATGTAGATATCGACGAGCGTACGTACGACACTTCGAACTGACGAACCTATAAACGGGAAGGCGTTCGAACCTACGAACGTTGGAGCGAACGAACGAACCCTTTTTCAATCATCCAAAGTTAGTTAGCCTGCAAGGGTTCGTCAGAATCTGGGGTAAATTCTCTTGTAGAGAATTTTAGTAAAGGCAGGCACTTGCCCTCGGAAAAAGGCGAGTTTAGGCCCACGGGTTGCGAAGGATCCCTATCAGTACCACACTTTGCAGATTCAACCCACCTTGACATGATACGTTGCTTTGAGGTGTTTTTCTTCGAAGAAATGCAGTCACAAATAGAAGTAAACATGGCAAGAAAAAAAATCAACAAAAAATGATGTTATTAATAATAATAATAAAAAATTCAGATTGCAAGACATTTTCGAATTGATTAGTTCGTTAGTGTCGTCTTGTAACACCTTGTCACATAATCACCGAATAAGCGAGGTCACGCCATTCCAGACAATTTCCGTAATGAAGAAGAAATGCTTATGATATACACGGCAGAGACCAGAAATTCAGGATGAAAAGGCCAACGGTTTGTTCAGGTTGTAAACTTGGAGTCCTCCGATTTAGATGATAAACTTTTGCATTTTGTTCACTGTTATCAGTGAGTTTTGGCAAGGTTTAAAATCATTCCTCCATCTGTAATGCCATATTTAGTCACTTTCCCATCTACATGTTGTTTTTCGTGATTCGTGGGGCTACTCATCGTTTGAAGGATGGCAGATTATTCATTGTCTGTGGGAATCATTTCCTACATTCAAGGAAGTCTAAATTTTTCAATTCTTGGTGTTCTTTCTTGTTAAATACAATTTCAGAGTTAGAAGATCATTAATTAGTTATCAAAAATCAATATTCTCTTTTTATGCTGAACGTCTAGGCCCCTTGTTCGAAACTTTTCGCTTGTTCTCCTTCAGGTCAAAGGTAATCGAAAACATCTAGTCAGACAACGTAAACTGTTTCTCAGCGGTGAAATATGGTAAATATTCCTTTGGTCAAGGGTCACGTCATAGAATGCCGAAGTTGGAAAAGCAACAAATATCAACTCCGAGTTAATTGATGTCTACTCTTGCCTAGAAAATGTTGTGATTACGTCAACGGACGAAGATGATCCTAAATTCAAAGAGAGAATTAATCAATATGATAGCGTGAATTGTTTATAGACGTTTTTGAAAGTTGACAGCGTAATTCATTACGCACCATGCTAGGCAGCTATCAAGGACTTACTAAATTGCGCGAGTATTGTGCGACAGGAGAAAACCATTCAAGTCGCCTTGACGCACCAGTATTAGTAGAAAAAAAAGAACGTCAAAGAGGTAATCTCATACATAATGCAAATTCCATTAATAGCGTGATCCCAGAGCAAATGCAGACTTCCCACATAGAAACCTGGTTGATTTCCTGTTACAACACCCAGTTGTTGATGTTAACGCGTTTTGAACGAGTGAACATTTCGCTTTGTTTTCGTACGTGGGCTTGCGTCGGCGAACAAAAATCGCTTACTTGGTAAAAACGAACTGCACTAACTTGGTTTCACCTACCTTCTGTCTTCGCAGTAGATTCCAAGGACCTTTTTCTCGCAAAAAATCACGGAATTTGCGGCACGGCGCCGTGTATCACGCGAACGAAAAGCTTTGGTTCCAGACCCCACTTAATAATCATGCGGAAACTCGATACGGCAACTTCGGAAATTGCTCCTATAATCCTTTCGTCACTGCACAAAGTTCACCTGGACGAAAGAGACATGAATTCAAAAAAAATCGCGGGTAAAATGTTCAAGTAAGCCGCTTTCTATACGCGCGTCTTTGAAATTGAGGGAAAAATTCTGGCTTTTGTTATTTTTATCTTGTTTTAATTATTTTAATGACGTCGTCATTAAAGGCATTTTTTTGAAGTTAGGATCACAAGTAACGCAACAACAGAAGGTTTGGCTGCAATATCCCCAGTTTGTCTATACATCTACATTTTAATCTTTATGGATGTCAACAAGCTGTGCTTGGTATTTATGAATCAGCTATTGTGTTAAGAGTATTCAGATATTGAAGAGGATACGAGAGAACGTCATATTGCCTACGATACAGGATATAAAGGAAATATTAGCTCAATCGCCTCACCAGAACAGAAAAATTACTTAGACAGGCTCTTTGCTACTTTCCCCCCGAAACTTACGGATAATTGGGACTAATTGTGACTAAATGCCTTTATCTTTAAAATTCATAGTAAAATAATAAAGAAAGTCTTCACTTTAACGTCGACGATAGTTTCGTGACTCTTCGACACTGGGATAAATTAATTTGATCTGTTCTCTTCTGGATTTCCGGTAGATTATTCAGTACCGTGACGGATGCATCAAAGATCGAAAGTGGAACTTCTACCTGAATTTTGGTTGATTTTAATGCATCTCAGAGAGAAAAGAGTCTGAAAATATTTCTTTGAGATGTTTCCGGAAAAATCAACCAGATAGCACACTGATAGAGCGACTGCATTCTTTCAGTTGATGTCGAGCATTCTTAGATTAGTTAAGCCGCCAACTGCTATGAGGATCATATGACCTGCGTAACAAATTAAACGATACAACATGTGGAAATACTCTGAAGACTTTATTTGAACACACCGAATTAAGTTAACGGAAAACTGTTATGTTACGGTTTTACACGGTTCCAATATACAATCACTGTTTGATATTCACGTATTGCTTCGTTATTTAGAAACCGGATGTTTTCTTACATTGTAATCTTGAATGAAAGAATGTTGTTTGAATCGGCATTGTAAGTTCTCTCTCGTGTTATTTTGTGTCATATTTTAAAGTCATAAAAAAGTCTAGGCTCTCTGTCAGGGAAGACGAGCGAGAAAGAGGGCGAGTGACAAACGTCGGAGGCGGTTGTCAGGAAAACGAACTTTTTAAATGACAACAGGATAATAAAGGCAATTTCCTTAGCTACGGTGTCTAGTTTTAACATATTTGCATAATTTTTAAGTGGGGTTTCGTTCGCGTGATCTTGCCGCAGAGTTTGAAAAGTTATGGATTGAGATAAAATTGGCGGTTGGGTGTCACGCGATTTACGGTTACTTCGTTCCCAATCTTCAGTATAATTCTTGGCCCCCAGGACCCAGGAAGGGAATGCAGCCTTGTAAGTAGCCTGCAGTGAAGGCTTCTTATTAGGGCGAGCTAACACCATAAGTCCACGATCGTTTATCCGACTGGCCATGTTTGATTTGGAGTTAGAGTGGACGATGGGGGTAGGAGGCGGGGGAAGGATGATATATTCACTCTCCCACCGCACCCCTCTCCTCATTCTTGGCCGTCGACCGCCCCCTCGGTAAAGTACTGCTCATTATTTATCGCCTCAGGAGGGGGGGGAGTGTCGGGGATTTTGGTTGTGTCACGATCAAAGTTATCTCTGATCCCTCAGCCAGGAGCCCATTAATTAATGAACTACATTTTTACATGCACTACAATTTATGGCCCCCTGGATCCCCATAGAGGTCATAATATTTTTTATGATCCACCTTTATTGGCAGCTAGTCGGTAATCAGCATTCTATAGTACCCTCTCTTTACTCTGTTAGCAATGACTGATTTCCTCCCCCCCCACCTCGTATCTCTTGAAAACTACGCGATTCCCCAAAATCAACCGACTTCGTCCCGCCCTCCGGTGATAAATGGGACTGGTCCCTCAACGGTAAATTATCGGTTAATTATTAACGGTTAATTATAAATTAATGTTATTGGCCAATTATCCAATCCAGTCCGCCTTGCATTGTTCTCCAGTCCAGGGTTAATAGATCTAGAATTTCATGATTCTTTTAAGCACAACAAGCCTATTTCTTATTAAAAGTATTTCCTTTTTCATTTATTTATCTATCTGGATTTTAAGTTCGAACAAAGAAATTCAGTGTCAAAACACAGAGCGTGTTTCCCGTGCACATGACAGTTTCAAGCAGAAAGATAAAAATTTAGAGTATATTATGGATTTCATTGTAATTTGACCGCGGACAACGTCGATAATCAACACCACTGAATCATAACATATTAATCAATGTCAGTGCCTTTAATTTTTTATGTTCTTTTCTTCAAACTCAGAGATATCCTCCACTAATCTGTTTACATTGTACATCAGTTATGTCAGTAATTTCTGGTTCCATCACATCCTAAGTAACACGTATTAGTGCCTACAACAAAATATCGCTTGATCACGAGACCTGGCAAGTATTAGGCTATAGCTAGCAGTCGTTGAGTAACAGTTTTCTCATGGAAAACAGGATCCATTCCCTTCTCTCACAGCATAGGCGATTCCTATTTTATAAGCACAAAGAGCACGTGAGCAATAATTGGGCGGTAAATTTGAGATCCGACTACGTTGTTATAGGGACAGTATATTGTACAAGGAGTAAAGGAGTTATGCAGCCAGTCAGCAAGTCAGTCTAGTTGTGGTATAGTCAGGAGCCAGTCAGTCAGTAAGTCGGTCGGTCAGTCGGTCAGTCGGTCAGTCGGTCTATTGGTGATGATCAGTCATTCATTTGGTCAGTCCGTCAATGACTCGGTCAGTCAGTAAGTGAAAGAGTCAGCAGGGTGGCAAGTCACACGGTTAGTCAGTTTGTCTGTCAGTAAGGGTGTTATTCAATGAGTTAATCGATGATTTAGCGTGTGAGTTAGTAAGTGAGTCAGTGAATTGATGAGTATGTTAGTCAGTCAGTCTGTCCGTCCGTTAGTTCGTAACTCGATCATCTTCTGTTTCCATAATTTCGTCAACAAACTTTATTTTTCACGATATGGAAGTCCAGCTTTCAGGAAGGATACCTTAAATTCTGATTGACTATTTCAGATGACAAATAAATAATCAAATGTGCCCTTAGGATTTCTTTTCAAGAGATGGCCACAAGCAGCGCATACAATGAGGTTACAGCTTTACTTACGAATGAGTCATTGTCGTAGTGCCTGTGGTGCTGCACAGGATACCCGTCATAACCGACTTTTTCTTGCGGTGACAGATAATCGTCATGCTCGTAGTCTTCCCTGGGTGATTGATAGACCCTTGGCTGACCGTCTTCTTGTTCGTAATGTTCCCTGGGCGAGTAATGGACCGGTGACTGGCCCTCGTCTATAAATATCTTAGGCTCGTGCAACTCTTCAATTGGGACGCCATGGTCAGGTGTCCATGTTTTTCGTCTCCCTTTTCGTTTAAATGACTAATCAGAAATAATAAAGGGGGTAAATTTCTAAGAAAATTATGGTGTTGCGTCGGAGGAAAGAGTACAACAGGGTAGTTTAGTATTATCAACTGAGTTGATAACGTTAATTGGCCACTGTAAAGAGTATTAATACTCACGTTTCGAGCGTTAGCTCTTCGTCAGAGCAAATGAAGGGCTTACCCTTGAAACGCCAGCTTTGAAATTGTTTTACGGTGGCCAATTTACGTAATTCAGTTGATAATACTAAATTATCATATTCAGAAATAAGTTCAATTTATTGTTGTGCAATCCTTTATTATTTATAAAAATGGTAGAAATACATAACGATTCGAAGTAACCGTACAAGATTTACGAAAAAGGAAATGAAAAAGAACAAGAAGGGGAGAGAAGAAAATTTGGGAAAATCCAATCAAAACTCTCATTAGAACACGAACAGTGTCAAGTTTTCAAGTCAGAATCGCAACTCGTAATAACGTTTTACTTAGACATGGTTTGATGCTACTCTGGTTGAAAGATTTAATAAATGTAACCGAGAAGTTACAATTCATAGACCCAACATTTCGACACTCCTGTTTAGTGCCTTCATCAGGGGTGATTTAAACGCTGCATCAAGAGGTCCCTTTATACGCTCGCTAATTAGCTGCCTATTTTTTGACGAGGTGTAAATAGGCGTCAGGAAGTAAGCCGCCTTGATCACAATTTAAAGGAACGTGGGCGGAGTTGAAATGCCAAGCTTCCAAACAAAGGCGCTAGTGGTAACTGTCGTTGCATTCAGTGTTTCTAAATGCTAAGTTAAAATCACTCCTAGAACAGCTTAAATCAGGGAGCAGATTGAATTGCATACATCTGATACATACATACCACTAAGCAGGAAAGTAGAGCGATGCTGAATACGATTATCAGAGCAATAACAATAGCAATCCCTATTTTTCTGTTCTCGGACATCTGCTCCGGGATGTCAGGCTTGTCTTTTCCCATAAGTTCAACTTTGCTAACCTGTAATATTATTACAAAACAGGATGACTCAGTCAAGTGGAAGAGCTCTTGAGTTAAGCCAACATGATCCTTAGGATAATCAAGAAAAACGCGAGAACGTGCAAATGACTAGATAGAGAATAGGTTAATTTTTTGATCCGGTTGGTTTAGAAAAAAGAGGAATTTTTTTTGTCTATTAGTCACAAGGCCATATACGCAAAACTAGTCCCTATAAGTCGTGGTTAACTTGCTGAAAGCGGACGTAATGCGTGGCAGGGAAAAATATTAAATTATATCTCATTTCGCCAGTTCCACCACCTTCTATACACACCCATTAGATGTTCTCTACTACTAGTAACGAGCTTCAAGCAAAATATGGCAAGGAAGTCTGTGATCACATGTGACGATAGCAACCTTTTTTCTGCGGCCTTTTAAACCCGATGGATCGTAATCTAAGTATAAATTACCTCTCCAAGAAAGACAGGGTCCAGCAAATGCATTTTGTCGTTCTTCCAATAGTCATAAAGTGTCTTGTAAGCAAGAATCGTACGATTCCTATCCACGTCTGAATAACTAAGATCTTTTTCACTCTTCGAGATGAAAAAGTACAGTATAGCCTTTTCAGTGCTTCTGCCACCACTACAGTAGGTTTCCTCGTTCATGAAACGAATACTTTTTTCACTGACTTTTTGCAGCGTGAGTCCTTTAAATTCGTAAAGTTCACCGGAAAGTTTTTTTGCAAAAATTGGGAGAAGATCACATAGTCGTGTCCATAACATTTCCCATTTCACCTGGATAAAAATACTGGGATCTTCTTCCGCCGAAAAACACTCTGCAGAAAAAAGGAAGAAATTAAGAAGATGTTATGACAATAACACTTGCATCATCAGTTAACCACCACCAATAACAGCAACGACTGACGGAAACGGTTTGTTATCATGTTGCGTGACAAATAGGGCGTGGTGATTTTGACATAAATGTAAGCTGAACCAATAGATAAGGATCGACAATGACCGGAAATTCCTGTGTGACCAAATTAAGACCATAGCTAATAAAAGAATAGGATCTAGTAAAATTACGCTTTGTGTGTGAGACAAAGTTGTACTTGATGTGGTCGAATAGTGCCTGTGAGAATGAAATACTGCTAAAACATTTTGTGAATTTTGGAGATCACTTAAGGAAAGGGGACGTTCTCCAAAGAACAATAACAGCAGCTCTAGCAACGAAATCATTTCTGTATATGACTCTAACAATAGTTTTGACCTAATTGCTCCTGTTTCGTTCCCTGATACGACATAAACAAATGAAAATAAACAAAGGAAAAAAAATTTGTGGAAAAAGAGAAACACAATTGTAAATAATAAAGTTCGTTAACATACCGAAGTTGCCGATAAATACCAGGAGCAGTAATGCAGGTCTCATCGTAAACCTGTTTATTAAAAAAAAATCGATTCACTGATAAGAAAATATAATTTACTGGAAACTTAGTATACCTTTGTCCAGTTTTAGGAAACGGTATAAGTGGTGGATCTAGGCGGTGGACCCAGGGATCCCGGAACCTCCTTCCCATCAGATCAGACGTATGTTTTTCAGCTACTTGGCTATCACCAAAAATTCTTGCAACGACAGGATCGCATGCTTTAGCACAGTATGAAGTATTTAACATCAATTTCTAGCAGTATTTCTCAGCTTGTTCAGGTTTAAGCGTGAAAAAAATTGTTTTTTGATAATTGAAAATTCCCCGATCCGCTCCGTTTGGCATTTATGTTGCTGCCAACTCTCAGCCAAATGTAGTCACCGACTGTCAAGGAAATTGTGGAAAAACATATATGACCACTTGTTTGTAAATAATATTTGAGGTAGCATAGCGTAAGGATTAAAAAAAATAATAATAATAATTCCGATCAATAATTTGGATATGACCTCGAGATTCCTATCGGTAGTTGATAAGGACAAGGCCTGAATCTTATCACCCATAGAAATCGAAAGCGAATGATCTAATTAGAGGGTTTTAAACATAATGTACTAGTAGTTCAAAACTTTTAAAACTACAAGACAGGCTCCTGTTTTTGTTTTATTTTGCTTACAACCACACACAATGTGGTTATATCCATCATGGTATAGCTATCGAGTTGCGAAGCCAATCAGATTGCAGAATTTATTAGAAAATAGAAGGGGCTTCTACCAGTGGATGATAGATGTTTAGATTAGTTTAAAATAATCAAAACAATTACTCTATCACAGATTTGCGTGATCACGAGTTTGTCGGCCTCTATAGAAGTAAAGCACAGTAATATTCAAAGTTTCTTCCCGACTTATGACCTTCGCACGAAAAAATTCATTTGGCTGGTTGCGTTGCATAAGATGAAATGGGGCGGGCATAATTACAGAAGTAAACACCGCGTGGCGGTTTTCTCTCTCACGTGCGGTGACGCCAAACAGCTGAGAGGAAGTTCAATTATCTCAAGAATGTTGGATATCTATTCCATAAGCTTGCTTTCTTTCTAATAAGATAAGCTGAATTTCAGTAAAAATTGATCCAAATTCTTCTCTAATTACTTTCTACCCCAAAAGTTCATCGGAGCACAAGAATCTATTTCAAAATATCTCTACGATATCCTCGGTTCCCATTCAACGAATTGAATTTAGTGTTTTATTTCTCGTTGGCTAGGCAGTTCGTTGACCTCGAAATTATAAGCTTAGAGATCCAACAGATTTAGAATCTA